ATCCGCCTTCAGCGGTCAGATAGGTGGAAAGGATGGAGCCGCCTGTTACAGGTTAGCCTGCGTCGAAAGCTTTCTCACTCAAAGTCCTACCAGGAGCGGAGATCTCGGGCTTCAGACGTCCGTCGACAGTCAGGCCCCACGAGGAGAAGAAGTCGATGGCGCCAGCGATGGACTCGGAGTTGACGCCAGGGATGGCGACGGCCTTGCCTCCGTTGGCGACGAACTCGAAAGTGACCTTGCGACCGAGCTCCTTCTGCTTGATGAGCCACTGGCCGTCTTCGTAGCTGAGGAGGCCGACTTTCTAGGTGTTAGCACACTGGTTCCCTCGTGATGGTAGCATCTGACTGACATCCTAGGGGTTGCTCTGGAGGGTTGTAAACGCTGCGGTTGGGGATCTCCCAAGGAGCACCCTCGAAGTTGTAGTAAAACACCCACTTGACGCTGGTGCCGAAGAGGTTGGAGTCGAGAACTTGCCAGCACTCGCAGATGCAGGTGCTTCGTCTGTGGCGGGTCAGCATCAGGGACACATGATGCGAGGCCTCCTAGGGTCACACTTACGGCAACACCAAGACGCTCTCTGATGAGACGCCGGGGAACTCCCATATGTCGCAAGAGTCGAGGCCGGTGTAGTTCTGATCAAGGAAGTGGGCGGGGAAACTGCCGTTACGAACCCACTGAGCGGTATCGGAGCTCACATAAAACTGCATCTTGATTAGATTGTGAAGATGAATATCCAGGTAAACTCACCATCTCGCGAGTTTCATTGCTGCTGGATCTAGCAGTAAAGGTAAACGCGGCTGTCTGTGTGTGCTCGACGCTGCCGACCGCAGTAACGCCAAAGCCGTTGGCAGCACTGCTGGTGTAAAAGGGACCTGCCACCGATATGATAAGCTGACATTCTCTTTACTCAATTAAAAGACCACTCACCCAGTTCTCCGCTGTTTCCAGCGGCAACAGTAACAAAGGTTCCCTTGGCCTGGATGTTCGAGGCAACAGTCGCCAAAATGTTTTCAGGAAACCCGGCGTTCGAGCCCAACGAGGCCGAAATGATATCGGCGCCCTCTTCATGTGCCTTGATGAAACCCTGGGCGATGACATCCTCCATACTGCTCCCGCCGCATCCGAACACCTTGTAGATGCGCAGGCGGGCATCAGGCGCAACACCAGGCAGATCCTTGTGCGAGCTGGCAACGATACCAGCAACGTGCGTTCCGTGTCCCGCACAGTCCATGGGATCATCATCAGGCACATACTCACCGCCAACCTCGTAGTCATCGCCCACGAGATCATATCCGCCTTCGACCTTGAAGCCTGCGCCGAAGCCGCCGCCAAGAGACGGGTGGTTGTAATCAATACCCGTGTCGATGATGGCGACAACAACGCCCTTACCACTGTGGCCTAGCTTATGGACCTTATTGACGCCGGTGAGCGTATGCGGGTCCCATTTAGGTAAAGGCTCAGAGGAAATGTCCGATGCATTGGGCTTCAGGGCATTCACAACGGAAACCGGCCAGAGCTTCTCAACCTCCGGGAGTTCCTCAATCTGCTGCAGAGAACTGGCGGTGTGGTTCACCAAGTCGAAAGAGGCGCCGTGGAAGATCTCAGAAGTGAAGTTGAGAGCGGGCTTGGCTGTGTTGTTCGTCAGTTGGAGGCTCTCGAAGAAGCCTTCTGTATCCTGGAATCAATCAGCCATGATGCACGTAATGAAATATTGCTCTTGACTCACAGGGGTGCCGTCGCGCTTCCTGAACTTGGCGGAGCCAGAAAATGAGAATTGGACAGCGAACCTTCGGCTCGGAGGCGAGAAGGGCTTTCGGTCACCCAGAGCACTGGTGGGCACCTCAGCTGAGAGAGCCGCAGTGCTCAGGAGGAGCGAGACCAGAAGAGAACCAAACGTATTGAAACCCATCTTGCAATCTCTGCAAATGCCTCGATCGAAGAGACGGATGTGCGTGGGGGATGCTTCTCTTCCGCCACCGGTATAGCGCCTTGAGAGGATATTATATATCCTGAATTCTCCAAAGTTCTTCCATCAGTATGGCGGGTGAAGAGATAACCCATGGATAGAGTAAATTTCAAATGCTCCATTATCCTGCAAGTCGATATTGCTATGCTGCATGATACCACGCATTGTGACCATGAAAGGATGTCTACGTGATCGGGGCTATTCTTTAGCAGGAAAGTCGTATCATTCGCGGGCATGTCCAGCCTTGGCAGGTACCCTGCATACTATGTAGATGTGGCTTCGTTACCGATCACGCAGTCCAACATGTAATGATCTTGGACTACCCTGAAGCAGCCGAAGTAGCCGACGGGGCAAGATGTGTCCCCACCGACGTGATCAAGCTTAAAATTATCAATCAGACGATCTGATAAGATGTTTACGACCTATGAGACCGTCGCCCACTTGGTCAGCGGGTCACTAGGATACTTGAGAATAAAGTCAGGCCAATATTAGTCAGTGATGAATGAGACCCCGAAGTCGCAGCCAGCGCTGGATACAGTTCGCGTTCGTGACTGGGGGTATCTGTAGGGCAGGGGAAATACGATGTGGGGGAGAAGCGATGGCCAATGGGTTGAGGATCCGAGGGTACCACTATGCGAGCGCAGATTAAATTCATATCCGAGGAGTAGAGGTTAGGCACTTCGGACCAGAGTCGCTGCTCGGCGAGGTTTGCGAATGCAACATTGGGATCACGTCACGGTCAAGCGATTTGATGTTTAGTGATACTGTCAAAGGGTTGAGGCATAAAGGGAAAATCCATTAAAGGATGTGGAAATCTCCCCGGGTCATTTTGTACCCCCTTTTATGGCAGAAAGAAGGACAAGTCTCATTCTTTATTGCTTTGTTTCAATGAACGTGACGTGAACGAGACTGTAATTCAAATACTGAATATGAACAAAGGTTAAGTCCCATGTTCAGCCAAGTCGCTCTAGTCAGCAGAACTACAAGGAGTAGTAGTCATAATGAGCTTGTTGAAAGTTTTCTGCTTATAAGGTGAACTCTAAGAATAATTATGGTGATTTCTGCAATGAACACAAGCTTGTTGTTTATTTTCAATGGATCATAACTCCAAGCTGGCTGTTTGTTGCAAGTTTTGTGTTGCACTAACCAGTACATTTTCAAGGGTGTAAGCCTCTCAGGACAATAACCTTGTTTTACAGTTCTTCACTCTAAATGCAAACTGTTGTTCATGTTAGAGAATTTATCAGCCTGAATATTTATGATAAGCTTGGCCACTCTGAGGTTTAGCGTTTTCATCATTATCCACACACTCTCCAGACACTTCTATCAAGCTAACCAGTAGTCAGCTGCGGTACACAAAAACAATAATATCCCAGTGACACATCAAGCCATTGGCCACCAACCGCATTACCTACAAACCATCCTTATTCTGGCCTGCTTGTACTGAGTTCAGCTCAAGTTTCATATGTACGTCTAGGGTTCGAGCTCCAAGCAAGTCCCCTCAAATGGCAGGTGCAAAAAACAGCCGCTCTTCTCATCCTATGAGGACACGTGCACAAACGAGAAGAGAGCAAGCAAGTTCTTCTCTGACTCGTTCAGATCCCCGATGTAATGAAAACAATGCTCAGCCAAGTTCTGCAAGACAACGGGGTTCAAAACGGAGTTGCTTTTCCCACTCCAGTTCTGAAGGGGAATCAGTAGTCAGCGAGCAACCGAGAAAGCGGCGGAAATACCGCGCTTCTAGGTCTGAAGAGTTCGATGACGAGGCACAAGAAGACGAAACCGAACAACTTGTGAGAAATATTGACAACCCCAGGGACCAACGAGGAAGTGGTACAGTACAAGAGATTCGGGATGGCAACACGGAAGAACACAACTCGCCAGAAATCAGCCACACAACAGATGAAAGTCAAGAGACCGATTTTAAAGAAAGCGAACAGGGAAGTCTTTATGGCTCAAACAATGAGACGAAAAGCAAGGCGAGCCCCGCTCAAATGAAAGATTCTACGCCGTCGAAGCCCATCATCATCCAAGACGATTATTGGCCCAACATAAGGGCTCATTATATGGCCGCCATAGATAACCCCAATATCCAAATTCAAGTTCCATGCGTTATCTGCCGAAACATTGCTTCAGTGCCACTTTGCCAAAGTGGCAGTCCCCAGATCGGCTCTGATGATTACCTTGAAGACCTTTGTATCCTACCTTGCGGGCACACAATCGGGGAAAAGTGTTTTGCGGAATGGGATGCCACCCAAAATTATGAGCAGGAGCCTACTTGTTGTCCAGTATGCCGTCTCGACTTGAAATGCCTGGGGTGCTCAATGCCTTTTTCGTTGTTAGTCCTTGGTTCCCTGGGCTCTGATGATCCGCCGCTCACGATCCCGGAGGGCGGTCCCTTTACAGCACAATGCAATACGTGTTTTCTTGAATCTAGTTTCTTCCTCGAAACCATATACAATCAGCCCACTGGAGGCTCTCCTGAGCGGCCTGGCAGTCATTTGCGTCGATGGTTCGGAGAATTGGCCGAGCAACAAGCCAGGCACCTGCGTAGTGACGGCCCCAGACTGAGAGAGTCCACTGGTCTCATATCTGCCGCAACATTTTCGCAAATGCGTCGCGATATCACCCAACTGGAATCTGAAGTCCGGCAGCAACGCTTCACCACGCTGGAACAGCTTGAAAGAAACATACATCGGAGGTACGTGTGGAACCGACCGGGCGTAGACTCCTTGCCAGAAAACGACTTTCTCTTTAACGATGTATCCGACAGTGACCTAACCCCCTGAAACTTCGTGCGGGTATTCTGGTTTTGAAAGTTCCCCTCCAGATTTTTACTCGTTCTGGGGTTCTAACTTCTGATTTTGTCAGTACGTACTTAAGAAAGCGGCAGATCATAGACCTTTTCCCTCAGTTAATCAGTTAAAGAAGCTTAGACCACAAATGTTGCAATCAGATAGCATGGCACAGTTACGTACAATTACTACAGTTTAACTTGACTTCCTCGTCTGTTATATTATGTGTATGGTAAAGGGCAAATGTTGCCATCGATGCTATCGAAAACCTCATTGTTCGATAACCAGTCCATTCCAGAGCCCAAAAACGTACAATCATTACCGGTGTGTCCCATAGTCGCCTCACCGTAGAGGCCAAATTCATCAAGTAATTCTGAGGGGGAGGAGTTGATGAATCTTTCTTGGCATTTCTCCATTTTGTGATAAATCTCCCCGTTTAGGACATTCGTAACCTCTGGTGATTCGTCGCACGCATGAGTTATATCGTCGGAATGCTTTGTTTCGTCAAAGGGCTTCCAGTTCGTAATCATATCTTCCAACACCCCTAATGCTCTTTGCGCTACAGGGTAAGAGTTCCCTACTTCTGACAGGTACCCTGTACAGCTCTGAAGAAGACGATTGTAGCTTTCCACCTTAGTGACTCGATATAGAAGGAGTTGGATGGTTCCAGCAATAAAAATAAAAGGGACTACAGATTGGGGTATTTGCCTGAGGTTGTAGGAACTTTCGTACTCGCTGGCTAGCTTGATGATATTTTCTGAAGCTGCGGCACATGTCGCTGTTGCGCTATTATATGGAGCCTTCTTGTTCCGAAGGTCCGAAGATATTTGTGACAGATGCAGAAATGGACGATGGAGAATAATGAGGTTGAAGTAAAATGCCATACTGCGTTGAAAGTTAGCTGTCACTAAGATCATTAAAAGTCTGGCTAAAGGAGGCACTAGTAAGCCCGTCCAGGAGAGTGTGCTGATGAAAGCAATCGGTAGTACATACTGTAAGGTAAGCACTTGAGGTGGTGTAGTGTCGCTCTGGTTTCTAGGCCATCTTTGTCCCAGAGGCAGATTTCGGTGCCATTGCCGTAGACTCTCGTGCAACTGAGAAGCCTTGAAATGTAGATCAACGGTACTGTGGCGTCTTTTTCCATACAATTCGACCATTATCTTGGAGCGTATAACGGAGAGAGTCGAAGTAGCTTGGAGAATTGATTCTGTCAAATTGGTCTCGTCAAGTGGTTGATCAGGAGGCGCGATTGCTATATCCCATTCCATAAAAGTAGGAGATCGTCCACGAACAGCACTAAGTAGGCTGTTTGAGACAAATTAGTATCATCAAGCCGGCTATTAAGGATATACAATCAGGTCTTTTAAGCCCACTTACCTATCCTCGTTGTGGCAGGCCCAAAAGACCCTACGCCTGAGGTTTGCGATATCCAATCCCATTCGACCGGACGCCACGGCTTTAGAGCAGTCTAAGTGCAGTCCTAAGTCGCTGGCTATCCTAAATGCAATACCTGACAAATTGGACTTACGTTAGTTAAAGTTCAGTAGAAACATTTAAATCTCTCACAATCCTACCGCTATATGTCCAGCCAAGAGAGCTATTCTTCATAGCTCCGTACCTTGATCCTAGAATCAAAGCCGCTTGAACTGTTGTAATCGTTGGACGACCCAGTTCTAGCTCAAACAGCGACAGAGCACGCTTTGCAAATTGATCGCCACAGTCACCACCTGATGAAGATGAGTATCTTCTTACTCCTTTATCGAGACTAATCATTGACGCTAATGCAAGTATCGCATACAGCAAACATGGGCTGAAGAAGTTGCGATCACCCTTGCCTTCATTGTCGTCCCAGTTCTTCCTATGTTGGAGAAACAAGGAGCGATCAACGACAAGAAGATGCGACGATTGCCATTCCCAGAAAAGATCTAGTAGATGGGCTACGATAGGCTCCGGCTCTGGGTGTGCTTCTGGTGATGCGCAAGGCAAGCGACTCGGCTCATTAATTTCTCCATGATTCCTGGAGCCTGAGTTTTCTGAATCCAATAAAGGCTCCGAGTACGGGAACATGCTGGAGAAGCCCAAGTATTGGTGTTGTTTTTCCCCTTCTGGAGTGATTCCGTCCATTGCTGCTGGGAAATTCGGTCGATCAGGTATGTCTCCGAATTCTGGCACATGTTCGCTCGAGAATGACTCTGATCGAAATGAACTCGGCGTAGGTTCGGCTCCTGGTGTCACTGACCAAACCACTTCCCCCTCCTGAGGAGTAACAGAAGGTATCGTGGTCCGAGTTTCTGCGCTCGAAGAGTTTGATGGACTAGGAAAAGCGCAGCTTCTAGGACTCCTGCTATCCTCGATGGAGCGCTGATTGTGACACATGTCTCTCTTTTGACGTCCCAGAGCCTGAGCATCGGTCCGGGAAGCATTTCTCACGAACTCTTCTAGTGCCTGCATTCTTTGGTGGAGAGCTTTGGATTCGCTTGGTCGGCGATTGCTGCGCTTGTCCTCCCCATAACGGACCTCACACTTTTCATTCTTGTTCCGGCATGACGTGCAGGATCGATCCGGTCGGCCCCCCTCGCTCATAATCTGCGATATATCACATCGTCGTTTATCTTTCTTGCAACGAGTGCATGCGAAACTCGCTCGACTCGTGTGTCGGTCTGGGGGCATCGTTTGCTTCGGAATAGGGTGATAGGGCTCGCAAACTAGTTGAGGGATGTGTCGCGTGGGAGCATTTGTCGAAATTACAACCTGCCCAGATAGTAAGAGGAACCGGTCTTTGAAGAGTATTGCTGAGTAGAACACGCGTCAAGTTTAGTGATTTGCCAGTGTTGTTTGTAAACCTCAACCTTTCAGTAGGAAAACATGATGGGCAGTTGTAAGCGCAGGACTTCCCCCCTGCTAACGTAAACGACCAAGTACTGGTTACACCCATCACACCGGACCTGCTTGAGAGTAGACGGGTGACGTTTCTTTTGCTTAAGTTTTGGCCAGAACGCGGCGACCTGGCCCACTGATCAGGTGGATAATGGGGCGAAGTAGGGGTGTGATGATAACTCGGGGTCCGTATTTCAAAGACAGCTTTCTGGAGCTCCCCTCCCCCCGAGCTCCCCGTTCCCTGCTCCTTAGCATTTACAACTCACGAGATGTTATGTGCGGTTGAACTGTGTCATGTATAAACTGCTGAAACTGGTTTAGCTGCCTAGAATTGCGATTAACCAGCAAGGAGGCAAACTCAACATTCCCATCCTACTGCGGGCCATCCGATCATGGGAGCTTCACAAGATCCCATTCCGTTCCATAATGCCCCGCGAACCCCCAGACTCCGCATGGAACGTCCTCCACTCCCCCACTTAAAGGGCCGTTCTAGGCGGCAAGGATGAACCAACCAACCCTTCATTCTGACCTCACACCGGCCTCAGCTCTCGGGTTGCCGTTTTGGGTAATCCGGCGCAAAACAGGTTGATCTGGCAAAGCAACAAAATCAACCACATCGAAGTTCTCAAACCACGATACTCGGCCTTTGATTAGGGGTAGCCCCACGCGGCATACTATTCTCGGGGATAAGACGTCAGGTGTGTATCAACGTCTGATGCCAATGCTGCGGAAGTGTGGCAAACGTTTTCCGCAATGCCGGGGAAGTCTGTTTCCCTGAACAAATCCGCCCATTACGTGACAGAATTGAGGCACAGAAACCGTTCCAGTATTGAAGGAAGGTCTAGCCACAAGCTACAACCATGGTTAGAATGCCGCTGATCAATGAAAATAGTGACTGGGAAGACTCTTACTTTATTAATCGCTAATTCTGGTATCTGAGAGCGCAAGAATTATGCCAAGCCAGCTTGCAGACCCCGAATAGCTACCATCGCACCCCAGGCTCCAGGATCGGGAGGTGTGCCACCATTTTCCGATCCACCTCCAACATAAGTCGCCCGGCCAAGTTTTGCTTTTGCGTTCCTGGTGGCTTCGGCACCCTCAATGGCGGATTTAACGGCTTGGTTGAAGCCACCGTTGCGGATACCTTCGACGAATGGGATCAGCACGTCGAGAACCGTTCGGTCTCCAACCTTGGCCGGAGTGTAATGACTCAGTTTCTCCAAAGCGGATGTGAGCGCCAACCTCCAGACCGACAAGATGTCCTGTGACTTGGCAAGTGATGCGTTCTCCTTGACGGAATTGCTCAGGGAAACGAAGAAAATTCCCAGAATGCCACCAAGAGTGCCACCCATCTTGCTCTCGACTATCTCTTCCAGTTCGTGAAGCACAGAAACAATGGACCCCTCATTGGCGACCCCCTTCTTGTCCAATGCCTCGAGGAGGTGTGACGCCCCAGTTCGGAGGGTTTCTCCACAGTCTCCATCCCCCATGACCATGTCCCACTTTGTAATATCGGGTTCCGCATCGATAACCTCTGTGCAAGCTGCACGCAACATTGACTTCAGAATCGCAGGGTCCATTCTGACATCGTTACTGGAATCGATCTTCTTCGGCTCTTCGGGGGGTGATTGGATAAACTGGAGCTTTCGTTCGCGTCTCGATGCTTGAGATCCAGCCATTGACTCCCAGTGGGTGTTCGTCTTGGCGTCAACGAAATCCTTGATCTGTTCGACCGAGAAGGGGCAGTTCTTCGACGCGGCCGTGATGTTGATGAGTGAAAGAGAGAATGCCGGTGCATTCAAAGACGTTTCGAGCGGTCCGGCGAATATTCTCACTGGGCGAACATTCCATTTCTGTTCGAGTTGCTCGAGCACCTCATCGACAAGAGCGCCCAACTCCAAGTAGGAAATTCCACCAAAGTTGCTCACCAGCAGAATTGTTTCGTCATCGTTGTTGAACTTAACATAGGATCGCTCGGGGTCGTCCTGCTTAAGGCAATATTGCAGCAACTGGTCCACTAGATCTTGTGGGGACGGGCTGGGGTTCACTTTCTTGTATCCTGGCTCGTTGTGAGGGCCAGTTCCAATCTCCAGCTCATTTGTTTCGAGTCGGGCATGTTCTGTTCGGCCGGGGACGTGGCAGTGGTCGAGTGTCGCGGCGATGGATACGATCTGAGACTCCACAGCAACACCGAGCTGGTAGATGTCATCAAGGGAGCCGGCCTTCGCACCAGCTGCTCCGCTGGTGATCTTTAGGACGCCTAGTTGTCCGGCAAGACCACGGCGACCAACTAAGCTGCCCTTCTTCTTGCCAACTGACACATCATCACCGCAGATAATGATGCGGCAGTTGTGACCGCGGCTTCTTGCTTTCTCACCTGCTAATCCAAAGTGAAGGCAGTCGCCGGTATAGTTGGTAATGATAAGGAGGGTGCCAACATCAGAGGGGACGGCCTCAATGCCGGCCAAGATCTGCTTAGCAGATGGACTGGCGAAGATATCACCAGACACGGAGGCAGACAACATATTGTTGCCCACGTAGCCGGACCATGCTGGCTCGTGGCCCGAGCCTCCGCCGGAAATAATACTAACTTTAGATCTGTCGTAGGTTGTGTCGAATACAACGCGGTTCGTGGTGTCCAGACCAAGTGATGGGTTATAAGAGACAAGCCCTCGTAAGGACTTGTCGACAAGTCCCTCTGAGGACGGGAAGATATGGCGGTCTGACATGATGTTGTAGTTGTCGATGAAGATGGATTTTGAGAAGACAATCAGATGATTTTGTTGAGCAGATAGATTATTTGTAGAATATTGAAGTGAATTGATGGAACTATGATACGACTAAACTCCCAGACTGATGTAGGAGGATGGGTGGGTAATATCATAAGGGGCGGGCGGGGGTTGAGCGTTGGCACCAGGGTATCTCGGGCAATCGGCTGGCCGCACCCCGGATTTCCGCAGCGGAAGATCGGCTGGAATAGTTCAAATCGTCATATTTCCACATATTTGAATCATGCTGCTACTTTGCGGGTGTTCATACGGACCAGTCCACCTTTCTGATTTTCCGCTCTTCCGCTGCCTCGACCATTGGTCGAGCCATTGGTCGAGCATCTGACAGGCTACAGGACGCGCTTTGCCTCTCTGACTTCAAAAGCACTTCGTATCCCGCTACAGTGACCACATCTACTTCCTTCAAACTACATGTAAATCCACCGAGATCTGTCATATTATTTACTCGATTTAATTCCTTCCAACCTACCCCAACAAGGAGCTTAAACTTCACAAGATGGGCAGCGATACTTCCCAAAAATACCGGATTGTCGTCGGCAGTGACGTAAGATCCCTGACATACCTAATAAAGATTAAGACTGACACGTGCTTGCAGGAGGCCGGTATCAAGTACAAGGATGCAATCAAGGCAGACTTCCAAAACGATTCCCGTGTTGAGTTTGTAGAAGACGTGGGAAGCCATGAGGGCACCGACAAGACGGCATACCCCCATAGAGCGGCGGCAGCAGCTCAACTAGTCGCTGATGGCAAAGCCGACCGTGCCCTTTTGATCTGTGGCACTGGACTCGGCATGGCCATTTCTGCCAACAAGGTCAAGGGCATTCGAGCCGTCACAGCGCATGATAGCTTCAGCGTGGAAAGAGCCATCCTGAGCAATGATGCGCAGGTATTGTGCATGGGTGAGAGGGTGATTGGTTTGGAACTTGCGAGACGACTTGCCAAAGACTGGCTTAGCTACGAGTTTGACCCTAAGAGCAACAGTGCGGAAAAGGTTAGGGTGATCAACAGTCTAGAAGCTTAGGGATAGAAGATCATTCAATGAGACTATGAATCATAATGCATCCTACCTTTCAAATGTCCGTGATTACAAGTTGTGAAGGTTTACGTGGCTGCTAAACGAACGGAATTACACTTAATAATATTATACCACTACTCTTGAAATACCAATCATCTTGTCGGTGCGTAAATGGAAGATACACTGCGGAAAATGAAAGTCCGGTGTTCAAAGCGGATCGTAACAGGACCAGATTTATTCATGCTAGGCACCCAAGCTTTACACTATTTGGCCATGGCATCAATCCATGGCCATCAGAAAAACAAGTTCACGAGTATCGTGACTGAGAGGTTCTGTTATTAATGTAGTTGTTTTTCGAGTACTTGTTGAAATCGCATTGAGGACCTGGTCGATGGAAGATTCCTCGGATCCTACTGCTGAGCCTGGAAGTAAGATGCGAGTGTAAACTATTCAGGCTATCAACCCAACAAAGCACCTGAACGGTATTCGAACGTCAGAATGGTATCATGTGCCTCTTTTTGTGCTACTTGCATAAGTATTGTTCTTAAAATGGGCCAGCATCTTTGAGGGCCCAGACATCGGTACACGAAAGGGGGCAAAAGTGGGCTTTTCCGCAAGTATTTCCGCTCTTATACATCAACCTGGGGAACTTACCGATTTTCCGCGGTACCTCTATTTATGTATGAATCGATCATTTCATTCAACACATAATGACCATTACACCCAATAAGGCAGATCATAATACTCAAAGTCACGATTCTGCAATCTTCAGCATGACCACCTCCCCACAACGGAGGCTTATCGGCCTCTCAACCAAGGCATACTTTCCGCTTCAGCGAACACTTGATTTCACGACTGAGGTTCAATCCCAACTACGTTCTCTCCCACCGAGTACATTTGAAAATGTCGACATTTTTCTCATTCCTGACTTCATCTCCATTCACCCCGTTCGCGAGCTCTTAAAGTCCTCGCCGGTCCCAATTCGGCTAGGCGCTCAAGACTGCCATTGGGAGGATTTCGGCGCTTACACGGGAGAAGTCAGCCCAGTGGTTCTGAGCGAGACAGGGGTGACCATAGTCGAGGTGGGACACGCAGAAAGACGGAGGCTGTTTGGTGAGGACGACCAAACCGTTGCTAAGAAGGCTGCTGCAGCGAGCAGAAACGGTATGGCGCCGCTGATATGCATCGGGGAAAAGACCAGGGGAGATCTGGATACTGCCTTAAAGGAATGCCAAGTCCAAGTTGATCAAGCCGTGGCTGATATCCCCGATTCTGCGGAAGTCATTATTGCATATGAGCCTGTTTGGGCCATCGGTGCAGACCAGCCTGCCAGCGAGGACCATGTCATATCAGTAGTGAAAGGAATCAGATCTTTCAAGAGTCTAAAGGACAGGACAGGTACGACCAGAGTCATCTACGGAGGTAGTGCTGGTCCGGGCCTGTTTGAAAAGCTAGGAGAGGCCGTGGATGGTTTATTCCTCGGCAGGTTCGGGCATGATGCGACACGATTTATGAAGACAGTCTCGGAAGTGGCTTCTTTCAAGGCATAAAATGAATACATCAAGTCAAGAGAATCAAAATCAGGCATCCCGTGGTATGCATTAGAAACATCAGTCTTGACTCTAGCGGTATCTCATCGTCCCACTTAAGTTCTGCAAAGTGTACGGCGGTCTTTGTACAGTTACCCAATGGCATTTCAATATTAATCAGTGGCCGAATTCAAGCGACATATCTGACCACCTATACTATATAAAGACAATGGGTCGTGGTGCAATTGTGACTTAGCCGTTAGACGTGTCCCGGTCCTCACCAGTGCTAGCAGTGCAGTTGATCTGCAGGAGATTTTTGTCAAGGTTTTTGCACTCGTAAACTGGGGCCTTTCCACTTGGTACTGTCACCGTGACGTTCTCGGCACGGATATTGCTGCAACGCTGTGGAGTGAATGAATCATTAGCTCCATGTTCGAATGCAAAGGTTTCCAATTGGATGTAGGGGTAAATAGGCACTCACATCCTTAGCACTGCACACCAGTGTTCCGGCTTGGGGGTCAAGCTTGGCGGATGTTGTGCCGTAAATGTTCTTCAATGTAATATCCGAAATAGTCAAGTTGGCCTATAAACCCCTCTGATTAGCAACATTAAGCAATGATGTGACGAGAATCAACTCACGGGATGCTCCTCGCACAATGTCTGGTTCTTCTGGCCGTAGCACTGAGTAATGGTGATGGCGCGGTCGTTGTTGATGTTCTTGAAAAGGTCATATGTTACGTTCCGAACCCGACCAAGACCACCTCCACCGTTCAACAACGTCTGGAAAGCGGTCTCGATTCCAGGCCATACCTTGATGCGGGCAGCATCGCTAGCGTCGGCCATGGTGATGTTGTAGATGTACAGGTTCTCGACGATGTCGGTCTCACCCTTGTACTGACCTAGAGAACCGACACTAATGCCGTGCGAACCGGTGCAGTCCAGGTTTTGAATAACGACATTGCTGCTGTTCGGCTTGAATGAAACACAGTCTATATGGAAAGGCCGAGTTAGTTTTGTCTTTCCTGCTTGGGCGATGAGGAAAGTAATGTTCGCAAACCCACCATCTGTATTGATAATGAAGGAATCCTGGATAGTGACAAATGAACTTCTGTACGTGTCCCAGCCGTCGGAGTTGGCAATTTGCACGCCATTCAGACTCTGACAAGATGTTAGCGAAGTATTCCAACTTGAGGAGCATCCGACCAACCTGTGCTCTCAGGTCCATGTTGCTAATGAGAACGTCGGTACTGTTGGCAATCAGATTGAACCACTAAAATTCAGATCAGTCAGAAGTACAGTAGCTCATTCACAGGTTCCACACACGTTAGGGGGGTTTCGCATGCGAAGATGGGACATCGTAGCCCCCTTCACTCCTTCGAATGAGAACAACATGGGCCTCAGAAGCTGTGGTCGGCCATGGTTAGCCTTGGTTGAAGTATCATTTTGCGGTTCTGTTTGGCAAATACTAACGCTCTTATTGGTCTGGATTGCCTCCCAGTAGGCTTGTCCTCGTCCATCAATGACAGACTCTTCATTGCCCAAGTCACCGTAAATGTTGACGTCTTCTCCGCCAAGCTTCCAGAAAACTGATTGATTTTGGAAGGCAAACTTGAAACTGTTTTCGGCCCAGTAGTACGGGTCATCATTGAACTCAATTGATCCGGTGATGACAACATCAATGTGCTTCAGAAAGGTGAGGTCGAGTGGCGAGCCGATGATGTATGACTTGTCGAAGACAACGGTGCCGCCATTGTTGCACTTCTTGAAGGCATCCAATATTCTCGGCGCATCATCGCGCTTGATCCCGCACCCAGGCTTCACGTAACAGTAGCGATCCTTTTCTCTCGGAGGGGAGAATGGCATATCGCGCCCGGCATTGAAAGGTCCTGGGACAACATGGGGTCGTTCAGGGATGTTGGGCTTCGGGGAAGCGACTGACGCTGCCGAACAAACCGATAGCAGAGCGGATGCTGCCGCCAGGAGGTCCAATGGAAACGAACGCATCGTTGCAACCGTCTGGAGCTAGAAGCGTGACAAGATGAGCAACACGACAGCTACCATAACGCTATTATTCTTCGTCCGAACTATCCTTCATATACACACGTCCAGGAGATTATCCAATTCCTATTGGGTTTAGCTAAAAATCCATAAAAAAAGTATCATATCATCATCTGTCAAGACTCAGCGCAACGATACGCGGAATATTTGTGGAGTCTCATGATGTTCCTTCGGTTCTGTCGGTGAAATATCTCGCGGGGCCAGGGTGTAACGGGTCTTCTCCCAAGTTTTCCCCGGAATAGGTATCTCCTCGTCAAATTTACTTGTTGGCCAGGCTGGATAAAATGCCCTGCGGCTGAATACCACATAACTAAGCCTTCGGCCCCGCACTCGTACCCCGCGCGCCATGTGGACTAGAGGTGCGGAGAAGCTTTCTGGAGAGGCATGGATAAGCCTTTCTGACCCATGAGATCTAAGATTAGCATCCGTGGTTGAATAGCTCCTTTTCCGAGGTTCTCAGTCGTGCGCTTAGCGGGGTAGCAACTTGGCCCTGACGCGTTTGCTCTCATGGTCCGCAACTGCTACGAAGAAGCCGTGTTTACATACGATATCATTAAGGGTGATTGCGCCAAGCTTACAATCCTGAAGACTTTGGTTTGATTACGACATAATAGATATATAAACCCAAGAGAAAGTGATCTCAAAGCTTGGAGATCACTTAGATTCCGTGGAGTGAGGACCCAGTGAGTAAACTATGCAAATACTTCCCGAAGAGCCACTGAGAGTAAGCTGGATGAACTTACAGAGACATGACAAACAATATGAAACAGAGTTATTTTGTGCCATGCCGTCCGAGGTCAGCATATTTAGCACACGTCTTGCCGAATGAAAACCCTTAGGCGCTGGTGAGGCTCCCGATGTTCACGACGGGTTACGCTACGCGGCTTCTTACTACATTTGCTGAAAGGATGAGTCGTGGCAGTCAACGCCCCTGTTAAGTCAAAACCACATACACATCATCAGACAGGTCTCTAAAGCTTTTAATCAACGATATTGGGGCGTAATTTTCATGTTTAGCCGGTCTATATGACTGAAGGGAACGGCCATACTATTCGTAATGCGACTATAAAGTGGCTAGTGCTTCAAAGCGAACACCCAGACAACTGGTTGCGCAATGACAGCATAGATCGCAGTGACAATAAAGGAAGAGCCGTCGTCGAATTCCGGGCCATCAGCGGACCCCTGAACTCATAAAATCATTCACGAGGGTCAAAGAGAGAATAACAATGACGGATGTTATCACAATTGTAAGAGGCAACCGGCTATTTACATGAGACGTATAGCCATTCTTGACGCTTATGAGATAGTGTGCTGAATAAGATACAAGGATACCTACGGCGGCGTTATTCTCCGCCTGCAAGGTCTCCGTCAAAGCTATATTATGCTCTGAAGTCTCTCAACTTAAGACCCAAGCCATCCGTGTTATCACACAACACAAGTTGCTTCTCTTGACTGGCCGTCTCCATCCACGCTATGTTGGAAAAGTCACCTCCCTCATCGCGAGGTGGATGCTCGAAACCGTGGTATAGAAAAGGTAAGATGGAGGTCTTCCATATAGGCAGCCCACGTGTCCGCCATATCGCGAAAAAGAAGAGAAATGTGGTAATACCTAACATGATGACCATATACAGCACATACAACCAGTGGATCTCGTAATGCTCGTTTGTACAAACTTTCCCCGGGACAAAGCCTGTATACTTAATCCGAAGGGTGTGGGCGATTCCACCATTTAAATTAGTAATGTAATCGCTGAGGGTCTTTTTCAAGGCAGCTGATCTTTGGAATTCTGCTCCTGCCGCTCCCGCTTTCTCCAGGTTCCTAAGCCAAGCCAACTTGAAGAGGCTCAAAAGGACGCCATCTGAATCGAAGCCTGTGTCTGTTTGCAACGTTTTCTCGAGGCCATGGCGTGTAAAGAGATTCTCCAGAACCTGTTGGAGTGCTAGATTGGTGTCGCTCCAAACGCTGTACGGGCAATTCCCATTTGCATTCATGTTCCGCTCAAAGTTGGTATTGCAAGGCCCTTCGAAGACGATGGATTCTTTGCCGTCCTCCAATGTTTTAACTTCTGCTACATGATTTGTGAAGTTTTTCTCTGCCCAAATGGTCTCAAGGTCCACTCCAATAAGATTATTTTTAGTGTTATCTGCGTGGTCGTTGTGGATGATTCTACTATCGGATCGCATTTGCCAGTAAAGAATGCATTCCACTGCTTCCGGTTGCCCTTGGTCAGGCTCGGCAATTGCTGCCACATGAATAATTAAGGCCGGATTGTTTGCGGTAGATGTAAGAAACGTGCTATTGTTTGGTATTTTCCGACTAGATTTCAGACCCAACCTGGGGGATTGCGTTTTCGACGGTGAATCTGAATCGTGCTCTCCAGGGAGGAACGTAATATTTGCTTGATTAGAAGAAAGGGAGCCGTCAGAGTTGACAACGGCGGTTACACTTTGGCACTGGTGGTCAACATCAAGTGAATTAACGTTGTTAAACTCGCATATGCCTGTGGTGCAGTTGATTGGCCATGGTGTGGGTTCGTTGGTCACCCGCGGTTTCTGGTAATCTGCCCATGCAGCCAAAACCATCGCCTGCAGAGCGGGAGATGCAGTTCGGGAGTGTTTAATGGTGCCGTTGGACCCCATCGAAGCCATATCTGTGTAATTGTGGTTGAATGGCAGACTCGCGTTTGAAAAACGGGATCCTCGGAGTGGTTCATGACAAAGGTACTTGTTTGTGGTAATTGTGTTCTGGACCGAGGATGACACACCCAACGTGGCGAGAAAGAAGATGCAGCCTAAAGAGATGCTAAGTGACTCACTACGATTCCATATGTCAACAGATATTGCTTTTTGTCTTTCCAGTAAAGAAGTGGATAAGTAGTAAAGTAAGAAGACAACTCACAATCTATGTTTTGACAATAGGACTTTGGCGGACCCAGCAATCCCTCGAGATGCTGCATCGTATGCCTGCAGATTAGCGAGCTGCCTAGGCGAATTATGAACAAACTGATACCATTTGAGCTGGCCCATTGCTGAAGCAACAGGATATACCATACAGATTTTCATGGCGGTGCTAATCTGCGCAACTAGAGCTGCTAGGTTTTTGAAAGGCAAGCGCGTTTGGAACCAGTAATCATCGTCCACCACCTTGTTCTCATAATATTTGAGAAGCTGCATGTAAACAGCGAAAAGTATGACAGCGAGAACGAAAGATAATAACTCCATACTCCACCACCCTTTGCTGAGTTTTGTGATACTTGACAACTGATTATTGGTCTTGTTACATACTACCGTAGAAGTTGGATCGCTAGCTCCGGAAAGCGTGGTTTGCTTGTCGACGTCACAATCCGGTTCGTCGGTAATACTCGATGAAAATACACGAGTATTGTATTTTTCGGAGTCCATTTTGTTGTTCCTGACGATGCAGTCCTATCGCATGCGCTTGAATCACAAGGCCACTTTTAGGGTTTGGGATGAGCTGTGTCTGTGCGATTGTATTCCGGCATAAATGAATTGAATCTAGAGTCACAAATGTGAAATTCGTCCCTAGATTCTTCTATAACTACTTTCATAGCAAACAAAAATAAGAATAGGTGCAAACCTAACTCTGAAATTGTTACATCATCCCAAGCTACTAGGCGTGCAGGACTGAGAATGGTACGATGATCTTGCGCTTGGCTCGGCGTGGGTGCAAATCGTTTCCTCTTCTGTTTCCTTTCTTTTCCCTTTCTTCGGAACGCGATCCTTGTCTTGGTATAGCATACAACAACGATGGCTGTCCTGAAACTGATATATATGTCAAAATTCCATGAATGAGACAATAAATGGCGCAAATAAACGTGGATTCAAGACATTGAAATGGCATCAAAACAATAAACGACATGTTTTGACTGAAATTGTGTCTTTTCAGGTTGATCACCTGAAAACGTCGCCTATCTGACGTTTAGTGCCAAAAAAGAGAATTACCAAGGCAAAGCTTTTGGGGTCTGCACCTTGACGACATTAGTGTTGACATTGACTAGACAAGCTAACCTAACCTGATGATGGTCTCCTCACTATTGATGCTATCTTCTTTATTGTCTTCGGCACTTTTCGTCGATTGCCAGTTTCTTTCTTTTCTTAAATATCGCGCTCCTATGTTGACAGTAGACTTGAGTCCGATGAACAGAACTAAGAAGGCAATATAATTTCTTCGATAAGATAAATTACTTGCCAAGCGGGTATTAGGTATAACGGTATAGGTAGTTTGATGTCTGGGTCTGGAACTCTGATAAAACCTGCAGCTAGAGCAATAAGCAATAGTGTACCACATTGAAAATGACGTTTCCAACTCTTCCGCGGACAAAGACTGGGCCTCCTTTCGCCTCCTTTCCTATCAACCCTATCATCTAATTCACGCATAATTCGAAGGTAGGTTAATATGGCTGTGAGAAAGGGTTCAAAAAGTGATTATTCGTTGCCGTCAGCGGATGTATGTAGTGGGTGGCTTGTGGCTGGCTGAATGTCCCAATGGAATCAATCGATGCTAACGAAGATGCGCCTCCCACTTCCTTTAGAGCTGATCTGAAACCCCTGCAACTAATTCTGCCGCGAACATGACATGGTGAGATCAGACAAAGCTCATATGACTTCAAGAAGTAGTTCAAGCTGGACCTCTGGAAAATGGATTACTCTGGTTCTGGCGCTGTCATTCCTAACTAGGCAATATAGTCAATTACTACGCTCAACTTCCAAGTGCGAGGTGGAGCTAATTTGACTCCTTCTGCTCATAATCCTCCTGGAATGGCCGACGTAGATCTATTATTTCTAAAAATACTAGAGGTTCCTGCTGTCTCTAACGACACAAAACCTATATCGCTTTTGCAGGAAACATTTACTCGCTTAATCATGAAGCCGCACATATGATGTTTTCGCCGGAGAGGCTGCGCAGGGTGAAGTGAGGGCGTAAGCCCACATCTCTTCACCTCCATCTAAACAACATTATTCTGATTGTGACAGACGGCGTTTTTCTACAAGCAATATTCGATACCTCGGCCGCTGCTGTAGTCTCTTGGTTTAACGGCATCGAAGTGATGCTTGAAGAATCTTCGAGTCGCTGTTGAGGGCCCAGCCTTCTTCCAATGCACTCCAGGCAGGTGAGTAATGACCCTTGACATGCTGAGGGTCTTAATTTGTGTCTCGTAGGTTATTTAAACCCAAAGCCCTTCCTTGAACTAGAGGAGTCTGCGAGTGCAAAAAAACTGGGATGTGGTAACACGAAGTGACTAGAGATAGAAGAAAACCTTTCATAAGGCCATACTCCGATCGAAGAGGCCTTACTGGTCCTTTACTCTTTCAAAAGAAAAATATCCTCTAAAGATACCAGCACGAACCCTTCAGACGCAATTGTTGAGCCCATGACCTACTTTACCTTAGTTATACTTGTTAATATTGAACATCTGCATGCATGGACGATGGCATGGGACGCCGATGGCAATCTAAGGCACAATCAAATTTATCTTCAATGTGATTAGTGGACCGCTTACTGTTATGTGAAGATCTCGGCATTGGGGCAAATATTCGGAGAGAAAAAGAGCCTTCCAGTGCCGCAGATGATGACGTACAATAAAGAAGTCGCTCCAAGATGGAGAAGAATTGCTGTGCCCCAATCCATAATAGATCGGGGCAGTCTTTTGGTCCCAATGGCAATGGTCTCTTTCAACTTCAGTTGTCATCGATGTATGATAGAGATTTGGTTCAAAGTTACATAGTCAGCAGTAAGGGTTTGAGGGAATACAGGTGCTGTTATCGGCGAGACAGCTGCCCATTTGGGGATGCTAGCATGGAAGAGAAAAAAGGCGTGAATGAAACATCAGGCGGTGAGGAGCCTCGTTATGTTTCATGTAGTCCAAATGACACTATCGAAACGCCATTCCGGATTCCTCTCAGTTGCATGCCGCTAGCAGGGTTCAGCGTGGAGAGGAACAAACCTTCATTAGCTTTCTTACGCATCTCGATTGGTTCGGGGTCCCGAACTCATGGATGATGATCCAGCCAAGAAAGTGCTCATCAGTCGTTTTATATGCGCCCAGAAGATCTAAACTGCCCAAACACTTCTAGGTTGTCAAAATCTGACATCTTGTGCACCACGATCTACCATTTTCCTTCATGCCACATGGCGAACCTACCTCAGTTTGCCGGCCATACCACACCCAAATTATCTCACTAGCCCGATGAGAGTAAAGGATTCAAGTCACAATACTTCGATGACGAAGTGGGCACCACAATCGACTCGATTCTTGCCAAATCGAACCTTCAAAGCAAGAATCCATATTGAAGAGAGAAGATATCATCGGAAGAAACTTAGATTCTTCGAGTAACTGTGGACTAGTTTTGGTTTTCCCTATATCGCTAGTGCTCCTGTATCTGCCATCAATCTCGACCCATTCAAGACTCGTTACCAGGGCTGTCGCTGATTCCACGACTAAAAGGTGTCGCCACATCAAGTCTTTCCTCATGCGTAAACAAAGTCTCTGCAGATACAACACTGCATACGTCTGTGACGGACGAACAAACGTTACGACCGCAACAGGTTCCCACGACACAGACAAATCCTTCACTACAGTCGACAGTGGTGTCGCAGTCGGGAAGTGATGGGCAAGGCCTTCTACCATTGGTACATACAGCATCTCCTTCAGTAGTCAAGGAGCAGCCGCAGACGTTACTAGAACCGCATGTTGGGAATCCGACGTCGCAGTTACCAGGAACACATGTCTCGGGGGTGGGAGAAGCCACAACAACGATAGTCTATTATTATTAGTCTTGGATCTTACTCGGCTTGAGAATATCAACTAACAGAAGTAACTGTAACCGTGGTGCCCGTAACGCCAAAGCACGAACAGGCACTCTCGTACTGACCCTCTTTGGCGCAGGGCGACGCATATGCGGGGACTGACTTGGGCGCTGGAGGGACGGTGGTTTGAGGCTGCTCACCCACTGTAATGGTACTAGAGAATTACTGATCGTTGGTAATCTGACAGCAAAGCGTTATGGACCTCGGGGAGTCATACACGGTATCAACTACTAAAGTCGTAGCAAGATAGTCACTGCAGTCGGAGCTTGCGCTGGCAATAAAAGCTTCACCGCGGCGACTGCCGGTTATGGCTCGCGCGCAGTTGTCGGCATTGCAGCGAGGTGCTACTACAGCGTGAGCGATAAGAGGGTAGTAAAGTGCTGCGCCAAGCGTCATAATCCTGGCCAACATGGGCGAAGGGGGCGCCATAGTGTAGATGTTACCAGGATTCAAACTCTGATGGATTGAAAAGCGGTTTGAAATTCAAGACGATAACTTTCAATTTAATATACACCGATGTTGAAGGATACTCAGTGAACTTATAAATCCCCTTTCAATTGTAACACAGATACGATCATTCAGCCGCGTTGAGCTACTTCTCATTTTCACCCCATGTTGCCCTTCCAGCTGCAGCACGCATGATTTTAGCTGCAAAGCACCCGATAGGTTTGTGACATTAGAATCTGCCAATATTTGTAGTCTTGCATGGGAACTAAACCTAGTTCTGGATCCGAGTTGAAGCTTTGGGACGACAGGCCAGGGCTAGAATTTTACGCCTCGTAAGACACAAGTGTAGATCTACTTGGAGCGGGGAAAAACCCCTAGCAACCTTGCTCATTACGTCTGCCCTGTTTGACTGCCCGTCAGCTGGCATGCCGGGTAGGATTCCGTACATGAAGCTGAACCCGAATCCCACCAATACTGGGGTTCAACCAGCGTCTTCATTTCTTATACCAAGGCGCTTCGTCCGCATATATTTGCAGATTTTTTCGTATCGACATTTTACTGTTATTTTTAGACCCATAGCTTCCTGCTTCTGCGACCTGTCTGGTACGACCTGTTGTGCCTAGTACTTCGCAGTTTAGCAAGGTCAATCACTGCGGCTTTTTATCGTCAAACATTTTGGATTAGTTTCTATGCGGCCTACTTCCGGAATTCCAGTGCATTAGGTACCGCAACTGTGTGCATACTCGACGGTATAGGGTGTCACTTCGTCCGTCAAGATCGGCAGCTCCCGATTGAGCAGAACAGGACCACCTCTGAATACTGAATAGTGACATTCTTGCATCTGTGCCCGTTGATCATGGCATCTACAAACGAAACCTCACGCACCACTGATGCTGGGGGCTCCCCCAAGTCGGTCAAGTCTCACAAATCTAATGCCTCGGCCCGCTCCCAACGGGGACCTGCATCAGAGCACGAACTATCTGCTGCAGGAGAAGCAGAAGGGGGACATCCCCAGGTGGAAGCTGACGTATGACTTTCTTCTTTCGCCTGACATGGTGGTATGTCAATAGGCTGACTAGCCTCGTTCTGCAGCCCGATGTTGGCAGCGATACAGCCTCGAATTATTCCAGTGATGTGTCAGACACGGCAAGCGCTACATCATCGATATATGCTTATGAATATGAAAACGGACGTCGTTACCACGCGTACCGTGCAGGGCAATATCTCCTACCGAATGATGAGACAGAGCAAGAACGTCTTGACATGACCCATCATGTGTTTTTGTTAACTCTGAAGGGGGAGCTGTGTGCGACGCATCTGGATAATCCTCAGACGATACTGGATATTGGAACAGGAACCGGAATTTGGGTACAGAATTGTTCCCATCACTTAGCACGATCCCTTGATGAGTTCTGACGTAAATTTTTAAGGCCATTGAAATTGGAGACCTGTTCCCGACAGCTGAGGTTATTGGTACCGATTTGAGTCCTATCCAACCTACATGGTACGTCTAGTTTCTCATGCACCTTATAACCCAGCATAGACCGACTGCTCAATCTCATGACAGGGTTCCGCCAAATGTCCGTTTCGAGATCGACGACGCCACATTGGATTGGACCTTTCCGAAAAACCATTTCGACTTCATCCACGGCCGTACCCTTGCTGGTGCCGTGAAAGATTGGCCAGCACTTCTAAAGCAATGTTATCAGCACTGCAAGCCCGGCGGTAAGGTTGAGATATCAGAGGGCAGAGCAAACTTCTTTTGCGACGATGACACGCTGAAGGAGGACACGGCGACGTGGAAATGGCTCAGTGAGTTCAGAAGATTGAGCGCTCCGTTGGGATTCGATATTGTACCAGCCCTTCCCGAGATGCTCACGGCTGAGGGGTTTGAGCGAGTCAATCTGATACAAAAGGTTGTGCCGATGGGAACTTGGCCGAAAGGCCGAGAACTGAAAGAGATTGGGCGATGGTTCAGAGTGCAGTTCCTGGAGATGGCACTGGAAGCTTACACTTTAGCCTTGTTTACTCGAGCCGGGAACTGGAAGAACGAAGACGTACAGGTGCTCTTAGCTTTGGTGAGGCAAGAGCTGAAATCTGACAAGATTCACCTGTACACCTACACGTATGTTTTATGTTCATGTCTACTTACCTTTCCGCACTGAAGCTGACAAAATATTAGGGCGTTTGTTACCGGAAGAAAACCATTAGATGCTGTGTGAACAATTCAAGAAAGTAACTAGTATCAAAAACAGCAATGATTTTTTTAAGCGAGGCTTCATTTCGCAGAATCGATAGTTTCAAACACTTCAGCTTTTTTCAATAAACAATTGAATCAGCAGACAATTGCAAGACTCTATGTCAAGCATGTCTTGATTTGGCTCTCTGCATAGTCTCGTACAACATAGAAAAAGTATGGTGTGGTAATTGGGTATCAGTCAACAAACTTGGGAAGAAAATAAAAAGGCTGGGCATGTCGCAAATCTTGTCCTAGTTGCTTTCTTTTTGCAACTTCAGCTCTTCGAAGGAACCAGAACACACTTTCCCTTAAGTATCGTAGGACAACCTTCTCTCCTTTCAACAACATACCCGGAAGGTTTTTTACCCATAATAGAGTTTTGCGTCATGTCTGAGTTAGACTTGCTGGGGGGAGCAAATAGGCCTTCAAAGGCAGCTATCAGGATCACCCATTCCAGGTCCATCGGGACTCGTTCCATCCATATTGCTGCGGCCTCTCAACTCGACGAGGACCATTCATTGACGGACGCTTAAGAGGTTGCGCAGTCCGCAATTTTGGATTACTATGAGGCCGTTGCGTCCGAGTTGGTCCGTTGAATTTTAGGTTCCATGGAGGGTGTTGGTTGATTTTATAGCCTGGCGGGGCTGGTTGAGGCGGTGGTGGTGGTGGTTGGGAGTACCTCGCCGAAGACCGACGGCTAGGGGGTCTAACGGGAGGTCTAAAGAAGGGTCTCGGTGGTGATTTGATAGGGGATGCCGTGTATTGACTTGTTGTTGTCGAATCGTCATAGTCGTACATGTCGTAATAGTACCGTCGTCTCTCATTGTTCACCATCATGCAGTACCAGGCGATGAGGCCGATGGCTACAAAGGCAACGACTCCGCCCAGAATTGCGCCAATCTGAACGCTTGATAATGAGCCGCTACCCCTACTTGGAGGCGGGGCAGCGACCGCTGGTGTCACCGCCGGTGGTGGTTCCGGAGTGTCATTGCCGGGAATCGGAGTGGGTTCCCCAGGGCCTAGTGTAACGTATGTAACGAACGTGGTGGTGGGACGTCGAATAGTTTGTGTAATTACATGAACTCCCGAATCATCCTGTCGGGCAGAAAGATCGAGGAGGCCGCCACTGGGCTGCAGCGAAACCGGAGGAAGAAAAATATGCATGCTGACGAGACTGGTCGCATCGGGCTGTGTACGACTTCTGCCCTCTTTGCAAATCCAGGAACCGAAAAGAAAAGCCAAAGATATCCGATGAAAAGCTGAAGTAAGACTTGATGACATGAATGAGAAACCTTTCTAGAAGCCCCAAAAAGAAAAGTGCAAAACGGCTTACTCTTATTGAAACAAGGATTGAAGCAGGCTGTGGCCAAGAGACCGACATGTGTGCCAATCTTACAACTCCTACTTCGCCTGCCTCTTGAATGCCAAGGAACAACCAACACATACTCTATCAACGAGCATAAGGCAAAAAAATAAATGCAGGCCTCCCCATGAGCGTGCTCCTCAAGTGCTGTTGCAACGCGACACCCCCTCAACCCTCGAATCGCACTCGATCACAGACTGTTCAAGAACGCGACTAACCTTGTTATGACACCAATCTCCCCTTCTAACCGAAGTACTATGTCGTGCGGCTGCGCCTGACCCATCCGAAGAGCTGCAAGGCAGGCTGCAAACCATTCGTGTTGGCCAACGGGAGACCGACAGCGTGGTGTCATAAGCCTGCAGGTGTGCCCACATGATGTCCTGTTAGTTGTCCTGTTGCGATAAAAACTGGAATCTGATTGATGATGACCAGATCCACCAATGGGACGGTTTGGTCGGGCTGAGGTGCATTGCATTGGGAGGCAACCGGACCAATATGGTGGTGTTTCAAACAGCCACCAGCAAGTACCGCGCAGTAAGGCATCGTAAACACATCCGCACCCGTACGGGGCGCGGCCCGCCTTGATGGTTCCGTGGATGTGAGCTCCATGTCTGATTGCTCGTCTTATTCACCAAGGGTGAGACATACGTATATCAAGCACAACAACTTCTTAGTTGGCAGTCTTCTTTCGCATGTGCGAACATGGCCCCCAACGTAACCTCAGACCGACAACACAGAGAGACCAGGATACTCCCATGTAGGAAGTCATGGAATCTATCACTGGCCTGCCTTAATTACAGAACTGGCCTTCGTGGCATCCGACAGAATTTTGGTCTTTTGAAGAAGTCAATTTGCTACCTTAACGGGCGACGCGATGCCGGCCTCATCGCTACTATTTCCAGGTGTCGTCACGTCCTTGATCGTGCTCGATCGATCCTTTGCACCCGCGAACCCAAATCGTCATTATCCCTCTAACCCCCAAAGAACGCCCGCCTGATATTATGATGCCCCCAAAGAAGAATAAGTGCCTGAACGAAATTACAGCATGCCGTGTATATTGTGCCGGGAAGCGGCGTTGCGCGGCGCGGAGCGACCAGAAAGTCCGCGAAGGAAAATGACCAAAGACTAACAAGAATTGCGTTCGATCATTGGGGCCAGGCGAGCGAACTCCAAGCTTCTCTGACAGAGTATCATTGGTAGCATCTGGAATTGCCGGGTTAGTCTAATGTCCGTTGCGTTGTCTCATGGCTGCGGTAAGGTGAAGTCGACAACTTACTTGTACTTCAATGTTTGTTTTTAGAAACATTATGCAACGACTTTTTTCAGCGCAAAATTAAAAGAGTGAAAGGCACTTCGACTAGGCCTTTGCCTTGCCAGTTGACTTTCCGACAGCACCCGGCTCAACGATCATACCGACACCGGCACCACCCTCACCGTTGCCGAGTTGCACCTTGGGACCCTTCGTAAGAGCGGCCTCAGCGAAGGTGAGGGCACGGTCAAAACCGCCGAGCTGTCGCTTTTCCACCTTGGTATCGCGGCCGGCAATAATGCCCTGAGGACCTCCGACACCAGCGGCGGCGGCGGCAGCGGCTGCTGCTCCCTCACCGCCAGCGGCGCCACCCTCCTTGCCACCTCCCTTACCCTTTCCGCCACCCTCACCAGCGCCGCCTCCGGCACCACCTTCTGCGCCACCTGAGAACGTGAGCGCACCATCACCGACTACCAAGGCAGGCGAGTAGGCACCCAGGTTGATGTTCAAGGGTGCGGGGGCGGCGTTGACACCCATGGCGATGAGGGCCAGGGTCATGAAGGCGTTGGTGATCTGCATGGTTTCCGAGGGGGGACTAGACAGAAGGGGGCAAATATGTTGTCGGCGCAGCCGTTGGGAGTATCAAATTCTCCGGGGATGGATTATTAGGCTATGTGGAAAGAAAGGCGGTCCGTCAAGGAGTCGAAGAAGCGAACAGCACAGCTGAAGTAGAGAAACAAGACAAGAACCCAGGAAAGTCACACGAACGAACGAGTGAAAAAAGAAGGCGGGAGGGAGAGCGTAATGAATGAAATCTCCACCGCGCGCCAAGAGGTTCAAATACTGGACTCCATAGGAGTCGAGTTCAAGGAACCTCTCCCAAGGGAATGTGGAGGATGACAACAGAGAACGAAGAGTGCCCTGCTCATTCAGAACTGCGACGCCGTCATGCGTATCAAGATGGTCGGTGCCAAGACTAAGCGGCTCTGTCAAAAATAGAAGCCCTCCTCCGCAGGTCTTCTGGCTAGAAGAGATGATAGGCCCTTGGGCGTCATAGCTTTTCGTGCCCGACACTCGCAAATGCCTCGGGCAATAGGGTGCACAAACATCTCAGTGTACCAGGGAGCCATGTGGTTTCTGGTTCTAGTCAGTGGTGTCTGCTGGTTGCAACGGAGAAGTGTGTCCGAGCGTAGGTGAAACGACCCAAGTCCCAAGAATGAGGACGACGGGGCTGCTCGAAACCATACGAAGGCTTGGCAGCCAGTCTCCATACACTATTATCTTGCGGAGGTATAATCTTTTTCACCTCGCTACATGCAAAATTTGCCGTTCCAGCCTCGGGTTTCTAGTTGGTGGTAAAGATAGCTGAAGCCAACGTTTTACAATATGGGCACGCAAGTCCTTCTAGGGGCGAGATCTGCGATTGTGTCACGTACTAAGGGCGGCAAGACTGTTTTAGCCACTGAAAGCGCGAAGGAAGTCGTCTCTGTTAATGGTATTATGAAGAGAGATTGTGGTCATGAGGCCTGGCCAAGCTTTTCATCAAAGGCATAATAAGCGTTTCCCAAGAAATGATCTGGCACATCGATCGGGATACCAAGACTGACCAAGACTGCTCCCGTTCTTTTCCAAGAGATCTATCATTGCTACTTCCCAGGGTCGACTCGCCTTTTTCTGTGAGTCAGCGTAACATACGAGGATATGCTTCCCCATGGCCAAGAGATGTTTCCCCCACATAAGTTGCCCGGGGGCCGATTGGCCCAGGTGAAGTTTCCTCGCCCCCTTACGGAACACTACTCACACACCATCACGGGCCGAAAAAGTCAGCGAGTAAGTTTAAGCCAGGATGTATAAACCGAGAAAGAAAATGACATTGGCGATCCGGCAGACAGCTCGGGACAGATGCCGTGAAGGTTCGGCTGCTGAAGAAGGATAATTCGAAGAGGGATGATAACCGTCAACACGACAAGTTGACGTGACAGTTTTTGCCATGTAACGAGTGACTGCTAATGGAAGAAAACGGCGCGGCGCCCCCTTGTCTGTGCAACTGATCTAGGCCAGGGTCGCGTCCCAATTCTCTCTTCTCGTAGCCGAACGAATAACGGCAGAAACACATCTGACGTGTGCCCCGAGCTTCACTAGCTGAAACCCCCTAGGCTATTTTCTTCACCTGCAGCTTCTGAGGCCTTCCAAGATTGCAGTTGAATCACTTCGATTAATCACTTTGCAACATTGCTGTTTTGGGGAAGTGCCGTGCCTAACTCCCATGCGATTATACGACATAGCCTCGTCCGCCTGGCCACGCCCTGTAACGACATGAGCGCGGTGCATCAAAGGGAGAGCAGTCCTCTCTGTATAGGGATGGCAAGAGTGTTTGAAAAATATAGTAGCGTAGTTTTCGATTACTAGAACTATAATTAGTTAGTCAAAGCTTACGAGTGTTGCTTTGTCCACTTCCTGGTTAGTCATCCATTATTGAGTCCCTTGTACTGCGCTCACTTTTGAACGCTTATTCCATGAACAAGCCTAGTCTCAAACCAGTAGAACGAGCTTTGGCGAGATATTGATCCATTGCATGTGTGTTGATTTAATAACCCAGAGTCTTAACCCACATAACCTCCGGCTGTCAACCTAAGAATCAACATTATTTGATGGGCCTTGACGGCTGTCATGAAGCTAACGTTTCACGTCATCCCTTCAAAGACGAGTGCAAAAAATAGCTACAATGAGTTTTATGACTGCCTTGGGGTCATTGATCTTCTTTTTGATGCTGTTGCGTTCGAAATCGGTGACCGTTTTAAGATGAATGGAAGACTCCATGCACGGATACGGGTATATGTGAGCCCTGTCATGTATGAGACACTTTGGTAACGTGGGGAGGGCCATTAGGTTGATAGCCAAACCGGCTCCCACATCGCCTTGGCAGTGAAACCAGATTAACCCTTTCATGAAAACATCTTATTCATCAGAACACTTAGCATATGTCCTGATTTATACCCACGATATTTTTTCGCCTTGGCTATGTGGTCTTGCATGAACGTTATGTATATACAAGACTTACAACTTTACATTTTCGGACTATCAATTTGTTGGTAATAAAGTTTCGGTCATCATGAGCTCGCTTAACGTCCATAAAATCTGTTAAACAGCCGAGGGACGTAGGCGTCGAGACTCTCTTAGGGTGCTATCTTCGCAAGGCAGACGCGAGTGGGAAGACGAAGAGAGAGTACAATGAGCAAGGCCGTCTACTAATACATGAAATCACATGAAATTTTGCTGAACGAGTTGGCATCAGGGTGTTGCTCCGGGCCTGGGCTTCAAAAATATGATCTTATCAAACTCATTTTTTTCTTGGTTTATTTTAATTTTATCTGTGATGAAGACACCAGAGCATACAAATAAATGAGAAAAGAAAATGAACTAGATGTTGTCTCTCAACAAGGTCGATTGCTGTTGAGATTGCTGACGACCACACATGCCTTACAAAGCATCCCGCTTGCGATCCTTCATCTCAGCCACAGCACGCTGGTCTGAAGCAAACTGCTGAGGATACAAGTTGGCGTACTTCTGATAGATTTTGGGGTCACGAACAGTTTCGGCCAAAACATCCAGGAGCCGTTGCAACTCCGGGACCTGAATGTAGTCACTAAAGTCGCCGGCTTCCTGCTTTGCCTGGTCCACCGTCGGGTTCCATTTAGCTCTGGACTTGGTATCGTTCAAGATGAGCCCTACCAGTCTCTGGCTGGTTCTTTCGATACGCTTGATGCGGCAAATTTTGCAGCAGCTCGGATCGGAGCCACCTTCAGGCATCGTGCGCGGCAAGTATCTCATTTCTTCCATGTTCTTTGGCATCGGGAATCCGATTCGGCCTGGTGCCTGGCAGCTCTCGCCGCAATGGGGATACTTGCCCAGCCGCTCCTTGCACATGGGACACTTCGGCTTGCGGCCATGCGGATTGTCACGACTTCCATCAATGTTGGCACAAATTCGGATAGTGCATTCCATACATAGCATATGGCCGCAGTGAAGAATTTTCGCCTGGTTTCTGTTGTTGCTCGCCACGGCCCTCATCGATGTGGCACAGACAGGGCAAATGACTGTGAAGTTGTTGAGAGCGGCGTCAGAAGTGAGGTTCCGACGCAACTCTGGCCAGTATACATTGCCTTCCGGTCCGGCATTCGTCGTCATGGCAGAAACAACAGTACCGGACCCCCGTTGGGTTGTCCCGCCTGGTCTAGCTGAACTGAATTCCCGCTGGTGCTGCGAGGTCGAAGTTAGCCCAGAACCTCGGGCAGTTCCACTAGACCCATGTGACCTATGCTCCGAGTACTCATTGCCAGAGGCAGCTGGGGCGTTTGATGGATACAACATGCCAGGCATTGCTGGACTGTGCCCTCGATTAGTCCCAGTTCCTTCCCATGGCTCGCCGACCTCAGATATAGAGTCCCCTGGCTCCACCCCTTGGAGATAGTTAGAACGGTCTCCTCGAGGCCGTGCGTGCGCACTTTGGCCGTACGCGTGGTTATGGGACGAAGAGTTGCGTTGGAGGTTCATGGCAGCAAAATCCGAGGTAACCCCAGCTTCTCTGTCGTCGTCAAGCCAGGTAATATTAGAATCATCGCCATCAGAGGGGGGAGCCCGAGAAGTGTTTTGGTGCGCAGCGTTAATTGCATTGAGTCCAGCGCTGAACACAGCGCTTGACATGCCAGAGCTGGATTGAGAAGAACCAGTACGTTGCGTGGAGCCCCGTGCAGCAAGTCTCGCCCTCTCTTCCTCGTAATGTCTGTTCGCCATCTTGAGTGAGTAGTTTAATAATGGGAATGACGTCTGACAGTCAAATGAGTTGAGTTGTGCTGGTGATACTGTGTGAACCTGAAAGTGCTTTATGATATGCCTACGAATGTTCAGTTGATAGTTTCAGTGCCAACAGCACTGCTTTAGTATTCCTCCGAGGTCGAGAAGGACCATCTTTGTTCTAGATGCTCCTTTCATTTCGCTCCCTAGGTGGTTCTGTGCGCCCATCTTCTTTATGGTGAACCGAGTCGAACCTCGTGTTACGCTAGCCTACCATATTCCATTGAATGCCATTGTCGTCGATATCTATTGTGTCTGCCACGGACAAATGGGCAGCTTGTGCACCAGAGCTCCATTCAATGTTGCGTTGTATTTGGGCTCCCCTTACTCATCTCTTTCGTTTTACCTCCCTCCGTAAAGATTCAATGGTCTTGATTTGCCTCATTTTCGATCTTAAAAACTCTTCCCTCACGTCGCTTCACTTACTTCGATGTTCAAAGAAATTTGCGCGGTAGTGTTTGTGACTTGTGGATTAAGACGATCCATTGTGATGCTATTTTTTCGGGGCAGTCTCCAGTTTGCCAAGGGTTGGGGCGATAGACAGCGGGTCTTCTTTTCACTGACTTGTAAGGGTTGGGGGACACAGCCTTGAGTAATGAACATTTTTCGAACTTTTCTCTTGTTAAAGGCAGATCATTCCATGCTGAGGCATAGAAAAAACCAGTAATAATTCGAATACTGCGGGATTTGGTCAGATGGTCAAGGAAATAGAATTCTTGGTTCTCAATGAGAGCTACGCGTAAGCTCAGGATTCTCGTCTAAGGTGTATGCAGGGCAGCTTGCTTTGGGTTTTCTTGTACAACCCTCCACGGCACAGAAAACCCCCCATAGTGGAACCTGCCGAGCCGTTGGCGCAGTGGGTTCCAGGCGGGAATTATGTTATAAAAACCAGGAGTTCAGGACAGTTGCCGTCATCGACGACTGCTTTTGGTTCAGCCCTACAGCGACAAGCAATTGACTGACGTCAGTACATAGTTCCGATGAGCCGGTGCCATCCTTGGGCTACACTTTGTCATCCTCTTGGCTCATCGCCGGATTTCGCCTGGCAACGCGTCACCTAAAAAGAATGCAAGCTACTATGAATGGGAGGGGCCATTTAAGTAATACAATTCACCTGTGCCTGTCAATCAGCTCACTCCCTGCATCCTTCTTGATAAACACTAAACAGCTCTCGTTCAATTGGATTGTTCTGAATACACAATCCCTAACCACCTTTCCCTACTGGTACTTTACTCGATAACATACTAGGCTAAGGCACTCGACATGCAGAAAGTTCAGAAATACCCCGGCCCGAACGCGCCAATTGTGCGCATGATTGTACTGGAGACAGACACCCCTCACCCGGAAACCCAATCAACCAAGGGCAGCTTCGGAGAGATTTTACACAGCCATTTCCAGAATGCCGGAGCCGATCATGACCCCCCACTGGGTGTTGACACCGATCAGAGATTCGTTGTAGAGGAGAAAGGAGGCAAGGTGCCTGCATTCGAGGAGTTTGATGACTACCAAGGAGTTCTACTTACGGGAAGCATGTACGATGCTCATGGGGACAACCCGTGGATTTTGAAGCTGTTGGATGTACTCAAAGGTTGGAAACACTCAACCTTTAACTCGGCCGAGAAATGTGACTAACAAAATCTCCAGAACTGTGGCAGCGCCGGCCTGACCTGCATTTCAGCGGAGTATGCTTTGGCCACCAACTACTGAACCGGATGCTCGGCGCCGAGGTTGCTCCATCTCCATCTCAAGATTGGGAACTAGGTCATTCACGGATTGAGCTCTCACATGTCGGCAAGCTTCTCTTCCAAACAGACGACGACCACGTACACCTCCATCAAATGCACCAAGACCACGTCGTGGCACCGCCAGCTCCTGAAACGTCGAATGGATTACTGCCGCCCGGCACAAAAGTCGACGTATGGGGTCACAGCAGCCACACCAAGGTGCAGGGGGTTTACATCAAGGGTCGCCTGTTCACGACACAAGCCCATTTGGCCTTTGACGAAGACATGGTGAAGAGACAGATTCAGATGAGAATCGACAGCGGAGGTATTCAGGACTTGGAGCACGCTGACCAAGCGGCTGAGACGGCAGATTTGGAGCATGATGGTGATTTGGTTGCTGCTGCCATCTTAAGGTTCTTCCACGGTGATGACGACGATATTGAATAGATTTTGTACATGTATTTGGCTATTGTTGTAGTCAACGGTCTCTGTTGAACGGAGAGAGAGGGTATATTAGCATAATCCCCCAGTATTACAGGAAATGTAATTACCAAAAATCATGGAGAACCGCGATTGCCCAATGGATACTTTGATAATAATCTTGAAGATTGAGGAAGAGTACGGCCAGCAATACGCGATAACACAATATTCTACACTTATACCAACGGTTCGTTACATCTGAAGCCTCCAGCTTCATGAGACTACAATCATCATCATACAGATGGCATCCATGTGATGGTACAAGCCCCAGCAATGACGGTGGTTTCTATAGCCAATCCTATCCTGACCCAGAAGCCTCGATCTACCATCCTGATATTCAAGTCCCAGGTTTTCCGACCCTGGATTTCCGTCTCTCGTAGACTTAGCTTCAACTCGCGGCTGTAGTTTGCCATGCGTATGTACTTTTCGTAGTAAGGAACTTGGGGAGGCTTCATAGTTCGGAGAGCGGTTGTGATGGCACCTGATTCGCCTTGCAATTTTGACGGCTGCAGCCTAACAGCATCAAACCTTAGATTCTTGTCGAGCACCCAGAAAGTCACAAGAACAATATCGCCCTCTGACCTTCCCTTCAACAGCAATGACCATCGATGGTGGCGCTTCAGCTGCAGAAATAAGGCTGAGTTGAGAGCTTGGCCTTCCTGATACTCATGCTGATAGCTGTAACACCGCAACGGTCCGCCTTCCTCCTCGGCGGTAAATATCCCAGCCAAATAGTACCCGTAAGCCATGGTGTTTCGACGCGGTGAAAGTGCTGTGGCCTCAACATGCAAGGTTTCCGCGTTGCTTTTCTCCGGTGGCCGGGCACCCCATGGCTTGTCGTAATATCCAATCTTGAGTTCTGGTGTCGCGCGGATACCACACAGAGCCATGTTCCTGCCGCCTGGTATGGGCATGTCCGCCAGTTCGGATGGACGAGCGCGAGCATATCGGTTACCATCCTGAAGTTGCAAGTACAGCCCGACCACTCTTTGAGGATCGCCGCCAATGCTGCAGTTTAAGGGGAGGATGAGAGACGGAGCATGCCTACGAAAGAGTAGAATATCAAGGATGCTTCGGCGGCCGATTGCTTTTGTCTTGGAGACAAAGTGAATACCTCGCTTGGACACGTCCACTGGGCTACGCGGCCATATTTGCACAATGTTGTCGCTTCTAGGGCTTAAGTCGCCGCGAAAGTCGTGGTATGACCAGTCTCGAAAGTTGGCGAATTCGTCCGGAGATTGCGCAAGAAGGCCGCGAAGCTGCTCGTCATCTTCAGATTGAGGGTTTGCCCTCCATGCAAACAATGTGTGATCATCAGATTGTCTCAAGATCTTCTCCTGCAGACGGAGAAATGCTTTGGATCCCTCACCATATAGAAGAGGCATGTTAACATCGAATATTCCAAGGAGTGAATATGCGACGTCTTCATCTCGGGTCGTCTTCCTACCTGCTGCCCAACTCATGCGACGACCCAGGCTCACCCGCTGTGGTGAGCCGCCTTTAAGAACAAACTCATCAATTCCCGTAATTCCTTCCAAGTGTTGTACAATATCTTTTTTCTGGGCCAGCTTCTTCCAGCCGGCGTTGTAGAACTCGACATGCCTCGGGGCAATAAGCTCTTGTAGCGTCCATCCACGACTAAACCACCGACTAGTCGCGAAAGGTGACGAGGATATACCCTTGTCTACCAGTCGATTATCAAAAACATCTTCAAGGTGTGCATAACACACTTCGGACTGCTGATACCATCGATACATGGAGTTGATAGCTTCACCCAACTCCGCACTGCTGGTCTTATCGATGCAGCATGAGTCTACCCATGCATATTGAAGCCCATCGCGCATAGCCTGCATGCATGTGGCTTCTATCTTGCGAAAAGCCGGTCTTGACTGTAATGAAAAACTCCCTCTTTGCAATTCTTGAAGCGTGACTTCATTGGAACCCCACGTGTGAGATAGTATGGCGTATTGAGGTATATGGCCGATGAACTCCTTGAGCTGCATAGTCGGTGTATGGATGAGGCGCATCATCTTGAAATAAATGAAAGGCCGATCATACTTTCAGACTTGCTAGAACTCCTGGCTTCGGAAACGATGGCCAAGGCATTGCCGTATTGTGCTGAGGTGGTCTGTCGATGCGAGAGTTCCGCTTACCTCGTCCCTGGTGCGCTTATGCATACATCTGGAAAACCGGGCAGTGAGTGAGTGAGTGAGTAGTTTATCAGCTGGACCCATTACATGACAGGCTAGCCGCATACGGGCCCATAGGCGAACCAATCAATTCTTCCAGCTTGGCACGCAATCAATCAATGATGATAGATACTGTTGGCTACGTATTTCAAGATCAAGCGTTGCCTAGCTGCTAAGTAGAGACCTATTTCTGCAAAGGCGATAGGAAACAGGAGTATGAACCCCCAGTAGCAGATGTGCATTCTATTCATACTATTCATTGTTCGCTACTAGTATGTCTTGGCTTTTCTCAGGTATCTCCAGCAACCCATGATTGAGACATTGTAAGCTCACTAGTTCTGTCACAGACCTTATAATTTCAGTTAACACTCCGAAAAACCCACTGTCCCCAAATATTGTAGTTCCTTAGCTGAGAGCTGCCGATATCGAATGGCTACTCGTAAAAGCCGTATCTAGTACGTAGTTACATGCACACAAAGAAACCAAAGCACATCTGATTCACCCATCGTGGCGTTTCTGTATTATTCCACGATTTTTGATCTTTACCTACAATACCTGACTCAAACCTAAGCTTTGAAGAAAAGGGGGTGCGTTGCGAAGATCCTCATTCCGTCTAAATATCCATGTATGGGGCCGTGGAGTAACGCTGACATCTTAAGAGAGTCATTCAATAAATTAACAGGCGAAGAAAAAGAGGACAACAAAACTATTGTCCGTGCCTCCCGTCAAGCCGTATGCTTAAGAAGATGGGTAGGAGGAGACAGCCAAGCGCGAGATTGTAGCGGTATCCAAATGAGTTACTAGTCCACCAGCTGAAACCTTCGCAGACTGATATCGATCAGTGGCATCACAGCTTTCTAGGGTGTCAATCTTGAATTATTTCCCCACCATGTTTCGTTGTTCCAATCCTCCATCGCCGGAATATCCCAGGTGATAAAGCAATCTTCTCTAAAAGGCCAGGTTTAATGACTCCAACATATATCAAAAACAGGTATCATGTTGGGCAACGAATTGCCAAACGCAGAGTAGCAGAACGGGTAAGAATACCCACAACCATAACAAGACACAGATGCTTCTTGTGATAAATCGACGATATATCGTGGAATAAGTAAATCGGAGTCTTGCTGTAGCTAGTGGACTGACGATGTTGCGTTGTTGGTACACTGTTCAGGCCACCGTAGACCGGGCTTAATAGCAACCAGTTTCTATTGACAAGACGGCTTTCACTAAGCTCAAATGTCTCTCACAGAATCTTTATACACTCCTAATAAAAAGGCCTTTCGAAGCCTTGCAGAAGAAAGAAATACTCCATAGCTAGAAGATAAAAACACTCCAGTTGTACATAGTAGGTCAAGATGGTAATGTCAGTGTCGAATTCAACCATTCGCCCTCAGGCACTCCCTTTACATAAGGTAGTATGAAGTTTCTGTGGTGCGTTTGCTATTGTTACTCTGATTGATTGATTGATGCAATGCCCCTGCTAGAGAACCTCAAAGATTACGCTAGAGCTGATTTGTCCCTTAATCGTTTGATTGTACCCCTTAAATGGGGATTCTTCTCAAGGTAGTCTTCGAGTCTTTGTAGTGCCTTCTGATTCTCTTTGCTAGCCTCGTTGTAGGAAGGATCCCTCTTCTGAGGGTTCGCGTGCTTGCAGTCAACAAATCGATGGCTTGAACCCGGGCACGCCGGGCATTTAGGCGCGAAGGAAGAATGACTGCGCTGGTTATTGCTAATGTTGTTCGAAACAGCATGTTCCTTTTCGTCTTCCCCGTAACATTGACCAAACCTGGAGGCTTTCGCTGGCGGTCCAGTGAGCCAATCTGGATTAAAAATTCGAACCCAGCGGCGAAAGTGATCTGCTTGTTTAATTCCAGCTGATTTGCACGCCAAATGATCCGCAGGCTCCTCTTCGTTTAGCGGTACAGAAGCGAATGAAGCAGGAATAGCGTAGCTTGGAGCGATCTGCCACACGGCCTTGATAAAGTCAACAACCTGAAATTCTGGGTTGCATAGGGTCGGATCTTCGATAGATTCTGCTTCATCAATGATTTCCTTGTAGACCAATAGCCATTCGCCAAGGTTTGTCCGCTTGATTGATCGCATATGCGCGTGGTAACGATCCAGTACTATTTTTTGCCTTCCAAAGTCTCTAGGTGCCACTTCTGATTGTAGGACTTTCAAAACATCTCGAACAGTCTCTGCCTTGTAGATCTGGCTGAAATATATGTCGGCAATTGTGCTAAGGATCCAGATGTGGACGTCTGCAAGAGCCTTCCGAATTCGATTGTATTTTTGGTCTTGAGCTTTGTATATAGCTTTTCTGTAAAGCATTGTGGTACTGTAAGACGCCTTCTCCTCGCCGCTTAGACCGGCGGGGTCTTCGAAGTTATGTGTCGGTTCAATGTTCATCTTGGTTCCATTCGGGTCGACGTATTCCCAAACTCCGTGTACATTTGCAATCATGCGAAGGCTGCTGAACCAGCGGTGCCAATCACTGTCTGACTGTAGCCGCGGCATGTATTTCGCAGTCCCCACAATGGAACTCATCGTTTCGCTTTATAGGACTGTTCTAGCACAGAGGCGCCGTGGCACTGGCTATAATGGCTGCGACGATGTTGATGAACTACTGGATTTGGTATGCGGTCAGTGGCTCCTGTGAGTGTAGAGATTCAAAGTGCGACGTTGGGAGAAGCAATTTCTCTATCACGCTCGTTATAGCGGCAGAAGATGGCAAGTTCAAGAGCGCGTCGATAGGTCCTTGGGTGTTTGGCTTAATTTGTAGCAGAATCTTGAAGGCCTGTACGTTTCAGCCTTTTGCTGAATAAGTCGGAGGTGATGACTCCTTCGGTTGATGGGATTTCCCTGTCTCCATGAGCTGGTAATTATATCAGGTGATTGCCGGACTTTTAGCCACTTGAGGAACTGTTCTATCCAGCCGGCCTATTGGAATTTATTGTTGCTGTAAAAGAGAGAAGCTGCCTGGATAAATGGAAGAGATTTCCCCAAGTGCATGATCGATGTTTCGGGGGTTTCATGGAACAATGACCCCGCTAGTTTTCAATGGAAGATAATTGCCAGATGTATGTGTTGATGTTAGATTGACGCCTGCGTCCGGATAAAATGCTAGGAAATCTAGCTTAGTTGCATTCTTGCAATATGCTGAAACCGGGAAGAACGGGTAGATACAAAACAGAACCCCGCTTCAACCGGAATGGGTAGAATCACTCAATCAACAACATGAATCACTCTTTGCTCAATGAACCCCAGGTGTATTGCATCAAACTAATATCGTTTATCTAACAGTTTAATGCGTGCCCCGATGTATGCATGCGATGGTCCGTATGAGGCACGGCCGAAAGACAGGCACCATCGACATACAGAGTAGGTAGCTGCTCGCCTTGGGAGAAAGAGACTTAGACATCGTTCGAAATGTTTCATGCAAGGGTCTTGTACATTGGCAAGTTGCAAGGCAACCGCCATTGTTTGACTGTACAACAAAGAAGTGGTGCTCTAGTCATTCCATTTGCGGATCATAGATATTCATTCGACTTATGCATCCGGCATCGGCTCCAGACCGACCTGCTAAGATGTATGATTGGTCAGAACATCAAAAAGAAAGTAAATATTTACTTGATCAAGCATAGGACGGGGAACTATCTGAGATAACTTCAGTCGTCGTCAAGCACGCTTGTTACTACAGCACGATCTCACCTGCACTAACAACCCCAACTTGGAGAATGATCAAGCTTTTTGTTAACCAGTCTTGCGCTAAACTTCCCTGACAACCTTCCCCACTAGCGGCACATGGTCTGCTAGAACGTTTTTGAGCAACTAATTGTGGCAGGACAAGCCACAGGCGATCAATATGATGGGTATCGTTGGCTGTGAAATGCAGAGTTTGTCCAACAGCCAATTTTTTTACTCCTGCTTACTTACAAAACCAAACGCCAGCCACGTCTTGGTTATGCTATTTGCGTTTTTGAGGCGGAGCTGACCACATATGAGGCTTTTGAAGCCAGCGTTCTAGACTTCATAGCCACTATTACTACCATTCTGATGACAATGAGAATTTCTCCGCCTCAAGCTACCTAAACAAAGAGTGAACGCTTGTCCAAGTGACGACAAATATGAATCTTATCATGGTTCTGAAAGTAAATAATGTTTCCATGTCCTCCTCCTAACTCTCGTTTCCAGCACTCGACTTAAATCACCAACTTCATTCATTCCTTACAATGACACCATTCCGTCTAAGCCTGCTCTCCCTGAGCTTGCACTCTCTTTTCATACCTTCCACCGCCGCTTTGCCCAGCCAACATATCCCACGCGCTATCGACTATACTGCATTGGGATGTTTCACAGATAATGTGAATGGAAGAAGGGTTCTTGGCGATAAGAATACCGCTGCCAACGATATTACTTTAGAGAAATGTGCTGCATCCTGTTCGCAGTATAAATACTTTGGTGTCGAATTCGGCCGCGAGTGCTACTGCGGCAACTCTCGCGATTCCGGCAGCACCGAGGCTAATGCTGCCGATTGCTGGTTCCCGTGTGCTGGTGACCCGACAGGCGTTGCGAAGTGTGGTGCAGCCGATCGCATCAATATTTACGTTAATACGAACTCAAATGCTCCGGCACCCGCTTCTTTAGACGGAATTACCTCGCTCGGTTGTTTCGCTGAAGGTACACAGCGAGTGCTCCCCGAAAAGACTGTCGCGGCCTCGGACATGACGGCGGCAAAGTGCGCAACAAACTGTGCCGGTTATAAATACTTTGGCACACAATGGTCCTCAGAGTGTTACTGCGGTAACACGGCTCCAGCTATTACTGTACCTACATCAGAATGTAATATGGTGTGCGCTGGTAACAGTTCCGAGCTATGCGGTGGAAGCTTGAGGTTGAATGTTTACGAGCTCCCGCAGTCTTCTCAGGCATCACCGCTGAGTGTGCCTGTGATCCCGTCAGTCTCAGGTTTCGATTACAAGGGATGTTATACAGATAACGTTCCGTACCGCGTGTTGAGCGGTAAAGTCATCAAAGACCCCGCTATGACGCTTGAAATGTGCGCAGCCGCCTGTAAGAACTCAGGCTATAGCTGGTTTGGTGTTGAATTCTCGACCGAATGCTACTGTGGTATGGCCTTGGATAAGGCAAGCACCTCAACCGCCGCCGCCGAGTGCTCTATGGCGTGTAGCGGCAACAGCTCGCAGAGTTGCGGAGGCGCCAACCGGCTTAGCCTGTTCGCAAGACCGGATGTCGCCGATTCCAACAAGGCTAGCAACGGACTCATCAATGGGTTTCAGTACAGTTCCTGCTGGTCTGATAAAGTGGATGACAGGTCTCTCAAGGCTGTCGATTATCGCAACGACGACATGACGATCGAGAAGTGCGCAGCCAGGTGCCAGGGATTTTCATATTTCGGCCTTGAGTATTCCCGCGAATGTTATTGTGGAGATCAGCTGGGTGGACAAGCGGCGCCCGAAAGGGAGTGTGGTATGTTGTGTGTAGGCGCGCCAGACCAGTGGTGCGGTGGCCCAGATCGGTTAAACGTATACACACGAATGACTGCATCCGCGTCATCCTCGTCATCGGGGGGCATGTCTTCATCGACTACTAGCACTGTTGACCTCGTCTCCACTTCAGCAAGCAGTCAACTATCCGGCTCAGGCGCCCACTCTTCAACTTCAACCATTAGCACTTTGGACCTTAGCATCACCTCAGCAAGCAACCGAGTCTTCAACCCGGATGTTCCTCCATCAACTTCATTTAGTAGCACTATAGACGTGAGCAGTACTTTACGCAGTACCTCGCCAAGCAGTCAATTATCCAATTCGGACGCCAAATCCTCAGCTTCAAGCACTAGCAACCTGGGCCCCAGCAGCACCTCGGCAAGCAGCAAGTTTTTGAGCTTGGAAATCCCTTCTTCTACGCTAACCACAAGCACTATCGACTTGAGGAGTATTACATCAAGTATTCAGTCATCCAGCTCGGACTTGCCCTCCTCAACTTCGGCTACTAGCACTGTTAGCTTCAGTAGCAGCCCGACAAGCAGTCAGCTCACAAGTTCAGAGTTCCCTTCCTCAACTCTGATCGTGCCTACAACCACAACGTCCTCGGGTCTTGGACTGACAACCATCACCGAGTGTCCTTCAGCCCCCACGTACAACGGAACTCCAGATTTCTGTTACGTGACTGGAAACCTGCCTCAAGCTTGCGAAACCCTCACAAGCAGGTGGGTAGGATTATGGCAAGAATTGAGTGCGTCCGCGCAATACTGCAAATCAATTTTGACCAGCTGGGGTATGACGCCTGTTCCTCAAGCAACGTCTTGCTTTCCGACCTCCTACACCCCCCAAATTACCCGTGACACGGCCGCCTTGTCTGCTACCGCCAGTAGCATACTTAAATGCTTGAATGAACCAAGAAACTCGCTCCTTTGCCAGTTCGACTCGAATTGCAGGACATCTACGTACACAGTTGGGCAGGTGCCATCAGCGACACCCTCCATCGGAGTCAACTTGCTCAAGGACGGCGGATGGGAATCCGGTACCACGGCCGACTGGAATGTGTCCAAGGGCACTGCAACGACGGGCGACTACATCACTTTATCTGTTAACAGCGCAAGCGCCCGCTCCGGCAAATATGGCCTTAGCGTATCCTACAACAACATGAACAGCGCGACCATGGACTTTCGGCGTATACAAAAGGTAGTTCCCGGCAGAACCTACCAGTTGCAGGTCTATTATTGGCACACAAGCACAACCGCAAATTTCTTTCTGAATATTTACTTTTACCCCAACAAGGTCCAAACAGCTGCTCTTTCGCAAAATATGAAAAACACGGCGGTGAACCAATGGAATGTAGCGACCGTTACCTTTACCCCTACATCGTCCTGGGTCATGATATACATGATGCTTGGCTCAGGTTTGCAGTACCCTGCTGGGAATCCAGCTGGTACAGAGCTGGCTTACATCGATGATGTGTCTTTCACTCAAATCAACTAGACTATGTTCTTTTTATCAGGTTGGGTGGCGTTGCCAGATATATGGTCCGCGGAAGCATATGTTTTCTTGTATCGGAATGTAACTCCTAGCAGCTATACATAATATACTTTGAAGTTAATACTTCCATTCCACATGCTTCAGGATACACATGTCCACGCGTCTCGATGGATATGGGCAGTGTATATATCCAGATGGGAAATTTCAATTTCAATTTTGAGTTACCAATGCACTGAAATTGCTGCAAAATATACCGATGTATAATCTTCCAAACACGAATGGAGTTAATCCCGTTTTACATCTTTAACCCCCGTAATATCACACGCCTTGTTACTTACGTACGGAATAGCCTCCTTTCCAGCCAATCCAACCATTTTCACGAGGCCCCCTAACAAACGTCAGCACCAAGCAGCTCGCAAGCAAAGCCATACCGGCTATGCCGACCCTTGACCAGCCACCCTGGGCGTAAATGGCGTTGCCAGCGCTGGTGCCTATTAACTGTCCAATAAAAGCAGAAGTCATATACACAACGTTTACTCGATTTCTACTCTTCGGGACCGCCCTATATACCGCTGACCGATATGCTATACTGGTTGCGTCGACGCCAAAGTCTATGGCCAAGGCTTGAATAACAACTCCAGCGAGTGTGAAAGTACCCGTAAAGATGCCCACAGCCACGCCGCTCAACCCACAAGTTAGGGCAATGCTAACTGGAAGGTATGTAACAAAATGTTCAATGACCAGCGAGCTGTAGAGCGGGACGACCGCAACTGGAACGATGGCGACGAAAGAAAAAAGGCCAATCTTCATTGGAGAAAAGTCGTAAGGTGGCGCAGCAAGTAGCGCCGTGAGTGTTGTCCAAAACGAAGACATGGCAGCGTTCGATAGCATTGAGGTAAGACATCCGTATGCCAGAATTGGTTGTACGAAGATGAGACGCAGCATGCTCCAGAGCATCTGGGGGTAACTAAGGCCCTCGGCATCGTTCGGAGGATAATCCGGAAAGAAGAGCCAAAGCAGAACAAGTAGGAAGATTTGTAGTCCCAAAGCTAGCCAGAATATGTTTCGCCAGTTTGTGTACTCCGTTACAACTCCAGACAAGATCCGTGGGAGGACCTGCCCGAACATGAGGCCGGCGAAGACAATAGATATTGCCCTCACACGCCTCGCAGGAGGGGCGAGGGCGTCAGCCAGTGGAACCATGAGCTGCGGGGTGACAGCCGTGAAGCCAGTAAGAAAACTCAAAGCACAAAAGGCACTGAATGATGTCGTAACGCAGAGGCCGAGCCAGATAGTTGCTGAGACCAGGACCAGAGGAATGATGAGTGGCCTAGGACGCAAGAGATCCCCGAGGGGACATAGGAACAAGTTACCAGATCCATAGCCGGCTTGTAATAACGTTGGGATTAACGATGCTTTCTGGTAGGTGATTCCGAAATCACTGGCAATTTTGTTGAGAATTGGGTAAGCGTAGTAGAGATTCGCGACTGTAACCACGCTGGCGAAGCTGAATAGTAGATTTAGAGCCAAAGTGAAAGGAAACTCTCGGTCAGGATCGTAGCGGCAACGTGGCGGGGTCCAGCACAGAAACTTGAAAAGATTTTGGAACCATTCGAATTTCGGCTGTGTAGGTGGTCTGGCCGCTTGCGTTGCCTCGGTCTCTGGTTTTTCATTGGCATTGCGACTAGACATTCTGAACAACATCAAAACCACAAAAATAAAAGACAGATAAAAATTAAAGTCACGGACTGCTTCAGAGATACGTGATAAGTGAAGCTTCCATACTTAAATAACAAACGGTTAAGACTACTAATACTGAGTATCCGCTTGGCCAACACGCACCTTGCCGTCTGAAAAAAGCGGCCGAAACATTAAAATCCACCAGAGAAAAAGTCATTGTCTCTTCATCTACTAGCATAGGACCATCATTATCGGCACTGTTAACAGCTATCTTGCTTAAAAGATCCGCTCACCGGAGAAGACGGTGGTGGAAATGCTGACATGTTATCGGCAAGAGTTCGTTTCCCGCCATGTGGGGCTCTCGGCAACAGACCTTATGCCGAGAATTGTGGGACCGTGGCTGACGGGTGTCTTGGTTTAGATCGATAGCGGAGAGAACGTAAAAGTCGAGAATGCCTCCTCCTTTGAAACAAAATGTTCGACACTCGGCCAACTGCCTCACGCCGACTTTAACGGAGTTATTGGTCGCCGAAGAAGAAATCCTACTGATCACGCCAGAAGCCGAACGTCGTTGCTGCTGGGTCGTGGCCCGTTTTTTCTTTGGAGGTCGATGCAGTTCCACACACGTCTAATGCAGCTATTCATCTAGAGGCCTGATGCGATAACGACTGGTGCTACGAGATAAACAAATTGAAATTAGATATCAATAAACTAAAGAGGTACTGCGATATGGCCAGTCCCAGCCAGAGTTCCGAAGCACCAAGCGGGACTCCCCCGAACAGTCACATACTCAAGATCAAGTTTTCAGCGTGTGTACAACCGTCACCACCCGCATTGCTCAAATTCAAACTCGGCTAATACTGACATTTCATCTTTTACGCAAAAAGATGCCAGAGATGCCATTTTAGGAAGGTGAAGTGCTCTGGAGGACAACCATGTTCGAACTGCAGCAAGACAAACATGGCTTGTTCATACCCCACTCGAAACCGACGTATCAGAGTTCGTGAGAAGCATGTTTCTCCATTGACGATAATGAATACACACACTAATTGGATACAGTCACTTGAAGGAGATCTTGGATGAGAATCAACGGTTACAAGGGCGCGAAAAAAGCAAACTCAGCTTACGCCAGGTGTGGTGACCGACGTCAGGCACGGGCGGCATCAACTAGGAACAAAACGGCTTGTATTCTCTAAGTGAGCGAGCGGAGCGAAGGACGCTTAAGAATACGGTCGCTGGAGCGAGGTCACGTGACCTCGCGGCCGAGACGCGGCAGAGTGGGTCCGGAGGCCCGGAGCCAGCACGACACACCCCCCCAGACGGCGCGTAGTCGTCTGGAAAACCGCGCCTCGAGGCCATATCGCTACTATCGCCTAGATACAAGATTATGAGGCTATTCAGAGCCTCTTGTGAATATATATATAACAAAAGAGAGGTGTTGTTGTATTCGCCTCGGTCTTTGTGCTCGAAGTGATGTGAATATGGCGAAATTCGCCCTTGCGCGCCGCCTGGCGCAATAATCGCACTTTCCTTTATTCAACCGTCGTACTTGCCTCTTATTATTGCCAGTTGAATTTTCTGAAAATCCTGCCTTCTGATTGGCCCACAACGTGGGTTGCCCATCAGTTATTATTTCCTCTGCCCGTTGACTCTTCTGCAGCGGTTCCGGCCGTGGCCGAAGCGGCTGGTCTCCGTGCTGCCATTGACAGCCTTGTTGGAGGACACTTGCCGGCGGCTGTTCTCCCCGCGTACAACGTCCTGATGGACACGTACGCGGCCTCCCTCCGAGGTCGTTAAAAGAGCCCGCCCTACGGGGCGTAAGTACGCTTGCTTTTGCTCCTTTGGGAGCGTATCATGCTTCCTGGCCAGGGGCCAAGTCAAAATTTAACTTTCGGCCTCCGGGCCAGCATTGCTCGCGCGCACCTGTTTCTCTTCGCTTCTTGTGACTTGTGCCCGAATGTCTTGTAGGTTTAGAAGTGCCCTGAAGTGTTCGAACTTCGCTCGGGAGAGTGCTTTTGTGAGACCGTCTGCTGGCATCTCGTCGGTAGGCATATATACCACGTCGAACGTCTTCTTGGCATACTCTTGGCGTAGCCACATGTTCTGTATATCAACGTGGCGAAGGCGCGTTGAGATGCGTTCCTTGTCGCCTACTACCAGGCGAATCGTTTGGCGATTGTCACAATGGATCTTCCATACGTCTCCGAGGTCTAGTTCAATATCCCGAAATAAGCGTTTGAGAGCGATGGTCTCCTTAGCAGTGTTTTCGAGGCTAAGGAGTTCCGCTTCTGTAGTAGAAGTGGTAACGGTATTCTGTCTCGCGGCTTTCCACTGAATGGGACCGCCGAACAGTGAGATGATGTACCCTTGAGATGAACGCCGCGTCTCTTCGTCGTCTGCGAACGAGGCGTCGCCCGCAATTAGGAGAACTTGGGCACCTGCACCCCCCGAGCTACCGAAGCAGAGCGAAAGGTAGCGAGTGTGATAAAGATATCTAATGACTTGGTTCGCGGCCTTCTGATGTTCGAGAGACGGGTTCGTTAGGAACCTCGAGAGTATAGCGCAAGCGAAGGCGACGTCGGGGCGAATCATGATCGCAGTGTACAGAATTGAGCCGACCTTCTCTTGGTATTGCTTTACCTGGTCAGGGGTCGCTTCAGCGGTGTTCTTCTGGAGCGGGACGAATGGCAATGGTGTATGCGGCACGATCGAGTCGATAAGGTTGAATTTCTTCGCTACGCGTTCGATATATTGGTCGTGTGCGAGGTTAATTGTTCGCTTCTCACGGTCACGTATCACGCGAATGCCTAGATACCACTCGACAGGGCCTTGGTCCTTGAGTTCATACTCGGCTTTCACCCCGTTTATAACGTTTTGAGCAGCTTCGCGGTGGTCCCTATGGTATAAGACGAGGATATCGTCTACGTAGAAGAGTACCATCACTTTCTTGTCGTTTGAAGTGAAGAGACAGGGGTCTTCGCTTGCAGGCTTGAGTCCCAGGCGCCGCAGCGTTGATGAGAACTCCTTATACCAAAGGAGGGGAGCGTCTCGTAGCCCGTATAAGGCACGGCGGAGCTCGACGTACTTCCCGTTCTGTTTGAAGCCGTCTGGTAGGTAGCAGACGACAGGCGGGTCGTTCGGTCCTCTTGTTGCGTTTAGAAACGCATTGACTACGTCGAATTGGTCTACTTCAAGGTCGAATTCCGCCGCGAGCGCCATCGCTACTCTAAACGTCCTTGCTGCGAGGGTCGCTGCGTAGGTCTGTTCGAGAGGATGCTTCGCCTGGAGGTCGCCGCGGACGCAAATTCGTGCCTTGCAGCGGTCGAGGTAGCCGTCTTGATCAAGCTTGTAAGTGAACACCCACTTTAGAGGAATAGGTTTCGTAGACGCTTCGTGTTCGTCAATGATTTTCCAAGCGTCCATCTCCTCTAATTTACTTATCTCGGCTTGGGCCGCTTCGTAAAACAGGTTTCGGAGGTGGGTCGGCATTTTTTCAACACTTTTCCACGTTCGTGGGGGCTTTATAAGCTCATCTGTGTGTATTTTCACTCGCTGTGGAGTGACCGCTCTGGAGTGCTTCGCTTGGTGTATTGACGCGAAGACGAAGCAATGGAGCGTATAGTGGGCTTGGTTCGCTTCCTCCACAGCCTTCTGCTGATCAGGCATATAGGTATGGAAGAAAGTTTCCCAATTACGTTCCGTTTGTAGGAATGCGAAGTGTTGGGCGAAGCGAGGTGATCGTCTCGGTTTGCCCTGTTGTTGGCCGTAGTCCTTGCGGTTGTACACCCGCTTGGTCTTTATCTCGGGTTCGCGCCCGTTCCCATTATCCGAGTGTGGCCGCACCGGGTGAGTTGGGGAGTCACCCCCGAGATCATTACTCGAGTCGGCCTCCACGGCCGGTTCTCGTGGAGGTTCGTTGTTGGTCTTGACGTATATCACGTCTTCGACCGCCTCAGAGAGGGCTTCGTGCCCCGGGTCGGGAACGCCGGCGTCCATCGCTTCGGAGCTTTGTTGGCCGGTCGTTTGCCCGTCCGTCCCCTCCGGCGCTGCGGCCGGCTCAGGGGTCGGTTCCGGGGTGAGCAGGCCCTCTTCGCGTCGGCTGTTAACCGCGGAGCGTTTTACCGTTGTCTCTTCTGAGATTACGGTCGACGGCGCGAAGGCAGGTGGCAGGGGCTGCTCTTCAAGTGAAAATACGAGTTCGCTTGGTTTTGCGAGTCCGAGGAATTGGAGTCCTGGGTTCGCCGTAGCCGGAGGTTCCGAGATCTCCGTGGAGACTGTCTCGGCCACCTCCGCTTGTAAACTAGCTTTTGCATCGTCCTTCGAGTAGAACTTCGTCTCGTCAAAGGTAACGTTTCGCGTGATAATCACTTGATCAAGCGAGGGTATCCAGACTCTGTATAGGTTGTGAGCGTCCATAACGTAGCCCACCAGATATCCAATATGTCCTCGCGGTTCCACCTTGAAGTTACGTCTGTTCCTATCCGCTTCGCGGTCCTTTTTCAGGGGATAAGCCCTACACCCATACGCGTACGTCCAGCCCCAGTGGGGGCGAAGGTCGCGGGCGAGGCTCGCGCTGTATTGTGGTTGCCACCAGCGAAAATACTGTCGGAACCAGCTCTCTTCGACTTGAATTGGTGAGAGCCAAGCTCTTCGCTTCCGTGGTGACATATTGTACAGGTAGGCGGCTGCCATGACTGCTTCCACCCAGAGAGTAGTTGGCAGGCCCGCTGCGCTGAGCATCTTTATCGCTCGGGTTATTAATTCCTGGCCCGCTCGTTCGCCTCCGCCATTGGGTTCCTTGGTGTAGGGGGGTGTCTCTTCGATTTCAATCCCGTTATGCTGGGCCCAAAGTTGATACTCAGTCATTCCGTTTATCGCAATTACCGCGCGTTCTACGTCTTGTCTCAGCTTGCACAGGGTGACGCCTCGTTGGCGAGCGACCCATCGTTCGAAGTGCCTGAGAGCGTCGAAGACGAAGGTGTGCGATTTACTTACGCGCGGAAACGCGAAAAGACGACCGGTATATTCGTCTTTGATCACTAAGAGCCAGCGGTTCTTGTCAAAGCTTGTCGGGTAGTCGAAGAGATCCCATGAGACCCTATAGTACGGTCGAATTGCTTTCCGTTCAGAGGTTCGCCTCGAAATTAACTGTTTCGCGTGCGCTGTCGCGCAGTATTCGCATTCCAGACGCGTGGGTCCTTTTATCTTTACTCCTCTCACGTTTGACACCATTCGTTCTAGTGCGTCTGGTGCGAGGTGACCCGAACGAAGGTGCCATAACCAGGCGTCATCATACCTATCAGGTGGTTTACGAAGCGAGAGTCGAGCGGGATCCTGTACTGCAAGCACCAAATGGTTCACGATTCCTGCGTTACTCGAGGTAATTCGCTTCTGAGCAATATACTGGGAACCGGTCTTATATTCGAAGAAAGTAATGTTCATCTTCCTAACAAGATGCTTGACTACCACGCTGTTTTTGTACGTTCCCTGGCGAAGTGTGTTATCCAATCCGGAGTACCAGATGCCTGTCTTTCGGAGGAGTGCTTCCGAAACGATGTTAACGTGAAAGTTCTCTACGTATCCAACGTTATGGAGCGTAAGGTCTGCTGTGAGGTCTCCATCAGGGCCATTTAGTGCTTTTGGCAAGATCCACGTTCCCTTTGCTAGGATTGGGTACGAAGCAGTTCCTGAGTCGACTCTCTCGTCGCCGATGCACGTTTTAATAGAAGACGATTCAAGCAAGTCAAGGTTGTTAACAAGGTGCGTAGCTCCGCAGTTGTCGAGAACCGTGCTTCGTGACAGAACATGGGGTCCCGTCAGTGGGGTTGCAAATACGCTTGGTTGGTCGTAGTCCGAGTCGAAGTCGTCCGAAATTTCCCGGAGAAGTTCACGGCTGATCGTTACTGCGTGGATATTTCTCTTCAGTGTCACCTCTGACTCATTCTCCTCTTGCTGCGATTTCGCTTTAGAGCCGGTATTTCCTGACGACCTATTGCGAGGCGGCGCTGGGTTTCGGAAGCTGGGAGGTTCCGTCGCCCAGATCCAGCCTTTCCGAGCTAATTCGGCTCGGAGATCATAGTTCTCGGACTGATTGATACGCTTTCGAATCTCCTTGCACTCGTCCCTCGATAGTTTGTCCTGGGAAGGCTTGATTCGCCCGGTAAGGGCGTACTCCACGCGGGTGCACTCCAGGGGGTTTGCGTTGTGGGGTTTGTTGCAGGGGCACGCTTCGGATTTGCCTTTTCCTTTCGAACCGCGCTTGTTTTACCCCGATTTTTGTCGTATAGGGTGTCCTCATACAGCAAGTCCTCCAGCATATCCCTGTATTCACTTACAGTAGGGATGCGGTCCCCCTTGCGCTCCATTTTGACAATTTCAGTGAGCTCGGAGGTCGCCCAGGAGGGGGCAAAACGGTGTCCCACCGCTCGAAGAAAAGTTTTCGAAGCGAGCGTTCCCTGGCTTTCCGGTATTCTGAATCGAAGCGCGCGGAGCAGTACTCGATGGAAGTCTCTTAGCCAGGTCTGGGGGTTTACGCTTGTGTTGGCCTTTTCCAGGAGGAGAAGGTACTCTTCGCGAACTGTAGTTTGACTGCTTGATTCGCTTGGAGCGTAGCGTTTCCGAAGGTACTGAATAAGAGCACGGAGTGAACGTTGGTTGTTCGCTAGGATCTCCGATCTCGCAGCGTAGAGGATGTCCTTGTCGACCGTTTCCTTAACCCAACGCTGAATAGAGTCGAAGTCCCGCTCCCGACGAGTTTTGAGGACGTCGCGGCCTGATTTTGAAGCGAGGTAGTTCGTATATCTTTCAAAGATCCCGGGCGTGTTTTGCGTGAGAGTTGGTTGTGCTACAGGCTCCTGGAGTTCTTCCCCTGTATCGTCACTCGCTTCTGCCCTATGCTGGAGAATCGAATCGTAGGCTTTCCGCTTCCGATCATAGGTTCTACGCTGCTTTTCGTTCTGCTGCGTGATCCATGATTCGATCGAGAGTTCTTCATCGTCCTCTCTTGGGTCTGACGGAGACGTAGTGTCGTCTGGGTCTATGAGATCCCAGACGTCTGCTGCGTCGGCTTCGGCGTAGAGAGCGTCGTACCAAACGGGGAAGTCCCGGCGGCAGGTTAGCCTTGTCGTGCTCGTGAGAACAGATATCTGCGACGACATCTTCGTTGTAGAAGTTGCTGTTTGAAGCGAAATTTGTGAAGACCGTAAGGAGTTGATGGTGTTCCGCCACGAACCCTTCGTCTGGTTAACAGTAGAAAGGGGTGATGTGGTAAGCTGGGCTCATAACTGTGGTGACCGACGTCAGGCACGGGCGGCATCAACTAGGAACAAAACGGCTTGTATTCTCTAAGTGAGCGAGCGGAGCGAAGGACGCTTAAGAATACGGTCGCTGGAGCGAGGTCACGTGACCTCGCGGCCGAGACGCGGCAGAGTGGGTCCGGAGGCCCGGAGCCAGCACGACACCAGGACTGCAAAGATGATGTTACCAACTCTATGGCATCGACCTCACTAGCGACAGCAGATCCCAATGGTACTGACATTGATCATGAGATAGCCCTCGGTGACCAACCCCTCTTCATCGATATTGAACTACCTCACATGCCAGTGCCCGTCAACGACGCTACAGATACGGCCTTCGCAACGCGCTTCCGGCAAATAATCTCTGGACCCGCCGCCTCTTCGAATTGCACAATGCATATTAGTCGCACGGAGTTCGTTAGTGATGAGAAGGCGATGCTATTAGCGGATACACCCTGCCCGTGGCCAGTTCCTTCCAAAGCCCGCTTTCTTATGGAAGTAGCTCTGAGGCATGCCGGCGGATGCTTCCACGTTGTGCGTAAGAGTTGCGTTCTGGACGCCATCGAGCGCAGTTTCCACGATCCAAGCTGGAGGGATCCAATCATGAAATGCAAAATATGGGCTTTGTTTAGCATTGGAGAGGTATACTCGTCAAGAATGATCCTACTCCATCAGGAGTTTCCCGGCTTGCATTATTTTGCCAAGGCAACAAAGATACTGACCTATCTCGGCGAACGGCCTACTCTTGACTTATTGGAAATCAGGCTCCTACTAGTAAGGGGCATCTGGCTGTGTTATTCATACGTCCGCTAATTAGAAGCCTCGATAGTCATTTTATTCTCTGTCTGTCAACCGCCAATACGCTGCCTACACTTTGGCAGGATCTTCAGTTCGTATGGCTGTTATTTTGGGACTGCATCTCGATATGACTGGCACCCATCTGAATGATGTTGCTTTGAGAGAGCATCGCAAGCGATTATGGTGGACCACATATATCTTTGATCGCCTCTGGTCATCGAAGCTTGGACACCCGCCTGCAATCCACGACGACGATATGAGAATTGACTTACCGAGCAACCCCGAAACTGAGATTGACGCAACAGGGGATTTTGCTGACGCTGCTTGCTGCGCAGCTATTGCCAAACTCTCCAGCATTATCACAAGAGTTGTTCGGACGGTGTATGGAAAAAGCAGACAGGCAGGCACTCTTTTCAATAGGGTACAACAAGCATTGAAAGAACTCAAAGCCTTATTTGCGGACTTACCACCTCATTTGAACATGGAAGCTACTGCATCCTACAAGCATGGGAAACTCAGCCTCATGTATCTCCATCTCACACTCAACCAGGTAAACAAGACTGTTCTTGCGCCCCCCGGATGCTAATGACGTCGCCGCTGACTGATACAGGCCATCATCTTATCGACACGTCCGATTCTTCTGCATGGCCTGCGCATTCATTTCGCAAACCGGCAATCGAAGAAGGCATCGGAAGGGAGCCAGCCACGATCGATTCATCAATCAGCCAGGACCCTTATCGAGGCCTGCATACGATGTGCAAGATACTCTTGCCGGACTCTGGTCGAGAGCTGGATTGATGGGTCATTTCCAACATTTGACCATCTATTGACGCAGTACCTCTTCTCCGCACTTACCGTACTCGCAATCTCAAGTTTAATGAACGATGCAGAGAGCTCGAGTGACAAAGGACAGTTTGAAGAATCGGTCCAACTTCTGGAACAGCTCAAAGACAGTGGCAATTTCAGCGCCCAGGAACTTTTCCAGCATGTCAAAGCTCTACTGGATGACCTTGAAGAAGTACAAACCACGAAATCAGATTCTAAATCCGGGCCTGCGACAGTTCTTGACGACTTGGCCTCTGATCCTAGTGGGGGACAATCTCAGCTCGATCGGCATACTAGTCAGATGGCAACAGCTGAGATGGCGTTGGCTGAGCCCTCCATGCAGGAGCTGCTCATGCAATCGGATCTGGACATGCAGCTGCTTGATTCCATGGTGTTGGACGATACATCGGGGTTCTACTGGCCTGACATTGATAATCAGGGTTGGGTAACAGGACTAGGGCCTTAGACAGAGCAATTCGGTGTCGAACAAACTACGTCGTGTGGCGGCTGGGTTAGTACCAAAATAATGGTATTAGCTCGCGACGTCAGTTCAAAATAAAGCTCAAAGCCAAGATCTTGATGCTGTTGACACCAACAGCCCCTACGACAAGTCAAAGAAATTTATCATTCACAGGCTACTAGTACGGTAGTCCGCAGAGATTACTATATTTAAACCAACGTTAGTTTTGAGCCATGCGTCTCCTCTGGGATTTGATTCCTGGTCTTTTAAAATCCCTCTATTATCACATCAAGCATGTCAACACAGCATTTCCCTACAAATCTTTGCTTGTACATAAGAAGTTTTCGTGAAAGTCCCTTGTTTCTCCCCACAAAGCCACTATATCCTGCACTTGGCGATCTATGGAACGTGTAAATGAGACCAGGAGAGGCGCCACATCCAACTGTACCCAAACAAACCACTTCACTACTAGTTGTTACGCTGTGCGATGATGCTGTATACGGAAGCCTTGTTTGCTGCCAAGCTCTTAGTAAAACTAAGAGCCATCTCGTGCAGCTCCTGAATAGGCCCTGTCACGCCATTTGGGAAGTGCTGTTCAATATTCAGCTGTACCTTTTGGAACCAGTGAATGACCTCGGCGTTGGAGGGCATTATTCGCATGTCCCGCAAGGTAAAGCCGCTATTTTCCAGGACACCAGCAAAGTACTCGGGAGTCTTCCGGTTGCTGCAGGCAAGCCTGTCTGACTTGTCAGGAATAGGTGACTTGTATTTGTTGATATCGCCCTGCGGGTTGGCAATCATCATAATTAGTATGATGGAAATCGAGATCCATTCGGAGCTTGATGGATGACTTGCTCACCCTGTACAAGGTATCGGAAATGATTAGGATACCGCCTTTTCGCATTCTCTGGGCTACCTGAGCCACTGAGGTTTCGAAAACGTCATGCAGAAAGTGCGTGCAGACCCCACGCACAACGACCAAGTCGTAGGGTATCTCCGGAACGGGAAGTAGATCAACATCTTGGCCGTTGCAGAAATAGAGGTTGATGCGATCCTTAATGTCGTCGTTTAAGATTTCAGCGCAATAATCAAGCTGTCGCTGGCTGATGTTGATGGCATCAAGACGTGGGCATTCTGGAAAGTGGTCGGCCATGCGTCGGGTGATGAAGCCCCAGCCACAACCGAGGTCGAGTATACGCTTCAGTTGAGGCCTTATATGGTCAAACAGACCGGCAAGCTCCAGCTTGACGGAACTCGGACGTTCCGATGGATCCAGGCTTCGGCTTATCGTTGAGCTCAGCCTCGTCAAATAGACCGAATTGAAAACTTAGGTTCTCGCCGAGAGCCTTGTGCCACATTTCTGGGGGGTCATCGTAAGTGTAGATTACCTTATCCTGGTACTTGTCGTTTCTGTGAGTCTCTATGGACTGAATCAAGGGGAGGATGTTTTGGGTCATGGTTTCTATGAAGCTGGAAGGAGCTGATGAGTTGCTTGAGTGGTAGGACTAGACTCGGTAGGGTATTCCGTTGACAGAAAGTTGCCCGATTTTCTAGTGAATTGGCATACCAACCTCAAACATGCTTCAGGAACACGCTCATTCCATGGTATTTATTTTTTTTCCAAGATACCACGACACTACTACGTTGCCGGCTCCGTAGCTTTCTCATTCACCATCTTCCAGTTCAATAAGTCAGTAGGAGGATACTGAAAACTAGAAAAGTCCGGAGATAACGTTCCGGGTATCGGTGGTCGATTGAAATGATGAAGATACAAAGGCAGCACAGTCAAGCTGGGCATCTCACCGGCGTTACATGGCATTATGCACCTCACGATGCCCAGAGTTAATCGATGTAATCGTACATAGGAGTCTGAGAACAATTCAATAGTTCGATAAATAATTACTATAACATGATGCTGATAACAACAGAAAGCCAGGAAAAAGTGCTCCGAGGATTGATGGACGGTTGACGTGGTGAGGATAAGATGACAGCGTAGCCAAGGTATGTCCCTCACCGACCTGGCACACCATTATGCACGTCGTTGCTTTTGGGAAATTCTGCAGCGGCTGGGCCCAGATTCTGTATTGACCCTCACAATACTTGCAGGATGGAATTGTTTGTGTATAAATGACGATCGAGTGATGTGCTTAGTTAACTCTACTAGGAAGGTGGCTTTTTGAAGGCAGTGATGGTGGTGTATCACTCGATGCTATGCGAGGCCAAGCCGCAGTTCTTTGTGATTGAGGACTTAGATGCCAAGGTGATAAGGATATTGATTGCAAGTATCAAGCTTTGAGGAAGTCAGGCTGGTTACATAAACCGAAATACGGCCCATGAGATTACGGCCTTGTCAATTTGTACAGTCGATTTGCCTAGATACTGTCCACTTAGCTTTTTGCCTTATTCTATGAACCTACGCAGAGAAAAACAATCGATTTACACGTTATCCCCGAGTTACTATAGCTATTTCAACAACAAACTACGCCATGACTACCCACAAGTTTTCAGTTCCATCAGGGACGGTATTTAATCTTCCTGAAGTCATCACTCGACTTCCAGAGGCCTGTCATGTCGATTGTGAGGAACTCGACCGGGTTGGCGACGCCATAGCACGCCCTTACCTGATTGACTATTTCGGAGATGAAGATCGCGCGGACCGATATTTGCGTCAGCGAATAAGCCATTTTGCTTGCATTTGCTACCCCTACACATCTGCCGACCGCGCTCAAAATATCACCAATCTCATGATTCCGGTTACTCTCTACGATGACACCTTCAGCAAGCCTGATATCCAAGAAAGCGTCACGGAGGCCACGGCTCTACATGACCGCTGGGTCAGGGTCTTCAATGGCGAATGCCCTCCGCTAGAGGGCAACGCTGCTTTTGTGCTCGTTTTCCGCTCAACCGAGGCTGCTACAGCTCAGATGACTGAACACCTGGCCTCCCGCGTGAGGAAAGCCTGGCGTGACATGGCTGCGAGTCACTTGGACGAGGCAGTTCTCAGACATAACGACATCACCCCTGATTACCAGTCTTACATGGATAAACGCCTGACCAACGTCTACGGTTGGTGGCTGACCATTCATGTTGAGTATGCAAAGGGCATTGATATCGGCGACCTGTCTGAGCATCCTGAAATTCTTACTGCCCGTCGAGCAGCGATCAATCACATTACTTTGGTCAACGATCTCTATTCTTTCCCCAAGGAGTTAGATGCAAAAGAAGCCATGAACGCCATCCTCGTCCTTATGCGGCGTGAAGAGTATGACCTGCAAGGAGCCGTCGACAAAGTCGTCGAGCTCATCCATCATGCTGAGAAGGAGTTTGAATCGACTCGCTCGGATATTCTCCAGGGCCATTTGGGACAGAAGCCAGACATCAAAAGCTATCTCGATGGAATCGCACACGTCATGACCGGCAATCTCCGCTGGTCGCAGATGTCCACGCGTTACTTTGGTGATCAACACGACGGGAGCTTCGTCGCCAGTGGACAGATTACTATCACTCCCAAGCCTACCGTACATGCCCCTACGGTAAAAGTTTGAGGGAAGAGTCGGATACCTCTTGGTTTCAGATACTTCTAAGTTGATAACAGGGTCAGCTTCTGTTCTCTTCATCTGTTAGTGTTCCCAATGTGACTGTAAGAAGTCTCAAAACTTCACGCTACCAATACAGCATGATACGGTATTGAAACAGTTTCTTAAAAGCTCTTTGAAATATAACATAAATCATGAACCTGTGGTGTGTGGCAACCGCCTTCTACAAATCAACCTGAAGAGACCATAATGTGCCGCTTGAACTTTATGTTTTATTTACATTTAATGCTGAAATAATCCTGCTCGGGAACAGTCCCCTACCGTCAGCCGTGATCTCGGGGGCGCATTGCTGTTGCTCCTCCAGCTTGCATGTCAGAGCTTCACTTTTAGGCCACCTTTTTGGGGACGAGAGTAAAATTAAAGGAGAAGAGGAAAAGACAAAAAGGAAGATCGTGAGTTTCTACCAGCAAGTAAATGTGGCCGTTGAAAAGCAACACGACAGTGTTGTTGGCTCGCAAAGGACGGATACAGCTTCAGAAATGGAGCTCGATGCCAAGATTGTCGGTGTCAGTGGCGCCAACAATCCCTATCAACCCAAGAAATTTCAATATCCACAGGCCACCTAGTCCACAATCGCGTGCAGATAACCGATACTGGGATGGCACGGTCACCAGCAACTATCCGCACTAAGTATTTGGTCTGCGAAGGATGGCCTCCAGGCGAGCAAGTCCATTTCATGCTGGTAAGTCAGCATCAACCGACAGTTAACCTCTACGGGTTAACAGTTTCGAGATAGATTGATGGGCACATATAGAAGACCCATGACCCTAATATCAAAAAAAGGGGTGGTGTATGTACTGTTGCCGCATCTCTCAATTTATGACTGCGTACAAGAGTATCCACAACGCCAAGGTTGAGAAGCGCAGAAAGGGTGGAACTCCGGATTATGGGTCGCTGAAAGCTTCAACAGGTCTTATAATTGGTTTGGCTGGTAATCCCTACCTCTCAGCGGCTAATTTCTTCGGGCTGGATTTCCAAGTGTGGAAGAGACATTACTAAGTGCCCAAGTGGATTAGAGGCCATGGTCGGTTCGATACTAGGCCTCTGGCCATTTGCTCACGCTATGCTTGCAATCATCTTCATTCCTTGGTCTTCGTATCTGGCACTGCCAAGATTAGCATACCTACGCTAAGGCTGACCATATTCCATCAAGACTTTAGCACCTTCCTTCATACACTTGGAGCTTCCCCTATTTCCAGAAGTCTTCAAATATCTTCGATTGTCCTTGATCCGTCTATCCGTAGTTTGGAGGAGCCTCGCGTTTAGCGAGTGGGTCATGGTGCGATACCACACAGATTCACCCCACTGTTTCCTGTTTGTTGTGCGCTTCACAATCCATCGCCTGCCGAGAATCCGACTCCTTTCACTTGAACTAGAGATATGCTCACTTTTACTTTTCGTGAACGATAATCTGTCTCTTGGGGATCATCTGCATGTGCTAGAGTGATAGTTGGTTTTGTGGAGGGGTTAGGATGACGAGCATTCTTGGTTCGCCGTCTCTTGCTAGAATACCTTATCATGTTGAATGCGTGGGTTAGAACAGATATAAAGGGAAAGCCACTACAGAGCCTGATCCTAAACGCGATAACTTTTCATAGATCCAGGTGTGGGTTTGCCTCGTCACTCCTGAGAGACAGCATTTTTACCGGGGTTTGTTGTTGCGAACAGCCGACACTCATTGCCGCTTGGACTTTTGCAAACTTGGTTTGGCAAACATTCTGCTCATATCCACAACTGACGTCGAACCCCTCGCATTAAGCTTAGTTCGCATGATCCATGTCATGGAGATCGTGATAGCAAACGTGTCTGGTTTGTGCTATGGTTAAAGGTGACAGGCTCGGAAGTGTAGGAATTGTGAAAGCCAGCCCGAGTTCCATGACTAGTTTGAGTACGGCCATGGAGCTCACTCAGCATCTCAAAATCCAACTGCGGCAGTAGGTCAATACCTAGGTAAAATGAACGAGCATGAGGGACGAGAAGGGCGAGATAGCGGGAGGTGGGGGCTGCTGTTGGTTCTCTGATCAGCCCTGCAGTCGACGGCTACCCGGACGCCACCGACACGATCTTGACGTGACAAACAAACCAACCTGCATATCAATATATGTAGCCGCTTCGCTCAATGCTCAATGTGGGCTTGTTGATGCAGGGGTGTGGTACAGTAAATGATGTTGGTAAACTTCTCACACGTAAGCGTAAGCGCGAGACCGGGGTTGCCTTACAAAATTGTCAATTAAGAATCGTGGGTCCCCCGGGCCTTTACTTTTGGTTTTTTCCATCGATGCTCACGCGACCAATTCTTCAGTTCCTGTCGAGGTGCGTTGACCAACGCCATCGGCCCCGTTCTCAACAAGCCGTCAACTTCAACCTGGCAGGTTTGCTTCACTTCATGACGGGAGTTCTTTCTTTTTCTTATCAACGACATCTTTCTATCAGACGACTAGCATGCCTGCAACAGTGACAAACACATAAGCGTCCCATTCTTTTCCTGTTTTAACATCTTACGTCTTACCATTTCGTTTAATATGGCCATCCCACTAATGCCATCCTCACGGGTGACGACCACCATCCTTTCACTTTGTATCTTATCAATGATTGTGTACTCCTTGTCATTTTTCACTCACTACTACCATCCAATCTCATCACGACCCGCGCCGGTTGGGGTGCCGCAGCCATCGATTCACCCTCAAGTCACCCCATCGAGCCATTCTCAAATCACCACGACCCTTCAACCGCAAGCTACCGAAAAGCCCAAAGACAATGGCATCACGCAATGGCAAAAAGAGGCCGAAGCAATCATAAAGGAGGCTAAATCTTTCATCGGATCACCAATCGAAGCTCCCTACAAAGAGAAATTCCACGACGTGGGTGAACGAATCAAAGCTTTTCGGGAATGGATCAAATTCATCGATACTGCTCCCAAGTCGGAGGATAAGCACACCGTACTCGAGACAGTAGAAAGCGCGGTCGGATCGCTGTTCCCTTTCCTCACAAACTCGCCGAAGCGACCGGATAGCAAGACACCGCTCACAGATCTGCGAGCATCAATTGTTCCTGGATCCCGCGGGATCGTGATTCCGGCAGGCAAGGGCACATTGAGATTTGCTGCGCACCTCATAGGTTCTCTCCAAGAGGTACTGAAAAGCAACTTAACAATTCAGATCGTTTATGCCGGCGACGACGACTTTCCACCAGCAGACCGTGAGCGGTTGCTATCTCGCTTCGGCGACGTTCAGTTTATGGACATCCTTAGCCTCATCGACGACACGACTGCCCATCTTGCGACAGGGGGCTGGGCCATCAAGCCGTTTGCGGCGCTGTATGCGCCTTTCGAAGAAGTCATTCTGTTGGACGCGGACGCGGTTTTTGTCCGGCCACCCGAAACACTCTTTCTCGACTCTTCATACAGTTCGACGGGCGTACTTCTCTTCCACGACCGCCTACTCTGGCAACACGCCTATCGCGAGCGTCACGACTGGTGGAGATCGCAAATCCACAACCCAAGCCCTGCTCTTAATACATCGCTCGTCTGGACACAAGACTATGCGGAGGAGGGTGATTCCGGAGTGGTCGTGATTGACAAGTCACGTTTGGATGTATTCATGGGTCTGCTACATGTCGCATGGCAGAACACGCATGCCGTACGAGAGGACATTACATACGGAATTACATACGGCGACAAAGAAACGTGGTGGTTTGGCTTCGAGCTCAGCGGGTCAACGTACGCCTTCGAGGAGCATTATGGCTCAATGGTAGGTTGGTTCCGGGAGAAGGTCGATGATTCAAAGGCGAGAATTTGCAGTTTTGTGATTGGGCACGTTGACGCGAATGACGAAGTTATCTGGTACAATGGAGGCCTTTTGAAGAATAAGAAGGTTGACCAGCATGAGTTTGGCCTTCCAACACATACAATGGTGGATGGCACTTGGGAGAAGGGAGAGTTCAAGACGGACATGAGCTGTATGGTTGGCAATAACATGGGCACGTTAAGTAAGGATGCTAGCTGGATACTGGATAAGTCCATCAACTTGGCAAAAGATTTAGATGCCAAGTTGGGTCTTGTCAAAGAAGATGGACAATGATCATATCTATAGAAGCTGCATTGTATCATACCCCTTGAAGTTATTATGAATAGATCACAAAAGAACTCAGGATTTTGTTCCATTATAAGGCCCTCAGGCTGTTCTGAGGATACGGGTCCCTCCTCCCAAATAGATGCAGCCATCTGGATTAAAACCTATCAATGTAAAATCATGGCGCGATTTTTCTGTCGCTCTGATTAGCTCCTTGTAAATATAGGAGCTGTTTGAAGGTACTCTCCAGGCTGACTCATCTAGAGGCTATCAAGAGATCGCATACCCTCTCCTAGATGAAGGAGCAGTCTGAGTTGCCCATCGTGGAGGCTATAAAGTTAGATTTCCCCCTTCTCGAACAAATCTCAGTTGATGTCAGAATATGAATATTCTCTTTCTGGTTAAACCACTCCTTCTACGCCCTAAAGAAGAGCCATCAAGCCATTATAGAGCAATCGTATTACAAAAAGCCAGCTCATCACAAGCCAGCTTTAAGAGGAAGCCGATGGGTAAAATTGACACCGCAGCAATGAGTATTGCCCAATAAGGATGGATACTTAGTGGTGGATAAGGCTTTGTGTGAGGTGGGGTCAGTGCTAGAAGAAGCTGGGTTAGTGCTCTCTCAGTTCGGCATACTGTCACAACCCACTACAATGTTTGATTTCCTAGGTTTTATCCGCAAACAATACACTTTTCACACGAGCAAGTTCCCTCACATCCATCGCAATACGGCGTTGCGCAACTAGGCAGCGAGATAAGATGGAGGTCTTAGCCCTCCCAACTGAGATAATTGAAAGAATTTTATTTTTCGCCTGCCTTTCCCGAGGTGTTGCACGAGCACTGAGATTGAAGCTAGTGTGCAGTATGTTCTTCTGCCCCAACTACAGCTGCCGGCCCGCGGAGGAAGGACACTGCAGCTAACAACGCCAAGGGCTATTTTACAAATTTGTCGATGCTCCTCTTTTCGAGACTCGCATGCTGGACACCTTGGAAACGGGATGGAGTTGGCTCCCTGTGTCCCTGCAAACTAGACCTCGCTTCTTGAGTGACTGGCGTGTGCAAAAGAACTACGGCGCTGAGAAACTATGGCATTCCTACCTTGTTTACCGAACACGAAAAGAAAGGGACCCCGCGAGTCGCTTTTTCGAGATTAGGCGAGTGGTTGATGAAGTATGCAAAGGAACTGGGATGGACAAGGAATTTGCTATCAAACAGTTATGTTGGCTGGCTTTGGGCCGAGGGACAGACGCGCCAGGAAACAAAGACAACTGGAAACCCGACCTACCAAATCCTGTGAAAGGCCATTCGCAGAGCCTTTTGAATGCGGCAGCCTATTTTGGTCAATCATCACTCGCAAAGCGGCTTCTGCGGTCTATTTCTCCAGACAGTGAGCCTGCATTCGAGACAGCAATATTACCGCCAGCTTTACATCTTGCAGCCGTGACCGGTAACTCCGATATTGTTGATATGATGTTGGAATACTTCCAAGAGGGGACATCTGATAAAAGCACGTGAGTATCCAAGAAGCACTACCAGCAGAAAAGCACAAACAATCCCCGTTCTGGTCCTCTTCAGTAACGTTATAGCTAACACGGATTTGCGACATGCTTAGATTATCAAATGGAGTAGCTGAATACCATGCTGTTCGAGGTGCAGCTTACGGAGGTAATTTAGAAATTACTCGCCAAGTGTTGTCGCCTTTCAAAAGCCCCAGCTTCGATACCCCAGACATGCAACAATACAAATACGCATTCACAACACAGAGTTGGGATGTACATCAGTTTCTTTGCTCTTGGATTGGAGTCACACCCCACAATGGCCAATTTCTAATCCGTCATTGTTGGCTGGGAAACGTAGACATGGTACAGCGTCTCCTAGATGCAGGTGCCGACCCAGACGGCTCAGTTTGGGACAGAGAAGTTCCTCTCGCTGTTGCCGCACGTGCTTGTCATGAAGATGTGGTTGATATCCTTCTGCGACACGGCGCGAATCCCAGCAGTAGTGAATACATGCTCGGCTATCCGCTGATGGCAGCAGCCGCTGGTGGAAGCTTGGCAATCGTGAGGAAACTCCTCGACCATGGTGCCATCGCCGACCTGAAAGAGCCCTCGACTATATACTACGCTGTTTTGAATGAACACACGGAGATGGTGAATCTTCTCTTCGAGTCATTTGCCCCCATGGAGCCCGAAACAATCAACTGGCCTCTAGAGGTCGCTCTTGAAAGGGGACTAGAGAGCATGGTTGATGTTCTAAAAGGTCTAGGTGCGACGGTAGTTTAGCGATTACACATAATGAGATTTATACACAAACCGTCGGAGTATTTTAAAGTATTCAACGCCTACTTCCTACCCTTGCTGGTCTAGCATTATATGCATAAGTATATGCTTGGGTCATCAATAAGCGTGCAGCTTTAGCGCCATTCAATCAGTGAAGGAGACGAATAATAATCGCTAGTTCAAGACAACCAATACATATTTGACATTACTCATCTTGTGGGACATATATAAGCAGCGCATTCACCCTGATTTCCTTGTCTGATACACTCGCTCTACTAGTTTTCACTCATGCGGCTGACGTTTTCTACCGTGGCTACGAGATTGCATAGTACCTTCGCCGTCAATCAAAGCATTAAGACGGGTCTGTTCTATTGCTTCACCATACAGCAATTGCCATAAAATCCATAATGCTCACTCTTCCTTCCATAGAAATATGTGCGACAAGGTTGCTGTCCTATTTTCGGACATTCGAAGGACTCACATTACTTACTGTTCTGGGTTGTCTTCTCTCTGGGGTCGTCACAGTTGCGCTCCGCCCAAGATTTTCTCAGCTCCGTCATCTCCCAGGGCCCAAGGTAAGCCCCTCATCGACATACTACTTACTTATTAGCTACTTAACTTGAAGCAAGAACTGCTGCTGAGTTTTTTGCCGTAGAACAATCAATTTCTTTCTGGCCAGGCTATTCGAATTCTCCTTGGCGATGGTCCAAATGATCTCTATCTTCAATGGATGCAAAGATGGCCAGACACTCCATTCATACGGTTCCAGTCTTGGTTTAACTCTGAGGTCCTCATAACAAATAATCTAGAGGCATGTCGTGAAGTCCTTCAAACGCATGCATACTCCTTTGTAAAGCCCAGTTTCTTCGAGAAAATGATTGGAGAATTCTTGGGGGTGGGTCTTCTTTTCAGCGTAGGCGATGAGCACAAGCGGTTAAGGCGAATCGTAGCCGGTAAGAAGGTTTCTCTACGCATCAAGTTACAGGAAACTTATATCAGAATAGGCCCCCTTTCTCGGCCAAGTGTTCGACGGTTGTCGCCCGTCTTCCTCACTCAAGCCACAAAACTGTGCAGTGATATAGAACATGCGCTGGAAAAGGACGGTACCAATACTGTTGAAAGTAAGCGTATGCCCTAAAACTCGAATCACACGTAATATGTAGCGAAGCGTTTATGAACTAGAGGCTAACTTACTAATTCCTAGTTGAGCCTCTTATCACCAAAGCAGCTCTTGACGTTATTGGGGTATCATTACTCGGTCAAGAGATGCACCGAGTTCGGTCACCGACGTCGCCATGGACATACGAGGAGTGTTACCAAAAGATTCTTTCTCCACCGAAACTTGGACAATTCATCATGTTCATAAACCCCTTCATTCCGCTGCGATGGATCCCAGTAAAGGCCAACCGTGATTACCTGAGTGCCAAGGCATGGCTTGAGCAGATGATGATCGAGTTGATCGAAAGCCGGACTGCGCAAATCATGGAAAGCAAGAAACCAGACGAGGAAAGCCTTGAACCAAGAGACTTTTTGAGTCGCATGATCGAAGCAAGTATGGCTGCTGACCAGAAGTTGACAAAACGACAACTGATTGACATAGTAAGTTCAGTTCCCTTACGGGTCGAATACACTCGTATTTGTTGGAGAAGTCTCGATAGCATAAATAACTAACCGGCCGTGGTAGACTTTGCAATCCATTGCTGCAGGGCATGATACTACTGCCTCTGGCCTTACTTGGGCAATGTATTCACTTGCCGTGCATACGGACGTGCAAGATCGGCTGCGAAAGGAGATTCTCGAAGCTAGACTGACTGAGGCCAACTTTAGTCTCGTCGACGACCTTCCCTATTTAAACAATGTCGTTAGAGAATCTCTGAGGCTATATTCGCCAGCTCTAATGTCGCCTTGGCAAGCTGCAAAAGACCTCGTCATTGTAGGTGTTCATGTGCCAAAGGGTACAATTGTGCAGACTGTCCCAGCCACAATCCAGCGGAACCCTCAAATATGGGGTGAAGATGCCGACTCCTTCAAACCTGACAGATGGGATAACCTTAAAGAAGGTGCTTTAAGCCCTTTTGCCTTTGAGCCGTTTATAAATGGACCACGAATGTGCCCTGGAAAAGCATTGGCGTTGCTAGAGATGAAAGTCTTGTTGGTGGAAGTAATAAGGAAGTTTGCTGTTGAAGCAACTGTCAAGGATTTGGGATTTCTTAACCCATCATTGACGTTGAAACCAAAGGAGAGCCTGAGATTAAAAATGCGACGTTTGAACTAGAACTATAGAGGAGAAGTATGGCACAATGAAACTATCTCTTAAGGCAATTCAGCAATCGAAGACGGCAAAGCCGAACCACCATTTTACCTCCAACCTTGTGAGTCTGCGATGCTAATTTATGCACCATTATTGCAAGTAACATGAACCTAGACTTGCGGCGTATAATCTGTCACAATACCGAAGATGAACTCCTCAAAATGGCCACGCCCCGTAAACGTCTCTTGTCCTACAATGCCTCCTTCGATGAGTCCATTGGCGCGTTGGTATATACCACTCTCGTCCTTGACAATGAGCTCAGTGGTAACATTGAAAGCCAAGATCTCACCGTTGGGAAGGTTGTATTGGATCGTCAAGCCATCAGTCTCAAGCAAGCCAGTGGTAGGCGGCCAAGCAGCCTTACCGCCTCTCTGTCGGACCGTCATGCTTTCGGGGTTGCAGCTGACCAGCAAAACCTGACCGTCTTTGACAACATACGATCGTCGGCTCTCGTTGCCGTTGTAGTCGAGCAGATTATACCAAACGACGGAGTAAGGGCCCAATCTTCCGTGACCCCAATCCCAGTAGCGGGGGCCATCGATTATGGACTGGTTCCCCCAGTTCTTATCATGGTAACCAATTCCATCATCGAAGCTTATGGGTGTATCTTTGACGGTAAGAGCGACAATTGTATCGGCATCGGGGACTGCGTTTGCCCAGTACAACCCAGGCAAAAGATTTTGAGTGACGCCGACAGCGCCGTTTAAATCGCAGGGGTAGTGGGCAGGAGCAGTCTGTAGCGTGAGTAGTTAGAAGATGAAGTAACAATCGTACTAGGTATGAACGATGTACTCACGGATTTGAAAGAAAGGTTTCCTTTGATGTCCATTTGGTCCGAGTCAATGCTGATGATGTACTCGACATCCGGCTTGTCCAAAGCTGAACCTTTGAAGCTTCCGATCCCCTTCCAGTCTCCAGATATGCCTTGAAATCCATTGCTGAGAGTCACTCCGTCGTTTGCCAAGGCTTCGTAGTAGAAATCAGTTCCGTTGGGATACACGCCAGATATTTGGACTGCTAAGGGGTGAGGATATTCCGAGAATTCGCCGGAGTTGAAGAAGACAATGTTTAAAGTCTGGTTGGTAGACTTTGAAAAAACATCAAAGTACCAAAAGTCTGCAGACGCCCGAGCTGCAGGAGTTGACATTTTGAAACCGTCAAGATTTCCAGCTACGGAGAGGTGCTCAACGGTGACAGAACCGTTATGGTAGCGAGGCGGAAGTTCAAGAACATGGGTGTTGTTCCCGGCAGGGTGTCCGAACGTCCATCCAAACATGGACAGTGCTAAGATGAGATTCTTCACCTCCATTGTGGCGTGTACGTGTGTAGTGAATGACGATGAGGACAACTTCGCAATGAAACTTCAAACAAACTTAATGGATGAATTCAATCTTAGAGGGTTAGGTTTCCAGTGTACTAGACGATACCGACTGGTGAGTACTTATTCTTTTTGATGGGTGGAGAAAATCGCCAAGCATAACTGCCGATGGTGTCAACGCCCATCCCGCGGCGATACGAAGCCGCGGCAAGGCTTTAGATATCTAGTCCCTCATTTACAACTGCTATGCCAAGTTTGCTTTGGGGATACTCGAAAAGTGGCATCTATGCGGGGCTTTCATTTGGCTCCAACTACGTTCAAGCACGCGGGTCAAGAGCTTAGATGTGCTCAACCGCCTCCCTGACTCCTTCAGTCCTCTGTACGACCAATAGCCGCTCGGTATTCATAAACGAATTGCGATCAACAGGCGTACCTAATGGTGAGAAATACTCGGATTCCCCCCCATTGCAAGAGCGCGTATTCGCATAGGTAGCAAGGTACCCCCTACTATAATCAATAGTCATTACATCGCCGCAAAAGTGGGGCCAAGACTGTGTCGTTATAAGTGGATGAACGACGTTCCTGAAATGCCAGCCTTCCTAACTGCCGGTGTCACCGCAATTCAAAGCGTCCAGTCTTGGTAGGAAGATTTTAAGTTTTACGTTGAAATTGGCCTGTCGAATTCAAAGTCGTTGCGGAAGGAAAACTCGCTCTCACTTTGACCAAAGGGCGCGGTATCCTTCAAGTGTCAGGTGGTTACAAAGACCTTACCTTGTTTCTGTTTACCTGATGAGACATGTTCATATGCCAAGCACTGATGTCATTTTGACTGTAATTATATCATAGAATTAATTTTTCAGAAAAAGGCATCTCTAACTCATATTATTCTCCAATATGATGAGGTACCAGAAGTAGCTACAATAGAACTCGTCTTCCAGAGCCGGCCTTGTGTGCACAAAATCAACCCTAAGTCGTCACCAGTTCTTTATTGCCAGGAGCTTCGTTCTTTTCTTTACCAATTGAGCATCCCTAATTGAACCGAAACTTCAATCACAAGCTGATGCTGTGGTACCCAGAGCTAAGTCAAGATAGCTGGGCATTGAAGATGTTCATCTCGAGCCTGGCATTCATATTTGGTCAAGTTTGGCATAGCTGTTTGACCAGTTTTCAGAATTGACCGGTTCATCTGGTAAAAGGAGGGTTTTGAATGCACGGTTGGCGAGGGATTTATGCATTTCAGTAGAAATCTAGAGTGTCATTGGCTCATAAGCAGTTGTCGGACTTCCATTGGGTCATGAGCAGATAAACTTCAGGCCACTTTTCGTCCTCGGCCATGAATTCTCATTTTGGGGTTCTTGTTCGTAATGCTACCATTATCGGAGATTCTGTTCGCATATGCGAGATCAAGTTTCTCACTGATGCATGTTAACTTCGCAGTGTCTTTCCTGGTTGATCAAATGCCTTCTTGACATGTTCTCGCATTTTTTTCTTTTCTGCAACGCAAGAGTGCCTATGGATAACTCATATGTGTTTGTATGAAAGTTTCGTCATCAGCGCTGTGTCTCGAAGTGCTCAGTGCCCAGTTTCCAAATTCAGAGCGACAAGGCAATAAGTGACGATCACCACTGAGACAGAAATTCTGAGTCTACGCTTTGATACCCGAACCAAGGATTCCTGCTCGTCACCATATTAACCGCCTACCTCTGCGCACGTGTCGGCCAGCTCCGGCCCGAGACTAAGGCTGCAAGTCAAACCTACAGCTTAGGCTCTTTGCACTGTCATTCATGACCTCAACGACCATGTCATCCGACCAATGAACCAATGTTATAACCACTTTTTATTCTCCCGGTGCCGGAAGTATAAATACGCACTTTCTTGAGCCGTTTGAGTGATTCTGGAAAGTTAAAGCCCCGCTACAGAATTGTGCCGTCTGATGATTTGGTTTTTAAGCTTAAGTTGGTAGCTCACCGCCGAAAAAAAAAAAAAAGACTCGATCCTCCACCTGACCATAACTCAACTTAAGATATCTACGCAATGGCTGCCGACTTCAAAGTTCGCCTTGTCACCGCCGAAGTGCAAAATTTTGCCCAGAAACGGGGACAAAGCCTAACAATGTATGCTTTGGCTTTGACACGGAAAAAAACAACTGCACCGACTCGAGGACCAGATCGATTGAATCTGGCATTCTGAAGATCTCTTATATAAGTGACGCAATGTCAACTACGTTTACTTGTATCCAGAACAATTGTTTCCTAAGCTTCTTTTTACATACTTCCTAAAATCATACATTCGCTAGAACCAGGTTCCAAGAAATATAATTATGCTCCTGTTAAATATTTTCTATGTTACGGCCCTCAGCCTGCTGTCATCATTAATAGCTCCTGTCGCTGCAGTACCCGCTCATAAAGATGGCTCGCCTATTCCTCCAGAGGCACAGCTCCTCTTTCAACTGAAGATGAATCTTGGGCAGTCGGTGTCTTTTGGTATCGGCCCCCGCGGCAACCGGTTTTCCGATCCCATCCTCGGCGGATCATTTGAAGGACCGAAGTTGACTGGTAAGTCCAACATCAATGTTCCTCAAGTCTCTACACAAGATCAGTGATATCTCGGAAGTTCTAACCAAATTGCTGACATGACTTTAGGCACTGTACTCCCGGTGGGAGCGAACTGGGGCCTTCTCGATGCTCGGGGAGGGTTCTTGGCAATCACCATCTTCCAGTTCCAGACCGCCGACGGGGCTAACATTTTTGTCCGCGGCACTGGGCCTACTCCGAACGGAAAGGGTCTATTCTATATCAGCTTGGAAACTGGTGCAGAGAACTATTACTGGGTGAATGATATCATGGTGGTCGGCACAGTCAATGTCGACAGAGAGAAGGGCTTTGTCACTATCGATGCTTGGCAGCTGATACCCCCGGTTGATTAAACTTCTTATTTGGGGGCTGAGAAGTGAACTTGATCGTTTTGGGCCGCTGGACGGTCCAAAAATAGCCTCGGTCGTAAAGAGGTATCTTTGGCCCCCACAGATCACTTAGAAAGGGGCAACTTAAACTTTAGCGTCTAATCAACACCAAATATGTGACTAATGATGCTGCAGAACTGCTTGTTTTGTGATCTGAAGTCTGTTCGTTGTGTGACTTCAGAGTATGACTACAAGATTTCTGGCAGATACTCCTCTCCCAAGTGGTATGATATATCTGAAAGGATATTAGGATGCTTAGATTGACCAGGTATGAGCGTCAGGGCAACGCTAGGCTGTTCCAGTGTTTTTCGCGCATCGTACTAAGAGGAATTACAGGGTTTGTGTTTATGCCAATTCACAGAAACACACTGGCACTTTTATGCTATGCTCTCAACCAGACTTGATGCCGTATCCATAATCAAAAAGACATTGCAGACTATATCTCAGTCTTGAAAAATGGTCTCGCCTACGGCATCAACCACTGAGTAAATAGTACCGAAATAAATAGGAAATACCTCGATGGACAGTGAAGAACGAAAGGAGTGCGCCGTAGATCAGCATGTTCATAAAGGTAGACGCAGCTGGCTTCCGAATTTTATACACATTAGTGCTGCTACAAAGAGACCAGACTTAATATTGCCTGCATCCAATCATAAGGCAAGTTTGCTTAAGTAGCGATTGCCCAGCCATACATCCAAGAGAGGTAGTCAAGCTGGCTGTCCATAGAATAAAAACCATTGGGGGCGGCGTAAGCGAATGTGGATGTGACATTACAGCTGAGGTCAGAATAAGACGATATTGGGAAGCGACCGCTGTGCACAGACGCTTAATGCAACTTCAATCCTACAACGGGCAGGGCCAAGATTGGTTTTTTCGGGTTGGTGATAGAAGCGGTGCAACCCTGCCTCGCTAGCGGAAACCTCCATATTTTAATGTCATAGAATAGACCTGTTATCAAAACTAGCACTGATTTACATCTGTTGTTGGCATCTTCCGATTTCATCACACATTTCCAAGGTTGAAACTCACGTCCTGTTGAGGAAGATTTGAGACGGATGGTTTTTGGGCATATCTACCGTTTACCTCGAAACCTTTGTGCGACGAAAAAAGTACCACAAATCATTGACCAAACCCAGAATGATCTAGAGCGATAGGGTTCGTGGTAGCGAGCAAGCCCTTACATGGAGACCGAGATGCCTGCTGACGACGCATGCATGTTGTGTGTGGACTGGAACCAGGACCTCCGGCTCGAAATGGGGGCCGTAATTAGGTGTGGTCTTTGCCAGTCATATGGCCCACCCCGATCGGTTAAGTTCCCTGGGGAAATTGCAACAGCATATCTCGGTCAAAGGCTGAAGTCCTACAGGGCTCCCCGGAGCAAGTCTTGAGTCGGGCGGGGTTTGAATGAAGGGCTCCAGAGTAAATCCTGAACAAAACCTAATCCAAGGTCCGTAGTGTCAAGGCACATACATCATGACAGTGGCTGACGGCTCGTTTGGAACGCTCCTCCCGCCTCTCCACTTATCCTTTTTTTTGTTTTCTTTTTCTTCCCTTTCTCTGAATAATAGCCCATGGCGATCCCGCTGCCTGACAGGGGTGAGTCCCGGGCCTTTGCCACACTGGCACAGCTCTCGCTGCAGATGTTCTCCTGCGCTTGTCAAAAGCTGGACCACACCAAATCATAGCCCAGCCAATGGGGCTATTTATCCGCCGGACTCTATTCCAGAAGCGTAAGGAGACACGGGAGTCTGAGGTACAGGAGCCACCCCATGGAACAATTAACCGGCATCGGATGTAATTCAGGAGATATTGTGGCGCAACAAAAGCCGCAGGGAAAGACGGGACATCAAGGCGCGAGTGCGGCGCGGTTCATGAGAATTTGCCTTGAACGGAAACAAAATAAAAGCCTCTTCATGTGACTCGGATGGGGAAAAAAAAAAACAGGATGGGGTCGACGCATCATGCATTACAACCGACATGGGGGGGAAACGTTATTGGCGTTCCCGTAAGTGGAGCAACTAACTTTTAATACGACCGTCGCTAAAAGGAATGTACGGACTAGGGTTTTACTGTTGGTTGTGTGAATACATGACCGTGGTAACCGTCGTCTTCTTGATGCCACGTCCCTCGGAGCTGTCCAGCAGCCCAGTTTTGTACAAGCTCTCATCGCTCCGATCCGAGTCGGCCCTCGCCATAACTGTAGTGGTGCCCGCAGGCCCAGTGGCGTAGGCTCCCAACTCGTAGTCTTCCCCTGTTCGATCGTCGCGAGACTTTAGTGTCTTTGCGCCCCCTGCCTCGCGCGAACCCTCTGGCCACTGCGAATTCGAAAGGGTCTGCCAGTTGCTCCCACTCCGTAAAGTGCCTCGACCGTAGTACGTGTTGCCTGTTGGTGCTTTGGACCCCTTTCCATACATGGTGCCCAAGAAGTCCTTGAACAGAGGGCGCAGAGTGGGCAAGCTCCCGGCAATGATACCAACGTTCGCCTCGATGGCCGTCCACATCTGAATGTGTCTCGAGTCCCAGAGTGGATCGAATGATCTTCCATACGACGTGACAAGGTAGTACACCTTGACACAGGCGGCCGCGCAGGCAAACACACCGAGGCCGAGGATGATCATAAGGGAGATTCGAACTCTCGTGGGAACGTTGAGTTTCCATAGCATCGGCGCTGGTATCGCAATTCCAAATAGGAGATCGGTTAGAATGTTGACGGACGAGTTTGCGTACGCGAGGCCCTTGACCGTTTCGATGTCCCAGCATGTTGCCTTGACTGTCCAGTCCCAGAAGATGCGAACATCTGTACACTGAAAAATGATTGTCTGTAGTTGTAAGGGAAAGTTAGCATGTTGTAATCGACACAGCCAAAGGGGACGAGGCAGAAGCGATACTCACAAAGATGCAGGCAATCGTGTATGCTGTCATGAATACCATGATCCCGATAATAAGGTTCTTGTAAAGCTTCTTAGATGCGATGCGAAGAAGAGAAGATCCAACTGCAAGCTTCACCAAGCAGAGAGCCGATAAATATAATGGTTGGGAGATAAAAGACATTTTCATGGCGACCGGGTAGTCTTCCAAAAGGTTGACATCTCCTGTGTGACGCCCAACTCCATGACGGACTTGTGCAACAATGACAAATTCACCTGCTACTGCGATTGCTGTTGCAAATGCCATAAACCCATCCTAGAGTTTTGATATTCCATTAGATGTCTCAGTCTTGAGGTTGGTGATGTGTAAAAGGGGGGCGTAACAACGTACGTCGAGTCCAAAGCTTCGAATCATGCCCAGACGCACATACAAACGTGCGCCTACGGTAAGAAGAGCCACACATGTTACTGTCAGTGTCGCTGCCAGTACCGTGGGACCCTCATTCTCGTCGGGGTTGGAGACGAACTCCATTCTGTCAGTTGCCAAAGTGAAAAAATGTGAACTGATGGACGGCCGGCGCCACAGTCAGGTCAAGAGTCTACAGCGGGAGAGGCGTTTAAAGGAAAATAGTTCATGTGTCATATTCAAGATACGTTTAGACTATGTTACCCGAGGAAGTGACTACACCATGTCAAGGTGAGACTCAGATCAGCCATATGAAGTTGACAATGGCCGTCCTGAAAATTTGGATACCATGGACGCCATAGTGTATGCCTATGCGGTTTCCAATCGAGCCACTTCTTCGTGCTACTTTCCTTTTCTGTAAAAAGTCTTCATTTCAGCTAACAGACAATGATCGCTTCGTGGGCGAGTATGCGCCGGAGAAGATGCGCCCTGGTCCTTCTCATCGCATACACGCCAGCTGGTTGGTGGCATTACCCATGACAACATGTATCAAAACCTGCGATACGGGGGTCCTGGAAATCCCAGGGGAGGGGGTGGCATGCGGTTCCCTAATGTCATGAAATCCACCTTGAAGTGTGGTTGGTTGTTGGTTCTTAAATGCAGCTAAAGGAACTCCTAGGAGACTAACCTCATTTTTTACTAGGGTTCCTAGCCATTCCAGAACCTGGGGAAATTTATCTTTCTTCATCCCCTCTCGCTTGTCCCAGCTAGCCTTCGGGTGCAGCTCCACAACCGGTAAAGGGCTGGACATGGTAATCTAGCTGCCGGCCTACGACTGGCGCGGGCCGTGAGCCGGACGATTAATCCCGGTATAGGCCTTGCATGACGAAGTTTGCTACGCCGCCGCCTGTTCCGTACTCCTTGTCGCGGACCACCAAGAGACCAAGCATCTCCAACGGCCTCCGCCTCCCACTTCCCTGCGTCTAGTGGGACTTCTCACATCTCGTGCATTCCTAGCGCTGATAACGCTCGGGGGATATTCCCCAAAGGCTTGGTGTAAGAACCCTGCCGATATGGCTTCGTCCGCTGTTATGTTGGTGGCGATGCAGGAAATGCGTCTTTTACGCGATATGATCCACGAAAATCCTCAAGGATTATCGACATTTTGAAAAGTGGTGTCCGGGATGGACTGGCGAGGTCCTTGGCCTCATACGTTTGTTGAATGTGGCTGCGACTGAATGCAGTTGATACGAGAGCAACCACTGGGGCGTGAGAAATCTATATATCTGGCACATGGTTTACACCTCCTGCTGCAGAACAGTCTCTTGTGCCCTCAGACAGCTCTTCTGTTCAGTGATAGACATCAACCCGCCCCCCTTTTCTCGGTTCAAGTTCCCGCCAGCCATCCATCATGCACGCTTTGTCTCTTGGCATCCTCGCCCTGCAGACGGCCTCTGCCGTCCTGGGCAACCCGCTCCCGCAGACGGATGCCGGCGCCATCGCCGCTGCTGAGGGCGTTGACGAGTTGGCAGCCCTTGCCCGTTCTGCCTACGAAAAGACCGAGGAGCTGCTCAACAGCGGCGACCTCCAGAAGCGTGGGAGTACCTGCAACCTGGGAAATATCAAAATCCGTAAGGAGTGGTAAGTAAAAGATGGTCACGATAGCGGCTTAGACGGCTTGACTGACCTTGATCTATCACAGGGGATCTCTCAGCAAGAGAGAAAGACTCGACTACGTCAAGGCAGTTCAGTGTCTCTCCTCCAAGCCCGCACGCACTCCCTCCGAGGTGGTTCCCGGTGCGAAGACTCGGTTCGATGACTTCGTTGCCACCCACATCAACCAGACTTTCACCATCCACGCGACGGGAACCTTCCTGTCTTGGCACAGACAATTCACCTGGCTTTATGAGGAGGCGCTGAGAGAAGAGTGTGGTTACACCGGTACCCAGCCGGTAAGCCAAGCTCCCAAACACTTGACGGGTTCGGTTCGGCTAATATGAACAAATAGTACTGGGACTGGACCAAGTCTGCCATCACAGGACTCGAGAAGTCGCCCATCTTCGACGGCAGTGAAACCTCAATCTCCGGCGACGGAGAGTTCATCGACAACAAGGGCGATCTCATCCTTACCGATGGCGACGGCAACGAGATAACCCGTCTCCCAACCGGTACCGGTGGCGGCTGTGTCAAGTCTGGCCCCTTCAAAAACTTCACCGTCAACCTGGGGCCTGTTGCCCTGGCCCTCCCTGGAGGCGGCAGTGAGATGAATCCCGAGGGATTGTTCGCATACAACCCCCGCTGTCTCAAGCGTGACCTGACAACCGAGATCAACCGCCGGTACTGCAACGCCACGGCCGTGATCCGCAACATTGTCAACCCCCGCGACATTGCATCCTTCCAGGACATGATGCAAGGTCTCTCCGCGCCCGCAAACATGCTTGGAATCCACGGGGGAGGCCACTACTCTTTCGGAGGTAAGTCTTTGCTGATGTACCACTCTAAGATAGAATCCATGCTGACAAACACGTAGGTGACCCGGCTCGCGACTTCTTCACCAGCCCCGGCGACCCCGTCTTCTACCTCCATCATGCCATGATTGACCGCGTTTGGTGGATGTGGCAGATGCTTTCCCCTTACGACCGCCAGTTCACCGACAAGGCCCTTGCCGGTACCAACACTTTCATGAACCTCCCGCCTAGCGCCAACACTACCTTTGAAGACATCCTCGAGTATGGCTACACTACTGATACCAAACTCAAGGTTGGCGATGCTTTGAGCACGGTCGCCGGTCCCTACTGCTACATTTACCTTTGAGAGATGCTGATACGGGACTGGGACATGTAGAGTAATAGAAGAGAGCGGTTGCTTGGGTTCCTAAGAGCCATCACATAGAGATAAACTTATAAACATAGTAATCAATAATGATTGAATTTGGAAGAAAATGAAGCCAGTGTTTAGTACACTAATGATAAAGCCGGCATGATTTTCAGTCATTTTATCTAATTTTATTGGCCATTACTAAGTCGGCATGAAATCATATGCCTCACACTTGAATAACAAAGCCGGGGTGGCATTAATGACCTTCACTTTTCAACTAGGTATGGCACAGAACAAGGGAAGAAATGTCTTGACAGAGACTTTTGTCGTGTGATATCTATTTCTTTCAAGAAATCACACCTTTACATGCATTTTGTGCTCAAGAAATCCAGCGGCTGTTTGGTCGTCTCCAAGCTCTCATCCTTCCCAGATCCAAGCATGCAAACATAAACCTCACCGCACTTCCGATTTTGCTCAAGACAATGATATAACCATAGAGTGAGTAAGCAGTGATTCACCACTACTTTCCACCGATGGATCCACCCAGGCTGGTGTCAGGCTTCTCCTCAGGCTTCTCCTTAGGATTGACCTTGAGCTTAACCTCAGGCTCGTCCTCAGGCTCACCAAGAGGCACCTCCTTGAAGTCGCCAAGGTCTTTGTCCTTGCTCATGCTGCGAGCAAGTAGACGGTGGTACTGGAGAGTAACGTAAGCCAACTGCTCACGCAGGCGACTCTCCTGTTCGTTCTGCTTCATCTTGGTAGCGAAAGCATCGGCATGAACCTTATTAATGAATCTCTGGAGTCGCTCCTGTTCACCCTCGAGGGCTCGAATCTTGTCGCCATACTGAGAGTGGAGCTCAGCGGCAACGGCGCGAACGCGACCGTTTACATCCTCGGGGAAGTCAACCAGCTCCCAGTCGGACATGCCATTGTCCCTTTCGTGGGCCTTGACGGAGTTAGATTCATCAGCCTAAAGGACGACATTTTTTCTTCACTCACCATCTTCTTCTTGGCCTTCTTGATCTTCTTCTCCTTCGCGGGGAGGCAGTCGACTGGGTGCTCGGAAGTGACAACAGAAGAACCCTTCTGCGCAGAGTTCTCAGACATTTTATCATCAGAACCCAGAGAGATAACCTTCTAGGGAAGTAGCTTTTGTTAGTGCGGGCTCCATGAAGGAGTTGTGCAGGGGCAATCAGCAGGTAATTCAAGCCAGGGACACTCACGATGCCACCAACGGTACCGGCAGTCTTGATAGGCTTGCTCATGTTGGCGATCGCTGGTTCAAAGACGGTTGTGATGGTTTCGGTGTGTAGTATCGCCTAATTTGAAGGCAAGATGGTGGTATTCTTGGGGGTAGACGGGAGTTGTGTAGAGGAAGAAAGAAGAAGGCGTGGATGGTGAGTTGAAAAGGAGAGGTTGGCGTCAAAGCTTGGATACGTAGGGTTTTCCCGTTTTTCGGAAAGAGGCTGTAGATATTTACAAAAGGTAAGGAGCGACTTTGCTGGATAAAGGCCTGCCTGCCTCTTCAATGTGTTTGATTGTTCATTGACGTGCCTGAATCACGTGCCCAAGGTTGAATTTCTCACGGCCGCCAGAAAGTGTTTTTATATTTAATTTAGGAAGCTGCAATAAAGAATTTCTCTGCGTCGTCGTTACCTTACTGTGTGATAAGTGGGTGCCTAGTGAAGGTCAGCTAAAGGTACTTCTAAATAGACTTACCCTACTAAGACGAATATCTTCCGAATGAGGCTTTCTAGGCTCATTTATTAACACTCATTGAATCCTGCACTTGTGTAGCAGCCTCCCAGCCTTGTAACGGCCATGATCGATAGTAATTATTAGTGATCTGTTCTGTGTAGGCATATAATTCCACATTAATCAACGTTTCCGTCGTTTCCAAATCTTCAATTACTATACATAACCTACCTCCTTTCTCTGCCTCATCCTCATAGTTTTCTTGCCTTGGCATTAGTTTGCTTCTTTCTTTCCACCTTTTCCATTATCTGTCACTACTTCTCGAGTTCTCACATATTCGCACTGTTGCTGGTGATGGTCCTCGTTATTTATTTTATTATTGATTATTATATATGTGGTTTCTTTGGTATGCTAGATTTCAAAACGCTTTGCGGAAAGAAACAAAAAACATTACGACTTCTGCCCGCCAGGTTTCCCGTTTGGTGGTCGGCTTGCGACGAAAGGGATACCTTCCTGCTTCCTTGCTAACTTGAGCAATCCACCTGAGCAGAGCATCAGGCAGTCTAAGTCAGCCATCAACCTCAGGTGACAGATACGCCCCCAATCTGTACGCACTTAGCACATGTCTCTCCGGATGTCACTTGCGAAAAAGTCAAAACTCACCCTATTATCATGTAGCACGCACACATGATACCACCCTTGAGGCTGCCAGCCCGCAAAACGCCATTCCCGTCACCCGATATGAACAAGCTCACCAGCAGAGCCGTTCCCATCAATGCTGCTACTTCGAATAAGTTGAAGTCGAGGATCAACTCGCGAGACAAAATCCAACTCGCAATGACCGTCAACGGCGCTACGCAGAGAGCGATTTGTATTGACGATCCGACTGCCACTGCAACAGCGAGGTCCAGTTTCTCTCTTGCTGCAACGGTAACTACCGTGACGTACTCCGCAACGTTGCCGATGATGGGTAGGATGATGAGGCCAATGACGGTTTCTGAGAGGTGTCCTTGATGTGTTACCTCGTCGATTGTACTGACGAGGAATTCGGCGCACATTGACATCAATGCGGAGCTAATGATGAGGACGAAGATGGGTAATAACCTTTCCAATATCGTTCTATCGGGTCTTGTCTGCTCGGCTCCAATGTCGTCGACTCCTTCGCGAGTCCTTCGAAACAGCCGTGAGTTTGCCAGCCCCCGTTTTGGCTTTCTTTGATGTCTTGCGCCTGTAGAAGGTACATGTTGATGTGGTCTTCTCGGGTTGGCGGCTGTAGAAAACGGAAGGGAACGGGTACTTTGCGTCAGAGGGTCGTCAGACGTTACTCTTTCGCCATCTTCGCGACGATTCCAATGTGTTCGGTTCGAATTTTCTTCTGGTTTGCCGCTTTCGGATCCCGAGGACACGAAGTCATCGTCATCGTCATACTGTGCCTCATACTGTTTCATTTCAACCTCTTCTTCCTCTCGGCGACTTTCTGTATCTCGGTTTGCGTGGTGGATGCTTCGAAGAGGGATAAGCGCTTCTAATGACTGGCGGGCACCCCCGGAGTGTCTAGCTGGGGACGTCGGCGAGCTTTCGAGGTCAGATGAGTCCTTCGGTGAGGAATGATAGCCCTGAGTGATGGAGTGTGTTCTGAACTCGTGAACGAAGTAAAGAATGTAAATGAAGATTACAATCAACGCGGACGCTCGGCTCATTTTCAATATTGCTGCGCTAGCGCCCTCTGCGCCACTGAAGGTGTGGTGGAAGGCCGCCTTTCGTTGTAAGCTGGATACTACAATTATGTCACCTTGATTTTGACCTACCGGTATGAGAAACACAAATACTGATACAAATAGCAGACCGCTCAAGAGTTGCGTCTCCGCGACATTTAGAACAGGAAGGTCGTGCCAAAGCCCATTAACACACAGCGCGGTACCAAGAATCAATAGCAGATTAACAAGGATGGAACCAAGAATAGACGCTTGCACAACATGAATCTGGTTGTGCTTGAGGGCGACGCTAGTCAGATCAGTCGTCGTTCTGGCATCGCCGCATTCGCAAACATTGCGGACTTACATGCTGCGGCAAACAATGACAGTCAGTAACTGCGATAGCTTCCCTTCACCAGTGCAAGACTTACAATAGAATCAACTCGACAATATTTCCCAAGCTGATATTCAAAAACGCTCCTATCGTGTCTCCGGCATCGTCGGCAATCCTCTCGGTTGCCCCGGTGAGCAAGGATGACAGTGGTATGATGGCGATTCCATTGAAAACAAACACCAGGACTGGGCTGGCGCCAGACAAGTACAAACAAAGGCCGACTGGGACGAAGACAAGGAGTATGTTCAGCCAGGAAAAAAGCATCGTTTCGCGGAGGAACTTGGAGGCTTTTGCCATGTTCGAACGAACGCCGCCTTCCTTTTCATCGATGGAGACGCAGCCTCGGGCTGAGTCAGAGTCCGAAGAAGCCGGGCGGGTCCCGGATATTGGCGACGGAGTGGCCGGGAAGCATAAATCCCGAAGTCGCCGCCACGCATCTGATTTCCGTTAGCGACATCACTAAATACCGAGATTAACATCAGCCTAGCTAGCCTTGAAAAAATGGTCTGATGGAGTTTCCCATGGCCAACAGTCAAGTGGCCCTGTTTTTTTTTTTTGGTCGGAGGTGTTTTTCGACACTGCGATTTTCCAGATGCGTGGACTGGGAGAGTTTTCGTGGGCGGTTTATGCTTCATGACCTTGTGCTCTTCATCTCTTTGCGCTTTCCCGGAATCGGTATCACACCGGAATATCCGGGAGGCATCCAATTGCTATATTTCTGCAAAGGAGTAATGTAGGAAGACATGTATGAGCGATTTAGAAATTGTAAGGGCAGGGCGAGGGCGAGGCGGGCAGCGGGGTGATCCTTTTAGTACTCGCTAAATCACTCATAATTTCCGCATTACGTCTCGATCCTGTTTGGACGAACCGTACTATAGAAATTTTGAGGTTGTATATGGCTAACTGTCGATATGTGAACATTGTGTGGTGGATTGCTTGGCGTGACTTTGGCTCCTTTTTGCTGATCTGACCGCTTCGGCTCTTGCGGCTGCCCGAGTGATTATGCACTTACGTTGTCCAAGCCAATCTACGAGCCCGGCTTTTAATGCGTTCGCGTTTCCTGATACGGTTACTCATTGCGGGGATAGCTTTCGGCTCACAATCCCAAAGGGGTCATGGAACTTTCTGTATTGATGTCATCTTCCATTCTCGATTGTCTTCTCACCTGTCAAATCAGGGTATGCCGTACTACCACGTCCTGTTGGGTAGTGGAGGCAAAGGCGTGAGGACCCAAAATAAGCTTAATATATGAGGTACGCCACTTGGGGTAACCTGGTTTACCCTACATTTTACTCGCAGGTAGTTGTGTTCTAGTATCGGTCCCAAGATGCCAAGAGAATTGAGGCTCTCACTTGATAAAACTCACGGCCCACTGATGATGAGCTGAAACTGCACATTGCAATCCGTACTGAGTGATTATGAGACATTTGCCCACTGCTTCTCATCGTGTCGTTACTTCATCTGTGCCAGCAAAGCGGTTTGTATTGGATTATTGTTGATGCTCACTCTGTTATGTGCTATGCCGTTATCCCTACTTAAGTACAGCCAAGCAACAAGCGGACGACTTGTTGTCGCGTATTCTTTTTCGTGTTTAGTTCAATGGGATAATTAACACCTCTGTCTTAGTACGTGCTGGAGGCTGGTGTGCGGCTGTTGCGGCAACCCTGTAGGCGGGGTCCGGCCCTTCACACACACTCATCAAACTTTGCAGCCATGTTGGATGGTTGTTTTAAGCTCATTTCTCCCTCTCGTGTTTGCAATTTTGCGATACGTGATTCAGTAATCATGGGCTAGCAAACGATATGGACATCGATACCAGTGCATAGGAAGATTTTGAGGTGCTATGTGTGTTCATAGGACCGATTTAGCTAGTAGGGCAGCTCCAGCAAAACAACAACAGAAGCCTTTAAGAACAGACTCGAAGGAGTTTCAATGGCTCCTTAAAACCTTGATCAATCCCAGAAAAAAGACTTTCAAAACATGCAGCTCATCACCTACGCTAGATGCATAGTCTAGCTAAGCCATCAATGTCCAAACAGCACTAACACAACTGGCTTGGCGGCAGATCTATTTCCTCAGTACCGGAACAGGTCTTGGCCCAGACTGGCCATCTCCATTACCCCAGATGAGAATACACGATTCTGATTAAGTAAACTAACACGGTCCCATCTGCCGTGTCAATGCCCTATCAGAGTCAATTCCACCAGCAGGAAACACGGCCCGTCAACTGGTTTGACACATCGTTACCCCACGCCAGTAAGTTAAGGGATCCCTGCCACTGCCGAGATCTTGTCCAGCACAGTCTCCTCCGCCAGGTATCAATGGTACTTGCCCGTGCGTCTTTAAACCCATTTTGCGAGTTATTTTCCAACTATATTTCCAGTACTAGATATATCATGTTTCAAAGAAAGAATATCGGTGCTTGACTGCGAATCTGTTACTGTCGTGTCATGGAGAACTCCCCGCCAAGATGGAAACCCGCTATAGCTCAGGGACCTCCCCCACAGAAGTGACCTTCTACCTCCCATCCGCCCAACAGCCGTCGGGCCAGCTGTGGCCGACATGCCTCGCCCACGAATCACCGTCATCTTATCCCGACGCAGGAATGCCCCTCCATTGAAATCGCATCTTTGTCGGCTCCAGGTATCAACACATGATCGTATGGTGGGGTTAGGCGTTGCCATACATGAATGAGGTTTGTTGTACGATGTATAGCTCAACCTACGTCCAGAGGTGACCCAACCTGTCCTTTTCCTCTGCAACAAACAGTCAAGCATCATGGCCACGCAGTTCGAATTCGACGAGTCCATAAAGGGCGCTCTGCCTTCCGACTTCACCTGGGGCTTCGCGACGGCCGCCGCCCAGGTCGAAGGAGCCTGGAACAAAGATGGCAAAGGTATCTCTATTTGGGATAAGTTCGCCCACACGCCGGGCAAAGTGAAGGATGGTAGCACTGGCGACGATGCCGTGCGCTCGTATGATCTTTACAAGACCGACGTCGCTCTCATGAAGCGCTACGGCGTCAGCGGGTACCGGTTTTCCCTCTCTTGGTCACGCATCATTCCCCTCGGCGGAAAAGACGACCCCGTCAACGAGGAGGGCATCGCCTACTACAACCGCCTCATTGACGAGCTCCTCGCCAACGGCATCACCCCCTTCGTCACCCTCTTCCACTGGGACACTCCCCAAGAGCTGGAGGACCGATACGGTGGGATGCTCGACAAGGAAAAGTACACGCCCGACTTCATCCGCTATGCCCGCGTCTGCTTCGAGCGCTTCGGTGACCGTGTTAAGGACTGGATCACCTACAATGAGCCCGGCGTGTACACCCTCGCAGGTTATGCGGCGGGAGTGCACGCTCCAGCTAGATCCAGCTTCCGCAACCTGAACGAGGAGGGCGACTCGAGCACGGAGCCCTTCATCGTCGCGCACACGGAGCTCGTTTCCCACGCCTACGTCGCCGACATGTACAAGAAGGAGTTCCAGCCGTCGCAAAAGGGCAAGATCATGATCACGCTGCACGGAAACTGGTCGGAGCCCTGGGACGAGTCGGACCCGCTGGACGTCGAAGCCGCCGAGCGGGCGCGGGAGTTCGAAATCGCCTGGTTCGCCGACCCGCTGTACAAGACGGGCGACTACCCGGCCTCGATGCGCGCGCAGCTCGGCGACCGGCTGCCGCGGTTCACGCCCGAGGAGAGCAAGCTGGTGTTGGGGAGCTCAGAGTTCTACGGCATGAACTCGTACTCGGCCTTCTACGTGCGCCACCGCGACGGGCCGGCGGACATCAACGACCACAAGGGCAACATTGAGCAGTTTGACGAGAACAAGCAGGGCGTGCCGCGCGGGCCGATGAGCGACACGTACTGGCTTCGCACGACGCCGTGGGGGTGGGCCAAGTTGCTGCGGTGGATCTGGAACCGGTACGGCGTGCCGATTTACATCACGGAGAACGGCACTACTGCGCAGGGAGAGCATGACTGGAAGCCCAAGGGTCCGGATGACATCCTCGAGGACCCCTTCCGCATCGACTTCTTCAAGAGCTATCTGACCGAGGTGGCGAAGGCGTCGCAGGAGGGCGTGGTGATCAAGTCGTACTTTGGATGGACCTTTACGGATAACTGGGAGTGGGCGGCCGGCTTTTCGGACAGGTTCGGCGCCACCTGGATCGACTTTGAGAGTCCGGAGAAGACGCGGTATCCGAAGCGATCTGCTTTGTTCTTGGGTGATTTCTTCAAGCATCTGATTCGCGAGGAATAGACAGACAATTTGACAAGAGATTGAGTAAAAAGCAAGTCCTTGTGACCACTAAACTGGGTGAATTTATCTCAATAGCCAGAAGACCAATGGAGCGAAAGGAATCGCGGGCCAAAAAGAACAGCAAAAGAAACGGATCTTGCCTCGAGGGCGAATCGAACGCCCGATCTTCTCATTACGAGTGAGACGCTTTACCACTGAGCCACCAAGGCTTGCTTGATCCATGTTCGATCTGATGATTATGGGGCTCATGTAGGCAAGCTGTTTATCGCAAGAATGGGAGCAATTGGGACTAATTGAAGAAAAATTCCAATGTGCTTTGCTGAATCGTAGGGGTTATTTTAATAGTGTTTTTGTTTTCTTGCAACGAGACATGGCTAGTTCCGAAGGTTTGTTTCACTTCCATTTTAGTGTCAACAGCTGCCCCAATTAAGCCTTACCCGAACCGGCACGACTTATAACGGGCGAAGCTACAAACTCAATAGGATGCTTCATGTTGTTTGTCGTGGTTTTATTTGTACAAACGATATATTTCTACTCAAAGCTGCAGAGTCGCTGGAGTTAATTTCTCGTACTATCTTCCGAGTCGAAGAAGGGAAGGGGCCAAACAAAAAATGCTCTTCATTCCAGATACCATATCAATCAATTGGTTCTCATGATGAAGGCCGGCTACAACACACTCAAGGAGTGAAATATTACACCAAAGAAGGTCAAAATCCTCAAGCAGCTGCCTAGCTCTCGATGGCCTCCGCTTCCGTAATCTTTACCCAAAACTCATTCTGCACGAATAGGTTGTGATTCACACTCTTCCAGGGCCTGCCGGGGTACACGATCTGGAAGTCAAAGTACCGGAACAGCTAGCAATGGTCAACACCTCTCTTACAACCAGCGATTGTAGCTCGACTTACCTCGAAGAACACCTTGTTAAGCTCCATGAATGCCACGTTCTTCCCCGCGCATCCCCACCGACCATACCCAAAGGTCAGTTCTGTCGTCTTCTGCATGTTGTCTCTGGTTGCGTGGTCTGCTTCAATCCACCGCTCAGGGCGGAATACATCCGCGTCCTTTCCAAACACGTCGAAGCGGCGTAGGGTGCCCCAAAAGTTCTGAGCAATGCGTGTACCACCCGGAACAAACATGCCATTGATCGTGTCGCCCCCGGCGGGGACTTCCTTTGAGCACTGACCGGTGAATGGAGCATTCATGCGCAGGCCCTCGTAAATGATGGCCTTGGTGACTTAGCGTCGCCTTTTCATATGGCCAGGTTGAGAAAGATGGCTTACCTGGAGATAGGGCAGTTTCTTGGCTTCTTCAAAAGTAATAGGTGTCGAGGCGCGACCTTCGTTGATCGCCGCAGCAATCTCCTTCTTCAGAGTCTGGTACGCATGGGGCGAAGTCATCGTGTAGAGGAAGGTAGTCCGGACAGCCGTGGCGGTCGTATCAGACCCAGCGGCGATCTGGAACAAGACCTCCTGTTCGGACTGCTTTTTTGTGAGACCGTGGCGAATAAAGGATCCCTTGAAGCAAAAATGTCAGTCTGCATTCCCGCCGGGAGTGAGTGTCGATGGTGATTTACCAGCATGTCCCGCTCATCCTTCGCGTCGGGGCCGTATCTCTTCTCCACGACGTCTTGGGCAAGTCTATCGCATCGTCAGCATCAGTCGCACATGCATACAGGGCAAGCAACCTACTTCATAAGCCTTCCCATCCCCTGTTTATCCGTAGGCTTCGGACCGACAGTGCCCAGCACGGCCTTGGACCAAAAGAGATTACACATGTAGGGCGTCTCGCCGAACAACTGCAGCCATGGAACCACGGCCTCTGTGGTTTTGATGTAGTCGTGAACGTCCGAGTCGGAGGTCAAGTACCCAAAGGCCTTTCCATACGCAATCTCCGTAATGACATCCAGCGTCAGGTATTGCGCAACTCGTCCCAGATCCATTGGTTTCACGTCGCCGCCCCTGCTGAGGTACTTCCTCCGGATCAACTGCACGGCACTCGCAATCTGAGAGTCAATACCGGCCTCAAGCCCGGTGCTATCCCTCCCCGAGTATCCAATGGCAACCTGCGCCTTCAACTTGTCGTGCGCGCGCGTGTCTCGAAGGCTGAACATGCTGTCATTGTGCGGATCGAACTTGGCAGCGTTGTACCACGTCGAGCGGTTATACGTGTCGCGTGCGCCGTTCATGCGGCGGAGGATCCCTGGGTCATCCGTGACCAAGTCGTTTGGTCCGATACAGACCAGAGGCCCATGCTCGCGGTTGAGGCGAGTGAGGATCTCGGCAGGGCGTCCGGTGCGGGAGTTGGACATGTTCCAGAGGTAGCTGAACCTGGCCAGCGGCGGCCCGGGAAAGCTACGAAGACGGTACCATGCCGCAACGGAGGACGTCACGTAGTAGATGACGAAAGCGACGAGGAGGTACAGGGGCGTAGAGTGGGCGTCGAGACCCAAAGCCAGGTTTGAGACGGCCATGTTGATGGACCGCTGCGAAGAGTTGAATCAAGAATTCGATGAGCTGGAAAGAAGAGGAATCATCCTTATTGCTGGCCGTCTTGCTCCTTGTTCTTATATAGGTAGGCGACATCTTTGTTCTCGAACAAAAACCCCGCCCCCGAACCCCGCTGCAAGGAGACCCGGTATTCGAGTTGGTTCTGATGGATAGATAACATCACATCGCTGGCTGAATGTATGTTACATCAGTATGTATGGGCAAGGGTTTGATTATATCAGCGCCCTGCCCAAGGGCTTCGGGAACGTCTTGTAAGTGGTTTAATGGCTCGGGCCGCATCCCTCAACGGAATGATGAGACGAGGTGCAGACTCTAGATGCAAAGCAGACGCACCTCACGCGCAGGTAAGCCTGCAATGGAGTCACTAGCGATACTGGCGACGTTGCATTCTTGACCGATGGTCATAATTTCGCTGCAGTTGGCCCCTTGTTGATACTGTGACCCATCCAATGACAACTTGGCGGTCAGTTTAAGCGTACCAACGCGGACGAATCAGCATGATCGGGGCGTTGGTATAGCGCTCTTATGATTGGGCATCACTGGACAACCATGGGAGGCGAGCGATGGAGGCCAAAATATGTGATTATCACATTTGCTTGTTCGGAGCGCCTCCGCGTGGAACCGCCAATTCTCGGCATAAGCACTTGGGGTCGGCCGACACCACGGCGGGCCATTAGCAGCTTTCGGTAAGGATTTTATGTCGCCTATGAGGTGGTGCATGGGCAATAAATCGCAATTGACCCGCGGTACCCCATAGAACTTCAAAACCGTCTTAGGAAATGGGTAAAAGATCCCCAGCGACCCATACAAGTTCCACTAGGCGGGCAGAAGGAGGAGTAATAGGAGAGATGTTATTGGTCGGATAGTGAGAGAGGATAGGCAGAAAAAAATACGACAAATGTTGATGGGGATTTGGGACTTCAAAGAGTAAAGTGTGATGCGGGAGCTATTTGGAGATGAATAAACCAGTTGCCAGGGCGGCAGAGGGTGTCAAGAAGCCACGGGAGAAGAGAGAGCAGCAGACAGAAAGCAATAAAGGGAGAGAGAGAGAGAGAGAGAGTAAAGCACAAGCTGGCTATGAAAGCCTGCATTCTTCCATGTTTCTGAAGGGTCGCGCCAGTCCTAATTTTACTCGCATGTAATGGGCATATAGTACGCAAATAGTAAAGGCCATAATCCCCAATTCCCCAATATCCAGCGCTGTCTTTAGAGGGGAGTTGCTCATTGAGGTTCACCTCGCTGTTGATACATTCTTCGTTTTTTAATATACATCCGTCGTCCCAGACAAAGTCCGCCACGTCTTCAAGACGCTCAAGGTGCCTTGGTCCGCAGCTGAACACCGTGCCACTGCTTCATCATGTCGCCCAGCACAGCGTTCACCATCCGCTGCTGCTTGAGCATGTTGGCGCCCTTGAACTTCGTTGAGGTGATGTCGATGGCATACATGGAGCCACAGCCGCCCGACACATCCTGTACGATGAGCTCGGAGGGGGAAAACTCAGCAACCAGCTTATCCCATATCGTCGACTCGGCGTCGTCGAGGTGGTCGGGCTTCTCGAGGGCTGTCGAAGAGGACTCGGCCGCGGCAGAGGAGTAGGTGCGCTTAGAGCTTATTTGAGTGCTCAATCGGTAAGATGATTGGTATGCGAGAGTAGAAGGAGTGTTTGCTCGGACACAGGGAGAGGAAGAGTAGCTTCTTGATGCGATCGGAGAGCTTGCGGCGGCGGCTCTGGCAGCGAAGTTGCTGGGGGCAGCTTTGGTGAGCGCGATTGCGCGTCGGCAGGATCTGCAGAGCATTTTGAAAGTTCTTGTTCGTCCTCCGGCACGAGACTATGTAGATTGTAAAGTGCGTTCAATTGCGAAAGCCTCAAATGTTGTGGTTTAGGGTCTGTTGCGGGCAAATTGACTTTTCCAGGAGATGCTTGAGAATTGGAAGCTTCAACCCCAAATTTCTAAGCTCGGCTCGGTTGACGTCAATGTGAGCCGGACAAATTGCCGGTGATTAGCCGGGTTGGGTTTTGGCTGGCACAGTGCGGATGGGTTAGCACGGCGTCTCACTCACTCATTGGGGTCTCATTATGAACTTTCACTCACCACACACACACACACACTTACACTCATGCTCCCAGAGCCTCACTAAACCTACTGCCACTTAGACCCCAACTAACCATTTACACATGTTCAACCACAAACGGTCAAGCCTAAAATGTATGCTGGGTTTATTCAGACTACTATCGCGAGACCCGACTTCAATGTGACCCTGAATGGCCTCAATTCTTCCGTCAGGATGTCTTGGCTCCCCTCTTAAATGCCGAAGCCGCGCTGCAGTAGACCGGTTTCGATACCGGAAAAGCACTATCGAGACCCCCATGACGCCTATCATCGTCCTCAATATACCCGTGGGCCAGTAATTAGGCCAGCTTGAGATCACCTTCCGTCCGGCCCTGGGGCCATCATTAGGTGTCCCCCGCATCCCCCGCATTCTTCTCCAATGAATTACCCCAGATCCAAAAAGACGCTTATTTACTCCGGCCCTGGGTGCTGAGAGCCATGTGAAGTTCTCGTGCGGTTACCGATTTTCCTCCAATCAGACAGGGGTCTTGAATACATTTTGAGCGGCCTAGCACGGAGAAGACCGCAGATGTTGCTACGTCAGAGGGCTTATAAGAGAGAGAGACGGTGATGAGATGAGTCTGGGGATGACGCTTGGGCAAGGCATTTTCATCTTTTTGACAAAATGGCTCGTCTCTGTTACTTAGCCTCTGCGGCTCTGGCCTTACTCGGGCTTGTTGCCGCGGAGGAACCTACCGCCCAAGTGGTTAACGGCACGTACCGCGGCCGGCACCTCTCCGGGTGGGACCAAGATGCGTTCCTGGGTATCCCATTTGCTCAGCCGCCGGTGGGACAGCTGAGATATCGTTGGCCCCAAAGTCTAAACTCTTCCTTTGACGACGTGCGCGATGCGACTGAGCATGGGTACAGCTGCATGCAGTATCGTGGGAACTTCAACATGTCAGAGGATTGCTTGACACTCAACGTCGTCCGTCCCGCTGGAAAGCCAGAGAAACCATTGCCAGTTCTTGTATGGATCTACGGAGGTGGCTTGTACACTGGCTCTGTTGTAAGACCATCCCCTCTGTCTATCAACCTGTGCAATTGACTAACATCAGCAGGCCGACCCCCAGTATAACCTCTCAGGCATCGTCAAAGTCAGCCAAGACATGGGCGAGCCCATCATCAGCGTTGCAATGAACTACCGTCTCAACATGTACGGCTTCTTACAAACACCTCAGCTTCTAGCAGAAGGATCAAGCAACGCGGGTCTGCTCGACCAGCGGTTGGCCCTCCGGTGGATCCAGGAGAACATTGCCGCCTTTGGTGGAGACCCCGACCGAGTGACAATATGGGGCGAGAGTGCCGGAGCGCAATCCATCGCTTACCACCTATTCAGCTACGACGGCCGGGATGACGGCTTATACCGCGCCGCAATCCTAGAGAGCGGTGGGCCGACAGGAGCCCAGGTCCAAAACCTACCGTACTACAACTCTCCCGTCGAGAACCTCACCCGCACAACCGGCTGCTGGACCGCCAAAGATCAGCTCGCCTGTCTTCGTGGTCTCAGCCAAGACGCCCTCTTCGCTGCTAAGCCCAGCCAAGTCTGGAACCCTCTCATTGACGGCGACTTCCTCACGGGATACCCAAGCCAGCTGATTCGCGAGGGCAAGTTCGTCAAGGTGCCGTTGTTGACCGGCGCCAACAGCGACGAAGGGATCAACTTCAACCCGAACTCGCCGAAGCCCGACAACGAGGAGAGCCTCTTGAAGGGGTTCATGTGGTGGCGGTCCTACTCGCTTTCGGCACCGACGATTCGCAAGTTCTTTGAGCTTTACCCGAACGACCCATGCACGCAGCCACCCAACTCCATCACCAACTGCTCCGTCTACCCCGCCAAGGGTCTGCAGTGGCGGCGGGGCGCCTCAATCGGCGGAGATCTGGTCATGATTTCGGGCCGGAGGAAGATGTGCGAGTTGTATGCCGGTCCGGACGTCGGACAGACCGTGTACAGCTACCGGTTCGACCAGCGGTTGTGGAACAGGGGGGAGCTGGACGGCGTGCAGCACTTTGACAATGTCGCGTTCAGTTTCCAGAACATTTCCGGGTTGCTGGGCCCGTCTCCCCAGTATGACAGCCACGTGGAACTGGCTCAAGCTATCGGGCAGGCGTATGTTCGGTTCGTTAATGCCCTTGACCCTAACCCGAAGGCCGGGAACTCGACAAAGAGGGACGGTCTGCTGCCATACTGGCCCAAGTATGACGTCAATGACCCCAAGAATCTGGTTCTGAAAGCTGGTGAAAGTTTCGTGGAGGATGATACGTGGAGAAAGGAGGGCATTGCATACATCAACTCTTATGAGGTTGCAAGGGAGCTTCTCGCATAGTAGACTATGACGATGACGATGACGACGGTAGTGATGTATTTGTGATGGGGTTTTAGACGTCTTTTTTTAAAGAAAAAATAACCTTGGACGAAATATGACTCGAGCATCTATATCAACCCGGGTAATAAGTAATATTACTAGAGACACTATTCTTGTCCCGCTGTTGTCCTCCTCCGGTGGATCTCACTGATTCTCCCTTTCCATGTCATTAGGCCAAGTCTCCAGGGTCAGTCCTGCTATGCAACATCGACAGCACCCGCTGATGAACACCTGCAGTGGACCAGATTACGACGGTGTGTATGTGAGGTGTATGCAAGACACATGACGGGTCCGTTCACTGCCGTGAGGTTGGGTCGAGTATCAGCGGGCTGCATTCGACATACCTGCTTTTTTCTGGGGTTTCTTGACGATCGTGTACAATAGGTGGTAAACTACCCAAGACCGCTATTTTCGACGTGCATGGATACTTATAATACTTTTGTATTTACACTCTTGAGTACCTGGGCGATGAGGTCTTGAGAGAAAACTGTCTTAAACTCTATTTATGCGGACCAGACTACGACGGGAATCATGTTTGAGGATAAATCACAGCTCAGCCTCACCATCTCAGCCACTCCAAGGGCCTTTCTCCAAAATTGAGCAGGACCCTATGTCCATACATAGATATAGATGCAGGGGAAATGCGCCCAGCATGGGGCGACTTTAAGGTTCAGGTACTGTTCAATCGGACTTCTTGGCCCAACCGGCAAACCCCTTAAATCCCTGAATGCCGTCGGGCATAAAGCGATGAGAGTGGTCCAAGTAGGTATTTAAACACTTGGCTTTAGTTTTTCCGTCGGTCGCGAGATGCTCGGGAAATATAAAAAAAAATATTGAACTACCATAATAAGGTTAAATAACGATTCCCGTGCGCCGGTCCTTTGAAAGTCCTGCGAGATGAAAAGCTACAGTGTTGCATGCCATGGCGTACAAGGACTATGTTGGTAACTGGTGGTACAGTCGGAGCCAGGGGTCCCTATCAGCTTGGTTTTGGATTTATGGGCCAGAGATGGATTTTAAATGATCTTCATAACATTTCCCTCGGATATGTTGTTTTTAGTTCACGTAACTGAATCATGGTCTTTTTTTTTTTTTTCTACTGTGTAACCGACATCGACCTGCATATCAAAAGTTCGTCCCGTTCTTGTAGTGAATTAAGCCCGTAAACTTAAGAAAGCAGTGTGGAAACAGGCCTGTTCTCGAGCTTCCCATATAGTCTTAGCAGCCAGTTGCTTTCGGTTTAAGGGGGAGACCAAGAGGGCCGTTAGAAGGTGGCCTGGGCGTATCAATACTGGGTCATATGTACTTGTACAGGGTTGTTTTGCTCCCTGTCTAGCCGTGTCATCCCGTCTTGACATGTTGGATGCCGAGCCAAATGCCTATGCTATGGTATACTGATATGTGCCACCTGCTTCTCCCTCTTTCGTACTACGTAAGAGACAAAAGCACCGGCGACCTAACGCTTGCCCGAATAATCCACTCAAGGGTGGCTAACATTCGGCTTGTGCAGTGTTACTCTGCCACTTCAGACCCCCCCTCCCCCGACTCTCGCGAACCTTTGTGGTCCGAGCCTAAGACCGGGGTTAGCCACCGCGTTATCGACTTTTCGGCAGGTGAGTCGGATAGAGGCCCAGAATGATGGGGGAGCCATGGTTGATCAGACGATGGATGGGTATGGACCCCCCTCCATCAGCCCTTTTGGGGCTACATGGCATGTACCCATCGCCTCTTCCGAGCAAGCTCCCTCACCGCGATGCCGATGTTATTATTATTTATTTTTTTGCCTCTCGAATCGTGCGGGGACGGGGACTATCGATGCGGAAGAATAGGCGATGTCGGCTAGCAAAAGGTCCTGTCTAAACTCCTGCCGAATTGAACCGTCTCCGATGCCGCGTATGGAGACAATGACCATCTTTGGTGTGTTGACTCGTCCCAGCACTCATTGCATCTAGTCATTCGTCTGTTTTCTTTAGTGACCAAAGACACATTCAACCCACATTGACGTGCCAGTTTCCACATCCAACGCAATCGCCCGAGCCCACATCATGACTAGGATGTGCGTCCCCGCGTAGAGGGCTGCCGTGGTACCCTGAAGCACCGCTACCCGCAAAACACGAGGGCATTCAGGTACGAGCCAAACAGCGCTGTCGATGCACTGCTACCACGGCAGTGAAGTGCCTTGGCTTCTTGGCTCAAGAGCGACAATGATGATCATTGGGGAATCGAAATCCACAAGTCAACCAGCACAACTAGAATTCAATGAGGCCTTGGTTGGTAATGACTATACTGAGTTCCTGAAGAGATTGAGCAAACACCTGCCATCTGTGGCAAATAATCAATCTTTGCTCAAGCGACTAACGCCTGGCAGCATATCTTCCATGGGCTAGTTAATTACCAATTACCAGCTTGTCTTCGACATGGAACCACCACCCAATGTCACTAAGTTCGTCCAATGTCCTTTTGCCATCTCCTGCACCGACTCTGGCCAGCCCTGTTCAACGGCCGCCGCCCCGGGCAGCGAGTGCGAGGGTGGCGCACGCGTCTGACTGCCCAGAGATCTCCAACAGAAACCATTCCGATCCCCCCGCCTCTACCAATCGCTCCTTTGCGATAGACAACTATACCCACGCTAGAAAGCCACCCGAGGTCGGCCTGCAGCCAATTTGCCCTTAAGTAAAAGCAAAAGGCCATGCCATGCTTATGCACTATCCGCACAATTAGGCTCGACCAGGTCCCCCCCTCCATCAACATCCTGGACCTCACCAACAAGATGCGGAGACCCTTACCCATATAGGAAGGCTATCTGGGGGGGAGACGGACCACACGAAAGCTCCAATAATAATGTCCAATTAATCAGTTATCCTTATTCGGACCACTTAGGAGCCTCATAGACATGGCAGGCAGCTCAGAAACTTTCGCTAACAGATTGATCGTCGGTGATCCCTCTTTTCTGCCGCAGTCGCATTTTACCCAGAGTAACTCCGTACAAAAGTGTTCGTACGGAGCAATCTGGCAGCACAAACTGCGCCTTATTCCCCCTGTAATATCCCGTATCCTGCGCGGGAAGCCTATTTTTCTTGTCTGGCATCTCCATGTATACATGGTAGGTAGGGAGGGTTCCGGCCCACGAATCCATCCACCCACTCCTGTTGGAATACACCCCCGGGCGCCCTTTTGCATGTCATATTGTGACCGCGACTCTGCATGGGGCTTCGCATTTTCCCTTCCGTCATTGTCTTTGACTCTCCACCTGCCTGGCCAAGCAAAGCGTCTGGCTGAGCCCCCCCATTCATTTCAGTACGACGATAACCTAGTCTTCCCCCTCTTGAGCCATCCCCCCTACTCTACTATGCACCGTTCCTGCCAAGATAGACCGTCAGTTCCGGGCGAGGCCCCCTGCCGAAGCTTGGCCTGCGATACGACGCTGTCGGGATGAACTTATAAAAGTTGCGAGCCCCCCAGTGCTCGGCGTTCATGAGATACCTTCTCTCGCCAGCTCCGGTCTCCCCAAGGTCATCCGTCAGCCAACATCATGGTCCGTAGCAGTCTTTTGCTGCCGCTTATCGCGGCGGCTTCCGCCGTCCAGGCAACTACCTTCCACTCTAGGGTCATCCAGGGCGCCTACATCGTCGAGTTGGAGGATGGTTTGGTAAGCAAAAACCTTCCATGTATAGGAAAAAACATGAGAGAACGTTGCTGACAAAGTACCTGCCTACAGGATGCGTCCGACTTCTACGCTCAGGCTGACGCCGAAACCACCACCCGCATGAAACTGTCCTACTCTCTGTTCAAGGGTGCGTCGATTCAGTTCAATGACCTCGACACCGCCGAGGAGAGAGCTGCCCTGATGGGAAAGCTCCCTTCCGTCAAGAACATCTACCCCGTCAAGACCTACAGCATTCCCAAGCCTGAGATCGTCTGGACGGGCGAGCAGGGCCGCGAGTATATCGACATCAAGAGGCGAGACGAGGGTGCGGACGTCTTCTCCACCCACGTCATGACCCAGGTCGACAAGCTCAGGGCCGACGGTGTCACTGGAAAGGGCATCAAGGTCGCTGTCATTGACACCGGTATTGACTACTTGCACCCTGCTCTGGGTGGTTGCTTCGGCTCCAACTGCTTGGTCAGCTACGGAACTGACTTCGTCGGCGACGCCTATGACGGCTACAACGAGCAAGTCCCCGACGCTGACCCCATGGACTGCGGTGGTCACGGAACCCACGTTGCTGGTATTATCGCTGCCCAGGAGAACCCCTTTGGTTTCACTGGTACTGCTCCTGGTGTCACTCTTGGTGCTTACAAGGTACGTTGAGCTGCTTGCCAATTGCATTCGCTAGAAGCATTAAGCTTCCGGGACGCGGATGTGGCGTAAAAGCCCCACTTTCGGTCCGCAATCGGCCGCCCTCTTAGGCCCCTCCGCCCGAAATGCCACCGGAGATTTGGGAGAACTGCAAGCTAATTGTTTGTTTCCGTATAGGTTTTCGGCTGTGACGGTGAGGTTGGCAACGATGTTCTCATCGCCGCCTTCAACCGTGCTTATGAGGAGGGCAGCCAGATCATCACTGCCTCTATCGGTGGTAGCTCCGGCTGGGTCGACGAGCCCTGGTCTGCCGCCGTTACCAGAATCGTTGAGGCTGGTGTTCCTTGCACTCTCTCTGCCGGTAACTCCGGTTCCGAGGGTATCTTCTTCGCCTCTACCGCTGCCGGCGGTAAGCGCGTCAGTGCCATTGCCTCGTTCGATAACATTGTTACCCCCGCCGTTCTCGTTGAGCAGTCCTACACCATCGGTGGTGGTGAGCCCAAGAAGTTCACCTACACCCCTGGTGAGCCCTCGAAGGGCTGGACCGACGTCTCTCTGCCTCTTTGGGCCCCCAGCACCGATTCGTCCTCGGCTGCAGCCCTTGGATGTGATCCCTACCCTGCTGACACGCCTGACCTGAGCGACAAGATCGTCCTCATCAAGCGTGGAACCTGTACCTTCGTTATCAAGGCCCAGAACGCTGCGGCCAAGGGCGCCAAGCGTGTCATTATCTACAACAACGTTCCTGGCGCCAGCTCCGTCACCGTCACCTCTGTCACTGAGATTGTGGCTATCGGTATGGTTGGCCCCGACGTCGCCGCCCCTTGGGTCTCTGCTCTTGCTGCTGGAACCGAGGTCGTCCTTAACATGGACGATCCTGCCACGGCCGAGCGAATCCTTACTTTTGCTCCCAACAACGCTACCGGTGGCTCCGTTTCCAGCTTCAGCTCTTGGGGCCCCAACTGGGATGCCCACCAGAAGCCTCAGTTCGGTGCCGTTGGAGGTAAGATAATCCACTGCTCCTAATCTTGACTTAATCCAAACTAACTCTCCTCTTAGGCAACGTCCTTGCCACTTACCCTAGGTATGTGAAACTTTACCCGGCTATCTTTGACTCTGGAAGAGTGATCAGCATAAGCTGAGAACCCCTGGGAGATGATCCCAACTTCTCCAAGTCCCGTTTATTTGCCCTTCCCAGCCCATACGACAGTGCGATGAATTGAAAACTAACGAACCATGATTACAGAGCCCTTGGAAGCTACGCTGTCCTCTCTGGAACCTCCATGTCCTGCCCTCAGACCGCCGGTATCATCGCCCTGATTGCCGAGGTCCGCAAGACTCTCGACCCCCTCACCATCGAGAACATCCTGTCTGCCCACGCCCGCCCTGTCAAGTTCAACTACGGCACTGGTCCCTCCGACCTCATTGCTCCTGTCCCTCAGCAGGGTGCCGGTCTCGTCCAGGCTTACGATGCTGCCCACGCCAGCGTGATCCTCAGCGTCTCCAGCCTTTCCTTCAACGACACTGACAACTTCATCCCCGAGCTTAACTTCACCATCAAGAACACCGGCTCCGAGGCTGTCACGTACGAGCTCAACAACATTGGAGCCGCCACCGCCTACTCCTTCGCGGCTGCTGGCGACCTCGAGCTTGCTCCCTTCCCCAACCAGCTTACCACCGAGTACGCCACCCTTGCCTTCAGCGAGTCCAAGGTCTCCGTCCCCGCTGGCGGTGAGGCCACCGTCCTCGTCGCCCCTACTGCTCCTGCCGGCCTCGTTGCCGCTCGTCTGCCCGTCTGGTCTGGCTACATTGCCCTCAACAGAACCGACGGCCCCAACCTGATCCTCCCCTACATGGGCATCACCGGCAGCCTGCACAGCCACGACACCCTCGACAACGCCCTCATGTCCACCTCCGAGCTGGCCGAGACCGACGACTACCCCGAGGTCCCCGCCAACCACACTTTCGTCCTCCCTCCCGCCGGCACCGCCAACGAGACCGACGCCATCGTCCCCGTCCTCCTCATCAACATGGCCTTCGGCTCCTCCTTCGTCCGCGCCGACCTGGTCCCCCTGACCACCTGCCCTCCCAACAGCACCAAGGAGGTCTGGGGCGTCAAGACCATCGGCCAGCCCCGCGGCTTCCCCTACCTCTACGTCTCTCGCGGCCCCAGCCCCGTCAAGTGGGACGGCCAGCTCGACGACGGCACCTTCGCCCCCGCCGGCAAGTACAAGTTTGCCATCAAGTCTCTGCGTGTCTTCGGTGACGCCTCCAAGCTTGAGGAGTACGACACCACCGAGACCGCGCCTTTCCGCATCACATACGGCGCCGCCAACGGAACCGTGCCTTCCAGACACTAGGTTTCTTGTGTGTAAATACGTGTAACGATAATACCATGTCTTTACGACGTGTCTTATTTTCTTGTAGATAGCTTTTTGAATCAGAAACAATGTCTGATGTGCATATTTGTGCTAACTGGTGATTGATTTGGCTTGTGTACTTATCGTGATGACATATCTCAAACTGTATATTTGACTTGAAAAAAAAATGACTAGCTCTATTACGAGGGACACGATATTTTGGGAACTGATGGAATACTAAAAGATTGATGCGATATAAAAGGAAATCGTGGAATCCAATATCGAGCAGACGCTTGGGTAAGTATTAAAATTAGGAGCGTTTGCAGAGCAAAATGCAAATGCTGGTTGGCAACGTCGCGATAGTTCACGATTGAAAGTAAACAAAAGCTTTTACGTTGGAAATTATACTAGCTACCGACTTCTTTCGAAACATGTCATGTAATGCGCACTATCTAGACAATCGTACAAGGGGAAAAGCCCAGACCAAAAGCTTACCTATCTTTCCTCAGAATCTTCAAACATACCTGCCGTGCTACAAGCCTAGTTCCGTCGTGCTGTAACTCTCACAAATGGCTTTCCCAGTATTAATGGACGTCGGCAATGCTCTACTACGTAGTATTCTAATTCAGGGACGCCCTGATACTTTTCACCTCCACTGCCTCTCCAGAGCATGGTTACCTTGCCGATGGTTTTCACGGGCCTGGAGTCCCCGAAAGCGACCCATACGTTTCCATCGCCGTGTAGGGGGATTATTTTCAGCTCGTGTTTGCGTACTACCTCGAGTGAAATAATATTGATATCCAAGTCTCTGATGACAACGGCGTCGACATGCTCGTCATGCTGATTGATAGCCACGCCCATATACTCGGCAAACCTTGTAGTATCAACTCTAAATATCTCTCTGGTGTTTGAAGAGATCTGACTGGGAGGGAAAGTATCGCGAGAGGCTGTGGGAGTATTCAACTGTGTCGGTTGTTGGACGAGCCGTTCTGATGCTGATGCTGCGTTTCGTGTCGTTCTACTTTCATTTGAAATTTCTTCTGTAGAAGACGCCGAGTCCACAGATGGGTCGTGATTCTGCTCTTTGTCAGTAAGCCAGCCTCTGCAAGCGAAGTGCAACGTTTGGTTGCGCACCGCGGTTGTCTCCACAGATACTTCCGACGGAGACGGAGATGAAGGAGGCGACGTAGGTGCAACCCCTGTTTTCAACACGCTTGCAACTAGACCGACAATTGCCTCGATGTTGATATCCATATCCGTTTCGAAGTCGCTGGCATGCCTGCCTGGAGTCTGATGGTGGTTTCTCTGGTGCTCTTGAGCCTTTAGCCTCCGGAATGTCTCCAAATTGCCTTTGATGGCCTTCTTTAAAAGCTGTCTAAAATTCAGGAATAGTCAGTACCTTATGAGGGGTTACTCTCCAGGGTCCTGAGTCTTGCCTATCTTGCTTAATCTTGCTAATCTCCTCATAAGATCCTGGGGGCAGGTTCTTCATTATCATTGTCAATCCCTCCATTTGAGCAGAGTGCATTAGCAGCATGAGGGTGGTCTTGTAGCTATCCATTTCTGGGAAAAGCACCATGATGGCGTCTTTCTGGTACCACCATCTGATGAAGGTAATTAAACCTGATCCACCGCTACGTAAACCTTTTACCTGCCTAGTGGCACGGTATAACCGCCGTGTGACAGAGGCGCATGTCTTGTTTAGACTAGGGAGAATGTGGGACGATGAAATATATTCGATAACAGCTGACTTCTTATTCTCCTCGCAGTACTTGTCGAGCGTAGATCGGGCTAAATTAACGGTGTCGGAGAAAAGTTGTGTGCGGGCGGCGCATTCTTCCACCTCTTCCGCTTTGAATTTGATAAAGTCGGAGAATTTGTACAATTGTCGTGACAGCTTTTCTCCGTATTCGATTAGCTGTATAATTGCCGCGAGGCTTGCTACAATCCCAACGATTTCAGCCATTTTTGAACTGGATAATAAAACGTAATAGAGTTATAGAGGTATAGTACAGTTTGAGATGACCGAGTTGATGTCGCCCTTTTCGCCTTTTCCGTCCTTATATATCAGGGAGGCATTCTTTCCGGTCACCAGTTCGAACGTCTTTCCTGCCTGGAAGCTCTATTGAACGGCACTTGGAGAAGCAGGCTCAGAAGATTGAGCCTATCGTGTTGGGACACAAAGCGTGTTGGGCCTATGTCATGCGGAGCAGCTGCAGGCTTTCGCCCTATGTTGAGGGCAGATTCGAGAACGAACAAAGCCGGCCTGCATTGTCCAATGGATGAAGCCAATTGCAGGCGTGAGCAGCATGCAATATGTCTGCAAAACGCCGCATACTCACAGTCACACGCATACCAACCCTTTAATGGTCAGGCTCTGAGCTGGATCTGATACTTTAATGGGCAAAAAAATGAGGCGAGGACACCGCCTCCTCCTTGCCAGCCACAACGACCTGAGATTTTCGGAGAATGATGGCCTATCTATTGGGCAAAGGAGACACACCTGGCCGGCCTCCAGCATTTACAAGTGTCTTGGTTGACTTGCAGGCTAACCCCAGGTTTATGCAAGTCATTGAAATGTACGTTCATACAACTCATACAACAGGTTTCCGAAAGCTCGGCCCCGTTCGCATCCTTTCGGTACGGATAGAGTTCCCAGCTTCGGCCGGCGTCACAGCCTGCTCTTTGCCTTTGCCGTTTCGTGGGACCTATGAAGAGCCACAAACAAATTTAAGTCCAAGTCTCTGCATTTTACAGGTGTACGTGCAGTATCGCTTAGGTGTGAGGTCTTCTGCAAAAAGAAGAAATGGTGAAGTGGTTGTTCTGGGTCCTATCGATGACTAATGACTTAATGGAAGACCCGACGGTGATGTCATGACAAATCAACATTCTTGCGAAATAAAACAGCAACTTCGGATCAAATACCATAATCATCTAACAGCAATTCTACAATCAACTGACATTTAGTTATACCGCTCACAATGTCTCATTCCCGAGTAGGTGTGGTTACAGGTGCCAACAAAGGCATCGGATACGCAATCGGTACGTTGCCCAATCCTACGGTAGATGCCGATCACGCAATGGCCCAGACTGATTTTTATTCGGTACGCAGTGCGCCAGTTGGCTCTGCAGTATCCCAAGTCTTCTCTGAACAACGGGTCCCTGCTCATTTACTTGACGGCTCGTGATAAGTCCCGCGGCGAGCAGGCGCTTGCCAGCATCCAGAACGATGCGGATCTGAAGAAAGCCAAAGCTCTGTCTGCGCATGGCGGCCTCACTGATATCAAGTATCACCAGCTGGATATTTCAGACTCAAAGAGCATCGAGAATCTGGCCTCGTTTTTGAAGAAGGAGCACCCTGAAGGCGTCGACTTTGTCATTAACAACGCCGGCATTGCGATGCAAGGATTCGGTATGTGTCGCGGTAAATAGTCGGCGACGAAGATTCTAACACTTGTGTCCAGATTCCAACGTGGTCAAGAACACTTTGGGCTGCAACTATTACGGCACACTGGAGGCAACTCGTGCTTGGATTCCGATACTCAAGGCTGATGGACGCATTGTCAACGTTGCATCCGTTTCAGGCTCGTTGAACAAGTACTCGTCTCAGGTCAAGGAGCGCTTCTTGTCGTCACAAACTGTCCCGGAAGTGACCAAGCTCATGGAAGATTTCACCGCCGCCGTTGAGAAGGGAACGCACGAGAGAGAAGGCTGGCCAAGCGCTGCCTACGCGGTATCAAAGGCGGGCGAAATTGGAATGACGAGAGCGATTGCCAAGGAGCTGATGGACAAGGGAAGCAAGATTTTGGTCAACTCGTGTCACCCAGGCTACGTGGTAACAGATATGACGAGGGGTGGCGGGACGAAAACTCCCGACCAGGGAGCTCAAACACCAGTCCACCTCGCACTGGCAGATATCGGAGGAAAGTCTGGCGAGTATTGGTCGGATGAGAAGGTTGCGTCGTGGTGAGTGTTGACTCTAGCGAGGCAATACGAAAATGCAATAGCCAAAGAGAACCTATGTACTATTTAAATGTTGATTACGAAGAAACATTCCCAGCTTGTGAGAAGTCTAGCAAAGTGATGCCAAAACCCGCATACTTCTGAGAAAGAAAAGGCAAAATAATAAAATCAATCACTTGACACTATATGATAATGATTGATGGGGAAAACAAAAATTAGGTCCATCCAGGATTCGAACCTGGGCTTACGGAAAGTTCCAATGTTACCATCAGAATCCGACGTCCTAACCAACTAGACTAATAGACCATCTTGATTGGTTATTGATGCTGGTGTGGCTCCATTGGCAACCTATATAGCGTACCAATTTTGTCGGTTCTAGCCGCACTTGGCAAACCGAAAAGGGTGCCAAGTGCGACACGCATTTTCAACTGTTTGGAGAAAATGACGATGTTTACGATATGGTTTGTATATTTGAAATGAAAGAGTCTAAAGAGTATATTCACGCTGATACTGGCGGAACGTTTGGTAGAGAAAACGTTAAAAGTCCCAGGGGCCCTCCTGAATGTAAGTACCCTAGGGATGTATAGCACATGTACATTGTAAGGCAGCCCAAAATGTGACATTAAATCAAGGTGTCATCTCAGGTTCGTCCAGGACGGACTGTAGCAGAGTAGCCATCAAACAATCCCATTGCAATTATTCCACAAGTCTACTACTCAGTACCAAAGAACGCTACGATTTTACATGTGACACTGATCATTACAGGCCCAATTGACCTCTAGGAGGGGCACAGGGAGTGATGTCTCCGAAATACCTAGGTAGAATAAGCTCCGTACGGGCGCCCACAGTGGGCACCCTCCGCAGCTAAGATCACTGGGTGGCTTCTGGTGGCGTCTGCCAAAGGCGCCAAGTTTACGACGCGGGGCGTTGTCTCTTCGTGAACATGTAGCAACATTCCCCACCAGATTGTTAATGTCTAGCTTGAGAAAGCTGCTGGCTACCTCTCCATACGTTATGCTGGCTTTCTTGTTGTTATCTGCGAGTTGGTGCAGCTTTTACTGCGACGAGGCTGCTATCCGACCATTTAGATGTTGTCTCCAACGTAATGCCCTAACTAGTACGAAGGAATTTACTGCTGGTCGGCACAATTGCAGCCCGAGACTGGCCATAAAAATAAAACAAAAAAATCCAAGTCGGTCCGCTACAAACATGGGTAAAAGTCAATCCGTCGAGCTGGAAACAACGTTACGTACAGGCCAAGGAACCTAACACAGCGGCCATTGATCGTCAAGCAGTCATGAGTCCTTCTGGTGTCTACGGCAGCCTTCGCCTATTTTATACGCGTGGGGGGGCCACCATTATGAATTGAGAGTCAAAGATTGACAGAGACGGAGCTGGCTTAGCTGATCTGAATACCGCCGAATTCCAACAAACGAACCACCGACTCGTTCGGTGTCAGCAATGGGGGGGTCATCGATCTTCACCGCCCAATGGGACACAATCTCGGCGCAAAGGACGAGGGTATCGCTTCTTGATAGCGTGACGTAGCGGCGATTACGACTTTTACCAGCCATTGGCTTCATGACTTTGCCAAGATGCCAAGGACCGCAATTAAAGCCTACGGTAACGCAATTGGGGGTTTGAGAATGGATTCCTTGTCACTGAAAGCAGGGGGGGACGCGAATACACCATCATCTCAGCGTTCCAGACTGTTAAAACTACTTGCTCGTTTGAGCAGCAAATCTTGATCCTCGGGATAAGCTCCGTACGCGAGCCAAGCTGGCCAATGTGCTCATCACAAGGTGAAACCAACCATCTGGGAAAACTAGTAGGCTCAGCAAAAGGGGTCTTGGTTATGATGAGGAGCTGCTGCTCTACTGCCATCTCGTACCAAGACGCCTCATTGCTTGTTCCCCTTCCAGAAAAGCTTCGCTGCCTTGGCCCGTCGTACTCTCTCAACATCATTCGATGACCAGGGCCCAAGACAAGGCATGTGGTCCAAATAACCGGACGAGCCACCCATGCGGCGACGGCAGCTAGAACGGCGCCTTCACCCGCACGAAGCACGCCATCGACCATCCGTCCATCTGAACCATTCATGGCTCGCGTCTGTTAATCCCTCGCTGGTCGCAAATTGGCGCATCGCACCCAATAGTCTCGCACACTTACATACACCGGGGAGACCGACGGGCTGGAACGTATTTGCGAATGATGTCGGCAGCTGTCATCAGAGGGCATGGTTCGGTTGAGAGAAGAAGGCCCCTTAGCGTGTGTGCGCAACAGCGGTGTGCTTCTCCCGCCCGATGAACAAACAGTTGACAAGGGGTGCCATTATTCTTTTGGCCCCCATACCTAATCTGGCACCCTGTATCTGCGACCAAAACAACGTAGAAACAAGTCGAGCATGCGCGTAGAGGACCTCTCATATCTGGTTTGAGAGGTCCAAGGTAGATAAGCTGTGTGTTATCTCCTTCAACAACCTTTTTCCGCGCCACCTATGGCGTCACACCCCATGGAGAAACAATGTCCAGGTACATCCCTCTCGATACAGGGTGTGTTGACCTTTGCAGTTCATCGGTACTGGGCCATTCATTTTAAAGGTCACGAACGCGAGAGAGCTGCCGAGAACAGAAGTAAATTGGCGCAGAAACTTAAACAAAACTACATTAGCCCCGGACCCTGAAGGTTAAATCGACATGTGCTCGGACCGACCAGACTGAGTGAGAAGACAAGACGTGCTCACCAAATCCATGTACAAGAAACTGTAGTGACCATTCACCACATGTAACTAGGTATTACAGTGCCCCCCATCTTCCATCCCCCAGTCGTGCGCCTCCGGTTCCCTTGCCATGTCGAGCATGGTTCGCAATGGGGAACCCGCTTCCTTGCAGCTTCACCCTCTTCTTCCCCCTCCCCCCACTGTTGCGCCGCGCGCTATGTGCGGTGCAACGCTGCAGTGTTCTGGTCCCTGATCTCTGGGAATTCCTTAGGGTTTTTCTTTAAAGAGATCTGCAGTCCCCCGTGTTGCTGCGCAGAAAATGAGCTTGGTTTTTTCCCGTTCTTCTTCTGCTTTATCGTAGTCTTGGTGAACTCTAGGCACGTTGAGGAATTCCCAATATACTTCGACCAAGCCTTCGTCGGCCCAGTTCAGCGAAGCCATATGGAATTCAAAGTCCAATTCTTCTCCCTCCTCCTTAAAGCCATTCGGTAATTGAAGCCCGCAATCTGCGACTTCACACCCAAGGCTGTTTCCCTCCAGACAGTGGACTCTTACACGGCATTATAACAAGTCGAGCAACCCCTTTCGAAGCTGTTCCGGTCGTCTCCATATCCCGTGTTTGAGGTCTCCGACTAAATCGGCCCCCCCAAGCCCCGCATCCGCCGGCCATGTCGTCTACGGGATCCACGGGCGTTGACCGCGCGCTGCCTGGCTATGGCCACACAAATAATTCCCGCCACCACGATGAGAAGGTCGTCGGCGAGCCATACGGCGAGGCCCTGGAAAGCGGCTTCCGCACTTCTCTCGACTCAGGCGACAAGAAGGACCTTACGCATCGCAAGCTCAAGTCGCGCCATATCCAGCTCATTGGCATCGGCGGCACTATCGGTAAGTCTCCGTGAGCTGCGACTTAATAACTAGATAGACTAACATTACACATAGGCACCGCCCTCTACGTACGTTGATAATGCGCTCCTTTCGTCTTCCCCCCATACTTACACTGCTGTTAGGTCCAAATTGGACGAGGTCTTCTCAATGGTGGCCCTGCGAGTTTGTTTCTGGCCTTTAGTATCTGGTGCACCTTCATTCTAGCGGTGACACTTAGCATGGCTGAGATGGTTACATATCTCCCGATTTCCAGTCCGTTCATCCGATTTGCGGGCCGTTACGTCGATGAGGCCTTTGGTTTCGCTGCCGGCTGGAACTTTTTCGTCTTCGAAGCCGCACTTGTTCCATTCGAAGTGGTCGCATGCAACCTCATTATCCACTACTGGAGCGACGTCGTGCCCGCGGGAGGTATCATCGCCATCATTCTCGTACTCTATGGCTTGATCAACGTCATGGCGGTCCAATGGTACGGCGAGACAGAATTCTGGGCAGCTCTAGGCAAATTCCTGCTCATTGTTGGCCTAATCATCTTCACCTTCATCGTCATGCTCGGCGGCAACCCTCTCGGCGATCGCTTCGGCTTCCGCTATTGGAATGAACCTGGGGCTTTTGCGGAGCTTTACTACTCTGGCAGTTTAGGCCGCTTCCTGGGATTCTTGCAATGTCTAATCCAAGCCTCCTTCACAATCGCTGGGCCGGACTACGTCGCCATGGCAGCCGGCGAGGCCGAGAACCCGCGAAAAGTCATGCCCCGTGCCTTCAACGCCGTCTTTTACCGTCTGACGGCCTTCTTCGTCCTCGGCTCCCTCTGCGTCGGTGTCCTAGTGCCCTACAACGATGAGGAAATGACCAGAGCTTTCAAGAACGGAGAGCCCGGCGCCGCTGCCTCGCCCTACGTTGTCGCTATGAACCGGTTGAAGATTGGTGTCCTCCCGCACATCGTCAACGCCATGGTCCTGACGGCCGCTTTCTCCGCCGGAAACTCATACGTCTACTGCGCCTCGCGCTCGCTTTACGGCCTGGCGCTCGAGGGCAAAGCCCCCGCCATCTTCAAGAAATGTACCAAGAAGGGTGTCCCCGTCTACTGCGTCATCGCAGTGCTTCTCATCGGTCTCCTTAGCTTCCTCCAGCTCAGCAACAACACGGCTGTCGTGCTGAACTGGTTTGTCAGTCTGGTGACGGCCTCACAACTCATCAATTTCTCCTGCATGTGCACGGCCTACCTGGGCTTTTACCACGCGCTCAAGGCGCAGGGAATCAGCCGTGACTCGCTGCCGTACAAGGCATGGTTCCAGCCGTACGCCGCCTGGTACGGTCTCATCGGCACCTTCATCATGACTTTTGTTGGCGGTTACACTGTTTTCCTTCCTTTGGATGGCATGTGGAACATTCCCAACTTCTTGTTCTCGTAAGTGCCTTGGTGCTCCTTTTTGACGTATGTACTTACTAAGACGTGCAGTTACACTATGGTTGGGATTTTCCCCCTTCTCTACATCGGATATAAGTTCGATCTACGAAAGTTCAAGAAGCGCACCAGGATCTTCAAGCCCGAGGAAGTTGACTTGTACCGCAACAAGGAGGAGATTGACGAGTACGAGCGGAATTTCGTGCCTCAGCCAGCAAAGTTGGTTCCCTCTTACACAAAATACATTGAAAGTTACTTACAAAAAACATTAGCAATATCTTCGAAAGAGTTCTCGACAAGCTCTTTGGCTAACCACTCATCACCATCATGACCTAGGCTGTCATTCACATGCTGAAGGCGTTGATACCTGGGAAGGACGAATATCAGGATACCCCATGGAATGAAATAATAGAGGGGGGGGCCTTATTTCCAGAAAGAAAAGAACAATTTAGTAAATCTACCAGAGCAGTGATGCCATTGGATGCTCCGAGTGCTTAGATTATGCGCAAACATGTCCTACAGCCGAGGCTACAGACCCCCCAGCCTTTCTGTCCTTTTACAGGTATCTGCATTGGAACCTGTTTGCACCACTCTCACTCCCCGAGTTGACTACGTTTTCAGTATGGTCATATGCATGATTGAACGAGGCTAATACGACATTAGCCGTTGCATGGAAAACGTTACAACCATGTTGAGGGTTGGGCACAGCTATCCTAGTATCCATTTTTGGTCACAAGACACCGAGGAAACCATCAATAGTGACTATCTTATAATCTTCTAGAAAGACATTGCGAGCTGTCAATATAATTAATGCCCCAGAATCTTACTGGACACCAATGCCGCTTATAATTTGACCTCAAATAGGATTGAACTCCGCTTGTCTAGGCGTCCCAGAAACTTCGGAACATCCTGCAGATCTCTTCGAAATATCAGCCCCATTCGACGACTGTGAAAGGCGTGCCTTTCTTGCATGCGAGAGGTATGGTCGCAGCGTCGGCAGGCAGGCAATGATTAAGCCAACGTTCACATCAAGCCCGCTCCAGAGCTCTACTCTCGTTTGGTTAGCAAGAACAAGGCCGTGCAAAAAAAGAGACTACCTGGGTTAAATAACAAAAGGAAGCTCAAGAAGGCAAGGAAATGGCCAACCCTCCCACTTACGGATCAGTGTGTTAGGGAGTAAAGTAGACGTCGTCAACGCCAATTGAAGTACTAAAAAGCGCGTCAAGGAAAATCCCAAATTGATGATGCCTAAGAGAAAAGTGCAATAGACGCTGATCTTGACGCTCCGCTTCAACTGCAGCTTGTGTAAGATGAGGAAAGGAAGAAAGAATACTGGGAAACTGTTAGAGCTGCAACACTAAGAGTCTGGTTGACAATTCAATTCCGAGTCCAGAGAGCCTTACTCATAAGATCAGCGGCAAAATTCAATGCCCATGCGATATGGAATATGTAGATTGGTGACATGTCACAAATCACCTCTGGGGCGGGAGACCTGCTGAAGGTTAGGCATATCCTCGAAAGCAAAAGAAGAATAAGGAGCAGACAAAATTGAGGAAAGAAACAGAGATAAATCTTACCAATTTCCTTCTATTGGTTTACAAATCAGGCAATTCACTGCCACAGTCGTGATGTACGCTGCAGCGCAATATGCCATGGTTGCCCACAGAATCTTTCGCCTCGTCTTCATAAATGCTGGGAAAAAATGGCTATATAGCGTGAGAAGAGTCGCCTTACTTAGGTAAAACGATGAATAGAACGGGAATAGAGCCGCCCATTGCAACTTCATGGGCAAGTTAGCGGTGATCTTTGCTTTTCTGTTTTGTTCTCCGTTGCGAATCATGTTCTTCAAACGGTTTACATCTACTATGGTGGGTTCACACTCACCTTGTATATGAGCTCAGCATCGTGAGGATCAAAACCTTCCAGTGCAACAGTCACATCTGGATACGAGGCTCCCAGTTTGTAAAATACGATATTAAAAGATGCGTTTGCTACTGAAAATATCCATGCAGCGCATATGAGATAGTCGCTTGTTTTTAGAGAGAGTTTCTGAATGCTCAAGCGTAAGTAGAGCCGAGCAATAATCAAAGCTGCAGCGATTGCAATCAGCGTAAAATCTGTAGCCTATCTATGTTAGCTTTTTGAAAACCAACTGGTATCTTCCTAGTCCTGGAACCATTTTCTCAAGTATCGAGGACATACGATTACTGTGGCCGCTGTTGGGCCTGTAGAAGTCATGCTAGTTCTGAGCAGTGCTCTTCTTTAGAGACTAAATGCTGATTTCTTGAAAAGTGACATGCGGGTTAATTTGTGATGGATCAAAGCTTATACGATCCATTTGCAGATAAAGATGATTAGGTTGAACAGGTGTCTCAACGATAAAGAGATCCTGCTAAAGAAAAACTGAGCAGCTATTACCTACATATACTCTCAACTGACGGCGGCACCCGCTTTCCTTCAAGGCTGAAAAATAAGCTTTGCAAACAGGCGGAAGAGGCGATGAAATGGACGGACTTCATTGGTTTGGATTTTTTACAGACACGTAAAACAAAAGAAAGTGCTCTAAAATGACGGAATTGGTAAGTCAACCACCCACCAGCTTGGGGCAAAGATCCGTTTTCATACTGACTTTCCAATTTTGGAATCGCTTTGGATCCAAGAAAAAGAGAACAGGAGTAATTGCTCCCCAAGGGTGGCAATCTCATGTTTGCTAGAATTTGATGGTTTGATATTGCGGTAGAAGTTTTCTAGAACCCCATTTCCTGGTCCACTGGCAAGCTTCCATGTTCCCACCTTCTGGATAAATATCTCAGTCATTTCTAGGACTTTTTCAGAGGGTTAAGAAGATCGGGGAGATAAAGCGAGTTGTTCGTCAACTTGGGCGGCAGTTCAACCTGTACAAAGCCTGACATGATGTAGGAATTCACATGTGAATCGAATATCTAAGGACTAGCGGGATTTTCCTGAGAAGATTACAAACTTCAGTAGCTATAATTATAGACAGAGAAATTTTTAGGTCTAAAGAAGCAAGGCCTAAGATCCTACAAGCCAAAGGGTCGGGTTTTTCTTAGAGTACACCGGTTTCTTTCGACTTGCCAAAAGTGAAGTGCCCGGATCTGTCGCATAAGTGGCAGAGCTCAAAAACACATACACGCCTCAGAACCAAAATATCGAACGCTAAACTGTTCTTGTTAATAGTGGCTATAGGATAGAAGCCCAACAGGGGCGACAATAGACAGATTGGTTACCGCGATTCCAGTGCCTGGCAACATACCAAGAACATGTCCATGTTGAAAGGTCAATTCAGGCTACAATCTCTTGACATTCGTCGATTTCTTTCTGCAACCGAAGTCGACTTGAGGCAGAACAATATAAGAAGTTAGATGGCACCAGATTATACGTTCTAAGCGGCTGTGTCTATCAACTTGCATGTTCTGAAGGCTTTTGTGACAACATAGGTAGCCTCTCTTTGCCCAACACCACGTGCAGTCCGTCCTGTTCATTGCCATACCGCGAGCAAAGCCATCGAGGTTACCTAAAAGATGCATAAAAACGACAACAATATCATGGACAAGGTAGCAACCTATCGGAAGCTCATCACCGGGACTCTCCCACGGCGGCGAGCATCACCAGATTTCTCAAAAAGCGATTCTTCTAATCTGCTCTAAAGATGAAGCTGTTCCGGGGATATCAAACTTTTACACTCTAACTTAAATAGCCGGAAGCATCTGCAGCCCGTTATCTCAACCCCAGGAGCTCCACACAGACGTGGGGTTGCAGTCGCCGACCTCGAACCCACGTCCCAATGTGTCAGACGCAGCGATCTTAACTTAGTCCCCTCACGAACAGAGCGAACGAGCAAAAGGCGGAGTCCTACAACAGTCCGAGCAGGAACAGGATCCGATGGGCCCCTTGGTGATGAGGAAGTCGCGTTTGACACTCCAAGCCACACCTCAGCCCTACATGCTTGTCTCAGGATTCCGTTGGTACATAGACGATGTGCCTTCCACGAGCAATAAGTCTTTATAGTCTCGAGTATGATTTCCAGTACTTATTAAACGATGAAAATACAATTTGAAAACACAACTGTCCCACCCCCTGAATGAAGCTTTGTGTGAAGGAACCGGAAGATCGACAAGTGAAACGGTTCACGTCAATGAATCATAGACAAACAAGCATAAACTTCGCGAACCTTAAACCCAGAAATTGGAACTTGATAACCTTTAGCTCGATCTTCAAGCTGGAGCTCTGAATGAAGCTTGGGACAAAAGTTGAACCCCTCGGCAGCTAAACTTCAGTAGCTTGGTCTGTCAAAGATTCGACATCTTTGAGAAACCACGATTGGGCCAGCAAACCATAAAATCCATGACGGTATGGTTGGCCATACATCAGACCCTCGCCGACTCGATCGGCCCAGAGTTCATCCTGTCTCATCGCGGCATCCATTCCCCCTCCCCCTCCACCCCCCTAAGATTGCTTTGACAGCTCAACACACAGATTACGAGATCATCTCATTACCTCTCTGACACATAATCCCTTCACCACTCCCTCACCGAATTCGAAATCGGACGAAACCATACCGCCGCCCGCGATCCTCGACGAATCGCGTCCCTTCCAGCCCGAAACATACACAAACACTGATTCGCCCGTGGCACGCCCCCTTCACAAAGAGTAAAAAAAAAAAAAAGCGATGCTCAGACATCTTTGACACTGAACGCTCAGACTCTCAGCCCTGGGAAGGCACACTGCCGTGGACAGAAGAAGAAGAATAACAATAATAAGAAGAAGCGTCAAGCGTCAAGCGTTAAGCGCCTACGTGAAAGAAAAATACTTTCTACCTGGGGATGTTTCGAATGGCTCAGGAACTCTTCACTAAACGAACACCCCCCCCCCCCCCCCCCCCCCCCCTTCCTCAGACCTGTTGCTTTCGTGTGCTTCCCGCTCGCCGCTTAGTCATTCCGCCTGTGAAACAGCTCCGCCGTCATCGAGACGAAGGGGGAGGGTATCGCCACTTTGCTTATCGGCCTCCATTTTATTTCCCAACCTCCGTTTCATGAAGCGCTGACGCCATCAAAAGTCGTTTAAACGTCGCTTTGGCAATCTAGGTACGCTGTCCTAACAACGGGGGTTTCTTCAAGATCCCGTCCGCGCACCTTTTCTTCGCATCCGTGGGCGGAACAGTTTCCAGCCGGACCGACGACGGCCACCGAAAGGGAATGGATCTGATACTTGTTTAGTATTATTTCGCTGTGTTCACAAAATACACACGATGAAGAACTCCAAAGTACTCAGGTGGGTTGGGTTAAGGCCAGAACATCTACCCTACAAACGGAGTGTGTAAAAACGGTTGCTAGGTAGATACCTTAGATAGAACGCGCGGCAAAAAGAGGCGTACTAACCGACGAAAACGGAGGCTCTGTAATACTTTCGCAATAACCTGAAACATTCCTTCACCTTGAGAGGAACCAACAGCAGCCATTGTGTTAAGCCATCACTGTAAGCCTGAAAAGCCCTATCACATCTAGCAAACGGGGTATCTCATGGTGCAGTGCTAAAGTAGTCGGTGCACATAAACACCAGCATCACCACCTAGTCGTAAGACTAATAATTGATCTTGCCTCGATTGTAAGATCTAAGTTTCTATATTCATACATCGTAGAAGGTATATCCATGTCACAATCTAGGACCCCAATTACCCGCCCCTTCCAGCAGCGTCGGCAACTCTCCAGTCAACAAAAGGACCCAACAACATAGAAAAAAAGGACCCTGATATCAAAGACAAATTGACACCCATTCACTCCTCCAAGCGCCTAATTCTTATGCCCAAATCCCTTTGTCTCCTCCACACCCAACACATTACACCCAACATCCAAAATTACGGCAGCATGGTAGGCGAAGAACGTCCGGAACAGCTGTCATCATCGACGTAACCCTTCTCGTTGCCGGAGTCGATATCGCTCTCCTGTGCCCAACGGCCAGGGCATCCGGGGATGTCGCGCTCGTGCTCGCGGTACTGCTTCTCGCGCTCACCCTCCTCCTTTCTTTGGCGCAGGTTGAGGCTGAAGGGGGCCTTGAAGGTCTTCACCTGGGGGGCGCCGACGTCGGGCATATCCATCTTGGTCTCGTTCTCTTCCTCTTCCTTGGCGGCGTCGAACATGGCCTTCATCAGGTCGGCCTTCTCGGGAGTACGGACAACGGCATCGAAAGCGAAGAAAGCAGGCTTGGCGATCAGAAGGGGAGTGTAGTCGTTCCAGTGAACGGGCACCTCGGTGCCGTCGGCGTTGCGCTTCTTCTGGATGTTGAGGCCCCAAGCGACGCCGCCCATGGTAAGGAAGAGGTCCTGGTCGACGATGGGCACGCCCTGGCACGTTCTGCGGCCGAAACCGAACTGGCTGAAGCCGTCGAGGTTGGGGAATCGGGTGAGAGGCTCCTTGTAAGTGGGGTAAGAGGGTTGCAGCCAGCGATCGGGGTTGAAAGTCTCGGGGTCGGGGTAGATGGACTCGTCACGGGTGATGCCCCTAGGTTTAGTTAGTAAATATTTTCTATCATTCAAAAGGCTTCCTTTCAACTTACCACTCGAGAGCATGGATAGTGGCACCAGCAGGGATGAAGTAACCGTTGTAAACATCGTCCTTCTCAACAGCGTGGGGGATGCCTGTAGCTTACGTTAGTCGAGAACCTAAAACCAGCCTCCACACCACCCATCCGAATAATCGACCTACCAGTAGGGACAGGGGGTCTCCAACGGATGACCTCCTTGACAACGGCTCTCAACATAGGCAGCTTCTCGCGATCCGACCACTGAGGGCACTTTCCGCCGCAAACCTCGTCGATTTCGCGTTGGAGCTTCTTCTGCCATTCAGGGTAGTGGCACATGGCGAGCAGGAAGCTCTGGATAGGGCTACCGATAGTCAAAGCACCAGCGATGGCCATGAGACCGACGACGTTGGTGGCCTCCTGGAGGTCACCCCACTTGCCCTTCTCGTTGCCGAGACCCTCGTTAATGAAAGTGCTGATGAAACTGGGTTGCGCAGTGCCCTTCTCGACCTGGTCGGCGACGAACTGGACGTTGCTGTTGAACTGTCTTGTCTCGAGCTCGTGGCGGGCCTTCTCCTTCTTCTTCCATGGCGACAGGACGTGAGGGACGTGCATGAGGAAGCCGATGACATTAGGAAGGGCACCAGACGGTGAGATGGTCTCCAGAAGGCCGAAGGTGGTCTTGCGCAGAACGCGGGCGGGGTGAGCAGTACCCCAGGAGAGGCGACTGACGGTACGGCTGGTGAATTGCTCGATATACTCGCGGTAGTCACTGGGGTTCTGGGAGAGCAGGTACAAGAAACGATCGCGCTCACGCGTCGGGTAGGCGTGGAGCTCTTGCTTGTCGCTCTGGTTCATGAGGTGATGGCAGAGCTTGCGCTGGCGCTTCCATGTTTCTGTTTAAATGTTAGTGACATGATACGACACGTGCAAGACGCTTCCCTACCAGTTCGACCGAGCAGAGCAAGGTAGTCTCCGCTGGTCCTGTTATCAGGAAGGTTGGGGATCATGGGTCGGTCAGAGTAGATGACATTGCGGCGGCCGAGGAGGTCATGGGCGACCTGCTCAGAAGAGATCCAGACATGGACGGAGCCGAACATCTCATTTTGGTAGATGGGACCAAACTCCTTGGACCACTCGTAGAACTTGAGCCATGTCGCCTCGGCTGGCACGTCGTGAACACGGCCGATGAGTGGAAGACCTATTTCATGATGAGCTTCAACAACATGAATGACCAAGCTGGTTTTGACTTACTGCGAGGTCCAGGAAGGGGCTTCGCTCCCGCAGGGATCCTTCTCTTGTACCTAATGGCAGCGACTAGGCGCCATGCGCAAAAGGCAATAAAGGCGAGGAGTACCGCGCCCAAGGCCATACTTGAAGGCCTGAAGAATTATACTATAAGGCGCTGTCTATGCCTGTCTGAAGAAAAAGTAAAAGGAGGAAACGACGACGTCAGGTCGCGGAGGGGGGAAAGGGAGAAGAGGGTTGATTAACAAAGGACCTGCTGGTGCAGGAGGACAGAATGAGAAGAACCACGATGACGGGGCCGGATGGACGATATGTGTCTCTGGGCTGTTAATAAGAAGATCCAGGGCCTTGGTCTAGCCGTCTAATCCTAGGGAGCCCAAGCGGGCCGAACAGAGAACGCACAACGGTCCCCTTAGTCTGGAAACATGACTGACCCGCGTGTGGGCACCCACACATACGGCGGAATCACCAAGCGCCAAGACAAGACATACCACCATTACGCATGTCGAAGATCGGCCCACAGCTAGGCGGGGAGAGGGCGGCGAAAGGCGGCGACAACATGCCAGCTCAGGTCAGACCAGGGGACTGGGCGGATTCCCGTGGACGCCGCCCTTCCGCCTCTCAACCAACAGCTGAGGAGGGCCCAGAGTCTTGGACCGAGTGAGGGTGGATAATCCTTCCCGAAAGTTGCACAAACAAGTTGCTCTTGCGCTTGCATATCGGCTGTTGTGCCTGTTTTTTTTTTTCTCTCCATGTTAGCCACGTTCCCGGACGTATGGTTCGCTGAGTTCTGACATCGGGGGACTGAGCTCCTCACTAGCAACATCAGACACATCGGTTCGCCTCCAGAAACAGGGAGGGAGGAGGTACAAGCCCCGAGAGCTTCACACTGGAGCACACGGAGAGCTCGAAGAAGCCGACGCCCGTCCTTGCAGGGAGTGTGAGAAGGCAAGCCTACTCGTAGATGTTAACAGGGTTTGCCCTTGGCTCCTTAGGGCCCAAGGAGATGGTTAGAATATGGGTTGATAGTAACAAGCGTGTTGCAGCCAGCGGGAGGTCCAAAACACAGGGGTCAGAAGATTGGCCGAGTCGATATCTCACTTCGGCGAGGTCGACACCCATGTGAGGTATTCAACATACACCGCGATTCGCTCAGTATTGTAAAGGGATTATCCTCGTCCAGCTAAGGCGTGTAAGCTGAGCATCTGAACCATTTTGCCCAGGCACCATTCCCACGTCCAACAACCAGGGGTGGGTGGGCACCGGAGGTCGGGGCTCATCCGGTCTCGGCACAGACTCTGAGCCAAGTTGCCGGACACAACACTAGCAGACGCCAATGCCTAGCAGCAAGACACATAGGGAAAATTCCACACTCGCCCTCGTCTAATTTTGGCAAGATGGGCTGTTGATGGTATCGTTTGGAAGCATTCTAGGCAAAAAGCTGCCGCTAGACCCGCGAATTCCTTCTCCGCTTGCGCACCCCGCGGCGCGCGCTATACTCACAGGCCATGGAGAAGCAAGGCCCTAACGCCATGATGATGGCGACGCTGATGTTGCTTCCGAGGCAGCGAGGTGCTCCATGATGAAAGAACACAGTCGATAACTGATGATGTTATGGATAGTGACGCGAGATGTGGGAGTTGTGGTCTAGGCAAGCTGCCAGTTTCGGTCTCGTATATTGAAGACAGTCCCAATTAGCAATGATGACCACTCAAAGGGTTCCATTCGGTGGGCAATAGACAAAAGAAACAACATATCATGTAGTCACTGTGTCCTGAAATGTAGACAATGGCTGTCGATCAGCTGCAAGCCACGGCGTAGAGGCGGCTGCTCAATCGGAAATTAGGACCAAGAAGCCTTGGCAGATCTCAGTGAGCCACTCACAGCCATCATGAGCCATTCAGAACCGCCGTGGGCCATCGGAACTCTAGCGTTTGGGAATATGCAAGATTCGGTCTTTGCAGGGATTAGGACGCCCTAGCGTTATCCGAGCGAGACGATCACTTTGTTGGCGCCCAGCATGGAATCCCCCACGCAAGCCACCGAGCGCTGGGCCAAACCGCTTAGCTGACCCGTCAACATTGGTCAGCGGGATGTTGCGTGAGGGCCAGGCCAAGAGCAACTACACAGGTGTTGCGGCCTGCTATACATACATACTGTTGTTGCTTTGACAGTGACGGACTCTCACTCACCTGAACGTGCCGTAGCCGGCCTCTTAGTCTATGCGAAACACGACCGTCGCGGCTCTCAATCTTTCGATCCCTCAGCCTGAACGGGACCTCAACCTCAATTCCTCTCTTTCTGCGTCGAGCTAAATCCATTAGCTGTGCTCTGCCGAATCCACAAGCTGTGCTCTGCGCCGCTTGGCACCATTTAGTTAGGCTGCACGATGCTCTGCAGAGAAAAGCAGCCTGGTAGGGAGAATGAGGGGCTTTGCTTTGTGAGCCCACACTTGTGCGTCAAGATCTTATTGCATACACGGCAAGACATGGGCGGTTTTGGGTCTGTTGGTAAACTTCGGTTCAATTAATCAGCACATTTAACGGCTGAAGCACACGCGAATCCACTGGGTCGTGCCATATGTCTGTCTGACCGGCGATCTCACGGCCACGGAGGCTTCGAGGACTCCGGTGGGAGCATTTGGTCCTTGGACCGTGTGTTGTGTTCTTTGTTGTTACACGACGCCACATTCACCCCAACATGTGCCGGCTACCGTCGCAGGTAGCTCTTCGTTCGCAACGGTCAATGGTATAGATACACTTTTGCGACCGCTGGTAATGCACTCTCTCGTTGTCTTTTCCTCCTCACCGCCCAAAGGTCTGTTGAGCGGGGTGTCTCCATCTCCGATTTTTGCCCCTCACTGAAAGAATTTGCGATGCTGCTACATTACATCCTGTTTTAAGTGGTTAGCAGTGGGTTTCACATGCAAGACATCCAGCCCAGCGGCAGGATGCAACGCAGTAGTGTGCAGGGCGCGTCGTGCACTCACCTCTCGACCGGGGAAAGACCCAACAGACGCATGCCGTTGTAGAGCACAGTCCTGGCGGCAGTGTACAGAGCCAGGCGAGCCTTCATGAGCTCACGCTCGCTTCCGACGATACGCAGGTGGTCGTAGCTGCTGCTGACGACGTGGGCCATGCGGAATAGATATGTAAGCACGGTAGTAGGCTCCAGAGTCCTCAGAGTGTTCTGGACCACATCGGGGTACTGGCTGAGAATGCGGATCAGCTCGACGGCATGCTTCTCCGTCAGCAGGCTGAGGTCTGCAGTTGCAATTTCCTCCTCAGAAAGGCCAGCCTTGCGGAAGATGGAGCAAAGTCGAGCATGAGCGTACTGGAGGTACGGTCCGGTGTCACCCTCGAAAGAAGTCATGGCGTCCATGTCGAACTTGTAGTTGTTGATCCTAGGCGGCCCTGTCAGTGCATCCGAAAGAACCCGGATAAGAGTTCAGACGACTTACCTCTTTCCACTCATATCCTGGACCATGACACTGCTGATGCCAAGAATGTCGGCAGTCGCCTCGGGGTTCTCAACCTGGGAGTACTTGGTCTCGTTCTTCTTCATCACCTCGTGCATCTTGTCCGCGACGTCTCGCAGGATGTCATCCAAGAACTTGACTGTACCCTTACGAGTGCTCATTCCGAGAACGAGACCAAAGTTGATGTGCTGACACTTCTTAGCCGTCTCAGGGTAGCCCATCAGCTCAATGATCTTGAAAAGCTGCTTCAGGTGCAGATCCTGCTGGGACGCGACAACGTAGATCATGTGATCGAAGCCGTACTTCTTCTCACGGTGCAGCAGCTCGCTAATGTCTCGGGTAAGGTACAGGGCAGTGCCGTCCTTCTTGCGAATGATGGGACGCTCCAGACTCTTGCCCGCCTTGCCGGGGACGTGCTTGGTGAAGTCGATGATAACAGCGCCTTCGGACTCTTCGGAAATCTTCATGTCCTCGAGCTTCTTGGCGGCAGCTTCCATATCGGCTTCGGCGACCTGGCTCTCGCCAGAGTACTCGTCAAAGTGGATATTGAGACGCGCGTACGTCTCCTTGTAACGGACGATACTCAGGTCACGGAATCGCCTCCACTGAGCAACAGCATCCGCGTCACCAGCGGTCATGGCCTTGAAGTACTTGCGGGCCTGCTCGTCCAGGCTGTTGTTCTTGAGCTCAGTGACATCCTCACCAGCCTGCTCCTTGGCAGCAATGGCCTCCTTCTCTTCGCTCATCTCCTTGTTGATCTTGACGTAGACCTCGTACAGGTGGTTGATAGGGTCAGCGCTCAAAGCCTCCTCGCTGCCAAACCTGGCGAAGCCCAGAGCAAGAAGACCGTACTGCTTGCCCCAGTCACCGAGGTAGTTGATGCGGGTAACATCATAGCCAGCGCCGTCGTACAGGTTGGAAATGAAGCCACCAATGATGGTGCTTCGCAAGTGACCGGCATGGAAGGGCTTCGCGATATTGGGGGAGGAGAACTCGACAATGATTTTCTTCTTGCCCTGAGAAGGGTCTTGATCGTTCTTGAGGCCGTTGTGGTGGTTCTTTCCGAAGTCCTGGCCGCGCTGGGCAACCTGGGGGATGAGGAACTGGGCAAGAGGGCCAGGCTTGAACCAGAACTGAAGGAAAGAGCCGTTCTGGAATGATACAGGCTTCTCGATCAAGGGGGACTCGGGGAACTGCAAGCAAGGGTATATGTCAGCCTGGTAGCCTTGTGGAGGTGAAACCATATGGCGCAAAGAGGTGATGTTGTTGCTATGAAAAGGTTTTGTAAACCAACCTTCTCGAGCCACTCAGCCGAGAGCTCGGCAGGCTTCTTGCCCTTGATGCGAAGAGCAGGAACAGCCAGCACCAAGTCACCCTTGTCCAAGCTCTGAGTCCATTGGAGAGCGTTGTAGATGATGGGCTTCTCGACGCCAGTCACATCGTGCAGAAGCGAGGTGATGTGGGAGCGGTAGACATCGACGGGGTTGACTTCGGGGTAGCAACCGGGGAAGGAGTCCAGCTTGCCAATGGAGAGCTTCTCCAACTGGGCGGTGATCTGGTTGGCAGCGGTATCTGTCGCCATTGTCGCAAAGGAAGCGGTGGGGTGGTGGGAGAAGAGGTTAAGGAGGGGTGGTGGGACGACTTGGGGGCGACGGAGCGGCAGTCGACGCGGGGTCGGAGTCGGAACGGGTCGCAAAGTCGAATGGAGGCGAAAGGCTGGAGTAGAAGAAGCTCCTCGACGAAGGCTGGTAGTATAAACTTGGGTTGAACGAAGTGAAGGAGAAGAAGAAGAGAAGAGAGAGCGCACGACGCTAGTCATTAAGGACTGTGTGACTGTGCTATACAGGGAAGGGTAAGGCGGGAAAAAAAGGGAAAGGAGGGGTCTCGATTCGCTGGGCTGAGGGCTCTGGCGGTTGTTGTCGCCTGCAGAAAAAAAATTGCGGACCGACCCCCAACTGACTCACAGAGAGATTCGCTTATTTGATTGGATGTTGACCGATGTGGGTCTTCACCGAGCGAGGGGTTGATGGTGACGTCTGGAGGGGCACTCGACACTGTGCTGTTGCCCCGCGATCAGTCATTTTATAGTGGGTCTTTCCGGTGAGGCGACGGTGAGTCACTTGCTGGGTCATTTGGTGAGCTTTCTCGGTGAGCCTTTAGTCTCGGTGTGGCTTCTCTTTCCTGAGCTTGAAGCTTCCCCTTCCTTTCCTCTTCGTCTTTTTTTTCTTTCTGCATATTTAACAATAAACCAGATATGCATCAATCACCATCAACGAATAGACTCTTTCGGTTATACACTTATTCCTTTAAATTACATCATCAGAACGAATACTCTTCTACAAACAGATGAATGCCCTGAGCCCCAGTTCCCTTGTGGACAGCCCTCTCATCCGACAGAGAAGATACACAGTTCCTTACAGAGCTCGTCAATGATTGTCCACCGCAGACGACAATCGACGTCTCTCCACCAGAAGCCTCCACCGGCTCTCGGATGAGCTCCTTTATATCTGGTCTGCTATAATACTCCTTCACCATGTCTGATCTCGAACTGCTCCGCAGCCGAGGTGTCAGTGGTACTTCGTCACCCTTTTCTATGTCCAGCACGCCTTTCTCCTGACAACAACCACCATCTGCGGACCCATCAGACGCAATTCTTCGGTGCTGGGCCGATGATCCCGAGCTTCCGTCGCGGTCCGAGTACAAAACCGTCGTGATTTCTCCCTCCTTCGCCTTGCCTGATCTCGTTATGGCGATGTGCACCTGGAGCTCGATGCCAACCTGCTGCGCTCGATCCATCAACTGACGCAGTTGTTGTGTATAAAATTCAATCTCCTCTCCTTGACATGCCAGCAAGATGAAGTCGATTCTTGTCGTGCAAATCTTCTTGCGGCTTTGCACGATGCTCTCGAGAATCGGGAGTGTGAACGACGCTCCGGTAGAAGCCGAGATAAGCACCATTGTCTCATAGATATCCCACCTAGGCGGCGCACCAAATGGCCCCAGCACAAACCCCGTCAGTGTTTCCTTCTTGCTGGATTCCTGCATCTTTTGCGCATACTTATGCAACCTCTTCGAGAAACCTCCGTGTGAGCGGATAACCAGTTGTATGCTGTTGCAAATACACGTATCCGGCACCTGATGAGCGCATGCAATGGTGTAGGGGTGAGCCTCGAAAGGTCCCACTCGGGGAAGCCAGAGGTACAGATGTTGCCCGGCCTTCCAGGAGAAATGGACGTCTTTGATGGTCAGTACCGTCGTCGACGAACCAACTGTTCTGACCTGCACCTCGTGTCCTAGCCGCTTCATTCCCTTGCACGTCGATCTATTAGGTCGCAACCTCGTGTTTTGCCAAGCAAGAAGCGCCCATCGAGCAAGTCGATCGAAGCAGATGAGGGCGATGGTGAACCAAAGATACGGCTGCGCATACGTCGGAATGTGGACATAGATCAGCCAGATGAAGATGACAGCTGAAAGGAGGTGCTGCAGGACGAACACCTCGTACGCCATCCCCCGAATAGGCCGGATACCAGTGACAAACATCCAAACGAGGATACCCCACGCGCCCAGGCCGTGCTTGATGAACGGCATGATTCTCAGTTGTGTCTCGACAAAATCGGCCCTGACCCATTCCGTCCAGAAGTGGAAGCCATGAACCGTGGCCGTGACGAACATCGTCCTCGATACCCAGCGGTGAAGCCAGTTCAAACGCTCGTGGGAGGTCCCCGTGATGAATCCTAGAACGTTGACCTTCATTGCGAGGAGGTAGACAAGAGGCATCTGCATGATGGTCACCCAGGCGTTGCGGAAGCCGATACGCTCCCAAAAGTACGCGTCCTTGACGACCGCGTCGTTGGCCATCATGTAGATGATGACAGCCCAGTAGGCGAGCAGGACTAGGACGCGCCCGAGTGGCGGCGGTGTTGCCCAACGAAGGCCTTTGAATGGGACGTAAAGTTGAGGATGGCCTGCCTCGCGGACAAGGGCCGTCGCAGTTGCCCATATTTGCGTTATGATATTTGAAGGCTGTGTTGGGAATCGGACTGATTCCGTACGACATCTCTTTAACCTAGGATTGCTCAGCCATGAGAGTTGGTCGGGTTCCTTGGTGTATGCTCACCTTCTGAGGCCTTCGAGATGATTCACACCCCGAATGATTCCTAGGAATCCCACCACGCCGGCGATAATGTACCAAAATGACTGGGCAAGGTGAATATTCGTCTCCTGAAAGAGGGCTGTTCCCATCATCATCCCCCCTCCGCCGCCGCCACCTCCTCCTCCATGGTGGTGGCTCATGGCAATAATCTTAAGTAAGGCTTAAGTTCAAATCAGTTGTCGCGCGACGGTCGCCAATATTATTGAGTACAATCGGGTAAGTACAGAAGATCGGGGTCGACAACGTCTAACAGCTACAATTATCCAGGTGCTGAGTCGTCAAAGTCGTCGGGCCAAAGCGAGGGATCAACCGATGGCGGTGTTGAATAGCAGAAGCGAAGCGCCAAGTCATGAAGGAACTGAAAGCTGCAAAATCATCTCGATCCGGATCTCTTCTCACTCTTGCGCTGAAATCCGGGGAAACGAATACAAGATGACCACCAAAGAAAAAGAAACAAATACAAGATGACCACCAAAGAGAAACGCTCTTCTCAGGTCTCGACAAACCTGGTGTCTGATTATTCGCGAGTGAATGAATGAGGCGGATTGAGCAAGTTCAAGAGGCGAAGAGCCTGGGCAGCACACGCATGATGACAGACGGTAAAACGTGTGGCACAAAAGCGGATAAAGGAAGGTCGGCACGGCGGCACAGATGCGCAAGTTTGGGGACAGCCGTTGTTAGCGCAGCGCCGGGACAGACCGCATCCGAAGTGGGCTATATGAAGAATACTAGCAGTTTATGGGTGACTGTAAAGGAGGGATACTTTGAATGACGGTGGCTGTTGATGGTCCGCTCTGCTGGAGTGCGGTAAAGTTCCTGGTGTGACAGGAATGCCTGTCTTCTTCAACGGGGTTCATCGGCTACAGTTTCGGTTTGAACCTCGGGCGAGGGATATCGGATTTTGTTCCCGTTCTCGCATTTTGTCTTTATCTTCAAGTTTGGTTTTGTTTCCTCCTGTCACACTGAGTCGCCCGAACAGGTAGTTTGATGGGCGACCCCCTCCCCCAGCCACCAGCAACACTTACACGAGTCTTCTCAGCCGTCTCACAAGCAACAGCCAGCGGCTACACACATGTTCTCTACCTCTCAATCTCTCCAAAGCCAAACATTTCTTATTTCTCCCGCTTCTCATAACCTCTTCGGTTCAAGCCAAGCCTGGGCACAGAGACCATCCAGGTATCAAATCCATTCCTGAGGAAACATGCTCAAGATGAAGATCAATCCCAAATTTCATCCAGAAAGGCTTACTGAAGGGGTGACAAGGGTCCCCAAGATTCAACCTGCGCTAACGCCACAACTTGCTCAAAACCTCTCATTGACAAGTCATCTTCCGCGCTCTGATTGGTGCAACACAATTCCCAAAGACAACGGGGCCCTGCGCTCATCCTTGAGCTAATCCGGTCAAGGTTAAACCAACATCCTTTCTCAGACGCACATCACCCCTGCGAGACATCCTCTGATATTGTTACCCTCATTTTTTTGACACCTTCTTTTACAAAGCTACGTTTCTGATGGGCAACACGAGACGGCAACGTGCTTGTACTGAGTTACTGAAGAGCCTCACCTTTTTCCCCTACATCGTGGTCTTAAACAGTTCAACAAGGTCTATCCCGAATGTTCCGAGCAAAAAAGGTCCGGGGAACCGCTGACCGTGCCTGCATCTCCAGGGGAGGGGACCGCCGGCGACAAATGCAACCATTGGCATGAAGCTCTGAGCTAGTTAGGATCTGAGGGGAACATGCAGTGAGCAAGTTTTACCTGTGGCCTTGTCGTTTTCCCGCCACCAGCTCTGGTGTTTAACACCTTCCACTACGGTCAAGACCAAGCTGCAATTCAACCTGTGCCGAGTCCCGAAACAGGATGGAAAACACACATGGTAGACTACTGAATCCCAAGGCCATCGTGCCTTTCCCAGTATGTTTCGCCTCCCTCGGCCGGTTGTACAACGGGGCAACTTTGCCTCGTTGTCCCTCTAGCTGCTTCGTTACGGCGGAGCTTTTGGAAACCCGGCAATATTCTGCCGCCTCCCATGATGGACAGCGAAACGGAGACAAGCCCGTAGTCATACAAACAAAGCTCAGGAGCTTTCACCATACTCCGATCTAAACCACTTCAAGACAGCAGTGGGCGTGCCAGGCTAGCCCTACAAACCGTTGCTCCTCCAGCCATTGAACCCAATCCGTATCACTCTTAAACCAGCCCGTATCCCATCACTCCAGTTTTGGGAAATTTCACTCCCAACCGTAACCAAATCTAATCCATTGCTCCTTTTGCAAGCGCTGCGCGCCCAGAATCTCTCACCTTGCTTCCACATCGAAAACTCCATCACAGAAACTTAGCAATTCCCAAACCGCAAAAATGACCCGCCTTCTCCTCCCCATCCTCCTCGCCTCAACGGCAACAGCCCACTTCTCCCTCTCCGTCCCCAAACCCATCGGAGACAGCGATGAGAAGCAAGGCACCGCTCCCTGCGGTGGCTACACCGCGTCTTCGTCCTCCGCCACCACCGACTTCCACGTCTCCGGTGACGCGGTGGGCATGGAGAACGGCCACCCGCAGACCAACTGGCTCTTCCGCGCCACTCTCGACCAGACCGCCGGCGGCAACTGGACTCAAGTCTTCCCCATCGTCATGCAAACCGGCCTCGGCAACTTTTGCGAGCCTCAGATCGCCGTGCCTGCCGAGTATGCTGGCAAGAAGGGTGTCATTGGCGTTGTTGCACACTCGCCCGATGGACTGCTGTACTCTGTAAGACTCTTTCCTCTGCTTCACCTTCACATTTGGCAAACACCCAGCCACTTTGCATTGTCATTTGAGCATTAAACCGATCAACCTCTTAAACATTGCTAACTAACAATCTCAGTGCGCCGCAGTAAACTTCGTAACCGGCGCCGCCCCCACCCGTTCTGAATGCAAAAACGCCTCCATCACAGTCGACTACTACAGCGACCCCAGCCTCGAGGCCCTCGTCAAAGCCGGCGCGGGCAGCAGCAGCAGCGCGCCAGCCAGCTCATCCTCGCCGTCCGGAAGCGCCGCCGCGTCGAGCACGCCCAACGCCGCCCCAGGCATGACTTCCGGTCTGCTTACCGTCGGCACGATGGGCAGTGTCCTGGTTTCCTTGGCTGCTGCCGTCGGCGGCGCCGCCTTGTTCTTTTAATTGGGTTTCACGTCTCTTTTCCCGGAGAAGACCCCTGGAAATATGTAAAATAAGCGGAAGAAAAGAAAACCTATTTCTTTTTGGGTGAGATACCTGTTGTGAGTTTTTTTGACTCGGGGGTCAATTGATGTGTGTTGTGTGTTGGTTGTGTTTGGCATACGATTCAGGTGGGTGATTTTATTTACATGAGCAATGAAACCAAAGCCAACTTTTTTTTTCCCCGTTTTTGCCAATTTTAGGTCATGTCGTGTATCGTCTATCGTGAATCATGTTTTCCCGCCCATGTACGAGTCAAAAATCTAGAGTTTGTGCACTTTTGATGCAACTCTCGCCGGAAACGCACTGGTAATCGCGCATCGTGAATCTGACCGGTTTTGTGAAACTCGCTTTTTAATAACATTGGAACACGAAGCAATATTGTGAACTGACTTGTATATAACGGCCATGAGACCCTTCAAGTGTATAACCTAAGTTACGTAAAAAAAAAACATAAAATATAAAAAACGCCGTTCGCCCAAAAAAGAACCCATATTTTCATCTATTCCATGTTTTGGACTAGACCAGATAGACTCCCCGTCTCTAATGCCTGCTGACCATACCCATGCCCTCTACAACCTACCCCTGACTCTCCAAGGTCCGCGAGCACCTGCGGCACCGGCAGCACCGACTCCAAAGTTGTGTAACCTCTCTCCGATGAGGTAGGCCTCATCCCTGATGCGCGCCTTCCAGTTGCTAAAGATACCCACAACGCTCCAGAAGGCCACGGCCGCCAAGGCGCTGAATGCCGCGGCAGGGTATGAGAGACGGTAGACCATCTTGAGCTCGTGAGGTGCCGGGGCGGGTGTGCCCAGCACACCGTGGGATTCCATCCAGCCCACAACGTACGGAGGGCCGAAGATGGCGAGACCCCCGATGATCAGCCCAGGGAGGACAAAAGCCCTGGTCAGAACAAGGACGTCAGGTTGGAGCCATCCGCGGCGGAGAACGGCGCGGACGGCTTGTGCCATGCGAGTACCTTCGTATAAACTGGTAATGGCGCGAGCGCCAAGTTTGACGTAGAGCAGGCCCAGTGTCCAGGACTGGATGACTCGGGTCGTGTGCTGGTTCTGCACAACGATGCCATCCTTGAACTGGCCACCGCTGTTGGCCCCAATCACGTAGGGCGTAGGCGGGTACATGTAGGTATGGAGCGGGATAAGGCAGTACAGCTCCATGAGCGCGGTCAAAATCAGTGGGAAAACGACGAGGAGAACGCTGTATGCGTAGACGAGCTTGGCGGCTTGGAGGCCGACGAGTGCGAAACGCATAGGAGCATCGCTATGCCAGACAGATTGCAACGCCGATGAAGCCCGAACACTCATCTTCTTGAAGATGGATCGGGCATGGAAAAGGAAGTAGGCCAGAGAGCCCAGGATGTAAATACCAATGCTGAAAGCATAAATGTCGTTGGTCCTGATGTGCGCGGGAATAAGGACCTTGAACATCTTGCGTCCGAACACAAGCGGCACAATGGTGAAGCTGACGCCCGTGACGGCAGCAAAAAGCCAGATAAACATGATGAATAGGAACACACGGACCCGGAAGTGTGGTGGAATATACACCAGCTGATACTGGTCTGTCGAGTAAAGATCGGTGTCGGGTGAATCGTTTTTGCCGTCCAGACGAGTATTGTTCTCCAAAACCGGCATAAACACGCGTCTTCCCTTGGGAATCTTGACCTGGTCAGAGGCCGGCGTGCGAACATAGTGGCCATCTTCGATAAGTTGGCCTGAATCAACGAGGGTGGCTTTTTTGAGACTAAGAATGGTCATTTGGTCGTTTGCAATGGCAGACGCTGGTTTGGCTGTGCCGCCCTCGAAGGTATCCTCCCAGGTTTTCGGCACAACCTTGTTCTGCTTGTTGACTTCGAGGAAACATCGCTTCCACCATGGTAGCGCCTCGTTATCGGGACCGGGCCGCAGAGCCAGAATACCCTCCTCGTCGATGCGGCGCTCACCAAACAGGAACCAAGTAAGGCGAAGTCCTCTCGCACATTTACGGAACCACCATGTGTACATGGCATGCAGGCCGTCACTGGGCTTGAAGAACTTGACGGCCAAAGGCATTGCAAAGTTGTAGAAGAGAAGGTCAACCGGGAACTCCAAGACCGGTTCGTTGGATGAGTAGTGGATGGGAAGAACGTTGGGAAGCGTCAGAGCCAATCCCCAAACCACTCCACCTAGGCAGATGATGACCAGCGCTCCATACACAAAGGCGGAGAAGAGGATCTTTCGAAGTTGCGTCATGACGTTACGTTCGAGAACGTCCCGAACAGGGTGGAATTCGGGGTCATCAGGATCGCGGATGAAGTCTGCATAGTGTTGTTAGCAAATCTACATCAATAAGAGAGAAATATAACCTACAGAGGACACCTTTGCGCATAATCTTCCGGCACATGGAAACAAACAGGGCGAAGTGGAACATGTAGCCCGTTCCCACAAACCAGTGCACAAAGATGGAGGTTAGTGGATAATTCATCGTGAAAGCCACGCGAGATTTCAGAGTCGTATCCTCAAAGAGCGGGAGCAAGGCGACATCCAGAAGGAGACCGCAGTACAACGGGAAAATCAGCATCTCTATGCTGATTATAAGAATAACCTTCATAACACCGCTGGCCTGGTTCAGCAGGTCGATCAGCGAGGCTTCCCACTCCTGACCTGTCTGCCCCGTGGAGAATGGAGATCCCCGGCGGAGGTAGAGAGCGCTGATGGCCGAGAACGTAAAGTAACCGCAGAGTATGGCCCAGAAGCGGTCGGCTCCTGACCAATATGACAGTGCAGGATTAACTGACGTCGAAGGTTCCGGCACGCTGAAGCTGATGACCCACGATCCAGGGTTCAGAACGCTGACGGGAATGTTTCGAGCAGCGTTCCAGACATAAACTGCAGCGGTCGCCAACAATGACGCTACGTGCTTGGCGTTGGTAATCAAATCACGGTCGAAGATGGAGCTGAGAACGTCCCCACAAGTGACAAAGGATCCGGAGACGTATGCCTTGAGATTGAGCAGTGCTTCGTGGCTGATGGCAGAGAAGTTCTGCATCTCAGTGGTGGAAATAATGGGCAGTTCGCTGGTGAGGCTTTCGAGAACTCGGCTGGACGCACTTGTGAAGAGATTGAAGGTCTTCATCATGAGCGTACCGACACCATTTCCAGCCGGGAAGCCCATCATTCTGCCTGATGTGTAGATAAAGGACAGAGCCAAACTGGCAAATCCAGTCATGACACCAACCGCTAGATCTTGTATGAACTTCGTCATGCTGAAGAGCATACGCACCAGGCGCATCGGGTTCATGGCCGCCCAGACGCTGACTCGGCCTAGGTTGTAGGGCAAGAAAACGCAGACAAAGATGGTGACCGAAACGAGTACAACACAGAAAATAGCATTCTGGAAGAGCCCAGCAATAGGCCCACGCATGCCAATCAGCTCCATGATGCCTTCAAAGTCCTCGGCATCGTCGATGGCTTCGGGGTCCAGGCCTGCGGCAACGGCTGCTTCAACGACTTCACGGTCTTGCTCAGCGTCATCCTGGTCATCATCGTCCAAGTCGTCAAATTCTTCATCGCTATCGTCGTCATTTTCATGGGCAGCTTCATCTCCGTCCCGGCCAATGTCCAGCTCTCGTACTTCAATGCCACCCCACATGAAATCAGCAACCCGGTCCATGACGCCACGCTGAAGAGGTGGGCGCTGAGCAACTCTTCCATCTTCAGTTTCTTGAATTTCTCCGTGAGCATCAACCACATCAACGAGCGGTTCCTCTCTGGTATCGGTGTCTTGCCTAGGCCCGACAAAGTCTGCTGGCACTGGACCCAGCTCAGGGCCCTGGTCTTCAAAAGTCTCGTCATGCCGAGGGGGTGGGAGACGCCCTAAGCCAGCATCTCTGTCGAAGCCAAACTCGATAGGAGTACCGATGGGTGGCGTAGAAGATTCCGCAAAGCCCTGATAGCGAAGTTGTGGTGCCGGACGCGGGATGGGTGTGGGCTCCTGGGCCTCCGCTGGCGGATCCGCATTCAAATTGGAAAAAGACCAACTGTTGTTGGCCAGAGGATTGATAAACTCGTTGCGTTGAGGCCCATCAGAAACAGACCGAGGTCGAAGGGGGCTCTGGAAAGAAGTTGTACGCGATATGCTTCCACCGTCTTCGCCGAACCTAAACTCCTGGCCAGTCTCCTGCTGGGCCTCCTTTCCTTTACCTTTGGCATCACCATTGGCACCGCTGTCGGCTGAAAGATTGGGAGGCCATGAAAACTGCGGTGTGGACGGTGCGGGCAACTGAATAGGAGCTTGCGGCGATGGCTGTGATTCTCTAGGGTTGGAGGGGCCTTCAGACCCGGCCTCATTCTTGTTCGACTGTTCCGTGCCAGCTTCCCTGCTGTTCTTATCAATCATCGAGCGAGTGATCCGCGCCCAGTAGCCTAGAGTGTCATCGAGCTCCTCCTCTTCGATGATTTTGAGAATCTTCTCTGGGTCGCCGCCTGCTTGGCGGTAGATTCGAAGGTATTCATGGACGGTGGCAACAGGCGTCTGCGTATCTCTATTGGGGGCTGGTTCAAGCGGCTTGTTGAAGTCGAAATCAGCGTTAGCACCGTCAAAAGCACGGGGACGAGATTCGCCGAAAGGCCGCAGTTGAGCCGGTTCGTGAACGGCAGCGGTCGGTTCCTGATCATCCCAATTCATGGGAATGTCATCCTCAGACCCATAGTGCCCACCCGTCATTGACTCAAGGTCCTCGTCGTCGCTCTCTTGGTGGTCATGATCATGATCGAGCACGAAATCATCAGCTTGGGCATGGTGCGCGTCATTGTGGCCACGTTCATGGCCATTGTGTTCTTGGGGGTGGGGATGAGGCTGCGGCTGTGGGTTATCATTGGCAGCAAAAGCGGCTCTCATGTTGATCTCGGGCTGCTGTTGAACGACATAGTCACGGACCAAGATTACCAGAATGAAAGAAATAATGACCAGAATTGTGATAATCTGGCCTTCCAAGACGCCAATGACGGTCCGGTTGACTACGGGATACCGAGTCAAGTTGCGCAACCACCTCACACCGCTCAGGAGAGACGGGTGGCGGTCCAGAACGGGATCACTGTTTCCAGCGGCCGATAGTGTAGAATTGCTGGACCCTGAAGACGTAATGGAGCCGAGGAGCATTCGCAATAGAGCGGCCGACATTGAGTCGTTCGTGGTGATGTTGACGCCATGGAAAGAGCGGCTGAATGGGAGCTCCTGGCCCTGGATCATGTCCTTCAACATTCCCCCCAAGTTCGCGGGAGTCGTCGTGGGTTCCAGGAGAGGTGATGCTGGGCAGACGGTAGATGAAGCAACGGAGAAGGCCACCGATACGCCTCTGCTGACTGTTGCATTCGAGCTATTCCAGAGTGCGCCGCTTCCTAGGCCTTCATCGCTCACCCAGAACAAGAAAGCCCACACGGAGCGCATCAGGTAAGGCAGCCAGCAGAGCCATACGCTGATGACGAGGGCAGCCCGCAGCCAGACAAGGACGTTCCTGAATAAATATTTGGCCATGTGGCCGACGAAGACGTGGGCCGGCAGTGTCTTGGGCATCTTTGGCGAATACAGCTTCGTGAACCTGAAGGGTGTCTTGCAGAGCTCGCAATGTTTCTTTTGGGAATGCGAAAGCCACTCCATCAAGCAGTCCTGGTGGACATACTTGATGCTACCGCTACATTTACAGGGGTAGAAGAGCGGTTCCTCGGCGGTCGCCTCGCCTCTGCATATCCGGCAAGTATCGGGATCCAGCATTCCAGCATCGTTGACCTGGGATCGGGGTTTGGCTGTGTCGTGGCCAGCGGAGGAGGGTTTAGAGGCCGAGAAGCGGCGGCGGGCGTGGGCGACGGCATCGGCAGCCATGAGAGGCTCCATCGCGGGGTCGTCCATCTCGATCGGGTCGTCGGTGTTGATGGCGGGGACTGAAGCCCTTTGCGGAACAGCAAAATCTTTAGGAACGCATGGGTATATATAGTCTAAAGTCGGGGTCGAGAGGACAAGTCGATCGAATGCCGGCGGATGTCGTTGAGGGACAACGTATCAGCTAGGAAATTGGGCGGACACGTGAATAAGATTCGGGGAGAAGTTGACGCAGGGTAGATGGGACTGGTGTGGCCAGGTTGCGGGATGTAGATCTAGCGAAACGAGGTGCTCGTCAGGTCGTAAAGCAATGAAGAGAGAAGAGGAAGACAGCTGGGTATCATGAAATCGTCAGATTAAACCTCTCTCTCAGGAAAGTAAGCCGCTCCAGAATAGTTGGGGATTAATCAACCAAAAAAAAAAGGTCCCTTGCACTAGAGACAGTTCGAAGGTTAAAGGTCCAAGTGGCACAGCGCTGGATTTCAGAGGCCCTGGCTGGCGGGTCCAGTCCGCATCAGCGCGGTCCGAGCAGGGGTCCGGGTGCCACCCCTAATATGCGGAATAATATAATATCCGATGGTGGTCTTGGCTCGGACCCCAGGTCCTTCCCCATGAAGCTGTTCTGGGGTCTAGCACACGTGACTCGGCTCCATAAAAGAGTGGCCAATCAGGGGCAATGTGAAATCAGGTAACTGGACTACGTAGCTGTAGCAAATCAAGGCAAGTTGAAAACAGACTATCGGACGGTATTATGTCATTGTGCTTTTATGCAGCTCTATCGTGGTTGGTTATCTTCTTATTTTCAGATAATGGAGACCGAGATCACGAACACGACCGTTGAGGCCGACCCGCCGAGCCTATCTTAGCTTTTACAGAGAAAGGGTCGCTGGGTGATTTGGCACTAGTTGATAACTAAATCATAACGGCTCTGGAGTCGGATATGGCCATGCAGAGCTGGCGCTGCTTTGACGGATATGCACATGTCAAAACCATAGTGCATGTTCGGTAAGTCGTAATGCACAGAAGAGAAGCACAATAGCCAGAATGGTTGTTTCATCACTCGTCAACCCAACTCCGAAACTATGTATTTTGTTTTCTTTCCCAAGCAGTAAACAAACATCCCTGGACCCATCCTGGATGCATCAGTATCATCATCACATGGGCCGGTCGAGATTCTGAAGCCGAAAGCGATGACATCCACGAAGGCTTCGGGCACACACAACCGAGCTCCGAGTTGGCGAGCCACACTTGCGTGCCAACGATGCAATGCTGCATCACTAGAACGTCGTTCTGGCCCACTTGATTGGACCCTCGTTCGGGCATGTTGAGTGTTTCGGTGGGCTGTGGCTCATGGTCTGTCCCTATCTGCCAATCATTCAGGCGCGTCCGTGCCTCCTCCGGCAGGGTTGCTGGTCTCAGTCGATGCGGAGATATTGCGAAGACATGGGATGGATGGCAACACACATTGAAGCGAGGGGCGGCAGGCTGGGAGAGAGCAAAAACAGGACAGAGCAGGCAGGCACAGCAGGATAGAGGTGAAGATCTAATCTTGGGGTACACACATAACCCCAATACCTAATTACCTGATCTCGATGGTGAGGTGTGGTTTGACAGGCATGATGCGAATGGTTGGATGGCCAGACCGACAAGCTTGAAGACGATGACGTTAATGAGACATTGACGTCCAGCATAGCTCAGGCCGTCCATCACGCTAATGATGCCGCTAAGGCGCATCCCATTTCTTATATAAGCAAGCCGTCACTGTGTACCCTTTGTATGAGAACCCCAGCCGAAGAATACTTGGAGCTGGTCCGTGTGGTCCCCTCCATCCAGCGTGCTTTCCCTTCGTGAGGACAAGCCCAGGGCGTCAGCAGTAAACAGGAAACTTGGCCCAGTGAAGAGGGAAAAAAAGGGAAGGAAGCGCCTGGGGTAGCAAATGAGGTAAATAGCAGGAGGAAGAGACGAGAATGGTAGTGCACAACAACAGGCAGGAACTCATATTTTTCCATGTAACACAGCATCCTCCCACCCTGAGCTCTTTTGTTTTGTATTTTCCAATTTCTGTTTCTTTAAGCTTCCTCCTATCTTTCTGTCACCCTACCTTTAATTACCTTACTCCCCCCTCCGAAGAAGAACAGGGTGGCCGACTCATAGACAGTCCCTTCTTCTAAGAGCTCCGTCTCCTGTCCGTCCATTTCTGGCGTCCTGAAGCAGAACCATCGCCATTCTGAAGGTAGATCATGAGCTCCTTAGCCCCACAATCCAGCCTCTAGAGCGCCCCTAAAAAGTCCCAAACCCTTTCCCCCGAGTGGTCCAGTGGCCACACCCCCCCTTGCAGCTTCAGTGTGCACTGCTACCGCTGCTATGTATACAGCATTTGGTTGCCCAGCTCGGCCAATCTCACCTTAACTAGCCCATGTCCGTTGTGGACTGGGACTGGGGGGTGTGGGATTTAGTGTAGAGGACTCGACTGGGACTGGAACATCTGAAAATCGTCAGAGCTCCTGCACAACGCCCCCAGGCCTGTTATCTTTTTCTCTGTCTTCCCTCGTCATTGTTGTTACTGCGTTCCCTCAACCTACTTCACCCTCCAGAGAAAAATCCAAAAACCTCCTTCTCACTTTTTCCTCCAAAGCTTCTGCTGATATATTTTGCAACTGCAGTTCTTGAGCCCTCCATCATCGTCTACGAGTGACCTCTCACTGTCTGGAGTTCAGCTGCCCACCAAAAAAAAAAGCACGAGTCGCAAAATCTCGAATCACGTCACGCCCGTGCGAGCCGGCTGGTATTTCCAGACTACACCTCCGCCATGGAGGCTTCCAGTGGCTACTCCAACGGCTACCCCAAAGCCCCGAATGGCAAGATGAACGGTCATGCTGCTGTCGTCAAGAGGAGGACTCCTCCCAACAAGAAAGGCCCGACCTTTATCGGTCGCTCTTTCAGCATGTTTGCTAGGTATGTCGTGCATTTATTTGTGCATTCTGTCCCCGCTGTCGTCATGGTGATCCTGCAGCCCGATGGATATCAAGCTCCATACCCTTTGATACCCTCACTAACATCCTATCTCACAGGCTTCTGACCTGGTACTCAATCATCTCGATTCTTTTCCGCTGCCCTGCGACCCTCGATGCCTGCGACGAGACCTCGCCCAAAATTTGCAAGCCTTACTTTCAACTGAAACACGCTGTATCACCCCACCTCGAGCCATACTACGATACTTACGCCGCCCCTTACGTCGAGAAGGCAACACCCTACTACAACATCGCGAATGAGCGTGTCTTCGTCCCGACCAAGGCCTATGTTACCAAGTACGGTGCTCCTCGCTTGTCGCAGGCCCAGGCCTACGGCCAGGCAAAATGGGATAAGAACGTCCAGCCCCAGCTGGCCGTTTACCAGAAGCTGGCCCAGGAAAAGTACGACCAGACCGTCGCTCCCCACGTCTCCAAGGTTTCTGCCGTCGTAACTCCCTACTACGACATTGCACGCACCAACGCCCTGCAGACCTACCATGACGTTCTCCTGCCCTCGTACCGGTTTGTCCAGCCATACGCTGCTCAGGGCTACGATGTCGCTTCCGAGTTCACCACCCAGACCGCGGTTCCTACGGCCTACTGGGCATGGAACAAGACCTTTGCCTTCCTTGACGCCACCGTGTGGCCCCAGGTCCGTGTCTTGTATGTTGAGAATGTCGAGCCCCAGCTGGCTAGGATCGGACAGCGCCTTGGTCGGTACAAGAACAAGACCAAGGGATCGCTCGAGAACGTCTCCGAAAGGTAAGTCCAACGTGGTTCGCTCCATACCACACCATAGTCGAGACACGCTAATTCCTTGTCCAGTGCTACGGCCAAGGCCTCCTCCTTCACAAAGCCGATCTCTTCTGCCTCTTCATCTGCCTCCTCTGCCTCTTCTGTAGCATCATCAGTCGCTTCCGAGAAGATCTCCACGGCCATCTCAAGCACGCCCATCCCCAACGCTTCTCAGGTTGCAGACCACATTGCCCAGGAAAAGTCGGAGCAAGCTGCGGCTCAACCCTCTGGCAAGGAGACGGCCTCGGAAAAGTCTACCCGCGAGACCATCGAGGAAGACCTGCGCAGCTGGCAGGACAAGTTCGCCAAGGCCGCCGACGAGGGTGCCAGAGAAATTGAGGACCAAGTTGAGGAGATTTCTCGACGGGTCATCAAAGAAAATGCCGAAGTTCGAGGCAAGGCCCTGATCAAGGAGCTCGAAGATACCTTCAAGACCGAAGTGTATGCTCTGAGGGAGAAGATCATCAAGATCGTCCACAAGTCTGCCGATGCCCCCTTGGCTGCCCAGGACGAACTGTTCGCAGCTGTGCGAAAAGCTGGGCTGGCTGTAAAGGAAAAGGCACAGAAGATCCGTGCTTGGAAGGATGACTACGAGGCCGAAGTCGAGGCTGCCGTCACTCAGGCTGCCGACAGCCACTTTAAGATTCTCGACAGCATTAGAGATCTGGCGCTTCAGAAGATCGGAATGAAGTGGGCGTGGATGGACGGTGTCACTTACAAGGACTGGGCCAAGTACCATGAGCTGAAGGATCGTTTTGCCGAGTGGGTGGCCGATTTGAAGAAGCTGATCGTCACTCACCCGGGTCTTGAGGAAGCGCGCGAAGCGTCCAACAAGGTCGAGGACCATGCCATGGCCGTAGCCCAGTCTGCCGCGAAGGAACTCGCCAGGCTTAAGCAGGTTGGCCTGTGGAAGCTGGCCGCCCACGATGTCTCGGACGACTTTCACAGTGAAACAACCCGCCTTGCCGCTGAGGCAGCAAAGCAACGTGAAGAAGAGGCCGCTGCCGCCGCCAAGTCTGGCACTTCAACGCCCGAGGAGGACCCTCTGGAGTCCGCTGCCAGTGTGATCGAGGACGAATCTCCCGCCACCAACCTCGGCTCCAATGGTCCAGCCAGCTCCGTCAGCAGTGCTGCCAGCGAACTTAGTGAGAGTCTTACCAGTGCCACTTCCGCCGCGTCCGGGTCAATCAGCAGCGCAGCAAGCCAAGTCTCTAGCAAGGCGTCCAGCGCTTTGTCCGACAGCTCATCCAGCACCGCCGAGCATCCCGACCTGGCATCCACCATTCTTCCTGGCGACGATCAGACCCTCATCGTTGATAATACCGGCACTACTCCCGCCGGTGATGAGGAAGATGCTGTCCCCGGTGAGAAGCTGGAAGAGGAGATCATCGCGGAGTCTGTGGAGGACAAGCCCGTCTCCGCCGAGACCGAATCGGTCAAGCCCGCTTTCTTGGGAGTGGCTGCTTCATCTGTTTCTAGCAAGGGTCCAATCTTGGACGAGGATATCGACGTCGAGAGCATTTCTGCCCGAGCCAAGGACGCTTACTCCAACGCTGTATCCCAGGCCTCTGAGCAATACTCTTCTGCCAAGGCTGCCGTCTCCGCCAAGATTTATGGCACCCCTGAGCCTGCGCAACAGAAGGTCTTGGCTTCAGCTTCCGGCGCGTACGCTGCTGCTATCGCTGCTGCCAGCTCTCGCTTCGATGAGGCCATCAAGGCTGCTTCCAAGGGTGTCTACGGAACGCCTACCGCCAAGGCGACACCTTCGTTCGAGTGGGCCAGCGTCGAGTCCATTGCTGCTCAACGTCTGAACGAGGGACGCCAATGGGCTGAGCAACAATACGAGAGCGCCAAGATTGCGCTTGGCCTGGCCACTGCTACCCCCACTCCTTCTTCTAACGTCGAACGGCTCCTCGAGCAGGCCAAGTACAACTACTACGCTGGCCTGGGAGTTGCCCACGCCCGGTACTCCGAGTTCTTGGCTGCGGCCGGCTCTGCCCTGAGCTCCGCAACAGCTACCTCGACCCCGACCAACATTGCTGGTACTGCTTCATCCGTTGCATCTGTTGCTACTCGCTCAGCCGATGCCGTTGCGTCTGGCGCACAGAAGGATGCCCTCTCCGTCGCTTCAGCTGTCAGCGACGGGTTCGAGGCTGCCGCGTCCATTGTCGGCGACACTGTTTCCGCTGGTGTTCAGGAGGTGGTGGATGCTGCGCAGGCCATTGAAAAGGGCGTTTCAGATACCTGGGAAGCCGTTGTTAACCAAGTCAGCATTCAGATCTACGGCAAGCCGACGCCGACCGCATGGTATGACAATGTGTACAGCGGCGCCGGGGAATACGCCGCTCAGGCTACTGCTGCTGTTGCGGAAAGCCTCGCCGCAGCATCAGCACAGGCCACGAAGCAGTACGAGGACATTAGCAAGCTTGTCTCCGAGCTTCTTGTTGGCAAGGAGCCTACCTTCTCCGAGAGTGTTCTGGCTCGTCTTCAGGCTGCTTACGCGACAGGCGCTGCCCAGGCCGCCAGCTTTGCCAGTGCCGCCTCGGCCACTGCTTCTTCCGCTGCCTCTGCTGTTACGGATGCCGTTAAGGAGACGGTCCAGCATGTGCGTGACGAGTTGTAAATCATGGTTTGCAAAGCCACGAACAGAAGGAGAAAAAAAAATACGATTGCATGAGTAATAGCACACGAAGCACCCTTGTTGTTGCCCGTGAGGGCTTCAACACTCACACTCTTTTATGTACCAGATACCCTCGCGCATCAAATCATCGGGGCCGACCAGTCCTGAGGATTTTTATTTCTGTCTGGTCTAGCCAGGTTATACACCAGTCCCAGTCTTGAAGCCATCAAAATTGTTTGTGTCAGCCCGCTAACACGATTTGATCCGTGTTTATCTCAGTCTCGAGTCGCGGAGGAAGGAGGACAAGCTCGGTGGGTTTGAAATGTGGCGGGGCATTGAGCTGGCGTTTAGTTGGGAAACCGGCATGTGTCGTTGGGGATACAATGACCGGCTGGCCCAGTTCTGTTGCAGTTTGCGTTTTTGTATCGTTATGTGTCATGTCTGTAATTTACCTACAGGATGGGTTAAGCAAGAGATTATTTCATCTAATGTCTGTTGTGATGTGATTGACTTTTTGTCAGATGAGTAGCTTCTCTTGTGGTTCAAGCTTGATGTATTATGACCGCACCACGACTGCGGACGTCTAAATGACGTCCAAATGTACGATTATGGTAGCCTGCCAAAGGAGTGATACGATTTGTATCGAGGCGGAGACAACAACCACATGTGATGAAGCAGCCGGCACTGAGCTCCCCCCATTTTGTTCGGCTGCCACTTATTGAACTTGAAGAAGAAGGAAGCCATTCGATGGACTTGTGCATCTTTCGGTATCTATACCGGCCAGCAGTAAGGTAAGGTAGGTACTCTTGATCTGTCTGGTGGAGGTTTTGGATGCTGATAGTAGGTATCTGTGGATTCTCTTTGGTGTAGTCCGGTTGCCGATTGCGTTGTGCTGGACAGGGGAGAAACGACAGTTTCGTTGCTGAGTTGCCACATTTCGGCTCGAATTTTGAAAGAGTGGAATTATATGGTTCATGGAGTTTAAAATTCTTGATTTTATTATTGCAGTTAGTTTTATGTGACGTGGTGAGAGTATATCAATTTTTTTTTCTCTGTATTATTTCAGTGGTTTATTCCACATTGGCAGCATGTCGTATAAATTGCTGCATACACATATCTTGTAGGGCACATTCTTCCTATCTTACGGCCATTCTTGTCATGTTATTACTTCAATGAGTCACTTCTAGTGGAGAAAGATGATGTTTCTATTATGGCATCGTATAAGTCCGGTCAGGTGTTGGAAGTAGGGGCAAGGACATGAAGGGCGGTACCCGAGACGTATTGCTTCGCTGAGACGCGGAGAGCCATCATAGAGAATCACTGTGATAGACACTCGCTACTATGAGCCTTCTTTACGCATTTGGAACCGTTCATGTCAGAGGTGGCCAACCTCCTGGTTATCAACCCAACCCGGGTATAATTGCAAGAAGCGCCATTAAGAAAAAGGTTGGCAACTCGGCCTTCCAAGAACCGAAGCCCAACACTTACATTTCTTCAACATGCAACCCCAATCTCATGTTAATCTCTCAAACACCAACGCATCAAACACCCTTCCAGCTCGTCAACATATCCAGACGCCAAGACAACAACAGGGCAACGGCCGCGATCTCCTTTGACCCCAACTACCGAACCCGCTGACTAATAAGATCCGTCCAGCATCGGGTTAGCATGTGCCGCAATTTAACCTCAAGGGAAGAAAGGCTTTTACACTGCCCTATAGCGAGGCTCGGCAGGGAGGGGAGGGGGGCCAAGGAGCCCTTTGGCAGAATACAAGATCCCAAAACGGCAGTCTTTCTACATGGGGGAGCCCCGCAACAATATCCACAGAGGAAGTATGTCGTTCATTTTCATCTCATTTACAAATTAGAGCTGGAGTCGGCATCGGCAATGGCTTGGTCTATGTTGACCGGCATGAATTTCTACCCATCTCGTCAAAAGTTGAGATATCAGGACCGTACCTGGGAGACAAAGATCTAGGGCAACACATGCCAATCCGGCTGGCGCCGCCGGAATTGTGGGCGAGCGGGTAGATTCCGCACACGTCGGAAATTTGGATGTGGGAATGTCGTGAGGTGCGGTGAAGAGGTCGCCGTCCACATGGCGTATATTCGCTGTGAAGATTGTATCCACGGTCAGGGGCGATGCAGTAGGCTTCATCATTTAACCCAAGGCAGCCAGATTTGACAGTGACCTTACCTCCTTGCTTCGGCGCCTTCGGAAGCACGGTGCAGAAGCCTAGTTGATCACAAGTTGAAGTGCCTGTGATGAGGATCAGGCAAGGATCCAACTGGTCATGTAGCGCCACAAGTCACAACTAGCGATGATAGAGTCCGATGAAGCAATTCCCGGCCTTGTACTCCCGTCAGCCATCGTGTCTGCCTCGGAATCATCACGACGGAGCCGCCGAGCCCACCTAATCCATCCTCGGACTAATCAAAAAGTTCAGGAATGGTGCCCTCGCAGAACATGATATGGATTGCGGTTTCGGGATTGACTTCGATCGGCTTCTGTTGCATGAGTTGCGTTTAGGTACTGAGAATGTCACAGCTGATGGAGGGGCAAGAGGAGCAAATCGATTCGTCCGTTCGGATTGCGGCCCATAATGGCGATCGGTGTTGGTCGCAGCCGCCGAGCAGGCAGCAGAATTATCGAGATGCTCGGGATATGTCTCTTGCGTCTATGAGAATGTCTTGGAGAGAGGAGGCAGAATTATCTCATGATGTTGAAATATTCCTCCCTCGAAATTTGCTGCTATTCAGACCTGGAACACTGATAGACCAAAGTGCCTTTCACAAGCAAAATGCCGGACGCAATCTGCCGTCGTGGTAGGACGAAATGGGCACGGGAGGTTACCCAATACGGCAAATGGGCTAAGATCGTCATGCTGTCAGTGATTCTGTCCGATGGAATACTGAAATCCTGCTACCAAGATTGCCCCAACTTTAGTCCCAGATCCAGGACATGGAACAAGGAGGTGGATAGCAGCTAGACAAAAGGCTTCAGAAGCGAGCGTACTTTGCTAATAAGTCTGAAGAGACCCTCCCGCTCCCAAACCCCCTGACGGTTATGACCTTGACTCGAAGCATGTCATTTCCCCGAGCATCCTTGGCTGAATGAGCGAATCGATATGCTGTGTGCCGTGATATGCAATCGACCACATGTATGTTAGTGGGTGGGAAATGAGTGGGTGGCTCCATACTGCGAGCTTTTAGTGTTTAGGCACCGAGATAAAAAACCAAAAAAAAAGGACGCCAACGAGCAAGACCGTGGGGACTATCAATCCGAAGTGCCACAGCAATAAACTCTTTGTATGCTTTTGTAAGACAGAGTCCGAGAAATCCATCCTCATCCCTCGATTTTGAGTAAAAGTGTGTCGAGAAAGGCAGCCTCAAAGCCCCAAAGCGGGAAATCTTCCCATCAAGGGTAGGGGAGGAGCGCAGCTGAACTTGGATCGTCAACCACGTTGAATATGCTGCAATCTTGGTGCCCAGCTGCCTGCAGGATCACTTATTTCTTAAAGTTTCTCTTCAGTCACCCCAGCCTAAACCACTTGGTGATATGGGCCAGAAAGCCATGGTGGAAGCCGCGGTCTCCATAGTCCCATCGTCAGAGGTATAATGCATAGATACGGAGACGACCTCCGCAGGGCAGAAGCAGAAGCAGCGGACAACCAAAGACAGGGGTGCTGCGGAACCACCTGTTGCTATGCAGAAAATGGCAGTTGGCGCTGGGGTAGTGACACGAGGACGAGCCTCAGCTTACTCATGAACGAAAGGTGGTGGCTCGGATGTAGCCAATGTCGGGCACCAAGAGGAAGATTTTGGGTCTTTGGTTGCTTTGGCAGGACGTCTTTGTTTTGCTGATCCCGTATTGAACGCAGTGGAGGTAGGGAAAGGCGACATGAGTATACGAGAAGGCGCGTTTATACGACTCAGATTATGGTGCTGTGTATCCCTCCCTCAACATGGAAAGGACAAATCAAAATGGCATTGTGCCGTATCCGTAATGCAAAATATCAGCGGTACAGAGTACCATGCATATTGCCCAGATAGAGAATGAGTTAGAGGCACGTACCGTTCCCGCAGATCAGGTGTAAGGCGTTTGAGGAGGGCCTGTAGAAAGAAGTAGCCTACTGAAGGAGGCGCTATGAGGCGAGAACGACACACATGACACAGACCATATGATGAGGCAGCTGCTATGTGAGGTGAAGCAGACGCACAGGCCATAAAAGGGCAAGACCAGACAAGGCAGGGGCGAGTTGCTTCGATGAACTTGAACTTACCATCTGTATCGAGTTGAATTTCCAGGTGCCTACATTGATTTGCATCTTACAATGGCTTCCATCTCTATTGGTGCAGTCGTAAAAAAATGCCTGCACCTGCAGCAGCAACAAAATAGACAATACGTATATTGTCCGTGTAAGGCGTAGTTCACCCCGGAGCAACCTCACCATGGCCCAGAGTGATTGTCCCGAAGAGCCCCACTAGCCAGGCTCCAAGATTACACAGACCAATCAGAAGCTTGGTCAAGAATCAGTGGACGCCGATTGTGGGCCCAGATCGAAACGAGCCAAATAAGCGAGACCACTCCAGTGGCACTCCGTCTTTCAGGCAGCAGCATTCCAGCAAGAAACTTCCCGCCTGTGCTTTCTGTCTAGGAAGCAAGCACCTTCCCCGCCAAGCACCAACAATCAAGCCCCCCAGCCAAACAGCAAGACCCAGCTTAACAGAGCTGTACTACTCGGTGACCACTAGTAGTGTGCTAGTACACTATAATCCCCAATCTTACCCTCTGTCTACCTATTCGCAGCCACACTCCACAATCCAATATGCCGCTTGAGGAAGCACAATAGGGTGCTTTTTTGCCCTGTCAAGCCTGGTACTCCGCAAGTGGCCCCCCCCTTGTGGCCTTGAACCTGGACCGCCTCCCTCCCTCCCTGTGCTTTTTTTTGGCGGCGGAGCCACCGCAAGTCCAGGAAAAGGCAAAGAGCATCCGTGGTCGTAGGCAACGAAATAATCAATTCCTTCCCACTGCCTCGGATCCCTTAGTGTGCGTGTGTGTGTGTGTGTGTGTCTCTCTCGGCCAATTGATGACTACCGCATCGTCCGCGATTTCAACACCATCTTTTCCATTTCTTCCCCCTTCCGCCGCCCCCATCATTCTATCCATCCATCCCATCCATCTCTTTACATTTTCTTCGACTGTGCAAAGGTGAAATTGAGGGAAAAAGACGAGACCCAAAAGCGAAAACGAAAAAGGTTTAAACTCGACAATTACGTGTTCGAATACCCTGTTCATTGCACTTCATCAGCCTCAAAGCTCAGCCTCATATTAATCGCAATCCCCCGCTGCGTAATCACTTTACGCCCAAAAGAATACGTACACTCAAAGGGTCGTCCCTCCCCTCACTAGGCTGGTAGCATCCCGACGAACCCCCACCTTAACGACGAATCCGAGCCGCCTCCGAAGTCTTCTACCGCTCCCGCACCCAACGTCTCATCGCCAACATCACAGGCCATTTTGACCTCAATCTCACGTCAACAGCATTATGTCATATTGAAAAAGAGAATCTGAAGAGAGACGCTACTCATTTTCAATCACAACACAAGCCTCTTATCCGCGTCTTATTTCACTCATCGTTACAGTTTCACCCCGCCCCAGGCGAGGGGCCATCCCTCTATTCGTCCCTACCAGTCGCTCCATCTGAATCACCACCATGGAGGGCGTTGGTTTCTCTGGCGGCTTTCAGCTGCCCATACAGCGGCGTCTGAGCCGTCTGTATAATGACACAAAAAAGTCGTCCGACTTTGTCAAGGAGCCCATTCGCCACAGTGAGGACCCCGAGATTAAGTCGCTGCACCGAAAGCTGCGTATCCAAAAAGACCGTTTCATGAGCTGGGGCCTGGAATGGTCAGATCCAAACCAGTCCGCCGAGATTGACACCTCTCTCTCCAAGGCTGGTGTGAGCGAAATTGTCGGAAGCATCCTGTCCACTATCAAGGACACCTTGGCAGAGCTGGATGCCTTATGGAAGGCCTACGAGAAACAGAACGGCGGCGGCGGCGTCTCGGAAAAGTCAAAGGGCGACCTCAAAACCCCCTTTGTAACCTGGGACAAGGCCCGCTTCGCCGATTACACCGCGGATCTCACACAATCCGTCGACACTCTTTACGATCTTTCCAGAACCCGCGCCTCCGCCGCCATGACTTCAGGCTCCCGCTCACGGCTCCAGAGGCCCCTGGCTGCCATTGAGGAGAGCAAAGCGTTTGAGTCCACTCGCATGCAAACTCCTCAGCAGATTGATCCGTCAACTCTCACCAACATTCGGTCTATGCAGGCTGAGCCCATGACCGAATCCAGAGCCAACTTACCCCCGCGAGATATCGTCTTTATGAGCAAGCAGGCCTGGGCAGATTTGGCCCAGCATATTGGCCGTCAGCCCTTCGCTCCTTTGCTTCTAGAATTCGCAGCTTTTGACTCCATCTATTCGATCACGGGCATCATGCCCCCCATGGCACGATTCGAGAAGCTGTCGTCAGGATTGCAGCAGGAGTCCCAAAGAGCCCCGGGCGCCTGGATCGGTCTGCCGAGGTTGCTTGGCTACTTTGAGGACTTGGAGAACTCCCGGCTTGGTCTCGTCTACCACTTCCCCCCGACCTTCAACGCGGTTTCTTTTGAGAACTTTACTCAGAACCCCCTTTATAACCTCTGCACACTGGGAGATCTTCTCTCACGCCCTGATTTCGAGCCAACACTAGAGGCCAAATTCCGCCTCGCCCACAACCTTACCAACACTGTATTTGATCTACACGCTCGCGGTATAACCCACGGAAGCCTCGTCGACAAGAATGTATCCTTCTGCAACATGGCTACTCCGGACTTGACCACCGGCGTCGGCGAGGTCGACGTCCGCCGGCCCATGATTTCGTCATTCGATCTGTTCCCAGACGCGCCCCCTGACCAGGAGCCGGCCTCTCCATCTCTTCCACTGTTTAGACATCCCCTCGACCCGCGAACTACCCCGGCATCCCCAATCAACGACAAGACTGATTCTCGCATTCTCGACCTTTACTCTCTAGCCATGATCCTGCTCTCTGTAGGATTGTGGACTAAGCTGGAGAACCTCGTCCCTGACCCTTCTCAGCCGATTTCCGAGAACGTATTGGAGCAGCTCGCAATTCGTTGCGGTACTCTTTACATGAAGGCTGTTCAGACCTGCTGGAATGCCGTTGATCAAGAGCTCCAAGGAAAGGTAACCGGCGAAGATCTTTTGTCGAATGTGCAAGTCAAGACGAGCCGCTACCTCGAGGCATGCTGCATCCTCGACGGCGTCAGCGCTCTTGATGACCGTCTCAGCTTAGACCTTGGCGAAAGAACAATCTCCCCTGCAGCTGAATCCCCTAGGCAAAGCATTTCCGGTCCCTCCAAAGACACCAAAACAGCCTCGAACCCGCCTGTCGATACCCGCCGCCCGTCATACGACATCAAGGTCCCGATTCCCGACCCGAGCCCCGCACGTTCGTATCCATCAGCCGAGGAAGAGAAGCGACAACTCGCAAAGAGGGACGCCGATGAAGCTGCCGCAGCGAAGCCGGCTGAGCTGCCTGCGGAGTCGAAGCCAGCCAAACCACAGTCTCCCAAAACGCGGCTTTACCCTCAGATACCACTACCAGCTGACGCCATCGAGAAGTGGAATACGATTGTGATGCCCCAGGTCAACCAGGCACTGCGCCACTTCTACCGAAAGCACAGCGAAGAGTCGGTTGAAATCTCTCTCGAATCCATCGGCAGCTCTCCACAGAAGACACAGCCCACGGTACTGGTCGTGTGCACCTCTGTGAGCAAGGTTAAATCCATTCTCACCCGTAAACTCGGCCAGCTGTTTGACGGAAAGTCTGGATTCGGTTTGAAGGTCTGCAAAGGCCAGGTGCTGAGGTCAAGGAAGGAGCCAGGCGAGGTTAAGAGGAGCGCTGCCCATGACGAGGACGATGAGGACGAGGTGAAGGCCGCCAACCCCGACTTTCAGGAGCGCCCGACCAACGGTGCAAGCATCGGTGCCTGGGTCGGTGACCGCCACCTGCCGCCAGTCAGTCTTGGCGGACTCGTCGTTGTGGATGATAAGCCGTATGGTATGACGGTGCATCATATGCTGGACGATCCAGTGGAGATTGCAAAGCACGCAAAGGAGCAGGACATTACACATCGAAGCATGGCCCAGCCGACGGACGACATTCGATTTGATTGGTATGCAGAATCGTCGGCTGAGAGCAGCAACGGCGAGGATTTTGCGTGTGAGTTTTCTGACTCGGAGTCTGAGGCATACTCGGACACGGACATTACTAGTGAAGATTCAGAGGAGGAGGAAAGTGACGAGGAGGGGGAATACGACCAGCCCGGTGATATCCCAGGAGTTGAGCCGGGCTGTGGCGACGGGTACATCATCACGCAACCCGCTATGGACGATGTGGAGGAGGACTTTTACCCTTCGGAAGAAACGGCCAACGAGGACCATCTGGACAGTTTTACTCTGGGAGAGGTCTATGCGTCCAGTGGCCTGAGGCGTAGGGAACAGAATGGACTGATTCATGAAATTGACTGGGCTCTATTCGAGTTCCACGACGAACGACTACCGGACGAGAATTCGATCCCGAGAATACGAACCAGGCCATCGTCGCTTCTCACTGGGAAGCGCCCGTCGCACGAGGCAATGGACCTTCACCCCACAACCGTAGCACCGACCTCTGCGCTACCCGGAATGGAGGTCCAGTGCATGGCGCGCACCAGTGGTCTGCAGACAGGACTAATCCTTCCCGCGCTGACGAGCGTCAAGATTTCTGGGCGTATCACGCCCAGTCACACTTACCAGGTCAGCAGCGCCGCAGCCGAGACTCCCGCGGAGCTCAGCAGAGGCGGCAGGAAGCTGGCGATGGGAATCCCCGGTGACAGCGGCGCGTGGGTTGTTGAACGCGCACACGGGCGCGTATGCGGGCACGTTCTTGCGTGGAGCGGACGGAAGCGCGTCGCGTATATCTGTCCGATGGACGTACTCCTTCTCGACATCGCAGAGACACTGGAGGCGCGTACAGTGGGACTTCCCGGCGGCGAGGCGGTCGTCAAGATCCGGGACCCGAACGAACAAGAAGAAGACGAAGACGATTATGGAGGCGACACAGAAGAACCTTCGTCGTCGCCATTTTTAGATCCACGAGATGATGACGATTTGAATGAGGTGCTGGAGGAAGGGGACGACGACGCACCGGTTCTGGTGCAAGCGCCCGAGAGCTCACGGCAGGGAGACAAACAAGGGGAAGGGCAGCAGAAAAAACAGCATGGGCAGGAAAAGTATGCTTCGGATGACAGTCATGAACTTTCGCGCAGGATGGAGTCTATGGGCATCGGACGGAGTCGCGTGGGCATTGGCATGTGTAGCTGACTTGTGGAGGGCGTCGGGGTGCGCGCCCCCCTGTTTAAAATACCCCTTTTTTCGTTGAATAATTAGATAGCCTAATGAAGTATGACAAGCGCTTGACGGGGGGTTTTTTTTTTCTTTTTCACAGTGACGATGATGACATGGTGAAATTTGTATGGGCGAGAGAGGGCATGTGTGGTGTGTTGGCATGGTAAAATGCTTGAATTGAAAAAAAAAGGAGGGATATCTAAAGATGCGGGAGCAGGAGCTGCTTGGAGGGAGCTCTATTAAAATCACATGAAGTCGTCCTCCCAGTCGGCGTCGCGGTTCTGGTTGCTCGAGGCCTCCATGTTGTGCTCGGAGAAGAGCTCGTCGTAGGCGTGGTCCTTTTGCCACTTTTTCTCCTTGCGCTCCTGCATGACGCGGGCCTCTTCTTTTTTCTATAGGGTGTTAGTTAGCAGGAAGTAACGTAAATTGGATTATAAAATGTGAAGAAACGATAACTATATATGTATATATATATATATATATATGTGTGTGTGTGTGTGTGTGGGAAAAGGCATGACTCACTCTCAAAAGCGAAGCGGCCTGGTCGCGCTTCCTGAGGACCTTGAGGCGGTCATCGCGCTCCTGCTTCAGGTCGGGCTTCTTCTCGACCTTTGTCTTGTTGAGCCTGTTGACGATGGGGTTCTCGCGCTGGGGGACCAGGACGCGCTTCACCTTGCGCGGGTCCTTGAAGGAGACCTGGCCGACCTCCATGCTGCCGTCCTTCTTGAGGTTCGACCACGGCGTGTAGATGATTGTGATGTTGTCCTTCTTGTTGCCCTCGATGGAGTTGGCCTTTGTCAGCTGCGCCAGGTCGGTCACCAGCGCCTCGGGGATCGAGTCCCACGTCATTGGCGTCGCGGACTCGTCCGCCGGGTCCGGCAGGCGGAGGTAGATGTGTGCCGAGGAGAGCTTGTCTACGTGGAACTGTGACGGTTGTGAGTGAGTGAGTGAGTGGGGTGAAGTGAGTGAGAGAGCGTTATTACCCTAGAGATTGTCAGTGTCGCGAAGAGAAAAGATTGAAAAGGGGGCCGGCGTGACGAACCATACGTCCTCCTCCCAGCCGTACTTGATCAGTTCCTCATCTAAGTAAGTCTTATCGTCAGCCCCGGCGTTTGATGGTGGTGATGATGGCTACCCCGCGGCCACCTGGTGAGGGGGGAAGAAAACGGACTCTCAAATTTGTCCTTGCCGACGTAGATGAAGGCGGACGGATCGACGACCGTCGAGGTGAAGTAGTAGACCATCGTGTATCGGTGAGGGAGGAGCCTTTTTCTCTATCGCGCTTCTCTGCCGCGGCCGTTGCGGGTGGGTTTTTTCGTCTTTGAGGGGTTCTCAAGGTGTCGGGCTTTTTTTTTCTTTTTTTCTTTTTTGGCGATGTTTCTGCGACGGAGAAATTTAGAGGTGGGGGTGGGGCGACCAATAGTACTTTGTCTGTATCAGTTCTGGGTGGTGTCTGTAAAGAGGAATGGTGATTTGAGAGGGAAATTGTTAGGGAAAAGGTACCGTGCAGTTGTGTTCTGGCCATGTGAAGCAGCCGAGGGAATATGAGACGACAAGAGGCTATGAGTTGGACTTCTGCCTGATTATATGATACAGGTTGAATAAATTTTGAATTATTTAAAAGAAATGACTATTTAAAATAGAATTGACTGTTTAATTCTATTGCTGTGTATTATTCTACTGTTCTACCTACTGACAATACGTCGCTCACTGAATCCAGTAACTTTCCATGCTGCACGGTCAAAGTTACAATGCCGTTGGGGTCTAAGCTTGGCAGCTGGTGTTGTACAACTCCAATTTCATCTCACCTCAATCCTCCGTCAGCCTTTAGCCATCATTGCAAGTTCACTCCAAGGCCTGAAAACCCACTCTCGTCACCGACCCGGAAACCCGTCAATTGCGTAGGTGTTCACTGGGTACATGGATTAACCTACATTCCCTAGGTATCAAGCCTTGTTGGCTCAGTGGTAAAGCGCCTCACTAGTAATGAGGAGATCGGGCGTTCGATTCGCCCACGAGGCATAACAACGAGCACAAATGTGTTCATTCATCTTTTGCATTTTACCCGAATCTAACATTTTTTTGTTCTCTTTTATTGTTGAAGCACTACATAGATTGGCAGTCACACCGCTCAATCATTTCATAAGTCTATTATCTATCATTAAGTGAGCGCGCGCTCAAAACTTGGGTGAGTCGTAAATGTCGTCAGGGTCTGTCATCGTCAGCAGCTATTCAACGCCAAGAGCCGGCAGCCACTTACCTTTTCCGTTATCTTCAATATACTTGCGCACCTCCTTGACCTTCTCCTCAACCTGCTTGATCTTGTCGTCCAGGCTGTTCTTAATCTTGTCATTCACCTTGGCACCGCCCTTCAATGCCCGGATGGCAACGTCGTAGCGGCTCACGCAGTTGACAAGCATCATGTCAAACGGCGTCGTCGTCGTGCCCTCCTCGCGGTAGCCCTCCACCGTCATTCTGTCCAGACCAGGTCTTCCGAACAGCAGGCCTTGCAGCTCCGTCGCATACCCGTGGTAGTTGAAGCAGACATCCCTGTCTTCGGTGAACATCTCCAGGAAGGCGTCCCTACTCAACGCGTGCGGGTGTTTGGCCTCGGCGCGGACGACCATGAGATCCGTCACATTGATAACACGGACACGGAGCTCTGGCGCGAGCGTCCGAAGCAGCTCTGCCGCCTTGACGACTTCGAACGTCACTTCGACACCAACACCTACCAGCACGACGTCGGGGTTGGCGCCTTCGTCTGTCGAGGCGAACTTCCACGTGCTCGCTCCGATACGGCAATGCTCTGCGGCGGCGTCGACATCGAGGTAGGTTGAAGTGGGCTGCTTGGAGCCGATGATGAGGTTAACCTTGTCTCGAGACTTGAGGCAGTGGTGAACCGTGCTAAGGAAGCAGTTGGCGTCGGGCGGGAGGTAAACCTGTGCAAATTAGTGATTTGACTTGAAACGAAAGATTCAAGCAGACTTACTCTGGCTGCCTCAGATTTGAGATTGAGGACTGCTCCGATGAACGACGGGTTCTGGTGGGAGAAGCCGTTGTGCTCCTGGCGAGCCCAGGTGCTGGTCTCGATGTAGTTGATGGACGCCAACTCGCCGCGCCACTTGACCTGCTTGGCGACCTTGTTGAACTTGGCATATTGCACCATCATTGTGTGCACAATACCAAGGAAGGACTCGTAACTAGGGAACAGCGCATGACGGCCGGTCAACGTGTAACCCTGCATGAAGGCCTGGCAGCAGTGTTCCGAGAGAATCTCAATAACCCGTCCACCCCTAGCGCGCGAGTAATCATCCCACTGGAAGTTGCGCCCGGTGTTTTCGAACACGGCGTCGAGCTTGTTGCTCTCCAACTCATCAGGGGAGAACATGCGGAATGTTTTAGGGTTCTTCTGGATTACTTGGTTGAGAAGCTCCCCCGTGACCTTCATGCAGCTGGCTTGCTCTCCAGGTTTGACTGTAAGACTCTTCCAGTCCGGCAGCTCGAGACTAACATAAGGATCGTAAGTGGTCTTGTATTGACCAAGCTTCTTGGCATCGTTCTTTGGGATCGTCTCAAGAATGCTGTCGTTGGGTTTGCCATCAGGCAAAAGTTTGCTAATGTCGTATCCGGCAAGCCACTCCTGGAGCTTCTGAAGGTGTGTCTCATCAGAGCCAGCCTTGGGCAGCGGGACTTGGTGTGATTTGAAAGATCCTTCGATGATGGCCCCGTCGACGTCTTTAGGTCCAGACCATCCCTAGGGAAATCAGCGGTTGATCGCTTTTATGTCCAGAACCACCTACCTTGGGTGTGCGCAAGGCAATCATGGGCCAGCGAGGCTTGGCAATTGGTTTGCCTGTGCGAGCCGCCTGCTGGATCTTCTTCACTTCGGCCACAGCCCATTCAAGCGCATTGGACAGATCGTTATCGATGTCATTCAGCTCATCCACAATGCACACCTGGTAGCCGTAACCAGTGAACAGCGATACGATTTCCTTGTTGTCCATGCAGCCGAAAATAGTGCGCTCGCTGATCTTGAAGCCATTGATATGGAGAATGGGAATCACAGCTCCCGACTCCTTGGGGTCAATATACTTGATGGCGTGCCAGGCGCTGAAAAACATTAGCATGGTTCGCAACTGTGTAATAACCGACGTACGCAGCAGTAGGGCCACTCTCAGCCTCTCCATCACCTACAACACAGGTGACGATGAGCTCGGGGTTGTCCATGACGGCGCCAAAGGACACGCCCAAAGCGTAACCCAGTTCACCGCCCTCATGGATTGATCCAGGTGTCTCGGCATTGATGTGACTAACACGTGTTAACCCATGGTCTAATTCTTTTAAAGCGACGTGTTGCTAACCTAGGGAAGCCTCCCGGGACGGAGAATCTCGTGATGAGGTTGAAGAGACCCTCCTTGGTACGGCTGTACTCCTTCGGGTAGAACCTCTCCAGCGAGCCTTCGAGCCAGAGGGAGGCCAACGCAGCAGGAGCGCCGTGTCCCGGGCCAATAACATAGATCATGTCCATATCATGTTTACTGATGAGGCGGTTGAGATGGGACCAGACCAGAATGAGGCCGGGACAGGTACCCCAGTGGCCTTGATGTTGTCAGATACTGCTTTCACGACCCAGTATTGTGTACCCAGACTTACCCAGCAAACGGGGCTTGACATGCTCAAACTCTAGCTTGGACTCGAGTAGAACATTGTCTCGGAGAAAGATCATCGCTGAGCATTATTAGCTGACGAACACGTGCGCAGATCTGCAAGGACAGGGTAGAATCGGCTTACCGGCAGCGATGTAACAGGCAGCATTTTGAAAGTCGGTCAGGGATTTGGCGACCGTGTTGTCCAAGGTCGTCTTGTTTCTTCTTACGGCAAGATCCAGGACATTGTTAGGGAGACGGGAGGCCAGGGGAGGCGGGTTAGGCTCTTTGATGACTTCGGCAGGCATCTTGAAGATTGGATGCTGTTTCGAGGGAGCTTGGGATCTGCTAATATCTCGAGTCAAGAAGACTCGTCTCTTTGTAGACGCAACTCGGATCCGAGGAGATGAATCTGTTCAAAGAGATGTGTTGATGCGTTTGCTGAGTTGATCAAGCGGCGACGTGGGAGCAATAGAAACACACAATGCTGTTTGAATGCTCTGAGTGTTGCAAGATAAGATCTTATCTGATCATTAATTCCAGCGCGAAGAATGACGCGAAAGACAGCTGGAAAGAGCAAGGTAATGGGCCTTTGCTGTGCCGGTGAAGCGGGATGTGGGTTAACAGGATGGGCGATCGATGAGTCGATGACGTCGATTGTCTGTCAAAATCACAAATGCACAAATGCCAAGGTGGAAACTGCAAGAGGGAGCCGGGTACTTAAGATGTCACTGCTTCGAAATTGGTATTTTTCCGTTTGGCCAAATCAATCAAAAAAAAAGCAAAAAAAAGGGTTGAGAAATAACGAGAAAGTAAAAAGAGACATCCCAGTTTTCTGAAGCTGGAGTATTTTAGGTTTACTTCTATTTCACATGATGTTGCGTGCAATTTGGGTCATTTTCATGTCACTGGAGCTGTCAGTTGAACCATGTTCCAGTAAACGTCGTAACCCGCTACACCGGCATTGCCGGATCGAGAACGATAATTCGGGGGTGGACCTGGATCTAGTAACGAATTGGGATGCCGAGGAAATGGGCTTTTCAAACTCGGCGCCAGACAGAAAGGCATCATGATTATTACCGGGTCATGATCTCACTCATGTCAAAGTGGCCATCGAATAAGGCGTAACTTGTTACCAATGGTCAATGTGCAGCTCTTGCCTTTAGGAGGCCAGAAGCTTGGGCCATTGAGGGGCAATCGAGGGGCATTTGCACGATACGTACCTTCTTTTCACAGCCCAAAAGATGCACCCGTTTGGTTGAGGTCCCGCTTTATTTTAAGGAAGCTTAAGATACGTACTCATAATTGGTCACTCTCTAGGAGGCTCTGATCCACGGTATCCACTTCCCGGAGAATAGCTCCGTATGGTGATACACGACTGGCAGGTACAAACTTGCAAGGGTGCCAGGTGGCAGGAGGTGTCTGTTAACCCCTGGACGCGTCCACTACCTTTGAGCTCTGACATCAACATGGCGAAATCACGATGCTCCTGCGCTTCTTTGATCTCTGGAACCGCCATTACCCGTCTGGTCCGTCGTTCTATGTCTCCCAGGAGAGAACTGCCGTGTCACCTTGAATATGGTCCAGCCAATGAGACAGTCACGGCTCTTCCCAATTAGGGAGGACTGGGGAGCTACCGCTGTTCTCGACTCACCGTGAACATATGGTTGACGTCAGGCATTTTGATGGCTTCGAGCCACTCATGCATGGACATGGATCAATCTCAACGGCCCAATGGTAAATCTTGCTTTATAAAATACTCCGGTCTCTTTGGCACTACTTTAAGCCGTTCCTCTTCTGCCGTTGAAGCTCACTTTTCTTATTTCTTTTCTCAGGTCTCTAACTCTCAGCCCAAGCAACAATGGCATCTGTAGTATCCGATACCATCAAGAAAGCCGAGAACGCAGTCATGGGTGAAGCAAATGCAAAGCAAGCTCAGCTTGCCGAGAACATTGTCGAGCACAACACCAAGACTCAGATGACGACCGACTATGGCGTCAAGATCGAGAACACGGACGACTGGCTGAGAGTCACCAACGACGAACAAACGGGCCCTATGCTCTTGGAGGACCCTATTGCGAGAGAGAAGGTTCGTTGAGAATTCCGCTTACCCTTATGTTATGACCACCGCTGACCTCTGAAAAAAGATTCACCGATTCGACCATGAGAGAATCCCCGAGAGAGTCGTCCATGCCAGAGGTGCCGGCGCCTTTGGTACTTTCCGCCTCTTCGAGAGCGCTTCAGATGTCACCAACGCCGGTGTCTTGACCGATACCTCGCGTGAGACTCCTGTATTCCTTCGTTTCTCCACTGTCCTCGGTAGCCGTGGCAGTGCCGACACTGTCCGCGATGTTCGAGGTTTCGCCATCAAGTTCTACACCAAGGAGGGTAACTGGGATATGGTTGGAAATAATATCCCCGTCTTCTTCATCCAGGACGCCATGAAGTTCCCCGACGTCATTCATGCTGGCAAGCCCGAGCCCCAACTCGAGTTCCCCCAGGCGCAGTCTGCCCACAACAACTTCTGGGATTTCCAGTACCTGCACACTGAGGCTACTCACATGTTCATGTGGGCCATGTCCGACCGTACCATCCCTAGATCCTACAGAATGATGCAGGGTTTCGGTGTCAACACCTACACCCTTACCAACGACCAGGGCGAGCGCCACTTTGTCAAGTTCCACTTCACTCCCGAGCTTGGTGTCCACTCTCTCGTGTGGGACGAGGCTCTCAAGCTGGCCGGACAGGACCCTGACTTCCACCGCAAGGATCTCGCGGAGGCTATCGATGCCGGCGCCTTCCCCAAGTGGAAGTTTGGTATTCAGGTTCTCCCCGAGTCCAGGGAGCATGAGTTTGACTTTGACATCCTTGACGCCACCAAGGTCTGGCCCGAAGAGCTTGTCCCTGTCCGTTACATCGGAGAGCTTGAGCTCAACAGGAACCCCGACGAGTACTTCCCTCAGACCGAACAAGTTGCTTTTTGCACCAGCCATGTCGTGCCCGGCATCGGCTTTTCTGATGACCCTCTTCTTCAGGGTCGTAACTTTTCTTACTTTGATACCCAAATTTCCCGTCTCGGCATCAACTGGGAGGAATTGCCCATTAACAAGCCTGTCTGCCCTGTCATGAACTTCAACCGCGACGGTGCCATGCGCCACACCATTAACAAGGGCATTAACTACTGGCCCAACCGCTTCGAGGCTACTCCTCCCGCGAACCACTCCAAGGCCGCTGGTGCCTACGTCGAATTCGCTCAAAAGGTCGAGGGCATGAAGAAGCGAACCAAGAGCGCCAAGTTCAAGGAGCACTTCGCCCAGGCACAGCTCTTCTTCAACAGTTTGTCTCCTGTTGAGAAGGCTCACGTTATCAGCGCCTTCTCTTTCGAGTTGGACCACTGCGAGGATGAGATCGTCTATGAGCGCATGTCTCAGCGTCTTGCCGATATTGACCTCGGCTTGGCCCAGACCGTCGCTGACCTTGTTGGTGGTAAGGCTCCCGAAAAGGCTGGCAAGCAGAACCACGGCAAGACTGCCAAGGGTCTCAGCCAGTTTGACTTCATGCCCGAGACTCCGACCATCAAGTCGCGTCGTGTCGCTATCATCATTGCTGATGGCTACGACTCTGCTGCCTACACCACCGTGAGAGCGGCTGTTGGTGCTGCCATGGCTGTGCCTATCATCATTGGAACTCGGAGGTCGGAGATCTTCCCTGCAGGTGCGTCCAAGACGCCTGGCCAGGGTATCAAGCCCGACCACCACCTCGAGGGCTTCAGATCTACCATGGTCGATGCCATCTTCATCCCCGGCGGAGCCGACTCTATCAAGACCTTGTCCAAGAACGGCCGTGCTCTGCACTGGGTCCGTGAGGCCTTTGGTCATCTTAAGGCTATTGCCGCTACTGGAGAGGCTGTCGACTTTGTCAACACTGCTATCAACCTTCCCAGCGTCTCTGTGTCTAGCGACAGCAACGTTGAGGAGAGCTACGGTGTTGTGACGATGAAGACTGTTCGCCCTGAGAGTTTGAAGGAGACTGTCGACATTGTCAAGAACGGCACGGGATTCCTGGAGAAGTTCTTCTACACCATCTCGCAGCACCGTGTCTGGCAGCGTGAGTTGGATGAGCTGAACACCCAGCTGGCTTACTAGTGTAACGATTGATATCACGACTGGATTTGGCGTTGGGATTTCGGAAACGAGATAATTAGTTATTAATGACAATTGTTCATACTCCAATGTCACCTTGTTTTGAGCTTATGCTATGTTACTACATTATTCAGGGTTGCAAGCGGTTGAAATGTTCTCTACTGTAAGTGCACACTTGTGCACTCTGAAGTAGGACTCTGTCCTTGAATGGCTGTTCCCTCTTTACGTCTTTCTTTACGCGTAGGAAGTTCAACTACGTAATACTTGGTGCCTACTATAAGACGATAATCAGTTGGCGAGCAGTCCTGGAAAGCTTGGCTATGCCATTAGTCCTGTCTCTTCGACCGGGATGACAAGAAGAACCAGCAACCGATCATGCCGGCAAACAAGGTCAAAGCAATTGGGTGCAGGACCCAAGTACCGCTCGCTTGAGCAATCATACCAGTGGCGAAAGGCGCCACGGCACCACCGCTGCTTCCAAACGCAGTAATGATGGCGATGCCACTCGTCCGGCTCTTGCTCGACATGCCGCGCAAGAAGACGGTCGCCGCACACGGGTAAATGGGGCCAAGCAGCAGACCGACAATGGCCAACGACACGGCGTTTCCGACAATGTTTGGCACAAACCAGACGAGAAGCTGGAAACACGCCGCTCCGATGGTCATGACGTACACGAACAGCTCCTCACCCACGCGCTGGCTGAGGCTGGAGAGGACGAAGCGGCCGACGGTGATGCCTGCCCAGAAACCGGCCGTGACGTATCCGACGGCCTCGGGGTTCGCGACGTCTCGCACATCGACCAAGAAGGAAATGACCCAACCTGAGATGGAAACCTCGGCGCCCTGGTACGCGAACGTGAAGAGCGCTCCGAGGAAGACCAACCTGCGCCGCAGGGCGTGGAACATGGAGGCCAGCCTGACCTTGACGGTGTCGTACGTCGCCTGCTGGCTTGAAGCCTCGTGCTCCGCGATGGCCGGGTTGTCCCTCTCGTAATGCGCAAAGGACCACGCGGAGAAGACGAGGCTGAAAGCGGCCAGGCTCATCGGGATCAGGTAGAACCGGTACCACAAGTCCCAGCCGATGGAAGACACCATGGCCGTGGCGAGGATGGGGCCGACCATACCGCCGAGCCCGTAGGCGCCGTGGAGGGCGCCGAGTAAGGTGGTGCCGTTACGCAGGGAGCCGCAGAAGAGCGTGTTCAGCGTCAGGTTCGTCGCCATGCCGAAGCCGAGCAGGAAGAAGGAGACGACGATGACGGGGAACGGCGCGCCGACGACAAGCGGGATGTAGGCCGCTAGCATGCACCCCTGAGCCGCGATCATCAGGTGCGCGCGGGAGAGACGGGCGCGGAGGGCGTCTACGAAGAAGGCGGCGGTGATGAAGCCTACGGCGTTACCGATGAAGATTAGAGACACGATGGCGTAGCCTATGTTGTAGTACCTGCGACACGTGAGTCATTTCTGCGGGAAGATTGGTGGTGGTAAGGTAATCTTAGAGGAGGGGGGGGGGGGGGGGGGGGGGGGGGGGGTAACGGGGGTGGGTGATTTGACTGACTTCTCCATGTAAGGGATGATAGCACCTGGAGCACCGTCGTTGATACCGTTGCCCATGTTCATCAGGCATGCCGCGAGGAAGCGCCAACGGTTCATGTAAGGCGCGAGGACGCTCTGAGTCGGCTCGACGGACTCGACGCCGGCTTCGTCCCGGGAGAAGGCATCTGAGCCGGCGCCGTTGGCCTCTAGGACCGTGGGCTGATCGGGGGTGTGTAGTGAGGCTTGTCTGGGGAGCGAGTGCATGGGGAACGACTCTTGACCACGCGAAGAGTGACCTCGCGGTGGGTGGTGGGAGTCGAGGCGGGGAGCGCCCCCGGCGACTTTGGCCGGAGGAGTTACATGGACTTGGGACGGTTCATGGGTGATGAACGCGTCGAAAGTTGGGGTGTTCATCGCGGGGAACAATTGCGCTGCAGGCGCAAGGGGTAATTGGGTTGAGGGTAATTTTGATGTTGTGTTGTAGGGGATGAAGTTTTCGGATGAAGTTTAGAATTGGATGGCCGGGGAAAACTGGTATCTCGGCTTCCGAACCCGGGGGCGATAAGCGTGGGGCCGGGCAATTTCAACCGCGGCTTTTACTTGTAGATACGCGCTGGTGCGGTTTTTTTTTTTTTTTTTTTTTTTTTGTCCCAGACTTGATTGGGAAGGTCTTTCGGCTTGGTGCCGGACAGGGATTGTAGGGGTTATGATGTCGACCACAGTTGGAACAACACTGTAATGTTTTCTTTGGTTTTTGTATTAAACCTCCTTTGAATTGTTAGTATGGGTTTAATGCTATAGGTTGGTATTTCCTTATACTACAACAAGTATTAAGTACACTATACAAAGATGGACGAGCATTCATGCCTCCACAAGCTCTCTGTTAGTGAGATTCGCCGCGGAATTGTATCTGATGCTTTTGTGATCTCAAGAGTTCATGTTCCGCAGAATGCAAAAGATTTTGCTAGTATGCACCATAATTCCACGAGTAATCTTGGTTCTAACAGATGATGCCAACAAAAACAACCGTGAATCCATAGCAGACGTGCATGAGACTCGAGTCATTGTAGCACAATCGCTGTCGAATTGCTCCTCAATCCTGCAGCTCGTCAATTCCTTCTACTGCATGCATTTTCTGCACCATCGGCATTCGTGGTGCAAGTCGCTGCTTACATTATACTACTGATCCAGCAGCTCGGCCCATAGAACCCATTTTGGCCATCTTTGTATAACCTCTCCCCTCTCCAGACTTGGCACAATATCACACTACCACCCTCTCACGGCAATTGATCGGCACTTCGCATGCGGGCACTATATTTCAGTAACACCTCATGCGATGTGTTCCTCGGAGATCGCATCCTAAACCAACCTCCGCCAGCGGTCCGCTTCCATGGTTCCATTCCATTGGTGGGACTGCCAAGTTGGCTCAGGGGGTCGGCGGATAACACTGAGAGGATCAAGGGTTTTCGGGGCGCGAATTCTGCGCCAACAGTTGCGGATGTCTTCAGACCCAGGGCGCTCAAAACAGAAAATGTTGGGTCCATCAAAGCTTGCTTCTACTCTTTCTTGTCTATTTTCCACGACTAAGAAATAACTCGATAATGTCTCTGTCCAACTTTTGCGTCGTCTTGGCTTCTGAATCCACGTGTGCCAACCGTCCACTATTGTTTCAGTAATATATACAGAGGCTTGGCTTTCATGGTCAGAAGCGTGCCAATGAGAAATCGGTAGAGGTGAACTCCTGTGATCCATATACCATTCTTCAGTTTATATAAACTCACATCATGATACTCTACGTTATTGACTATCTAGAGTGATCATCCAGCAGTCATCTACAGCAAAGCCATCAACTATTATCACAATGTTCTCCAAAACCCTTGCTGTTACCCTCCTCGGGTCTATCCCCGCGGCACTTGCCTGCCTGGGCTACGAAGGAGGCCTCCCTACACCCACCGAGACCAGACCAATCTCTGCACCCATCTATGTCAAGTCTGGCGAGGTGTTTGACGGAGGCTGGGCCAAGTACGACAGGAGCCCTACTTCTTGCAGGGATCAGTCGGAAGGAGGTATGAATCTTTACCGTTATTGTCTTGCTCCAAGTCGAAAACTAATGGAATTAATAGGTGAATCTGACACCGCCTTCGTGCTTGAAAAGGGCGCCACCTTGCGTAACGTCATCATCGGCAAGACTGCTGGAGAGGGTGTTTACTGTCTAGGAGGAGGCTGCACTCTCGAGTTTGTGTGGTTCGAGGATGTTTGCGAGGACGCCATCTCCATTGTAAGTGAAGGCTTAAATGCCAGTCTTGCTGGTTTGATATACAAGAACAAGTCACTGACTATCACTTAGAAAGAGGACAAGGTTGGCGACGAGACCTGGATCATCGGCGGAGGTGCCTTCCATGCCTCCGACAAGATCATCCAGCACAACGGATGCGGAAAAGTCAACGTGAGTGCTCACCCCCTTAAGTACAGAGAACCGTAATGAGCTAACATCCATCTTAGATCATCAACTTCTACGCCGAAGACTACGGCAAGGTCTACCGCTCCTGCGGAACTGTAAGTGAAACATGCTCTGTTCATACCGGAACGAGAAATACTGACCTGCCGTCCAGTGCCAAAAGTGCGCTCGCGAGGTCTACGTCGAGGGAGTCACTGCCCGCGATGGCGGCGAGGTTGTGGGCATCACCAAGTCGAACGGCGACAAGGCTACCCTTGTCAACGTCTGCACCGACGCCAAGACCCCTTGCCAGAACTACAGCGGTCCTGGTGACAAGGACGGCGCCTGCTAAGTGTCCATTGGGAGAGATTAAGTCGGACATGAGTTTCACGCTGCTTTTGCGTCTTCTGGTACATAGCACTTTACCCAGCCACTTGTATATACTCTTCAAATGTCCTACATATCAACTTGCAGCTCGTGGATCATGTGATTGGCGCATTTACAGATGACTGCATCGATGTTTCATATGTTCTACTCAGAATTGACGGCCATAAAGGGTAAGATTTAGTCGTAACCTCTCGTGTGGGGAAAAACTTGTGAGCTCAACTATCATCTGGTGAATAGGTATGTCAACAGGGCACTCAAAGGATGGGCAACTTCCACTTCATGTTATTATTGTACGCATCTTTTAGCTAGCTATTCTACGCGACTTAGCAGCCTTGTCCCTACCATAACAGACACTATGAGCTTGCTGCCGTTGTTGTTACAGGCGCTGCACTCGTCGCCGCAGATGTAGGCGGTGCCGTCGTCCCCGACGCGGTTGAAGTTCCCGTTCCTCCACCCTTCACCACCGTAGCTCTGACGACTTGCCCGAGCGTGTTGAAGACAATATTAACCAACGAGCTGAGCGGAGCGTACTCGTAAACCTTCTCCACCAACCCGTTGCCGAGGTCCTTCTGGGATCCCGTGAAGGTCATGTTCTGTTGGTAGTTGCCAATAATGGTGCTCAGAGCGTTGCTTCCGCCGTTGACTACCTCTTGGACAATGTTGCCCAGGTTGTCGATGAGGAAGTTGATCTTGGTGTCGCCGTTCACAATGGAACCAAGCAGGCCGTCCACCGCACCGACGACGTCGTCGACAACATCCCCCACTGTGTCGATCAGGTTAATGAGCAACGGATTCAGGTCGAGAGACGCTAGAGTGCGGTTGACGATGTCGACAAGGTTGCCGAGACGGATGACCAGCTCAAGCTCCGCCTCAACGTCCGCAATAGTGATGTTGACCTTTTCAATGCCGATTTGAACACCGGCGTTGATGGTTACAAGCTTGGCTATCTCGGCAGCCAGGTTCACTTCTGCGTTGAGGTTGTCGACGTCCAGCTCGATGCGGCCTACGGATAGCTCAGGGACTTTGAGGTAGACGTCTGCAGGGGGTGTGCTAGTTGGTGCTGTAGTTGTACCGCCGCCGCCGCCGCCGCCATTGCCGTTGGATGCGGTGCCTTGCGCAGCCGTTGATGTTGGCGTGGTGGCTGATCCGGTTGCTTCTGGTGTTGAAGATGGCTGTTCCGCTGGTGTGCTTGTCTCAACTGGATCGGTCGCCGTGGGAGTCTGCGCCGCGACGAGCGATATCCAGAGCCCGAGAAGGGACGAGAGGGTTGAGAACCTCATCTTGACTTAGACGACGGCCTGAGTGAACGAGCGTATGAAGGGAACGACGACGACACAAGGTGAGAGTGACGAGAATTCAACCCAACGTTGGTGAACTCTGAGACGTCTGGTCACGACAACAGGGCCTGTGGGGGATATAAGGCGGGCATCGTTCTGCTGCAGAATCAAGGTTGTCATTTTACCTCATCGGCATCCCCTGCCCACCACGTAGCAAACACGCTTTTACACCCCTGGTGGGACTGATGCTACGCGGACGGCCCCATATCTAGGGCGGATATTGGCAGCGATGCTGGAATGGCGGTGCTGTCAGATGGCCCCCCCCCCCTCCCCCGCCCCTTTTATAACGTGTGGTTCATCTTAAAACCGAGACAACCTGCAAGCCCCCGGACCGATGAGCTGCACGTTTTCCTTGGAACCAGTTCCACTTTCCAAGGCCGAACAAGATTGCCATCCGTCATGCATCGAATACCGGCACCGCATCGACGGGGATATGCTTTCTGCGGTTGGACGAACCGGCCGGGGATTCGCTGAGAACGGGTGCATCGCGTGCGGGTAGTGCTTCCGAGAAGAACATTCGGCATCATGTGGGTTAGGAGGTATGGAGGTAAAAAAACACTCACCCAGGATCTTAGCATGGGGGTTGTATTAAGGTGGTACTCATACGGTGACACACACACACACACACACACCTGTCAGTGTTGGCAACAGTCACTCGTCATTGCAACTATGCTTCATATCCCCGTCTCTTAGACAAGCTGGTTTGACCATACTTGTATCCATTGGTTCCCGCATCCGTCAGGACAGGAGACCTTTCTCGTCCGCGGCCTTCCCCTCAGTCATTTCAGAATTGCCAACGGCCTGCTGCGCCCTTTCATACTCTCTTTTTTTAAGGACCCCGTCAACTCTTCACAATGGGCCCCATTGCCGGCAGGGCGTTCGCCTTGCTTGCTACTTTATCAACCATCGTTTACGCCCAGGACCAGCCCAAGGGCGATGGTTACTTTGGTTACAACCTCGAGCGCCGCGGCGACAACGAGTCGGCAGTCTACGAGACGGCAAACACAAAGACCGGCATTGACACCCTGAACCCGATCCCGGACGTGTACCTCAACGCCTCGGTCTCGGTCGGCGAGATCAGCGTCGAGGTGCAGAACATCACGGCCAAGGTCAACCTCGACGCGAAGGTGCTCAACCTGCTACATTTTCAAGCCGGCGTCGACGCGCGCATCGACCGCGTCAAACTGGGCATCTACAACGTGTCGGCCAAAGTCGAGCTCGAGGCCCGCCTGGAGAACGTGGTGAAGATGGTTGACGACGTCCTCACCAGCATCGACCTGAACCCTATAATCGCGACGCTGGGCGACGGTCTCGGTGACATCGTCAACAAGACCGTCGGCGTCGTTACAGACCCCGTCGACGGCAACGCCGCGGACGCCAGCTCGGTGGCGAAACGCGACCTGACCTACCGCATCGAGAACAACATTCTGTACTCGGTCAACGACTTCTCCGGCCGCACGCATACGAATCGCGTGTTGGCGCAGAACGGCTCCATCTTTGACGTGTTCCTCAACAACAACGGCGACGAGACGGGCAGGCGAGTGGTGGGACTGTACAGCCGCGACATGGCTTTCACGGGGCACAACAAGACCATTTCGATAGACGGGCAGGTGAGGGAGTTTGAGCTGCAGTATCTGTACGCGCCGTACCCCGGACTAGAGGCGTTTAGCAACATCTACATGGACACGAGTGGCAGGGTAGTAAGGACGAAGATTGTGGCCGAGGCGGAGGGGGGCGGCACGGCGACGATCAGCAACGATGGGGAGTGAGTTGGACGATGGTGAAGGCATGAATTGAGAGACAGGGGGGCCTCGCCGCCGTTAATTGAGAACCAAAATTCCCGCTGCCAACGACATCATAGGACCAATGCAATTGTGGGCGTCGAGTCGCCGCTTGGGACGATGTGGGATGTTGATGGGCACCAGTCTGTAAGCAGGCAGACCTCCGACGTCTGGATCGTTCGATGGGAAAACAGGGTCATTGAAATGGACCAGATATTGGCGGGGGGTGTGTTTATGGGCGAAATGGTATTAGTTTGATGGAAAGCGGACAAAGCAGCGCATACATTTCACATCCTCCAGACACAGCCTATTGATGCGAGGTTGTGGTTTTGTGGCTGATGTTGTTATATGAATCGCGCTTTAAAGAACGTCCTATCAAGATTGGATATTACCTCAGTAGCACTTATTCTTGGCCCAAAATCAGGAACATATCCTCCGCAGTGTAACGTTCAGAGTTCCAAGCTAGGGTAGATCATATACCTCCAGCCCCTTGTCGTGGTAACGCACGGCGCAGTGTGGGAACCGTCCACTCTCAGTTGGCTTCGAGGTGGACAGTGATGACGGGATTATGAAGTTGAATGCAACGTCCTGTTCCAATGGCCAAGATGTCAAAAGACCATAAAGTGCCGCAAAGTCACACCCGCAGGAACCTGGGTCTGTCTACCTTGCGACTGCTACCCATGGCCGCGTACCTTACTGACAATCGTGAGCCCTTTAAAGCGACGTGATTCACGTATAGCCACTAACAGAAACCGTTAGCAACCGACCGTTAGCAGCCACTAGCAAACTGAAATTGGTGGCTGATGTCGCTTTGCTTCTAAGATGGCTTTTGTTAGTGTTATGCTCGTTCTAGATTAACTGAAGCGTACCCCTGAGCCCCCGCGGAGGCCTTCTAAAACCTCGCGTAGGCCGCGGATTTCTTCTAGCTGTGAATCGGCGCCCACAGCCCTGATTTGCACAGAATCTAGCCAGTACCGGCTTCAAGCCCAGCTTTTTTTTTTTTTTTTTTTAATGGCGCCTGGGGTTCTAGCTCAGGCACAGGAATCCTCACTGGACAAGTCCCATGCCGTTTTACGGGGCGGTAACCTTGTAGTGTGGGCGCTGTGAACCAGCCCTTGGACTACGGAGCTCATAGCCAGTAATACTTGGGCGTCTCTCCCCATCGCCATGCACGGCAATTAGTCCGCCCAGATCTCGATAGAGAATGGATCCAGCATTGCGTTAGTAGATGCAGAAATCAAGGCAAAGGAAATTTGCCATGTTTCATCCCTCCAATTCAGCACATGTGACGAATGCCGTTTTTGCTCGCGCGCATCGGATTGGTGTGTCGATGCGGCTATGCAAGGGCAGCAGGACGAGTAGTGGACTCTATGCTATGCGATGCAACACTGCAACGCGGCGAAGTTGGGTACGGCTAATGAGTTTGCGGGAGTGCCCCTGCAGATATAGGATGAACTGATTGCAGTATGCGGAATCTTGATTTGGTAAAGGAGCAATCTTGGATGTATTCGTGGGCATCTTTCATATCGACTGATTATGTTTCTCATACTATGCTGTAACTACGTTCTAGAGGTCTTTTATGCCCCAGAAAAGGCTTGATTGGAACCAGAATTGCATGTTTCCCCCCGGAAATGAGTACCATGGCGGCATTTGCTGTGCCGTAACAGGACCTCAGGCTTCAGTTTTCTCATTCATCGCCACCTGATTTTCGCCGCTGCTATGGATCATCGAGTCAGATTTGGAGGTTGCATTAGTGGAAGGTCAAGCCCTAGAGGAGAATAGGCTAAGACGTGTGCTTTCTGCCTTCATTCGACTAAAGTAACGTACAATAAGGTAGACCAAGCTCTCGTCGATACTGAACGTTTCTTCAAAGTGCGACAACTTCCCTTTTTATGAAACAAAGTGATTGATGTTAGATTTATTGAGCAGGTGCCATAGTTTTCCCCGCGGCGAAGATGTCTAGCCCATTAAAAACGAAACTGGATGAATATGGCCTCGGCTCAGTTTTGATTCCTTTGAAAGAACCATGCGATTTACTCAACTTTAGGGAAAGCTGTTCAGACTAGGCAATCCCGTGCTGAAAAGATCAGCTGGCGCGAATTGGTTCATGGGCCCTTAAGACTCTCAATATGTTGTAATGGGTTGACAAGTGGTCGAATCTATGTGCACAACTAGCCATTGAAAATCATTGGACGCAATTACAAACTCCTGCAACAACTTCGGAATTATGAATCGAAGCCTATATAATCCATAGAGCGTAAGAAAATCGACCAACTCGGCGAACCCAGAAGTACCTCTCAAGTAATAAGCCCGCAGAAATAAATTTACGTGCTACTTTACTCAATCTTGCCACTATTCTCGATGCCGGCTTATCTCTTCCGATAGACATGGGAAGAAAAGCCTTCTCTTCTCAAGGTCGATAGGTAGTGAACGTGATGCGCGGATGCTAATTGCATCGTATCTGCCTAGAACGGGAAACGGCACGACTTTTGTCACGTTGCCGAGCTGAGACGCCGCAGAGATGTTAACGGATAACGGTAAAAGGATCTCCAGAGTCATACCAATAGAAAAAAAAAAACATAGGAACTGCTAATGCTCAATAAGAATTCAAGCTAACATGGTAGGTAGATTGAGTATACAATTACGCTGCGCTTAAATCATGCTCTCAACTGAATCCCGCTCACCCTAAACTAAACTGAGGCATATATCTACAAGCGAAGTCCCTAATAGCTTTCTAGTTATATTTAGACCAACTTGGGAAGAATGGGAAGAGATCTGACACTTTGCTTCGAAGTGATAGAGGGGATATCCGACGGTATGAAGGCGTATCCAATTCTGTGATTGTGACATGCCAGGTGTCGTTGAACCAGATCAAATGGGATCAAACCGGGAGGCTAACCTGCTTTCTACTGAGTTACTTCCATGCACAAAACATACCGGAGTATGTGCTACAGGGTTGTAATAGCAGCTACAAAGACACCAAGAGCGATGACAACTGCCATAAAAAGGGACAGTGATGATGTGTTGAAGATGATCTAGATGTGCTTTTGGGCTACTCGCTTATCACAAGAATAATATCTACATCGAGATTCTGCGAAATATGCCTATCAGTATAATTTTGCATGAAGTTTGGTTTTCGGATTCTGGTAGCCCGGAGCGATGGGATATATTCTTTCTACAGTCCACCTCACAAGACTTTTCATGAAGCAGGTGTACATGACGGTATCGAGCTTGAGAGCGCTTCAGGAGGAACATCTCTCAACACTCAACTACATAAGCGGTTCTTCGTTGGCATACTGGAAACAAAGGCGGTGGGACGAAGCGGATGAACTCCAAGCCCGCGACTCACGCACCTGCTTAAAGAATTTTGGAGAGAAACATCCCGGTACACTCACCAGTATGACCAACCGGCAGCCACGTACGGGGCTAAAGCCGGTGGGAGGAGGCAAAAAGTCATCAGGATAGGGTATCAGAGACAAGAATGAGTGTGCAAGGAGAGCAGCATCCCTGAGCGCTGGGCAGTATGGACAAATCAGCTCATGTCTGGAAAGCATTAGGTCGGAGGACCGATGCAATGCGGTTGATGCGCGATTGTGAAAGACTTAGCCAACAGCGCCTTCGAAGCGATCATCTTGACACTATCCTCTCCTTTTCAGTGCTTCAGGAGTGGGAGAAAGACTCGATATAACGTCGAGACTCCACTTGTGAAAAATGAAGTTTTGGAAGCCTTTCGTTTTTGACACAAAATGCACGTCAGCTCTGCCTTTACATAGTAACTAGGTTGCTGGGTCTGACTTTGGTATTGAGAGGAACCGTTAAAATTAATACCACGTTTAAATACTTAAAAAAAAATACCCCATGCCATTGCGATACAATGCAATGCCAAGTCCTAAAATAGTAAACACTTGAACAATCATTTCTTTCCAAGAATTCGCTGCCACTCAGATTCCAGCGTTGATAAACTCATGCGTCACGCTCCATCTCGTCCAATTCTTCTAAAAATGGAAACTATTGACGACGAACCACCAGTTGGGATGAGCATACATGATAGTGTTCCGACAAAAAACAAGCATCAAGATGTAAGTAAACCTTGCTTTACAGTTTGGTAAACGCCCGCTAACAAAAGCCTATTTGCCCATCCAAACAAACACCAAAATCAAAAGTAAAAGTTCATAGCGTTTAACATACAAGCGAACTCTTGCAAGAAAACATAAAAAGAATTGCCCGTAGATTGTACAGAGTCAATCGCGGTGAGGATTTGAGCCTCACGCGGGGGTCGAACCCGCAACCTTGAGATTAAGAGTCTCACGCTCTACCGATTGAGCTAGCAAGGCGGGCTTGGAATGTTGACAGGGGCCGAAGATTTGCGGAATATTTGCCAAGCCACGGGGCTGCCACAGCGCTCAAGGTCATCCTCCCGTCCGCGAAATCTTTCAAGTTCCTTCAAAGTTTGACAGCGCGTGGCATATCATAAACTGCGTTAACCATACTTTGTTTATTACAGCTGTAGACACTGCAAGAAGTCCCAAAATGAGCATACACAATATGAGTTCTCGGAAAGCTTTTTGACATGACGTGATGTACATATCACAATAACACATTTGATTGAAATCACTTATTAGCTCTAATGCGCATAGCTATGCTTGCAGAATGCTGAAGACCGGAACGCCCCGCTCATAAAACAAAAATCCTCGCTTTTCCCCAACAACCAGTTCTATAACTAACTCTTGTTGGCAGGCGTCCCGTCACCGAGCTCCGCCAATGGAGCCGACGGCGCCGATGGATGGTGTCCGACGCCATCCAGTTCGCTGACCGGGTGCAAGTTGGGGCCTGCATCGGAATACATGCTCAGGTGTCTCGGGTTATGAGTGCTGAGCGAGCTCACGCTGGTGTCGGTGTACGTTGACAGGTGCCGGTCGTCAATGACCGGAGACGGAGCGAGCTTTGCAGGGTAGTACGGTGAGTGCGGCGGTGATGCGTGGCCATACAAGCTGGGAACGGCAGTCGTAGCATACGAAGCTGGGAAAATGTTAGTTGTCATCTCGCAGAAGAACTGGATGAGGGATGAAGCTTACCACGTGCTGGGTCGTAAGGAGCAGGGCTTTGTGAAGGGTCAAAGGGAGACGGGCTGTGAGGCGGTGCCACGAAACCCATCTCGGGATGCGCAGAGTGAGGAGTGGGCTCCCACGTGGGTTCACGTCTCTCATTGCGCTTCCTGGCGTGCCAGCCGCATCTCCAGATGATGGCGATGACGATAGCGACGGCGACTGCAGCTCCAATGGCGATGCCTACAATGGCTCCCGTGCCGAGGCCGCCACCAGATGATCCAGAATCAGGAGTTGACGACGCGGAAGGGGTTGAGGAAGCCCCATTAGGGAGAAACACTGCTCTTGAGCTGGCGTCTTTGCTCAGTGTCGCCGGGAGAAGGTTGTCGATGGGGCAGAGACCATCAGACTCCTTGCACGGGTTCGAGGCGCAACATCCGATGAAGGAGATGCTGTTCTTGCATGTGTAAAAGATCTCGCTCGATGGTCTCGCGTCGTCGCAACTTTGAGCGGGAATGTTGGCGTAACGATCAGGGTTGAATGAAGATATCCTCCTGTCCTTTGTCGGGCATTTTCCAGTACCGTTGGCGCATGGGTTTGACGTGCAACAACCAAAGAACTCGGTCGTGTTGCCGGCGCAGATGTAAAAGTCACCTCCCCTGGGGCAGCTGAGGCCCAATTCGGCGGCTGCCATGTTGATAGATGGAGTTTATAGATGGGTATCTGATTTCAAAAAAGACTTATTGTTTGCTTCTTTTTTTGATACTGAATTATTTCGTATTAGTAACTTGTGAAAAATAAACTTTGACAATATTGAGTGAACTGGTTCTTGTCCCAGTGGAAGTCAAGACGTCCCGACTTAAAAGTATTATAGGGATAATCAACAGAGAGAGAGGTCCCGCAAGCTGGAATGCAGACTCTAAGCCACCCTTGCTAGGTGATGGCTTGGATGGCTGGGGTTGTCATTCGGCAACTCGGTTTCAACGGGGCGCTGCTTCGCCAACTGGTCAGATTTGCTGCAGGCAGACGAATAAAGCGACGCCTGCTAGTGCGATTGAAGGATGGGCCAATATTTCATTTTTGTCTCCACAGCCTCTCTTGGAGCCTCCTGGGATCTCTCTTTTAGGGAAAAACTCGACATACAGGCCTGCTTGGCATCTCTGAAAAAAAATACCGATATGGATAAGGCTTGGTTTTCCCTGGCTGCGGAACGAGACATAGAACGGAAGAACGGACAAGGCCTATTGCACCACGCCAGGTTTGCAAGGTATTTTTGCAAATTTTCTGGGTCGATCTGACGATTCTTTCATTACTCTTACAGCTAGGGGCGAAGAGGTACGCTGTGTCGACAGAAACAGATCGTAACCCGGGATGACCGTCATGGAGGATAGACATGAGATACCTAAAGTATGAGACATCGACAGTCCCATTGGGTTTACCACCAGCTTAAGGAGCGTGGGAGAGCTCAAACTGCGCAGAAAGGAAGAAAGGAAGACAGTAATACACGTCAGGATCCCTAATAGCCTACTTTCCAACGGAGGCGACCCAGTTCAAAGCTTGGGCTGTTGGTTGAGTTTGTTTGTTGGGGGCTGGCTGGGGGGGGGCTTTGCTGGCTAAGCTTGTGCTGGTAGGCTTTGTAGGATCACGTTGTGGGGAATCTTGGCTTGCTCAGCTGGGGAAAATCTGAGATAAGCCCGGGTTTGTCAGGCAGCTCTAAAAATACGAATAGGTTTGTCACCGCCACGAGAGAAGGCTAACTAAGCGAAGCTTACGGCTGACAGGATTTAATTTCCAGTGTGGGCACGATGTTCGCAGCATCACCTGTCGTCATTTTTCTGTTCGTGAGGATCCCAGCCAGGCAACAAGTATGACCAGCATGTTTTGTGCATGTGGAGGGCGTATTAGGGATAGGGATTTGTTGGTGGGCAAACTGAGAAATTTTGTGCTTGAGGCAGCGAATAAACAAGGTTTCATCATGAGATATAGTTTAACTCATTTCGTTCCCTGTTGAGTCGGATTGTCCCTGGCCTCTTTATATGCTCACTCTTGGAATACCATGGAACGTCAGACCAAGCGAGGGAGACAAGGATCTTACCGTGATCGGATTCATCGTTTGACAACTCCGCGACTTGAACCGGATTCCAAGGAAGAGATGCATCGCGAGACAAGATTTGGTAAATAATTGCATGAGACACGCTGCCCGTATTTACCATTTTGGGAAATGTTCACCAACGGACCGCTTACGAATGCTATTGGTTGATTTTCGTTCGCTGGAGGGAACGCAACCATTGCACCGATAGTTTCGGCCCGGGCCATGGGACACACAGCAACGCAAGTTCGGCATTGGTCCGGGGTGGCTGGCCTTTGCCGGTCTACTTGGGACGGCCGCGTGGTATTGGAATGACTCGGCAAGAGTGTGGGCTGATCCCGATCCGGAGTTGGGCAATGGCAACCGGTAAGACTCTCTGTGGGCGACCCATATGACCGGTAAACAACCGCCGCGGAGTTGAGTTGGGGCACTGGGTTGGCCCAATAGCCGAAGGGGGATCGGGATGGACTGCCGGACTTCAAGGATCCACCCCGGACCCAAGGCGAAGTTTCCAGAGCCGTGTTCGTCGGTGAACAGGGTTCCGAATACCATAGGCATGGATATTCTTTAGGTTTTCGACATTTTTGGATACAAACCCTCTTTTTGAGACGAAATACTCCTTTCAAATCTTGTATACTTAATTCCCTGCACAATATTCAGCTGGCTAACCTCGTTGAAGATGGCTTCGGAGCTGTGGTCCTCACGGCCGGTGAACGGAATATTCCTCAACCCCGAATTGCAGGGCACCGCAATGATCCACCTACGGACGCAGCACTGATCCTCATGGATGACATTGAGACTCGTGGCGCCGCCATGGTCTGTGGTCGACCGGCAACAAGGATGCTGCCCCCCCTACGGTATTGGTGATCCGTGCCGGAGGATGAGGGTGGAACCCGGGGAACCTCAGTTGTTGCAAACCCTGGGACGATCGCGGCCCTCCCAATGCAGGCGGCTCCATCCGCGCATCGGCTTGCTGCATTTCGTCGGAATAGCGAGGAGACGCGAGTAAGGTACTGGGAGTTCATGGGCAAACCAAAGGGGGAGGGGGAGAGAGGATCGCGCCGAAGGCGGACAGCGACCGGCGCCTACATTTGATGATGGCCAAGGGAATCCAATTATATCTCTATTATGGAGCTCAAGACCGAGCAAAGGGGTCCGTCGCGGTGGATCAGTCCCCCCTTGGCTTGCGTCCGGGGTTTCGGTCCGGGCGGTTGAGGCGAATTACTTCTGGCCGTAGAAGGACTGCGTATGGCGCCAAGTGGCCCGGCGTAACGACGCGCTAAGATGCAGGGGACGATCACCACAAAAAAAACAAAAAGGATAAGGGAAAATGGGGCCTATGGCTGCTGCATTCGGCTCTCGCCTTTTGGTGCGGGAAGCGATGTTGGTTGTATCCATTGTGGCCACAGGCTAGTGGGCGAATTGGTGTCGTTTCACGGACGTCCGGTGCGCACGTCCGTGTCCGGCGTCTCTCCACGGGCCTCCGGCGCAAAACGAACTGCCTCGCCTGAAGTTGGTCTCAACAATGCGATGGAAAACACAACATGGATCCAAAAGAATGTATCGAAATATCATATTTAAGACCCTGGATTGAACCTCCCAATCCAGTCTCGAAACACTCATCACAACTCAATCACTCTTTCACCCAATCACCTCTTCGGTCTTTTCGATTCAAGCTCCAGCCCTTTACACCACTTCGACTTCCAGTCACTTTTTAACCCACACAAATCATTCAAAATGCCTGGCCTTACCTCCGAGTCTAAGGGTTCCAAGTACGACGCCATCCCCGGCCCTCTGGGTCTGGCTTCCGCGTCTCTTGAGGGCAAGGTTGCTCTCGTCACCGGTGCCGGTACGTTCCCATCTGATCTTCCCCACGGGGGAGGGTTGTGCATAATCCCTGGAAAAGGTCCAACCGAAGATTGGCACACTTTGGCCTTTCTTCGGCTGCGCGGCCGGGTCTTGTTCATCTGAAGTTCATTGACGCTAATTTTGGCTTATTTTTAGGCCGTGGCATTGGTCGCGAGATGGCCCAGGAGCTTGGTCGCCGTGGCGCCAAGGTCATCGTCAACTACGCCAACAGCGCTGAGACCGCCGAGCAGGTCGTCCAGGCCATCAAGAAGTCCGGCTCTGACGCCGTCTCCATCAAGGCCAACGTCTCCAACGTCGAGGAGATTGTCAGCATGTTCGAGCAGGCCGTCAAGGTCTGGGGCAAGCTCGACATTGTCTGCTCCAACAGCGGTGTCGTCTCTTTCGGCCACGTCAAGGACGTCACCCCCGAGGAGTTCGACCGCGTCTTCAACATCAACACCCGTGGCCAGTTCTTCGTTGCCCGCGAGGCCTACAAGCACCTCGAGGTCGGTGGCCGCCTCATCCTGATGGGATCCATCACTGGCCAGGCCAAGGGTGTCCCCAAGCACGCCGTCTACTCCGGCTCCAAGGGTACCATCGAGACCTTTGTCCGCTGCATGGCCATTGGTAAGCTTTTCCCCCCCAATGTACAGGCTCGACAGTAACTAACAAGTCACAGACTTCGGTGACAAGAAGATCACTGTCAACGCCGTTGCCCCTGGTGGCATCAAGACTGGTAAGTTAGCTCTCTAGCTCTGACAAAGACACAGATACTAACATTCCCTAGACATGTACCACGCCGTCTGCCGTGAGTACATCCCCGGTGGCACTGAGCTCGACGACGAGGGTGTCGATGAGTACGCCGCTGGCTGGTCCCCCATGCACCGTGTCGGTCTCCCGATCGACATTGCCCGTGTCGTCTGCTTCCTGGCTTCCCAGGACGGTGAGTGGATCAACGGAAAGGTCCTTGGCATTGACGGTGCCGCCTGCATGTAAAGTGCTACCTAATATAATTTGGAGTTATGGCTCAACTGGACGGGTAATGGAGAATGGATCATTTGTACATCTTAGACTATCTCATGGGATATAATGAATACAAGCATATGCCCCATACAGGCTTTCATCTTGCAATGTGACTGTAAAAACGTACTATGGGCTTAATGGTTGGCGTCTGTTAAATGTTTGAAGTTTAAGTCAACTTTGTGATTCGGAGAGCTGGCCACCTTCCAGACATTGTGAGCCGCTTAAACACAGTTGCAAAGATCTTGTCTTTCAATCATTGATGCAGGGGTATATAGCCGACTAAAACTATCCTCTTTGACCCTAATGGATTAAACCCTGTGACTAACTCTTTTTTCCTTGTGCATTATCGTGAATATGAACTTAAGCCATGAAGATTTGAACAGACTCCAAACCGCATATTCAGTCTTGATATAAAGTATTGTAGAGTTTCTATAAAATTCAGTTGCATCATACGAGCTAGCTATCAATTAAGATGTGATATCCTCTTGAAAGAATAGAGAGAGCTTTGGAAATCCTGTCAGGGTAATCTCCCTAAATATATTTCCAGCAATGAGATAAAAAATCGAGTGTGTGAGTATGAGATCAGTCTATCAGCTGGATCATCCGATTCTAGAGGCTGCTCTCATCAAAACATACATGTAGTCTTGGTTACTTTAACACAACGGTAGAAAATCGCAAACCTTTTGATAAATCCGCAGTAATATTATCAAATATCAAGAAATTACACAAGTCACGTTTATTCTTCAGAGTAAATGGCTCTGTTATTTTGAGAAGTAGCCAACTTTTATAATAAGCATCTTTTTATGTCTCGGTAATTCATGTTCATGCCATTCCCTTCAATGCTTGATATTAAATGTCCTCGTCTTCAGCGAGAGCGAGCATTGTCTCTTCATTTACAGCCAGAAATGCTAACAAGCTTAAGCCACAAGCCGTACAAGCCTCATTTCAAGACCTTGTAAGCCAGAGAAGCTGGCTGAGGGACCACATCTTTGGCTTCGACCTTGGTGGTGAGCCGTGCGGGAACCACCTTGATCTCCACACTGTATATGCATGATTTACACCACAATACGACCTCTTATCACGACCTATCAGAAAAAGAAACTTGCGCCCCGCTAAAACCTACAGCTTATGATTATGTATGCATACTGCGGCAGGGGCGTCATACGTTGCCCAAGAAAACTCCCTGTGAGGTGAGGCTTTAAAGGCGTCAGCCCGGGTACACCGGTGGCTGTTGACAGTTTGTTCCCCAACCCGCATCGTCATTCTGCTTTTGCTGACGATCTACAACTCACGGAAGGATTCTAGCGGCCGACACATCGCAGACCAAGAAATCTGACAATGCGCGCCAGTACCCAGCTCTGGTCCGCTATTGTGGCGGGCGTCCACGTCTCATTGGCCAGCTGTACAAACCAGACATGGCCAGCTCCCTCGGCGCCAACACTGCCGTCTGTGTTCCCTCTACTCGACAGTGCAGATCTGTTTCCCATGCCTCTGTGTGGAGGTTTCGAGCTGCATGAGGCCACTATTGATCAGATGCAGGCTGCGATGGAGGCTGGTACCTTGACCTCTCAGCAGCTTGTTGCGTGCTACCTGCAACGCACGTATCAGACTCAGGAGTATATCCAGTAGGTACGATGCCAAGGCTGAGTCTGCTGGCCACTGATTCAGTGTAACAGTTCGATTCTCCAGGTTAACCCTGATGTTTTCCATATTGCTGCCCAGATGGACGCGGAAAGGAAAAAGGGCAACGTCCGCGGCCCACTACATGGCATTCCGTTCACGGTGAAGGATAACATTGCCACCAAAGACAACATGGAGACGACAGCCGGTAGCTGGGCACTTATAGGCAGCATCGTTCCTCGTGATGCTCACGTGGTTACTCGTCTCCGTGAAGCAGGCGCAGTCCTCTTCGGCAAAGCCGCGCTCAGCGAGTGGGCGGATATGCGTAGCAATAACTATTCAGAAGGCTACTCTGCACGGGGCGGCCAATGTCGCAGCCCGTACAACTTCACCGTTAACCCGGGAGGGAGTAGTACCGGGAGCGCTGTAGGTGTAGCTGCCAACGCAATTGCGTTTTCTCTAGGCACGGAAACCGACGGGAGCGTCATCAACCCTGCCATGCGCAACTGTATTGTTGGGTTTAAGCCAACGGTCGGTCTTACATCCAGAGCTGGGTGCGTGAATCATACCGATCTAAACTATACACGCTAATTGCTTCTATATAGTGTTATACCGGAAAGCGAACACCAGGATTCGGTTGGGACGTTTGGGCGCACCGTAAAAGATGCCGTGTATGCTTTCGATGCTATTTACGGAGTAGATCAGCGGGATAACTATACCCTGGCCCAAGAAGGTAACACCCCAGAGGGCGGGTACACTCAATTCATCTCCAAAAAGGAGATTCTGAAGGACGCCAAATTCGGCATACCGTGGCAGAGCTTTTGGGTACATGCCGACGACGAAGAAAGGAAAGCTCTCGGGAAGGTCCTTGATCTCCTCACAGAAGCTGGCGCAACAGTGGTTAATAACACTGAAATTCTTGATTATGAGACTATCGTCAGCCCTGATGGCTGGAATTGGGATTATGGCACGACCCGCGGATACCCAAACGAGTCTGAGTACACCGTGGTGAAGGTAGACTTCTACAACAACATCAACACATACCTGTCCGAGCTCGAAAACACCAACATAAAAACCATCCAAGACCTCATCGAATTCAATTACCAGAACGACGGCAGTGAGGGCGGAAACCCCTGGCCTCTTGGCCATCCTGCATTCTACTCTGGCCAGGATGGTTTCCTCGCATCCCTCGAAACAAATGGTACCAAGGATGAGACTTATATGCAGGCCGTGGAGTTTACCCAGGGGTCAACTCGGAACGGCATCGACTCGGCACTCACTCTTGGCAACGGAGACAAGTTGTCTGGTCTTCTTGTCCCTCCCAATGTGGGCCAGACATACCAGATAGCGGCACAGGCCGGATACCCCATGATCACACTGCCAGTTGGGGTTAATGCGGTTGGCATGGGTTTTGGAATCGCCATCATGCAGACCGCGTACGAGGAGGCAGAACTAGTTAAATGGGGGAGCGCTATTGAGGACTTGCAATTGGCGATTAAGGGCAATCCGTACAAGAGGACACTGCCCAAATGGCACGAGTATCTAACGAGGCAGATTCCCATCAGGATGGATCTTTGAGAAAGAAAGTTCCTTTTTTGGGGTTGGAACAGAAACAGACATACATATTTAGGTGTAAGTAACACATGGTGATTCCTTCGGGGCGGTGAGCCTCCCCCCCTAGTTGTTGGGGCAGTGTCCACCTTGAACTTGACCAACTGGGGGGGGCATCGGGTTTTAATCTCGACCAAGGTCGCCGATAATGAAACCAAATGTAACAGCCCAAAGGGCGTCATTGTTAGGGCTCAGTTTTTCCCCCGTACCAGTTCGGAATCCTACGCTGTTAGTTCTCCACCGGAATAGTGCGCTCAGACCGACCAGACCAACAAAATAGAGCCCTGAAGCTCAGCACATCCCATAGTAACTTAACTAGCCCTACCAGGTCAGGCCCCTTGATGATTCAGACCTTGCTGGGGGGTGAAAAAAACAAAAGGGTCATTAATGAGACTCCACATATTCTAGGCTGCTGTTTATTTCCTCTCCTAATTCCCGAATCCCCGCACGCCGCAGCCGCAGTGTGTGGCGCGGCCAAGTATCCCGGCTCCAACCAACCGTTGAACAAACTGCAAAGATCTTCGGGAACGCTCAATCGCTTCCCACTCCTCGGGGTTCCAAAATATACCGTTCGGTTACCAGCTAATGAGGACAAGGCAGAACATTTCTTGTGCGTGGCGCGGTCAGCCAGTGGGACTGTTAGGGAGACCAGGTAAGCTGCAGCTCCCTGGTTCATATGTGCTTAAGCCTTGCCCAGGTTGGCAATTAAATGTATTACCAGCCCCATACAAAGGAAAATGAGAGGGTCTCCCCGCTAAAATCTCACAACTTTTTGCGAATGGCATAAAGAGGGCCGTGTCATCACCCTGCCAGCTTAAGCTACGATGAGAGCTTTCTTAAGTATCACTGATCTGCTGTTGGGATATCTTTTCAGAGAGGAGCAGGAGTGTTCAAACCGCTAACCGATATTTTCATTTTTTTTTTTTTTTTTCCTTTTCTTTCACTCAAAATGAGTCGTGGTATGAGCTTGCTCAATGCGAGCTATATGCCACAAGATCCTTATTTCCCCCAGGTAGAACCCCAAGGACCAAGCTTCCTGGACACATCGGCATGTCTATGTGCGTTTCGGACGATCAATGGTAGTGCCTCAGCGGCAGCATGGCATTGCATTGGAAATCAGACCGAAGGTGTATACACGGTCAACACGGGAAGATGGTTCAACCCTCTCCACGCAGCAACCAACCTCAACGGATCCATTGACGATGCCTCCAACGGCCCAAACACCGAAAAATCGCTGAGATTCAACTCTGGTTCATTAACCGAGTCGACAAACGACGATGGATTGAGCGTATGGGACCGCGCCTGTACCGGTAAAAACAACACGCAGTTTTCGACCACGTTCTACGCAGCATCGAAAGAACTAGACGAGGACAAACAGCCAATTAGTGCCATCCCGTGTTACAGAGAGGGAGCTGTTCCCATCCATATTCAAGACGTCGATGACTGGAAGGCCAATGGATGCAGCCCAGGATTTCTGTGTAAGTCTTAGTCAGATTTGCTGGGGGGGCGGGGAGAGGGAAGATTACGCCCGCTGACACGTTCCATCACAGGCCAAAATAACACTGTTAATTCACTGCCACAGTATTGCCCGCCCCGCAATGAGTGTCAGATGGCGAGACTGGCATCCATAACATGCCAGTGGAATGGTGAAAACTTCCCAATGGGCCCATTTGAGCCCGTCGTCTGCCAAGCCGGATACTACTGCCCAAAGCCCGGCACCGAGAAGATTCTGTGCCCGAAAGGCACATATTGCCAACCCGGCGCCGTCACTCCGACCCCGTGTTTGGTTGGCAGTAGCTGCGCGGCCGGTTCCTCGTATGAGGTTTTCCTCATCCCCTTTGCCATTCTCTTTATCGTCGACATCTTGGTCATCGCTGGGGTTTTGATTCATGGACTCCGCAAGCGTGCCAGCCGGAACCGCGCGGAGCTTGCCCGGGGGCCGACCGTCAAGCATACCGGAATGGGCAGTGTAAGGGCGCAGATCACCGGGTACCGGGCGATCAACGATGAGACCGATCATGAGATGCTCCCCATGAACCCGACATACGCCCCCCCTCGTCGTGCCGAGACGTATGGCGGAGGTTTCGAGGCCGCACTCGACTACAACCATCAGATGTCGCCCAACTCCCAGCCAAAAGAGCAGATGGACCCTCAGCTTGTCGCCTTCGTTGAATCCATGCGCCGCGCGACCGATGCCACCAACCTTGGTCTGTCCTTCAGCTATTCTGACCTGTGCTTTCAGCCGAGGGGCAGTAAGAAGATGATTCTGCAAAACGTCACTGGCTCTATCAACCGTGGAACTTTGACGGCGGTCATGGGAGGATCCGGGGCTGGCAAGTCGACCTTTGTCAACGTGCTCATGGGCAAGACGAAGAACACGGGCGGAGTGGTCGCCGTCAACAGCAGCCCCGACAAGCTGCTGCGCTACAAAAAGGTCATCGGATACGTGCCCCAAGATGACATCGTCCTGCCGGAGCTCACCGTCTACGAGAACATCATCCACGCCGCAAAGATCCGCTTGCCGAGGAGTTGGTCAAACGCCGAAATCGAGGCCCACGTAACAAACGTCATTGATTGTCTGGAACTCTCGCATGTGCGGGACTCGATGGTGGGAACGGTCGGAAGACCCGTCATCAGTGGAGGACAGCGCAAGCGTGTCAGTATCGGCATGGAGCTGGCATCCGCACCCATGGCCATCTTCCTCGACGAGCCTACCAGTGGTCTCGACGCCACGGCGGCTTCATCCATGATGCGGACTCTGAAAGCCGTCGCCCGTCTCGGAATCACCGTCATCGTCATCATCCACCAGCCGCGCTCAGAAATCTTCCAGCTATTCGACAACCTCATCCTCCTCGGAAACGGACAGACCATCTACGAGGGACCCCAGGCTGATGTGCAGGGCTACTTTGAAAACAACGGTTTCCATTTCCCCGAGCACAGCAACCACGGAGATGTAATCACCGACATCATCACTGGCAACGGACGCGATTACAAACAAAACGGCGAGATATCCAAGAGGTCGCTGATTGCGAACTGGGCAGACCATCACCGGTTTCAAAGGACGCTTGGCAGCAAGGAGGGCCACACTTCGGTGATGATGAACAGCAGCGGAATGCACGCCGCGATCAAGAACCGTGGCGCGCCCTTCTTCAAGCAGCTGTGGCTCTGCCTGCGCCGAGCGATGCTGCAGCAGTACCGCGCAAAGTCGGCCTTCTGGGCGGAGATGGGCCTGGCGGCGCTCGCCGGTTTCCTCCTCGGCCTGGCCGAGAACTCCAAGAGGGGCATCCTGTTCGTCGGCACCTTCAAGGCGCCGTACACTATCCTGTCGACGGCCGTCGATTTCAAGTCTGCACCCGAGCTGGCTCTGCTCATCGCCATCGCCGTCGGCCTGATATCGGGCGCCCCCGGCGTCAAATCCTTCTCGGAAGAGTTGCTCATCCACCGCCGCGAGGCAGAAGCGGGACACAACCGGCTCGCGTACTTCATCGCCAAGATCGTCTCCGTCTTCCCGCGCATGTTCTTTGGGTGCCTGCACCTGTCCACCTTCATGTTCCTGTTGTCGGTGCCGGTGATCAACTGGGGCCTCGCGTTCCTGGCCAACCTCTTGTACTTTTACTGCATCTACGGCCTCGCCAACATTGTCAGCATGGTCGTCCGGCGCGAGGATGCGCCGCTGTTGGCGACCATGGTCGGCCTCATCACCGCCATGTTGTCCGGAGCCGCGCCGCCGCTGGCAAAGGTCAAGGAGTGGCACCTCGAGTGGCTCTGGCGTGCTTCGCCCGGTGTGTGGCTGGCCGAGATCTACTTTGGCCAACTCGTGGCGCCGTTCGCTGATATTTACGACGTGGATCAGGCTGCTGAGCTTACTGGATTCCACTTGCACTGGCTTCGCCGAAACCTGGGTATTTTGGTGCTGATTGGTACTATTTACAGGATAATAGCGTTTATTGGATTATGGGCTCTTGGGCATCGCCGGCGCAGTTGAGATATTTTTTTTTTCAAGAATTTGATTATGCATAAGCGAGCGTAAACATTTAGACTCTGGAATTGGCAAACTGTTACTACATGAGAATACATCGACTCCTATGATGAACAAAACATGTACTACAAAAACCCGTGTGCCGAGCAGTTCCCGTACTACACAAAGTTTGCTAAATTTGGCCGCATTGACTTGTGTTGAACCGTCAGATCCTGTCTTGAAGGAGCTGCTCGTCGTCCTCGGCGTTCCTGATCAAGTCGATGAACTGCTTTGCCGAATCCTCGGCAAAGAATATCCCCTCACTAATTATGCATCGTGAAATGAAACTCTGCGCACGCTTAAACATATCCTCTTCATAATCAGCTAGTGCCTTTTCAAGCCCGGTGACATCCACAAGATCCCCGTCAACGCCTCCACCGCAATGCTTCTTGATGCTGTTGATAAGCATGAGGGCATCGTACATGGCCATATTGACGCCCTCGCCGACAAATGGCGTAGACACGTGCGCAGCGTCGCCGAGCAGCGTGACACCAGGGACGCGAGCCCAGTTCATGGAGGAGACGGGCATGCGGTAGAGAGGCCATGGTCGAAAGGGACCCTCAGCCTCAATGATGAAAGCCCTAAGCTCCGGTGCGAAGTCGGCGTAATATTCTGGAGATGTAACGAACTTCTGCCGGGTACTCTCCGTGTCTTTTATGTCGAGGGATTTTTGTATAAAGTCTTCAGGGGCCAGCATGCCCATGTAAATACGATAAGAACGATTGGATACTTGATGCACAGATATCGTGCGTCCATGATCCATAGCCATCATGCTGCCGGGGCCTGCAGCTTCCAGGGCGGCGGCGTAAGTCGGGTTCTCGTGGGATATGCGGCCCTCAATGAATAGCTTTCCAGAGTATACTGGCTTTGCAGAAGTGAGCTACGCCTGGGGTTAGATACTTGGCAAGTTTCCAAGACAGGAGAATATCGCGTGGCGATTCAAGTACGGGTTACTTACCAACGGGCGGACCTTGCTCCAAGCTCCATCAGCGCCAATAATCAGCCGAAACCCAGAAGCTGATGTACCATTGAGAAAGCGGATCACCCAGCCGCTTGAGCCCTTCTCAATCCCTCGCACGCCACGCCCCCAGAATACCTTGTGTGACGGAATTGAATCGAGAAGCAGCTGACGTAGCTGTAGGCGGTCAATTTCAGGTGCGTCGCGCTCTTGTCCAAAGGTTTCTCTGAGGGTGCCAGCCGCGTTCTGAATGGTCATGCAAGTGGCATCCCAGCGGGCAAGTTTGCTAAACTCCTCAAATAAACCTGCGTCTTTGATGGCTTGCTGGCCTGTAGGAGCATGGAGATCCAATGTGCCTCCTTGATACATTGGGCTGGGTGTAGAGTTCGCATCCCGCTCAAATACAACGTAGCCGATGTTATTTTGCTCTAGAAGGCGTGCAAATATGAGTCCGCAGGGACCACCGCCAACGATAGCGATGGGACAACGAGGAATGATACCTGTCATGATGCGTGGAAGTAGCGAAAGCAACGATGTTTAAGGTCGTCGGTGACTGTTCGGAATCGACGATAAAACTATTCAACCAAAGGAAAGGCTAAAAGTACATTTACTAAGTGTGATACCAAGAAGTATTAGACTGAATCAATGGAAAATCCCATGGATTCTTATAATCAGAATATCTGTAGACAACCCAACATGAAGATTACATGCCATCTACTCTTAAACACATAGTTAAGATTCAGTGCTCGTATTTTGGCAACCGGTCCGGGAAGGTTTCCAACGCGGCCATTGGCTCAATGCGGGAAGCCTCCGGATGTTAGGTGTACATGGCGGCGTGCCACCTCCGAGACTGGAGATGATGATTGGTCAGGCTAGGAGTTTTGCGAATGGCCGTTCCGAGACCAACCTATCATAGACTGACACTTCGGCACATCATTCCGTCCGCTTTCATCCCCATCTATCTCACCCGGGCGGTTCTCAACCTCCGACTTCAGGAAAATTGATTCGTGGGCAGAACAAAACTCCATCCGAGATTCAAACCAGTATGGAGACTGATAACTCTGCTGTTCCAGAAAATGGGCTGGCTCGCTTCGCGGCAAGTCTATTGACAGCCTCGCATCATGAAATGACCACTAACCAGGCGCCAGTGTGATTACTGCAGGCAGAAGAAGTTCAGGTAGGTTTTCCTCTGGCCCGGTCTGTGATATATACTGATTATTGGATCAAGATGCTCCAAGGAGTTACCAAAATGCAGCGCCTGCAAGCCATGGTCAAGCAGCTGCAACTACTCACGGGATAAACCTGCAGGTTCACAGAGCCATGTGCTTCTTGAGTGAGGCTCTCATCCTTGACACGCGCCAAGTTTCTCAGGTTCACTGATACGTGAAATTGGAACAGGCCGAAACCCCCAACTGGCGCACAAGCGGTGACCTCAGCGACTGACATTGAAAGTCGACTGCAAAATATCGAGCACATCGTTGAGAGACTGACACAGTCTGTGGACCAAATTGTAGCAGCCGTAGTACCAAAGAAGTTGGCGAGAAATCCTTCCGTCTCCTTTCCCAATGTCACTTCGGGCTCTGCGGGACCTTCAAACACGATAACCGCTGAACATAAAGACCCAGCCCCAAACCTATTCATCAGACCAGCTCACGCATTCTCTTTCCTGAAAGAGACAAAGGCCCAAATAGATGCTATCAAGAAGGCATCGACACGGCTTGCTCACCAGACCGCGTATTCGGAGCTGCAGTATTTGTCAAGCTCACTGACCACTGCAACTGTCGGCTCTGAAGCCACCAAAGGTGCCAAAACATTCTACGTGCCTTCAAAGGCAGCTGGATACCAGCTCATGGGCCGTGAGTTACTGCTTCCGCAAATGGCTCTGGAATTTGCACTAATATTGGTAAGGCTTTTTAGAACACTCACCACAGGGCGAACCTTTCTTTCGATCTCCTCCTGACGACTTGTTACAACAGGTCATCTTCGATCCCGGAAATGTGAAGCAAAAGGCTTGGGTTGTGTACGTGAACTACATGATGCTCGCCTTAGTCTCCGCTCGCGAGAAGGAGGAAAGCTCTGAAGCGAAGCATTTCAGACGGAATATGCAACTGGCGCTCAACGACAGTACCATCTTCCTCGAACCAAATGAGGTCAATCTCCAGACTTTAGCACTGTTGGCTATGCACGGTGAAGACTATGCATCCCCCAACTTATCCTGGATGCTTGTTGGACATGCCTGCCGCCAGGCCGAAGCTATAGGGCTACACCAACCGAACCATTCAGACTATGAATCACAGCAAAGAAGCCTCTGCATGTTTTGGCTTCTTTTTGTGGTGGACAAGTCATGTTCTCTGGCTTTCGGTCGCTCTTCGTTTCTTCCCGTGGGCCTATATCGTGATGTCCCGTTGCCTGATTTCAACTACATGCTCAAATTTCAGCCACATAATGAACCAGACTTCCGGAACTCGAGAAATCCTTCCCAAGTATCAACATTTGGAGCTCATTATCTTACCCAGGGGATGAAGCTGGCTAGGCTCATGGGAGACGTGCTGACGCTCTTAATCCCTGGCCAACCATACGTCCGAAGAGAAGAGGTCAGAGTGCAGCTAGAAACATGGCACAAAGAGACTAATCAGGTAAGTGGAACTCTGGAGTGTTTCTAAACAATATTGCTAAGCTCTTGTTTGTCAGGTCCTCTACGAGACTTTGGATAAAGAGAGGTCTTCGACTGCCGAAGCACATCTGCGAGAGATGTCACTTGGCATAACCAGTATGAAGTTCCAGTATTTACACATAGTAATTGTTCTTCATAAAGGTGATCCGGCTTGTGCAAAAATTCTACTGGAATCTGCACGAGAAGCTCTTTCCCTCTTGCCGCACATGGTGTCAAACTGGTCTTCCATATACAACGGTGTCGTATGGTAAGTTAGCTTATCTCAATAGCCGTTGCGATTATAGGCAACCTAGTCAATGGTGTATTTTCTGCTGACGGATCTCAACAGGCATTTACTTTACTATCCTTTCATACCTTTTTTTGTTGTATTCGAACACATCGTCCACGATAAAACATCCAACGCATCTTCAAAAACAAACAACGACATCAGTCTATTGTCCACAACCGTGTCTTATTTTTCAAGTATGCGAGCTCAACTTCGTCTCTTAGCGCCTGTCTGTGCACGACTGGAGCATGTTGCCTCTATATTCCTACAGCTTGCGCAAGCTCACGCCAACGAACGGAGATTGCCACACAGTGGGGAGCCAAAAGTCAACTCAGTATTTCCGTCAAGCGCGCCGCCTCTGTCTACCCAGTTTTTAGGGCATGGTGATAATGAAAGAATCGCATCTGTCTTTCAGACTGTGAATGAAGACGAGGGTATCATAGCGGATCTGGATATCAGTACCCTGCTGGATTGGCTGCCCGCTGATACCGCTGCTTCATGGCCTGTTGAATTTACTGCAACATCGCAGCAAAGCAGAGCTGGGACTGCCTTCAACAGTTCTTTGATAACCGAAGAGCAGACCGAAAGGGCCTCACGTGGTCGTAAACGCACGTTCGATGCCACCTTTGACTGGTTCTCTTGGGATACGTACTACACAGATTCTGGCTCTAGAAGGGCTTTCTCTTGATGACTTTATGTTAGCTGTTGTCATCTATGAGTATGCACTTATTCATTCTATCATCCGTTAAACAGAGTGCCAAAGGTAGATATTATCATAGCAATTTATGTTTTTTTGGTCATAAGTAACATGAAAATCAAATCATATGTTGTACACTGTATAATTGCAAAAGTTTTGTTTACTATTATAATCTAAGCTAAATTTTATTGCGAGATCTTCTTGACACAGCCTGCTAGATTGAATATTTCAGGAATCTCGCTAGCTCAGGCGTCCAGCTGCGCTTAGGGTCATCAAGAGCCAAGCCCAGACCGTGAGACCCATCTGGAAGGATCAATACTTGTGTCGGACGCTTGTACGTTGCCATGGCCTCGGCAAAGAGGAGTGTGTTCTGGACAGGGACGCTTCCGTCGTTGAACGTGTGGAACAAGAAGGTTGGCGGGGTGGTCGCGGACACTAGGTTCTGTGCCGACAATTTATGCTGCAGTTCGGCGCTTGCATTGGCTCCGATGAGGTTGGTGCGCGAGCCCACGTGTGTGTAGTTCCCTTCAAGGGTGATGACGGGATATGCGAGAATGCCAAAGTCCAGAGCAGCCTCGGGATTAGTGAGCGTCACCGCGGAGAGGTGCCCGCCAGCTGAAAAGCCCCAAATGCCGAGCTTGGTGGTGCGGTTCTGCTCCCGAATATACTTCAGAGCATCAAGCGCCTCGTCTTGAGGCTTCGGGTAGATGGGCCCTGTTGTATTTGAGATCGTAGTGTAGTCGAGAACCCAAGCATCGATACCCAAGCTGTTCAGGAACTGTGCTGGGGTATATCCCTCTTTGACTATAGACACCCGAGCATACCCTCCACCAGGACACACCAGAACTCCAGTGCCCGTTGAGTTCGCCGCGGGAAAATACGTGATCTGCGCAGTATTGAGCCTGCCGAAGGTGTCAGATTCCAGGTGCCCTTTTCCGGGACCACCACGCAATTGTGGACCGTCGATAGCGTTTAAGCATTCTCACCTCTTCACGGCTCTTTGGGGAGATTCAAGGGGTTCTCTGCCATTGGCGTCAGATGGGAGAGCAGCTACGCTGTGAAGGAGAAGGCCCACGGCCAGTGCTAACATAGACTTCATTTTTCCTTTTGGAACCTAAATGAGACCGTAATCGAAATGGCTCCGGCGAGTTGGAAAGTAACGGTCCCTTTATAGTACTCTCAATGCTTGAATTCACAACAGATCAGACCCGGCGGCTTGATGCTTTACCAGAGTGCCCGCTTTACTTACCCCGCGTAGAGTGGTATCGCTGTCAATCATTACCCAGCCAAGGACAGCAATTCCATTTGTCCGGTATTCGGGGAGGGGTTTATGACCAATTCTGTCTTCCTGCACATCGTCGCAAAAAGAGCCGAAATACCGTTACCTCAACGAAAGCGTTGAGAAATCCACCAATGAGGGCATGGCACTAGCCAACTAGCGGTAAACCGGATCAACTTGCTGGGGAAACCTTTCGGAATGGAGTCCACCATGGTTAACCCATGCTCCAAGGTTAATGAACCAATGTCACGAGTCAAATTAGCAGCGCAAGGAGGTTTCAATGTTGACCCAAAGACAACGTACTCACGTCTAATTTTAATTGTTGACTTCAAATCTCTCAAGAAAGGCAGAGGGGAATTTCTCAGTAGGCGTTTACTAGCAAGAACTTATGTATGTATGGAATGATAATATCTCATGAGAAAAAATGAGCCACAGTTGTAATCCGAAAGCCCGGGCATCTTAGGTGACGGCAATATTTCGTATTGGCAGTAGCATGCTTCTGAACTGATAACTATGTGGGTCCTTAATATCTGAGGCGAACAGTTCTGTTCTCAGAATCCCGAAGTTAGGAAGTAAAGGCTTAGAATTGATGAAGTCTGAATTCAATGGCTAAAGAAAAACGACAACCGAAGTTTATTAGTATTGCACAGATTATATACTACGTTTCGAAGCTAAATATAGTCGGGATGTGACTAATAAGGGGCCCCGTAGCACAAACAACAAAGACTCTCTCCCATGGTTTACTTTCATTCCTTTCTAAAGAACAATTGTGAATTAACCCACCAAATGGGCCCTCTACATTGTGAATCCTCATCTCATAGGCTAGGCTGTTATGGCTCCAAGACGCCTTTGTGAATGATTCCCTGAGCCTCCATAGGAGGGACGTATGGGGCCTCTCGAGTTTGTCGAAAATGCACACTTCCGTAACGCAACAACTCAGCGAATGTACCAGGCTCGCGATCCTTTTCCTCATTCTCCTTCATATCCCATAGCGCGCCTAGGGCCTTCGTTGTGGTAAGACCGCCCGCACGTGTAACCTTCTGCATTGTCGATGATGCCAACAAATACCAAACTGTCTTATACGCCTTTTTGTACGCCTCGGACTCCGAATCGGCGTCAAGCCTAGTGTTGAGCAAGTCAAATAGCTCCTCTCCATTCCATCCGATCAGGGCTTCCGCCGGCCAATCTTCCCACAATGCGTCAAACAGAAGTATCTTCTTCTCATAATAATTAGCACCGTCAAAGCCATCATTTGGCTCCTTCAGTATGCTGAGTCGTATCCAACAGCAAATCTGCGCGATGTACTCGAGTACTATGGGAATCGGCGTATCCCAGCTCCAAGAGAAGCCCCTAGCCTCAACGTCCTCAAGCTTGATATCCTTCGCATGTGCCATTAAAGGATGCTCATAGAGACCGTTCGCGCTTGTCCGATCCTTCCAGAGCTCCATGAATAAGTCATGCCTGTTTCAAGCGTTACTTTCCGATTTGTAAAAGGCTAAAAGGAGATTCGTTGACAAACCAGTGTTTAATGAACGGATCACCCTTGCGGCTGGCTATGAAGTGGTTCGCAATGCCTCGTTGGTACATCCACGGGCCAGCAACTTGGTACGGTTCATTTGCATCCTCTAGCTTTCGCCAGCAGATTTCATCAATCGAACGAAATAAGATGGAGCCAACATCCATCCAAGCTCCGCCATACTGGTATAGACAGATGCCACGGAGAAAATCTGCACTGTGGGGACCAGTGTATCCTAGAGGGCCATCCATGGTCTTTGTTGTGAAGGCCTTGGGAAGATCCTCTTCCTTGACCCAGTTCAAAGCATTGTTCGGGGAATTATCGACTACGTCGAGGACACGGATTGTCCATTGGGGACCACAAATGCGTGACCAAGCAATGATATTGCGCTGGCACCAGGGAGGCATGTCCCGAATGCCAGCATGCCAAAAAGCCCATATGTTCTTTTCCGAAGCCACAGGCGGAGGTCGGGTGAGAGCTTCGAGGATTTCCTCATCTGACCTCAAGTCGAGGGGCTCAACATACCGAATCTTGTCTTGGAATTCAGAAGGGATTTCGAAATGAGAAGTAGCCATTTCGATATAATGCACTCGAATGGACTGATTTGATGAAAAATAAAAACGACTCTGAAGACGTCAAACTAATAGTTATAGGATACCTTTCAACTTTATATAAGAATATATCTTGCCAGTTTATGTAGGCGCTCGTCATCCAGTGCGATGTTGATTATTGACCCTAAATGTATGCTAGTGCTTACACGCACTCAAGCCGATGCTGACATGCTTCAGTCCAGACATGATGACGCCTGCCGATGCACGGTTAGTTGGCGATCAGGCAACAGACGGAAAGACACGACCAATAGGGTGGTATATAAATGCGCGAATTATTACATGCCTAGGCTCCTACTGTTAGGAAGTTTGGGCGCGTAGTGGAAGTGATTGGCTAGAACAACATGTTATCCAAGGGTTGTAGGTTACGAGATACTTCCTTCAAACGGTGATCGCACATTTCTTGTACCACTGCCGAGCGGCTAAAAGGGTCGTCAGCATCTCATATGCTAGGCTGTATAGACGTTACTGCAGAGTGTCAGATTAAAACCATCCATCTGCTCTACTCGAATCTAATGAGGCATTTGGTTGCATTGGATAATAGGGGGAAGACTTGGTGCAAGTCCGGAGACCGAATATTTCATTTGTATGGTACAACACCACAAACGAACACAGCTCCGCAAACATTGATTTTGGGCCACAAAACCGGTCGGAGAAACAACATAGTCCAATAGCAGTAGTGTGATTCATATGTATTGTTTAGTAGCCAGATTCCATGGGCTGATGTCTTGAGAGATATATGACATTCCAAAAAGTATAATTAAATAGTGCCCTCCGCTGCTTTACCCCAACCCAGTTCCAAGACATCCCTGAGCTTCATTGGCTTGATGTCTGGATACTCAGCATTTAGTGTACGTCCCGGGTTCAAGTTTGCCTGACCCCGTTCACATTCAAGCCCGAACGGAGCAAGAAAACTGTGCAGCATCTCTTTAGGGTAGAACTGGTAGATTGCGCGATGGGATGGTAGCTCGGTCAGTTTACAAGCTGCTAGATCTTGAACTGAGTCATGAGCCACAACAAACTTGGTACCTGTCAAGGCTAGTCAGCTGAAAGAGTTACAAACGATGATGAGATTGCATACCTTTCACTTCTTCAGCAAGACGCACAACTTGATGAAAGGTAGCCTTATCGCCAATGATGTATGTCTCTGCGGCCCAAGTATGACTCTCAAGGAGAGCAGCAATGAAGCGGCCAACATCGAAAGTGTGAGTGAAGACGACTGGAACCTCTCCAGAGCCAGGGATAGCGGCCATATTGCTTTTGATGTCAACAAAGAAGGCCACATCGTCCATGTAGGATTTCACTTTCGGGGTTCCGAAATAGTCGAGAAAGAACCCGTTGTAGATGACTGTCCACTGGAGAGATGTGGATTCCAAAGCAGTCAGGGCAGACCTTTTTGCCATGGCTGGAGGAAAGTTCTCATATTGTCTTATTGTAGCCTTGATCAGCTGTGGCTCTCAGATTTGTGGACAAAACTCACTCCTGCGAATACGGGACTCCAAAATAACTTGGGATGAACCTTTTGGTAGGAGCTGAAATTTCAGCTGCTTTGATGAGGTTGATCTCTGAGTCGTTTTCGCCAGTTATATTATTGATAGCAGAGATGACTGTATCGATCTTGTTTTTCTCAAGAGTCGATGCTAGAGACTCAACATCGGAATAGTCAACAGCAATGAAGTGAAGACCACCGGATCCCTCAGGACTTCCCGATACCTATATTAAGTCAGCAGACGTGTATAGTAATATATTAATGGTTGTTCACCGACTTTTCTCGTTAGAACAAATACCTGGTATGTTCCTCGGGCCTGAATGACTTCGATCAGCGCGCGCCCAAGGCCTCCACTGCCGCCAGCTATAGCAACAGACATAGTGAGCAGTCTAAAAATTGGTTGTACTGATGTAGTCGGTAACGAGATGCACTGAGAGTGTATAATCTGCTGGTTCTACTGGAAAATCTGATCTTTGAGACGTAAAAGAGAATAGTTCATTGTTGTCGGGCCCTCGCTTTATAGATGCAAGTACATGCGTATCTTGGATAGAACGGAGTTAGGCATTTTACGTATTTGGTACTTCCATCTAAGAACATTTTGTCGCAGAAGGCCTTCAGCTCGGGTCTTGGCCTCCCACATTTTAGTTTCGGGGTGCTCGGGGGCCGAGGGCCGGACAGACCCGGCCGGGGATCTGTCGGGTACAGGGGACCTAAAGTCCGTTTCCATTGGCATGCCAGGCCAATGATGAACAAAGCTCGACGGATTTTACCGCTAGCTAGATAGGTTACGCGAGCTTCTAGAGTATTCTTGTTATTGGAAAGTCTCACTGTTGCATTCCAGAAATTGGACAAACTCGATCTCCTGAAGCTTACATATCAAAAGAGCTTCACCTCTAAATGTGAACTTGAAGTACGTACATGATGTATTAAAACTCATTATGGAAATCCATGACATTATGACCACCGAACATCAACTCCATCTGCTCACTGGGCAGATGTATTGCTACATTCTCATCCCCTGCAACTGACAACATGCTTGCTGCAAAGTACTGACTTAGACTGCTTGTAGATAATGAAAGGGATAGCTCCAGAGCCGTTTCCACACTGGACTCCATTTGCAGTTTTGCAACCTGACACAAATTCTGAGTCATCTCGTAGAATTCCTGTGCTGATGGCGAAAGATCGGTCGTCAACTCTAGGCTCTTAGCAAAGTGTTCGAGCAGTTGGAGAGCTTCAGCATCTTGTCTGCTAACCACCTCACAGAACAACACCAACACAGGAACAAATGGTGCATGTATAATGCTCCTAATTCAGCGCAAGCATGTTAGCTGATAATGGTCAAAACAGTCTTCCAAATCCGAGAACGTACCAATGAAGGTAAATGTTCATGACATGGCGATGGCCGTTCATCATGGACATGCAGTCGTGGTGGGCATGTATCGCAGCTTTGGCATATTCAACGCAATCCGGAGGCAACGTAGGGTTTGGTGCACGGATCACTTTAACCCTTGATATCAGAGTGGCTGTCGTGTAGTAGAGGACTTTCCGAGAGGCTGCAAGGACATTTCCTAATCTCTCCAAGTTTCCTTTGTTGGTGTCCTAGCGTACTGTCAGATCTTGGCTCCGTCGTAGAAGAAGGTCATTGACAAAAGGAATACCTTCTCGTTGGGCTCCACTGCTACCAATTCAGCGAGAAGGTCATCTGCCGACTTGAAAACAGCTTCATCTGGCGCCTTGATAGCGGTTCGACTGTACAACGACTTATACAGTTTGTCGTGCATCGATGCATTCCATACCCAAAAAGGAAGAATTACATCCCAGGGCTTCGGTAAGGCAAGAGATGCCATGTCGCAGGGTAAGGTGATGTCGCAATTCCGAATCAAAGATGATCTGCCCAAGCGTAATGCCAACCCCTTCTCCATAGCATAGACGTGCCAAAACAAGAGGACTTTCGTATCCTTTGTTTCTTTGACATCCTTCGTCATGTACGTTTCGTCATGGAATCCCGCTGCAATACAAAGCTGGGCAGCGTAACTCGCCAGACGCCATGCAAGCCAAGGGTGAGCCATTTCAACGCTATGTGAAGCCTATGATTGTTAGTGCGTGGGAATTCCAGGGATTGTGGAGAGAGGGTTATCATTACACCCAGTACTAGGGCTTGTATGTTGTCAATTCGAGCCGGCAGGCAGGCATTCAACCCCCTCACTGCCATATTAACAGCATTTCGGCATAATGCACCCCAGGCAAAGTGTTGTTTTCGAAGATCTTCATTTTCAGAAGGACAAAAGTACTCCGTAAACAGGTAGTACAGCCCAGAGTTGACAATTATGAATTCTGTGTCAGAGTAATCGTCAATGGAAAAATAAACATTACGACAGAGTTCGATGTAACTTTTGACTGGCATCAAAGACCGAAGAACAGAAAAGCTTTTTGGTTGTTGATCTGTCAATAGGGTTAATGGTATGCTCGTCCAATCTTGTTGCGCTCCGCAAGAGATATAGGGCCGAACCTTTCAATTGCCTTAATATGCTCACCACTGCAGCAGTCGGTGGCAAAGGCATCTTTCGATACGACTGAGTCCTGATAATATTTGGTTGCTCTACATTTCGTCCAGAAGCTCGAAGGTTCGAGGTTCTGTCAGGGTGAAAAGGGGCAGCAATTATTGATATTCTTTGACAAGTTGCAGATTCGGCATATTGTCTCGCCATTTCAATCTGAGATTTGAGTGATGAAGAACCTTCAATCGCTGAAAACCCTGCAGAATCGTCCAACGTAGTGTTCTCAGAGACATCAGGAGATTTTGGCGGCACTACAGATGCAGGTAAGGCCGCTTCCAGACCTCGATGCGGGCAGTCGCATTGACGACTACCGAGTAGAGATTCGATATTGGCCAGACGCTGTTCTATAAGATCAATTTTCTGCTCACTTATGGGGTATTAGAGGATTATGGCAGGAATATTAGCAGCGGGAGTCTTAACTACTGCATCGATATAGGCACCCTTTGCCTAGGGACTTTGGGCTTCTGCCCAGCCCCTGTGAAAGTGCATTCTTGTGAAGTTGTTCGGCAGTTGGAACAAGGGAAAATTTTGTCGCATCGGACCTGCATATGTCATTAATCGAGCTAAAAAAAAACTGTGCGGGTCACCGCTGCCTCTTCTTCATGAAGCTCGATCGTCTTGGTCCTGATTTCTGCATGTAGCAACATCACTTACCTTGCGAAATCGGCATAGATCGCACTATGCAACCTTCAGTCAGTACTAGGTAGTTACAGATCAGTTAGTCGGAGCTTCACTAGGAGCGACCTACCGCTGTCGCTCGGGATGAGTCCATTCTGATTCGTAATGGTGCTGTATCCTCACCGTGCTTGAAAAAGGCTCCTTATTCTTCGGGGTCCTCGGTCATCTTGGTTAATCTGGTTGACTTACTCCGCACACATTTTATCGGCCGCCGAGGGGACCGAGCAAGGGTTGTGGGGCCAAAAGTCCGTCTCCGTCTCCGCCCTTGCCCCGTCTCGCCCGCGAAAGAAACACACAATGTCTTTGGCCGGTCGGGGCCGACGCGGGGTTAGGAGTTAGCATCACTGGAGATACAGATGCCTTGCCGTTCAACGAATGTGGATCAACAGGCCTATGCGGTTGATCAACTCACAATAGCTTTTTACCATCTTTCACTAGAAACACCGACTACAGCCCCTTCCCACATGATGCCCATACGGCTCAAGAGCTTACATTTCTGTCTTCAATGAAACTTCACATTGTGCCTCAATTAAAATCGATGTGAAATGGACGCTTGTTTGTCACAGATTCGTCAAATTGCATATTCGCTCGTTTACTCAAATTTGTTGAACGATCCATTCCTGCTCAAGCCTTCACACCAGGCCAAGTCACCGGATCGCTAAACGTGATAGTAGCGTTTTCCAGTTTGATTCCCGCGTTGAATCGTAAAAGTCCTGGCCAGAAGTTGGGGAAATACTCATCGCCTACAGCATTTGTGGATTGGCCATTCTCAACGTCTCCGTCGCCCTGATCAAGATCAAATACCCCCAGAGATGCGTTGTCTGTAAACTGACCAGGTACAGTTGTAGCCCAGCGATCTGTCCCCGCTAGCTCGCCGTAGGTACTGTTTGCGTACGGCAGAGGAGGCTGGGCCAAAGTCGCATTCACTCCCAGGATCTTGTACAAGTCGGTGCTAAACGGCAAGCCGCTTACCAAGTCGGGCTTGAACTTGGCCTGAAACCAAGGTTTCTTTGCAGGTGTCGATTCATTTTCATCGCCTGTCGTGTCGTGGGGGTAGACTTTGACAGTTGTTTCGCCCTTCCCGTTCTCTGTCCAGTCAAATCGCGCCAAATGTTTAGGTATGTTCCAATCTGTCATCCAGTCAGTCGCCTGCAGAAAGAGAAGGGAATCAACTCGAGGTGCTTACTCGTCCTTCCATTCCAGCACGTATACTTCTGGCTGACATATATCCTGCTGACCCTAACATTCTTTTTCTCCTCGAATACACCAGCAGCGTCAGTGTAATTGTATTTGAAGAATCCCGGCACAATCAGAAGCTCGTCGTACGGACCGACCGGGCTTTCAGTGTACCGAATAATCTGGATCATTCCCAAGATTCCCAGGTATTCGCCATCTGTAGCTGAAGCATGTTTTCTCTCCAATGGCGGAAACGCCTTAGTCGGAAGATCATCTGATAAAGGAACCAGGGTGACGGAGTACACGGTGCCCTTAAGTGTCCATGGTGCGGGAGCAAGCTCGATTGGAGCCGACGAGTTATTGTCCCACTGAGCTGCTGATAGGCCTGCAAGGGTGGCAAGCAGAAAATGGATATTGCACCTCATGATGATGGCTAGTTCTGGAATTTGCAGGTATGATTAAGGAAAGTCTTCCAAAAACAGAGGTTGACCTAACCAACGGCAACTAGGCAGCTCAACCTTGGCGAAGGAACGCATTCTTATATACAATTGTGATCTGGTGCTAGGACGTATCCCCAAGTTGTGAGTTTCCGTGTGTCCATTTTTCAGTCTCGGCAGTGGGCATAGCCGACTACTTACGGCAAGTACGTCGCCAGAGATCCTCATTTGCAAGCTCATTGCGGTAATCAACTCATGGTTCTGTCGATCATTATTGGCGATAGTGGAGCATAGAAGCCGTAAAGATTCCCCGTATTGGGTTTCTGCATGGTCATACCCCACTATCTTAAATTCATTCGGCCTTGTAGGTCCAGCTCTTGACTCTTGACTTGCTCCGTTTTGCCAAACCCATGTGTATCCCCTGCCTGTTGTGCACCGGCAAAGCTCTAGAGCCATTCACAGGGCAGGGATATCGGAACCCGACATCGTCGCACTCCTTGGACGCGTTAACTGACGGAAACCAAAATGGCAATTAGACATCTTTAGTTTGGCGACCATGTTCTATGCACAGTGACCCTGGCGCGCTGAAAAGAACCCATCATTTGCACATGGTCCTTCAATTAGAAATGATCGACGGTCCAGCGACAAGGTAGAAGTCATGCCTTACGATGGCGGCTGATATTGTGGTCTCAGAGTTTTATAAAAGCGGGAGCTTTTGACAAGAAATATATATCTATTATTTTGCTCTGAGATTGCCATCATTAGGACATCATGATCCAACGCTTCTGTTTCGTCAAGCTGTAAATATCCGAAACAGTTCAGTTCCCTCGACTTCTTTCAACCGTCTGAGAATGCTCTTCTCCAAACTCTTTTTTCTGTCCACGGCCTCTGCGTTGCCTCTCTTAGATTCCATCATTAACCCAGTTACTGGCAGCATCTGGAGTACACTCGACGGCCTTGTCCAAACGACTCTTGGTGGCCTCACCGGCACACTTGGTGTTAAGCAAGCCTATGACTACGTAGTAGTAGGTGGTGGCACTGCCGGCAGCACCATTGCCTACCGGCTTGCCGAAGCCGGCTATACAGTCGCTGTCGTTGAGGCTGGGCTATCATACGAACTGGGCAAACCTGTTGTCGGTCCAGCGCCTCTGGGAGACATCATTGGCGTTGGGTCCAACCCGATCGACAGCATCCCAACTGTGGACTATGGCCTAAAAACAGTCCCCCAAGTAGGAGCAGGAAACCGCGAGATTCATTATGCACAAGGCAAATGTCTCGGTGGATCTTCGGCTTTGAATTTCATGATACATCACCGACCGAACCGAGGCGCCTTGGACAAATGGGCGGAAGAAGTTGGCGACGAGAGCTATGGCTTTGATCAGTTTCTTCCTTACTTCCAGAAAAGCTTCACGTTCACACCGCCTAACACCAAAACTCGTCTTGCCAACGCGACAACGGCATACGTGACGAGTGACTTCAGTCCATCTTCCAGCTCACCTATTCAGGTGACCTACCCCAACTGGACGCCCGTATGGTCTACGTGGGCTGCCAAGGGCCTTGAGGCCCTGGGAATGAACTTGACAAATGAATACAACCAGGGTGTGTTGAGCGGGTACCACTACGCACAGACGACTATGCACCCCCGTGAGCAGGTCCGGTCTACTTCAGCTGACTTTATATACGCTGCAAGGGACGCGCACATGGGTGATAAACTTACAGTTTACTTGGGTACGCGCGCTAACAAGGTAATATTCGACAACAAAAAGCGAGCTACTGGCGTGGAGGTTAAGGGGTTGGGGTCGCTGAAGCACATCATCACTGCGAAGAAGGAGGTGATTCTGTCGGCCGGTGCTGTGCATACGCCGCAACTGCTTATGTTATCCGGCATAGGCCCAGCAGAGCACCTGGCCGAGCATGGAATCGAAGTCATCGCAAACCGACCCGGAGTTGGGCAGAACATGAGCGACCACGCCCTATTCGGCCCAACGTATGAAGTGACGTTCGATACTCTAAGCAAGGTCATTGGGGATCCTGTCGTTCTTGCCAAAGCCGTAGCTGAATATGGTCTCACGCAAACCGGGCCATTGACCAGCAATGTTGCCGAGTTCCTCTCGTGGGAGCGGATGCCCAGCAGTGCCAATCTAAGCCAGTCAACTTGGGATCAGCTCCTTGAATTTCCCGACGATTGGCCTCACATTGAATACTTTCCGGCCGCGGGCCATATCGGTCCTTTTAACATCCCGTGGCTAGACCAGCCAAAAGATGGGAAAATGTACGCGTCTATCATCGCGGCACTGGCAGCACCTTTGTCTCGAGGAAACGTTTCACTGGCCAGCAACTCTGCCTCAGCCAGCCCGCTGGTGAACCCCAACTGGCTCACTCATCCGGGAGACGTCGAAGTGGCCATAGCCATGTACAAGCGTATCCGAGAGATCTTCAACACAGAGGCGGTCCGAAGCATCCGCGCAAACAATCGAGAGTACTGGCCTGGCTTGCAGGTACAGACGGATGAACAGATACTAGCGAATATCCGAACCAGTGTTATGGCAGTCATGCATGCCTCGTGCACCGCTCGAATGGGACGCCGAGATGACCCTACGGCTGTGGTAGATAACTTGGCTAGGGTCATTGGTGTGCAGAGGTTACGTGTCGTGGATGCTAGCTCACTCGCGCTTCTTCCCCCAGGGCACCCGCAGGCATTGATTTACGCCTTGGCGGAGAAGATTGCGGAAGCCATCATCGAAGGATTGAATTGAAACACGATCACGTCGTTGTTTATCTGCCTAAATGATTTAGTTGATGTAGTCTATAATCCTAATTTGTTATCTATTGCTCTTTCCTACACTGGCTACCAAGATCTCCTCTCAGGGTAAAGTCAAAGAGGGCGTTTAATTCTCGAACAAAAATACCAGTTTGATACATGATAGTAGGCAATAGATCATCCATGTAGCTATTTATGGGTGGTCAAGCAAAATGCCACCATGAGGCAGGGTGAAGTCGACTTGCCAATCACAAGATGTTCCAGTTGGCTGCTTAAGCGATGGATAATAAGCCGATGTAGCTAATCCAGATAGCTGGTTTATGTCTTGTTCTCGAAGGCGAAATCTGCTTCGAAAGATGGAGGATCTGAAAAAAATAGTTCGTGCAAGTGAAGTGCCATCCGATGTGATGTTCAGGCGGGAGAGCTGCCAACCATGAAACTTCAACGATGGTTCTTATTTCTCATCCTGGCCAAATTGATTTGTCTAGCTCTCGAAACCATCAGTGTGGGATGCGGCACCGGGCCGGATAATCTATTGCAACGGGAAAGTGACATTAATAGCTCTGTAGGTCATAAAGCATCTCCTACTAATGCTTGTCTATCCAGGAGTTTGAGCGGCACAGGTAGACTATCAAATGACGAATCATCCTTCTCAATTAAAAGTATGAAAGCCTTCTTATTCGGTTCAAGCCTTCGGCATCCTGAAGCCTGCAGACGTTTTCCCGCCGTTTCAGACCCCCATTCATCTCTAATTTGCCGAAGCTGTACAACAAGCCACCGCAGCCAGCTCCTTTATTAGGTAACATGGTGCTGCTCAGCCTGATTTATTAAACAATCAAGGGGTACAATCCTCATTCAGGAAATTATTCCGTCCTTATGCAGGGGGGATAAGGTGCTTAGGTGGGGTCGAGAAGCAGAAGAAGGATGAGATCGATGTAACTTTCACAACCGCTTTGGTTTTCCCTACCATTGAGTGATGACCAGGGTCTAGAGATAGGCTATTACCACCATGGAAAAGCGCTTTACCGAGTTTCGAAACGCGAGTTATCAGATTATCGTGGGTAGTGATGGTATCCTGCCAACTGCCCACTTTATTCCCTTGTCCCACAAGCTCATCAGGCAGCAGCAGTTTGCTGACACTAAAAATATGGTTTGCTCAGTAGCGAATCAAACGTCTTGTTTTCTGAGGATCCATGGGCCAACCAACACAACAAACAAAGTCCCCTTTCTCCCCCAAAACGCTGAGGTACGGACAGAACATTAACGGAGCCAACAGTATAGCAAAATGCATTTTGAAGAAACTTCTGACGTTGAAATATAATCACACCAATAAACTAGCTTTCTTACTGCTGATAGCAACATAACCCAAGAAACGTAGGAAAGCTGCCCTAATACCACTGATCATACCAAATATTTCAAGTGGCAGCTTTCTTGGCAAAGATGCAGCCCTTCAGCCCCCAGTTTCTCCACTGAGAACGCATTTAAAGTGTCGGTCAACAAACCAGTGCATGTTCGCTGGAAAAGTTTGAGGCTTGGGGGGCTCTGGGTAAGGAAAAAACAGCAAGGAGTCTGCGGCTGATCTGGGGCTGTGCTTGTTCAAGGCAGATCCTTACTGGGCTCTCGAGGTCAACGAAAGCCACCCTTGGGGAGCACCCCTGTATTTTACTGGCTGAAAAGCATCAAAGGTTACATTCAGCGCCTGATAGGGTGTATGGCTGCCTAAGAGCCCGCTATTACTGGTTCCATATCAAGCTTACTTTTCTTAGGGCTGTGTTGGACATGGGGCGACAGGGGCTGAGAGCTTTTCTCAAGCTGAGGCATTCTTAGACACGGAGCGGCACAGTATGAGGGTGTGACCAAGGGGAACAATCCTTCAAAATAGGCTCATACTTAAATGGCGCGTCTATCCTGTTGTTTAGTTACACGTTAAGAAACATCGCGTCTCATCTGGAATTCTACAACAAACCGTCCAAAGAAACACTCGAAATCAACCGCAATGTCTCAGCAATACACCGTTGGCGATGGCTCCCCATTCCTCAAGAGGGTTGTCGTCCCCTTTTACATCGTTCGAATTGCAGTAATGCTTCTTAATATCATTGTCTACTCATCAACAATTGCGATTGCCGTCAACAACAAGAATGCCATAGACAGAGAATCCGGTACCGAGCATGGTACAACCTACCTCATTGCCGCCGCTGCCGTCATCTTGGCCATCATCGCTGCGTGCCTAATTCTCGACATTGTCTGCATTGTCAAGCGCTCGCGGAGAACACTTACGCCGCTATTCTTCCTCGTTGCCAACTGGTGAGTGCAAAAGGCGCAGCGCCGCAATAACCGTTGTAACCTTTGCTAATACATATCACAACAGCATCCAAACAGCCATCTGGACAGTCATCTTTGGTCTGACAGTAGCCGCCTCCCTCGGTTCGCCCATCACAATCGTCGTTAGCCTTGTGATTTAGTAAGTCATCTCTGCAGGCTTCTACTGTGCTCTAGCGGCATTTACTGACCATTGTGATAGCATCTCGTTTCTCAATATGCTTCTTTACGGTTCGATCATTTACCACAGGCACCGCAAGGGAACCCTGCGTGGCGACTACGCCCCCGCGAACCAAAACCAGCCAACTGCGTATTACGGCCACTCCGACAACCAGCAGACGAAGCCATTTAACTCCGAATCATACAATATGGAGAACCGATATGCCTAAAAGGGTGGAAAGAATGTTGTCAGTTTTCTTTATGGAGCGAAATGATGATCGTTTCGCATTTTTGTTCATGTTTGTTAAAGTTCCTTGAGCGGCGTTTAATCATGGTGTCGTTTAATGAACGACTTGGCGAAGGAGACAATACCCTGATATTTATTGAGCCAAAATATGCACTTAGAGATTGTTCGATCGTGGTCCTTGAGATGTGTGAAGTATTACGAAGGCTGATCAATGCATGCCGTCTAAATCATAATTGTATTCAAACCGTTGTTGACCAGTAATTGACTGCTACAGGAGCGGTCAAGACTCGCGAGGTACAAGGTATTCCATCCTTGCCGATTTCCATCCAGAAGTGAAAATAGCAGTCTAGAGGAAAATTATTGTAAAAGAACGTTTGCAAATGAGATAATTGCTCGGATGTACCGCCGATACAATGACTTCAAATCGGCTAGAACGGCTCTTTTTTGCCTCCACTAGCACATGACGATGGATTCAATCTACATGACCTGACCATTTCAGTTTCTATCTGCGCCTTCCGTTCCTAACCTCATTAGCATAATACCTCCATAATGAATGCGATATGGAATCTAATGCAACCTTACCTCTGTTAAAACCCTCAAGCAAAGTCAGCAAGATGCCTTACTAAAGGCTAAGTGTCAACCCCACGCCCAACATTTCTCAACGCTTCAAAGTCAGGCGCCTGAACACTTCAAGATACTCATCTGTTTATAGTTGAACTTGACCATGGCTAAATTGTTAAGAATGTTTACTTTCTGTTACAATGATGATGCGTAGTCTTTCTTTTTCGATCATCTTTCCTTCACTCGTCGTCCACTAGGACGAAGAAAGATTAGACACTTGAGATTAGTGAGTTAGACGCCAAAGTTGCCAAGACAAGCTGCATTTTAAAATCGACAATAATAATACTATTGACACTTGTTCGCTGAAAACACTCTCAGCCAAGAAGAGTGAGTGTATTACTGAAACTCAAGACTGGAGGTTTAGTTTTGGCAATGGACAGCAACCTTAGTAGCTATTGTTCCTTTCTATGTGGTGGCCTCCGCTAGCCGTCTGACCCAATCCTCTTTGACAATAATCACATTCAATAGGTCGCAAAGTGGTAAGTTATGCTCAATTACAGGCTAATGTCGTAAACTAGACAAGTAAACACTAGAAATACTTGGCTGACAGCGTGCTAAAAGGCTCATGGATGTTGATAGTTGTTGTATTTTGGTTAAACCTACAAACACTAAAAGTCGTCTCTGGAGGACAAATTCGACGAAAGTGCCAGCTCAGTATCAGTCTGTAAGTATGTAACTGGTAGGGGTATCCTTGGTTTCTGTCATCAAAGCTTCGGCTTTGTAGTCCAGTTGGTTGTCTTAACCTGCTTGTATAAGCAAGCCGTCATTACTACCAAGGGTGAATCAGACTTAGTTATGACCTGGTGCGTAAATTCAGGCTTTTCCTCCTTACTGATTCTGCAAATTACCAATTTTATCCATGATACTCTCTGAAACAGATCTAGGCGCGAAAGGCTACTCATGCCGCAGATGTAACGGAAATCCGGCACACGGCACGTCGGTCAGGTGGAACCCCCGACTTTACGATTGTACACTAGCTCCATTTCGCCCTTTACGAGGGACGTAATATTACAAGGATCGGCTAGATACTACGGTGAATCCGCATGACAGGAAAAACAGAAAACTTTAATCATCCCGTTGCACTACAGTTGAGTCTTACTAATTCTTCAGTACGAATCGTGGTTAGCAAAGCTACACTATATAGTTTACAAACCAACCGGCGGTATTGGGCATTTGGAGCATCTTACAGTTCAATCTATGAAGCTATTGATAATTGAATATACCCTCTGCTCCAGTAGTCCATACAGGTGTCTGGACTGCATAGCCTAAGCACCCTCATGCTTTATTAGTCATAAACGCCTAGTGCCGCCACTGCTGAGATGCCATGGGCTGTAAAACAAGCATATAGAGTCGCTAACAATAGTCGTAAGCATCTAATCAGCTTTGGCTGCTCCTACTGCGTCGCTGTTGGGTGTAATGAGGTATGTGAGAGTATACTCGGTATTTACTACAGTTACGGGCAAAGGTTGAAGTCCTACTGTCACATGATTTTTTCGCCAGTCAAAGCCACAAACTCCAGCTGCTTGTGGTTCGTCGTCTCCGCGATGCCAGTGCTACGGACGAAGTAAAGTACCTTGGAGCTGTAGCCATCCAAACGGACGATATCGATACCCTTCTACCGGCTTTATCATCATCTTACTTAAACATGCTCAGAGGCAGGATATTATAATTGCATACCAACAACTTATTACTACTGGGGTAGCTAGGACCAAGTTGCGGATGTCGTATGCCGTCGCGCGCGGCCCCATAATAAGAAAGTTTAGGTCCCTGGCCTACTTCAACCGGCTTGGTAATCTTTTCCCTGATTACAAACCACATCTTTCGCTGAAACGGCCGAACGACTCCCAAACCTGCTGTTTGCTGATCGATACGTTTGAATTTGTGGATGGACAGAGCTAGCAACTCCCAGGTAAGGTAAGGGTATGCTGTGCTATCCTGCTGCTCCGTTGTTGCGGTGTCGAGCAGCCGAGCATAGGAGTTCCAAATGATTTACGACAGACAACGTTACAATTGCGGCTCCCACGCCATTGCGTTTCTTGCAGTATATAAACTAACCGACTTGTTCTTCCTTACCCATGTTAAGAAAGACCAAGAACCTCATCGCTCGAACATCCTTCCAAACAGCTTCCAGGCAGGTTTGATTTTCTACTCATCACTGTCACTCCCATTACAGAGACGCTACACAGTACTCAAAACAACTTCAAGATGTCTTCCAACGCCAACGCAATCCTCGATGCCGTCAAAACCCGCCGCTCTCATTACCCTCTCTCCAAGGACCTGCCCATCTCCAAGGAGCGCATCGAGGAGATCATCAAGACTGCTGTCGCCTACGTACCCACCTCCGTCAACTCCCAGTCCACCCGCGTTGTTGTCTTGCATGGCGTTGAGCATGAGAAGTTCTGGGATATGACCGCGAGCATTCTCAAAGCTATCGTCTCCGCCGAACAGTGGGAGTATACGTCCGGCAAGGTGGCCTCATTCAGGGGCGGCGCCGGAACTGTCCTCTTCTACGAGAACGAGGACGATATCAAGGCCTTACAGGAGAAATTCCCGATGTTCGCCGAACGCTTCCACGGCTGGGCTGCCCAATCCGACGCCATGCTGCAGTTCACCCTTTGGATTGCATTGGATGCCGAAGGTCTCGGTGTCAACTTGCAGCATTACAACCCTCTCGTCGATGAGCAGGTCGCCGCTGAGTGGAACATCCCTTCCACCTGGAAGTTGAACGCCCAGCTCGTTTTCGGAGGCAAGAAAAGCCAGCCTGATCCGAAGGAATCCAAGCCCATCGAGGAGCTCTTTAAAGCATATGGCTCCTAGGCGCATAAAGTATTTAGAAAGCGGCGTTATACTAGCATACGGCGGGTTTACCTGGCACATTTGAGTAATCTTTTACTGCAAATATAGATTTATGCACAGAATAATTCAGTTCATCTTTTGAAATTTTTCAAATGCACCGTGACAACCAATTGGAATTGCGGCTGAAATCAAGACCTGGCATCCGCGATATAACACCAGAGTATCAGTCTGTTATCGCATTAGGATTGTTTGGGCTATTGGGCTTGTCTCGGGTGTTGATGAGACTATATTTTGGGAGATTTTGAGTCATAAGTAAGCTACTTGAACTTCACTCTGGTTTTGCCTTGCTTTCATCCCTGAACTTACCGACTCATTGTAGAAGGGGAGCAACAGCAGCGATACTTCCCCTGCTTACCCCATTAAGTAGCGGGTGGCGAGCTTAAACTCTTAATAAAGTTTCTTTTGAATAATTAAACACTGCTTGGCTTTTGCTGTGCGAGTAATAGTCTCGCAGTAAACTACATAAAAAGCCAATTACAGCCTGCTTACTAACTTAAGCTTCTATTGGAAAAAGCAGTAAGATTAAGTTAGATGAACACTTTTCAAGGTTTCAACTATAAAAACTGCATTTTCTTTATTTATTCACATCCAAGTTTAATTTGAGAATTGATTGCTGTAGGAACAGGAAGACTATGTTAACTGAAGATAACATACATGCTTGACCCAGCAAACAAATTCAGTTCACACAGAGTGACAGAACTACATGTCAAGTCTGACAGTCATTACACAGTCAGAAGTTTCTTTTATATGTTGGTTAAGAAAACCTAGCGACGCACGTGTGGTTTGATATCATCCATCTCATACTCTCCTCTTGTAGAATTGTTCTGGCCCTCAACTTGCCTTGCAACCCCCGTTTTGGGTCGAGACTCGTACTCGACACTTACCTCAGTCGTCAATTCAATCCTGCCACTACTGAGCCCATCCCCTTCTCGTTGATTTGGACCTAGTATGCTGCTGTCACTCGCTGCATCCTGATCTTTGGGCTCATTTCTAGTGGCTGTGACGACACTGCGGTTGTAAAACCTGCTGCTATGATCACCCGTCTTGAGGTATGCTCCAGCTCCAGGGGATGATCCTGTTTTCTTTCGCACATTACGCACAAATCCACGTAAAACTGGTATCGATGCCGATATGATGGTAACGTTCGGTTCTGCCATGGACCAGATCCAGTATACTGTCTGATTGTACAAGTCTGGGACGTTGAATACCGTGTTAGCGTCTCACCAGAGACCAAAACCTCGTTGGTTGTGGTAGGTAGAATGGTATCACTTACAGTCCGGCGACCTGACTTGCAGCAATTTGTATCCCTGGACGGCTTTCATTATACCAGTCACGCCGGCAAACACTCCCATACTCAGTGCCAGGGCAACGCTAATTCTTTCTAATCGCTTCATCTTCAAGTTGAATATCATCTTCCATGGTAATAAGGCAAGAACGAAATCGCAAAGGGCCGAGTACACTATTTTGACCACATGATTAGTTACTAGTCCATCAGAACTTGAGCAAAGTTTAACTGGAATTTCTCACAAGCACTGAAAACCGTGAATGTTACAGACTGCTCAAGCCGCCAGCATCTATTCCCTCCAATATGGCCCTGATCTGGTGCTCCGCAGATTGCCTGCCATGACGCAACAATGTGAATAGCAAACTGGAGGTTCATTGTTATAATCAGGGCCCAGATCAGTTTCGCTTCCCATCCTCCCGGCATCAGTCGCAGTAGTGTGATTCCGAAGGACGTTTTTGTCAAACCTAGAGCAACAGACTGTAGGTTATGATGGGTTCGTGCGATGGTAATCTTCAAAATGTTCCCTGGCGTCAAAAAGATGACCATAAGCCAGGAAATGTTGGCCGAGGCCAGCAAGAGGAAGATCCATCCCACGATCAGGACCCTGTCATCTGCCTGTAGCCCAACACCTGTATTTCTTACACGGCTGTATACTCTAAATCCGAGGAAGAAGGTTGCGATGATGAATAGCTGTCAGTTCTCAGAAAGATTAGCAAAAACTTTTATGAGTGACATGAGTAAAATATTGGGGAATAGCTCACCGTCCACGTGGTGGCATGCACAAGCACAGAGAGATCATCGCTCGCCCAGGCCATGCTGCTGGCGGCCGGTGGATACTTCAACGTGCACCAGATCGATAAAACCCACCTAGAAAGAACGAGATGAGCTTTGCCGCTCCTCGCGGGAAAGCCAGGACTCTAGAGGCTTAAGTACGGGGGACATCGCGCCTGACTCGACATCAAAGTATCCGAGGAGCTTTGTCCCTAGGTTGGCTCTGGTGCCAAGCTATAAAAGGATTTCCACAGTGTACAAATGTGTGATTGATCTAGGTAATTCGATTGATGCAAGACAGTCCCCAGTGTTCTGCGAGTGCCAGGGTGACAAGCCCTGTCGTAGAAGTGGCGACATCTTCGTTTTCGTTAAACAGGGCATGTCCAACCCCGGACACATAGACAGGAGCAACAACGAAATTTTGTTATTCTGTCAGCACTCCGTATTCCCTTTTCTCATTTGACGTTGTTCATTGCGCTGAGGATCCGTTATCCAGGGTTGCAGTTTTCTTTACTCCTTGGCGACTTGTCCATGGCGGGTTGCTGTAAGACGGTTGCATATAAGCGACATTACGCTTCTGTAACGCTTGTTTAAGTGCCGGGATGCAGTAGTGCTGTGCCACATAGGCGCGTGGGGTAGGTTGAGGAACGTAAAGAACATCCGTGCGCTCCTGATGGGTCTACCGACGTTAAATAAGCAGAATCCTATTCTGTCCTGTTCTCCGATTCTGTAGCGGCACTTCGGTGTAAAGATGGACTTTGACTGGAGTCTTGTTGCTTTAGCGAACCTTGCATCGGGACTGGGCACAACAGGGGATTACACTTGGTCTCTTCTCGGGCTACTCCGGTTTCTTTTCAGCGATAGGAATAGTGGGAACATTAAGGGTCAAGCCATGGGATTGATTTCCATATATTACAGGATCTGGACCTGCGTCCTGGCAATGGATTGGGCTGCACAGGCTACCTGACGGCTCTGTCTTCTTTCTCGCCTAGTCGTCTTTTACGTTTGATACCTTGAGTCATGCAAACCAACATGATTCTTGGCGTAGCGGCGCTGATAGGCCTCTCTGTCCAAGCTTTGGCCCAGCAGAACAAGACGTCTACGGGTTTCAAGGGCGTAAGTTGTGTTTTCATTCTATTCGTTCTTCAATCTTTTCTTTGTAACTATAATACCCATTCGGCCCATAAAGCTGACTTAATCCATTAGTGCGACGCTCTTCTTGACGCAGGCCTCGGAGACATCCTGGTCTTCCCAGCCGATGTCAAATATGGTGAGAGCACTTCGACATACTACTCCTCCGAAAACCGGCGCCTGCGACCTTACTGTATCGTTCAGCCTCTCTCAACTGAAGATGTATCCAACACCGTGAAGGCTCTCAGCCGCGTGAGTGGCGCTGGTAACTGGGACATTGCAGTCCGATCCGGTGGGCATTCCGACTACGACAACAATGCTGCCCACCGCGGTGTAACCATTGACCTGAGCTTTTTTAACTCCACCGAGCTTGTCAAAGATAGTTGTTTTAACGGCACTGCTCATTGGGTGGGTCAAAGCATGTTGACCAAGGTAAGAAGTCTTTTTTATGAGCTTATTTGGACCCTTTTTCTGACACTCGCACAGAACATTGCCCGACTCCGCCCAGCCGCACGATGGGGGGATGTCATGAAGTACCTCGAGCCATACAATCTGGGTGTTACTGGAGGTCGATCTGGCCATGTTGGCACTGGAGGCCTGCTTGTCTCCGGTGGTGCATCGTATCATACTCAGCTGTGGGGCCTCTCATGCGACAATGTTGTCGGATACGAGGTGGTTTTGAGTGATGGATCGATTGTTGAGGCCACTGCCACCGAAAACAAGGATCTGTTCAAGGCTTTGAAGGGTGGCGGCAGCAATCTCGGCATCGTTACTCGGTTCGACATGCGCACTTTCACAGTTCCCCCCGAGGGAGCCTATGGAGGACTCCTTTTTGCGTCGTGGAGCGACCTTGACGTGGTTATCAACCAATTCGTCAACTATGCCAGCTCAATTGGCTCGGGCAGCCCTGATCACGAGTTCATCGTTTTCCGAAACGATGGTGGCAGCTTTTCCGTCATGTCTATGGCTGTCGCTACGGACGGCAACGAAAACTCTCCGACTTTCGCTCCCTTCAAGAACATCACATTGACGAGAGATGTGAGGTCGAAGCAGCCCCTCAGCAAGATCGCCGCAACCATCGCAGACACTGGCGGCTTTCACTACATATCTTTCGCGTTGACGTTGCAAGTCACTACCGAGATTATGAACAAAGCTGCCGATATCTTCTCTGAATTATCACAGGATATTGAAGATGCAAATGTTCCAGTGTCGCCCATTTTCGTCTTCCAGCCGCTTCCTAAGAACCTTGCGTCAGTCACGCCTGGCAACAACATCCTTGGCTTCGACAAGAACCTGCCAGCAGACTCAATTCTTTTCGAGGCCAGAGGCACAATGGCAGCCGATGATGCTGTTCATGAGGGTACTGCTCGGGCTTTGATGGCTAGCGCCATTGAGAAGCTCAGGGCGTATTCTGCCTCTTTAGATGTGGGTGGCAGGCCTCGCCGGCCCGTCACGTGGGCTGACGGCCGCCACCACTGGTCTTAGCCAGCCTCCACAGCCCTCTAGCCAGTTAGTTAGTTCTTCCAACCAACAACACCACTTTTCCCATTCTGAGCGTTCTGTGCTGGTTTCGCCCACAGGTTATGAGCCCAGCGTTATTCTTTCGGAATAACGTCGTTTTACCCATTATTCTACTCGTCTGTCAATTTTCTATTGATTCACGAATTTTTGCGATTTTATTCGCTTTATTTACCCTTCTGTGCGATTTTCTCGCTTTCTTTCCTCTTCGCTGACGAATTTCACTTTCTGACGCGATATTGGCTGCCTGGCGCGCACGAATATCACGTGGCACGCGACCGACCACCACAACCCACTGGTTTTCACGAACACCACGGAATTCCACCACAACAACAGACTTTTCAGTCACAACCACACTACAACCATACTTTTACTTCGATTTCCTCGTTTTTCACGAGAATTCAACCATTTCAGCTTCGGTTTTTCGAACCAGCCCATCAGTTTCTCGTATCTTCTACGAGTATTCATTCTTCCCTTCGATTCACCGTATTTCTACGGTCGGATCTCACAATTCCACCCATTTCTCGTGTTCTTACGCAAGATTCTCCCTCCTACACAATCCAACAGCACGCGTAGGTGGCAGCGAAAGTAAGCCATCTAACGTACAGACACGCCTCCAAAGCTGCGGCCTCGGAGAAACGCCTGTGATCGAGGTGCGACTATAAGTCTGTCCCGCACTGTTGTGATACCCTCACTTTCACTTCAAGATGTCTCAAAACGACTTCAAGACCGTCTTCACGCCTCTTCCTCGCCTGAAAGGTGAATCCAACTGGAACACATGGCGCATGCTTGTTACAGCGACCCTGCGAGGATACGACTTCGAGATATTCCTCGAGACTGACGTCCCTCGCCCTGCTGACCCTATCGCTGCAGAGGAATGGAGAAAGAACCGTAACGTCACGTATGGTCTCCTCATGAACGCCAGCGAATCGGTTCTTGACAGACTCTGCACAGCGGGTTGGGTTGACGATGGAAACCCTTACGAATTGTGGCAGGCGCTCGAGAAGCACATTCCGAGAATCTCACAAGACGCCACAGCTGCCCTTGTTGACGAGTTTGCCAAGACCACCGCCAACGATCACAAGACTCTTCACGATGCCCTCAATCGCTGTCACCACCTCAGAAAGCGTATTGAGACCATTCACGGTCGTCTGCCAGACTCCTTCCTCGCTGTTTTCCTCCTTAACTTCTTTAAGGACCGACTTCCCGATACGTACAAGCATTTCACATCGAAGGGCGCCACCCATCCCACGTGGAATGAGGTGGCTGATACGATTTACACGCTTGCCCAAGACGAGGATCAAAAGCGCAGTTATGCCACTATTCGCAACACACCTGGAGGCAAGTCTGCTGGCAGTGGGGGTCCTGCCTCTCCAGCCGTCACCACCACCGTCACCTCCACTGTCACTGCCTCCAAGGAAAAGAAGAAGTGCGACCACTGCAACTGTGATCACGAGACCACAAAGTGCTATGTCGCCCACCCCAATCTCATCCCTCTACACTACGTCAACCGGGATAAGTTGATTGAAAAAGCGAGAAAGCACGTGTGTGGCGATCGCTGCCGCTGGGATCAGCCTACTTCTGTTGATGGCACCCGCCAGACTGTTGTCAGAGCGTCACCTGCCATCTTGGGTCAGTCTGCCCTTGCCTCCATCGCCAGCCCAGCAGTTTTCACTGCTGCCCGCGATGACCTCATCACCCGAGACGATATCGTTCTCGATTCTGGTTGTACTACTTCAACCTTCAACAACTTGCGATATTTCGTCAAGTACGCTGAAAAGAGCGATTTGACACCTTCCACTTCTGCCTCCGGCGCCCCAGTCCGGTCACTTGGCGTGGGCACCGTCTTCTTCCAGACCCAAGACCCCACCAACCCTGACGTTATTCACGATTGGACACTTCACAACGTTGAGTACAACCCTTCCAGCCCAGCCAACTTACTGAGCCCTGGAAAACTTCGTCGTGATCACGTGGAATATGATTGGCAGACCTCAAGCCTCATACACGTGACACAGCGCACTTCCCTTGCCAAAGTTCATTGGGTTTCTGACGTCTGCGTCGTTGAGACTCATGATACTGGAAATCACGTGCCTCGAGATATTGCTGTCAGCCTCGCCGCCTTCCGGGCTACCCAGCGACCGTCTCTTGAACTGATGCACCGCCGGCTGGTTCACGCCCACCCATCACGTGTTGTGGAGGCTTGCCGCCGTGTTGGCATTCGGTTCACAACGTCAGAAATTGACGCTTTCTTCTGTGAGTCTTGCCATCTCAGCAAATCCACTGAACGGATTAGTCGAGACCACCCACTTCCACTTACGAGTATTGGCGATGAAATTCACCTTGATCTCGTTGGTGTTCTTCCCCTATCAACAAAAGGGAACCGTCAGGTTCTACACCTCATGGATAAGTATAGTGGTTACCACTGGGTTGTTTTTCTGCCCAACCACAAGTTTGCCACCATCCTGGCAGCTATCAAGAAATGGGACACTGAATTCTACAGTCTCACCGGCCTCAAGCCCAAGGTTTGGGTTTCTGACAATGCTCCCGAGCTAATCAAGGTTTTCAACGACCCCTACTTCGAGGGTACTCGCCACAACACGACTATTGCCCACACACCTTCCATGAATGGGACTATTGAGCGTGCTGGTCGTACCATCGTCGAAGGCGCTCGAACACAGCTGATTGACATGTCCCTTCCAGAGGAACTGTGGGATTACAGCATTGATTCGGTGACTCAGATTCTCAACCTCTTGCCCACACCCTCCAAGGGTAACTTGAGCCCTCACGAGATCATGGCGAGAGAGCTGAACTTGGCTGCTGAACGTGAGGCCCCCCACATTGAACATCTCCGAACGTTTGGCTGTGCTGCCTACGTACACAAGAAGGGCCCTCGACGCCCTATGCGCTCTGCCAAGATGGAACCACGAGCAATCAAGGGATTCCTCGTCGGTTACGGTTCTCTTCGTGGCCACATTTACTACGTTTACCTGCCTGATCGAAAGGAGGTTATTCGCTGCAGAGATGTTCGATTTCGTGAGGAACCGCACAAGACAGTGTTGCCTCCAACTACTGGCACACCCAACATTGATGAAATTGAACATGATGCTGCGTTTGTCGAACCAGATATCATCATCCAGTACACCATCCGTCAGAAGCCTATTGAAGGTGAAAAACCCGTGACTGGTGATCCCAAACCAGATGAGACCATCGTTGGGAAAGCGATGGCACCTACTGATACACATCTCATGTCTCCACCACCAGAAAACGACGAATTCGTCGCCTCCGTGGAAACAATGGAAACTGATCACCAGGACCCTGATTCCCTCTCCACGATTGTTGAGGAGGCAACGAGTCAGCCGGCAGAGTCCTCTCGACCTCGCCGCGCCTCAGCCCAGCGACCACCTGGTCACTACCGAGCCGCCAATGGCGTACGCTCTTATACTAAAAAGACTTTTCTATCTGCTGACATTCCAGCTTCACTAACTTCTCGTCAATTCTCTCTCAGCGTGCTTTCTGCCACTGCCCTTTCGAAAGTCCTACCCGACGGCGTGGTGATCCCGAAGTCCTACCGTGAGGCGCAGAAGAGCCCACAGTGGCCCCAGTGGGAACAAGCCTTCGAACGAGAGATGACTCAATTCACGGAAAAGGGGGTTTACGAAGTCGTTTACCCACCACGTGACGCTAAAGTCCTGCCCGGCAAGTGGGTATGTGACATCAAAACCAACAAAAACAACGAAATCGTGCGCTACAAGGCCCGATATGTGGTTTGTGGAAACCACGAGAAAGGTGACTGGTCATCGCAAGAGGTTTACGCTGCAGTTGCCTCTGCCACCGCAACCCGCCTTTTCTTCGCAGTTGTCGCACTTCTCGATCTTGAATACGAAGTATATGATTTCGACACTGCTTTCCTAGCCGCCTCGATTCCAGAGGGGGTTAAGGTGTACGTCCGGCCCCCCGCTGGCTACGCCACTGCAGACAACAAGGTTTGGCTGCTCCACAAGGCACTCTATGGATTGAGAAAATCACCACTTTGGTGGTTTCGACTTATCAAGGGTGAAATGGAACGAATTGGCTTCACTGCTGTTGATGGGGAGGTTTGTCTCTTCGTCAATCACAAGATTAAAGCGTACGTTCTTATGTACGTCGACGACAACGCCATCGCCGCTCCCAACAAGCAAGTCATGATGGAAGTTCGTCGTCTCCTCGAGAAGGTCTGTTCTCTTAAAGACCTCGGCGAGGCTACCGATTTTCTCGGTTTCCAGATTGAACGCGACAGAGCTGCCGGTAAGATTTTCGTTTCCCAAGCCAAGTACGCAAAAGCAGTGCTTCAACGATTCGACTTTGATGGTTTGAGTGCTGTCAAGACGCCTATGGCGACCACTGACGATCTGCCCGTCACCTGGGACAAGAACGAGTGCTCGCTTGACGAACAACAACTTTACATCGAACAAACCGGCTGCCTTAACTTCCTGGTGGCTGGAACTCGCGTTGACATGGCCTACACCGTCAGTAAATTGTCACAGGCGAATTCAGGGCCTTCTAAGGCCCATCTTCGTGCTATTAAGCACTTATTCCGATACCTCAAGGGCACCGTTTATCTCGGTATTGTACTTGGAGGCATCCCCACGATCAACGAGTTGGGGCTCTACGCTGCTGCAGATGCCTCTTTCGCTGACAACAAGCCATCACGAGTCTCGACAGGTGGTTACGTCGTCTTCCTCGCTGGTGCGCCGATTGCTTGGAAGTCAAAGAAACAGACTTTCGTGACTTTGAGCACCACGGAGGCTGAATTCATCAATCTCACACCTACGGCAATTGCTGTGAAGTGGATCAGACGTTGCCTCTCCCAACTGCTCGGCAAACCCATCACCACGCCTACTATCATGTTCACTGACAGTGCCAACGGCTACGACAACGTCATGAACCCACTCAACGAGGCACGAACCCGCCACATCGACGTCCGATACAAATGGATCATACAGGAGGTTCACACTGCGAAAAGCATCGAACTCCGACTCATCAAGGGCGCTGATATGGCCGCCGATGGACTCACGAAGCCACTGGTTGCGGTCAAACACAAGGAATTCGTTCGTTTGTTGGGCATGGCGGAGGGATTGGATTGAGAGGGGGATTTTGAGACTGTGGGACTATTGATATTGAGACTTCGGGATTCGGAGGATTTCACGGCCTCCTATTGGCCAGGTTTAACCGGTAATTGACCGAGTTTTCTAATAGTTGAGAACTCCTCGGATTTGGAGGATTTGGGACTTTTCCTGTATTTCCTATTATTCTACTGCTTTTTCGCTGAGGAGTCTGAGAGGGGGTGTGGGTGGCAGGCCTCGCCGGCCCGTCACGTGGGCTGACGGCCGCCACCACTGGTCTTAGCCAGCCTCCACAGCCCTCTAGCCAGTTAGTTAGTTCTTCCAACCAACAACACCACTTTTCCCATTCTGAGCGTTCTGTGCTGGTTTCGCCCACATTAGAGGGCCACTCTACTTACATCTACATGAACTACGCCAACCCGGAACAAGATGTGATTGGCTCTTACGGCGAGGAGAATGTAAAGTTCCTCAAGGAGACGGCTGCTAAGTACGACCCAACGGGATTCTTCCAACAGCGTGTGCCTGGTGGGTGGAAGGTCAGTCGCCTTTAGACAAGTCGCACAGATACATAATATTAATGCTTTGGGAACGTGATCTAAGCCCTTTTTTCTCGAATTTGATGAAGAATTTGTGATAGCGCTTTCCTAATACACTGCCTGCGGTTTCCATCCCACTGCCAAACCTCTTGCTATAATGTAACAAGCAAGTGAGACAAGATAGGACGCCCCGGAAAACAGAATCAGAGCTGTCCAGCCAGTTTGTTGGTCTTTGATCCCAAGTAGTAGTCCACCAAGCGGGATACCTGTCAAGGTTCCAAAACTGGCTGACAGCATCGCTGTTGACAGAAATCGGCCATAATCTCGAGAGTCGCAAAGTTGTCCGATGCAAGCGGGGATAAGACTCACATTACCGCCACTCGCGAACCCAAAGATGAAAGTGAAGGCTAACAAGGTTGGCCACGAACTTCCTGCAGGTAACCAAATGCCGAGAACCGAAATCATGCATAATCCGACAGTGATGATGATCGTGTTGAAGCGTCCGATCCAATCAGCAATGTATCCGGGAGCGGCACGCCCAATAACGCTGCCAGCGTTTAGCAGTATAGGTAACAAGTAACTCGTGCTTGCGTCTTGCCCTTTGCTAACAGAGAACGAGATGATGTATGTAAGTGGTATGAGGACACCGTACTCCATAAAGAAGATCCCTCCGCAGCAGAAGACGAATTTCGGTTCCCGGAACAAGCGTATGTCTGGCCAGATGGAATTGAAATTTTCGCTAGGCGGCAGACGAGTTCTCATAAAGAGATTGGAGGGAATGGCGAAAATGAGGTATACTAACCCAAGGAGGCGCATGCTCCACGCGAAGCCGAACTTCGGAATGGCTGCTTGCAGTACAAACGGAAGGACTATGCCTCCGAATGAGCCCCCTGTAGCTGCGAGACCCATAGCCAGTCCTCGTCGTGTGTTAAACCAATGTCCGATAACGGCATAAGACGGCGTGTTGAGAAGTGAGCCTCCAAGGCCAGCCATGACGGAGAAAGTGAGGATGATTTGATAATATGCTGATGAACGTGGGTTAATCCTATTGCTATTGGCTTAATAGTATTATTCTTACCTGAACAAAAGCTGAGAACCACAAGACTGGCCACCATAATGACGCTGCCCACGGCAACCAACACTCGATGTCCATATTTGTCAAATGCTGGCCCCACCAAGATCCCAAAGAGATAAACAACAAACAGATAGATGGAGAATATCCAGCCAATTTGAGATGGCGAGTAGTCCCGCAGCTGGTTTTGAGAGAAGTACGACTCGAACACTGCTGCTGTATTGGGTAATCCGAACACCGACAACATGGCGCAGAACGAGCCCAAAACAACACACCATCCACTCAATCCTCCTTCTGGATATGTGAGAGACGATTCAACTGCCGCATCGTTTTGGGGCGTTGAGGTTGCATCTGTTGACGTCGCTATTGTTTGCTTCGTCTTTTCATCATGCTCGATGTTGTTTTCCATGCTGGATGCCAGTCGGGTGCTATAATGCGCTGCTGTAGCCGGGTCAGGACTGCCAGTTGGAGCAATAAAAGTTCACCTATTTTTCGACATCAGGGCATATATAACTAGGAGCAACCTTTCAACTGAGCGCATCAGTCAACCCGACTTCCTGTATATAGTATGAAAAAGGAAATTCGCTGCGGGGTAAACCTCACGTGCTAGAATAACGAAAGCGTTGCTGTTAGCAATCGCCACCTGAGCGCTGCATAGTGAAGGGCGGTTTTTGTCGCTTAAACATGATTCTCTGCGGACCAACGACCCACAAAATGAAGTTGGTTTTAGTTCCATTTCGGGTCATAGAATGAGTTGAAAGTTGGGGGTCACAGGGATTCATGGTCTGGCTCTACAAAAAGCAGCGGTCAGCAAAGTGATTCATGTCTGGTACAGCGTGCCAAGGCGCTCATATTTGTTGGCCGCATATCCCCTACTTTGTTGAAGGACGTACTAGCATAGCTTTGGTCTCATTATCTAAGCTTGTAATCGTCCGACGAAGTTACTATCAGAGACAGGGCCTGCACTTTGGTGGAGGTTTCACACTCTGCAAGGCTGCAAGGACTGCCTACTTTATCTCGGTCGCAGACTTAATAGTTGGATAGATGGCAAATATAGTTGTTCTTATTAAATGGTGCTTGCATCTTCGAGTCATCAAGAATGATTACATCGTGATGAGCAGAGCGACGATAGTGAGACGAGCTTTATAAACTACAATTCCGATAACAAGAATTGACGCAGAGATGCTTAATCAGTTTCAAACGTCGGTGTGAATGTCTAATTGATTTTGGGTTTCTCCAGGAGTGGTAGGACGTCAAGATGCTACTTCCAGCGATTTAAACATACTTTTTTTTACTTTTGATGACTCAAAAGACCAAAAGCACGATACTTCGACCGATTCAAGCACCACATGCCCAATCTTTCGCAGCAAACTCGCAGTAATACGTCATTATCGGAATATAATAGAATGCTCATTGGTTTGATTATAAATTGTCAGCGTCAGCATACCATTAGCTGGGCGTCTTGGCTGATGGTTGGCGTGCAGCCGTGTCCTGTTGAAGCTGTAAATGGTACCGCATTTTACCTTTACTGGATGGAGTGTTCGCCACTGTTAAAGGTACCTTTGAGAAAGCCACATGCTGTTTCACGGCACGGTCAGCACTTGGCTAAGCATTGCCCCACATCCAGTCACTGGCGAGTCGATCTGTGTGTAATCATTATTTGGAGTAGTGTAATCGTAGTTTGACGGAATATATATTGCGGTGCGGGGACGATCTGCTTGGAGAATACTTGAACCCAGGGACATGCTGAGGCTTTCATAACTCTCACAAGCTCTAAAGCATCAAGTGGTGATTAACCGATCCGATAAACTCTCCAGATAATTACCATTGGTCTTATTGAAAAGGAAAAAAAAAATGGCTATTATTGCAGTTGCTGGCGGCACTGGCCCCGTGGGACGAACCATTGTTGACGGCCTTGTTGCCCACGGTGGGCACAAGGTTTTCGTTCTTTCAAGGACTGTACGTCCTCACTTGAAATAAGCTTGAACTCCCTTAGCTAATTTGACACACATCCCAGACTCGTCCATCTGAAAATGGAGTAGAATACCTTGCTGTGAACTACGAGGATATCGCAGGCACCAGCAAGGCTCTCGAAAGCAACAATGTTGACACGGTCATCAGCGCGATGGGAGTCATCACGAAAGACGTGAGCAATTCTCAAGTTCAGCTCGTCAAAGCTGCAGATAAATCGAGCACCACTCGCCGCTTTGTTGTCAGCGCATATGACATGTTGCACACGAGAGAGTAAGGCACACGTTTTTCATTTGAAGGGGTCTTCGGGAAAATCACTAAACACTTTTTAGGCAAGTATCCAATTATCCTTTCGCCGAATATGTGTTCGAGGCACTTGATGAGCTCGATGGTACTACTCTCGAGCATACCCGAGTTGTCAACGGCTTCTTCCTCGACTACTATGGGATGCCCCACTGGAAGACATATATGCACCCCTGGATAAACTTTGTGAACGTTGAGAAGAAATGGGCCGTGATTTCAGGTGACGGCTCCGCTAAGGTCAACTTGATCACGTCTCAGGACATGGCAAAGTTCATCGCGCGCCTTATGGATTTACCCAAGTGGTCGAGAGTTAGCAGCATTGCTGTTGAGACGAAGTCAATACTGGAGCTTCTTGAGATTGCAGAGAAGGCACGAGGTATGTTTCTTTTATCATCAACAAATTACACCGGAGGGTGTATTGTTCTGGGTTTCTCGAGATTTTAATGAATAGCAGGGTCAAAATTCAATGTTGTACACGATGACCTAGAGAAGCTGAAGTCAGGGAAAATCTCGTTTATATCCGAGTTTCCTGATATCGGACTCAGCCAGGACGATGCGGAGGCTGTATTTGCCAAAATACACTATTATGCTGGAACCAATGCAGTTCTGGTTCCTACAGAGGACACTTTGAACTCAAAGTTTCCAGATATTGCCACGAAGACGGCAGAGGAAGTGATTGAGGAATCATGGAAGGGAAAATAAGATCAAAACTCCGCGCTTTAGGCAACTGGCGGCAGGTTGTTTAGGTTCCTACATAACACAACTGAGGCATCTGGAAAATGGAATCACACTTTACTCAAGGTACCGGGACTGCTTCAAGTTTCAGTAAACTCTACATAGTGTCACTTTTTACCATCTGCCTGCCAAGTATGATGATACTTTTTCTTTGGGAGACTATTTAAATCGTGGAAACTTTGTATAATTTCAGGTCCATAGTGGTAACCTGGTGTGAGCATAGGTATGTTTCTCTTGAAGCCATCACTTTTAAGCTGGTAAGGAGTCTGATGCCGGGCCCAACCTTCCGGAAATAGAGTCCAATTTATCCCCACAGCAGAGCTATCAATCAAGACTAGATTTCTATACAACAATTGGGTCTCTTTCTTCGCTGTTCTCTGTACCTTTTGAATGGCAATGCAGTCTTTAACGTAAGGTATCCTTACTAAAAAGGCACTTAAAGCCTCGCTCTAACAGTCTCGTTCGACACTTCCACCTCAGCCTTCTGCCTAGAAACTTGCCACGATTTGGTTTTTGCCGTGCCCATGGTGGCCCAGATTTCTAGCAGATTATCATCAAACGGCGGCAATACTCGACCTGTCGTACCCGGGGCGGGGTCTCCAGCAACCGATCTGAAGTATTCGAACACCGTCTTATAATCCGGCGCAATAGTGTAGTATGCCTTGCCACCTCCGAGCTCGGCGACGCGCTTTCTCTCCCACTCCTTCTGTTCTTCTTTTGATGGTAGCGGGTTTCCTCTGCCTGCGAGGAGACGAGCGACAGCAACTGCTTGCCATTCGAAAAGACGGAAAGTAAACCCGCCTCCGCACTGTTTTCTGCTTGTCAGCAAAGTTCTTTAAATTTAGATCTGTACCTAGGGGCTGCGACTCACCATTCCAAGGAAGGCAAGAGTTGGGTCTTCTATATCCCATGTGTGGTAGTACACGCCTGGCAGTCGGCGATCGGCTTGCGATACTCGCTCTTGAATCTTGGGCAAGAAGGGGAAGCTGAAAGTGTATCCAGTTCCAAAAATGACGTGATCTACGTCGTGAACCTTGGTTCCATCCTCAAAGGTGATAGTACCAGACTTTGAACAGAAATGAACTATTTGTTTCTGGATGGAGATGTGCGGGTGTGTAAACGGCTCCCATCCAAAGTGGGGAATGGGATCTCCTCTAAGAGAGGCGTAAACCGGGTGTTGGGCGACAGGCAGGACTTCGTGGAGAAGTTCATGTGATGAAACTGAACCTCCAACAACAATGACTTTCTGTTGGCTTGTGAGTAAGATATCAATCATCTGTCAACGTATTTTCGCATACCTTGCCCTTGTATTTGTCTGATCCTCTAAAGTGCTTGCTGTGGACGATACGGCCTGGGAACCTCTCATCGTATTCAGCGATACCCTTGATGTTGGGGATCCAGGGGATGTTGTAGTGTCCAGTCGCAACAATGAGAGCATCAAACTTTTCTTGCCACCATTGATCATTTCCAGGAAGCTCTTTCCTTAAAGTGAGGACCCATTCGTCTCCTTGCTTCTCGGCGAGCTCAACTGTGGTGCTCAGCTCAAGCAACTTCTCGTGCTCATTCTTGACAAAGATGTCTTCGACCCACTGGCGAATTTGCTCTCTTCCACGAAAGGGAGCGTCTTCGCCATACTTCTCCCGAATACGGTCAGTTAGCGTTTCCGGGAACGGCTCCGTCGTAAAACTCATAATCTCAGGGGTAATGTTGGTGTGGAGGTGCTCATGCTGGGCAGTATCAGAGAAACGAAGTTGATGGTTGCCGACCGCCTCAGACTTGTAAGTCTGAGCGGGGAGTTGTGTTGGGATGGGAACTGGGACGTCCGCAGTTCCATCTAACAATTTCCTTAGAGAAGGAATGGCGGCTGGGAGGTGAGGTGTATATACCCTAGAATAGTGTTAGAAACAAACAAGATGAATAGGCTTAGCTTTCGAATTACCATGTTCCGCCAGGAACAGCTCGGCGGTCGAAAACACGAACGACGTCGAATGTCTGCTCCTTTACCAAAGCGTCGGTTGCAATGGCACCGCTAGGACCAGCGCCGATCACGGCGACTCGGCGAATCTTGACAGCCATTGCAATCTGTCAAGGCTGTTCGGGGTTGTGGATGCACTTTGTGCTTTTTGCAAAATAATACGCTTCTCAGCTAAAAGTGGTGTCGTTCTGGTCTACCAAGTTCGCGCCGCCTTAGTATAACATCTGAAGCATTCCACAGTGAGCCAACAGATAAATGAAATATCGCTAAAGTTACAATAGGTTTCTCATCGTTAGATTTATTGAAACTGCTAGGTTAAACGATTGCGCCACAGTTCGTTATACGGTGATATGGCGTCTTCTCACAAGTTGAGCACGCAAGGTGGGGCGGAACGCTCCGCGTTACCACAACAGGAACGGTTCCTTATCAGACGGCGGCCTGGATGCGCATCGGAGTCGAATCGGCTGCAGGTCCGGACGCTTCCCCCACGTATCGGCCAGGGTCTACTCGGCGGTTCACCTTTGAGCCTGCATTTATCGCGGGTCGGCACCGATGTCGTCATTTCCCGGTGGGGTTCCGAAGGCTCCGTTGTACGATGGTTTTGGTGGTTGTCAGCAGATCATTGGGAAAAATGAAATGCCTCTCTCCGAGGTGCATGCCAGAGACGTTATCGAATGGTTTCTACTTTTCCGCGACTGAGAAGGTAACGTTTGTATTTCTATAGCCTACAGCTGCTAGCTAATTGCCAAAACAGGGGCCAGGTACTGGGGGGTGTGGTTCGATCAGACTTGTAAGCCAATGCCCACATGCTACTCCTTAAGAACCACTGCGACCCTTTCCCCATCCTTACTTTCGACCGTCTCGACTTCACAGCGGTAGTTTTCGAACTCGCGAGCAGGGATCTTCTTCTGGAACATATCCTCCAGTTCAAGGTAGCTGCGGCCCTTCATCTCAGGGAAGCAGAAGAACAGGTAAACGGCACAGATGAGCGAAGGGGCAAAGAAGACGAAAGCGACCTTGCCACCAAGATTCGCGTTGCTCGGGTTGATCAGATACGGAATGAGCTGGGTGACAAGACATCCCGCCGCCGTGTTGCTCATGATGGTAATGGAATAGGTCTTCTGACGAACACGGGGTGAAGGTGTCTCACCGCCCACGGCGAAAGCAACGGCACCGATGGAGAGTTGATACTTGATGAAGTTTTACGTTAGTTCCAAGGCTCTTCGTTCAGCGTAAGCAGGAGGGAAGACTTACGAGGAAGCCCCAGAGAGCCATGAATGCAACCACGGCAGAGAGGGTCTTCTGGTTGCCCTGAATGACGCTAAGTCCTCCAATCAACAGCAAGAGTCCCGTCATAACGATGCTGCCCCAGACAATAAGTGGCCGGCGGCCATAGCGATCAACCAAGAACCACGAGCAGATATTGCCGAGAAGCTGAATGCTGTAACAAACTTGGGCAATTCCGATGGGGTTTCCGACTCCTGCGATTGTGAAGAAGTATCTGTAACGAGTTAGCAAGCTAAAAACAGAAGCGGTGGACAGTGCGTGTTTCTTACGGGAGGTATGATGCAACAAAGTTTGATCCAATGAACTGTTGCGCAAGATACACCACAACAACGATGGTGGTTCTGCGCAAGTTGGTACCCTTGAAACACTCAAGATAGGAGGCGCCTTTCTCGTTGAGTTCCCGTTCCTTTTCCAGAGTAGTCTCCATGATGGCAAGAGTTTCTTCGACATTGTGCTTCGGGCCGTTGAACTTGCGGAGAGATTTCGCTGCATCTTCTCTTCTTCCCTTCATTAGGAGCCATGAGGGAGACTCTGGGAGCATGATGCCACCCAAAACCAGCATCAAGACAGGAGGAACCAACTGAACAAACACGGGTAGTCTCCAAGCCCAGTCGTTCTTGATGAATGAGCCACCATATCCGATCAGCGCGCACGCCCATTGTCCCAGGACGATCATGGTGTTGATTAGAATGAGGCAGACGCCACGCAGAGAATCAGGCGCGATCTCTGCAACGTAAACAGGGCCAAGAGTATGACCTAGTCCGTATCCAACGGTGCTGATAAGCTTGCCGCCAAAGAGCATCATGATGGAGTTGGAAAAGCCCTGGACGAGGATGCCGGCAATACAGAGACCGCACCCGATAAAAACAACCAAACGGCGGCCGATGATGTCGGATATGAATCCAGTGGTATACGCTGCAACGAAAATGCCGACGGTAGTTGATGCATTGAGAACCTGTTGGTCATGGGTAGTTATTTCTTTTACACCTGTAGATGTTGTGACGCCGAATCGGTCAAGGAAAGATGGAATGGCGAGGATATTGCCCACGAGAGCGATTTCGTAACCGAAGTTAATAGGTAGAATGAAAATCAGGAGACCTGTTGGTTGAGAATGTCAACGTCAGCCGTGGTTTGAGGTAAGGTCACCTCGGCAAACAAGCGATTGGTACCTACACCAGGCGAGCACTCTCTTGTTTTTGGAGAGCTCAGCAAAGCCTGAGAGCTTCTCCGGAGTGTCTGTCATTTTGATGGTTGAATAGAAAACTCCTCGGGCTACGAAGCTCTTTGATTGTCCTTTTTTGATGGGCCTCGGTTGATTGGAAGCAGTAACTGCAAACAAAGGAAGATCAATTGAATTCGAAAGCTCGCATTCTTTGAAGCGCAATGAGCAGTTGCTTGGAAAGAGACTCTAGGAAAAAACACGGATTATCGACAGTTCTTATAATCATTTTCTTTGCAGACGTCAAAATGATCTAGGCCAGAACCAACTCCAAGTTCAAAAGTAGTTGAATTGCATGTTTCCCCATGGGTTCCGTCCACATTTTGCGTCTTTCTACCCCACATGTGATTGGCACAACCTCCGCAAACCCACTTTAATCAGTAGTTTGATTGGTCCGTATCTATTCACCGCGGCGAATTGTCATGCCCCGGCCGATTCCGTAGTGTTTCCACTCGAGTCAGCTGCCCCTGAAAATTCATTCATACTCTTAATGAATCGCTCGGTCGTTCGGAGAAATACTTTTGACAAAGAAATTGTGTGTTGTTGTGATTTTCATGCAGTTCGGATGGCGAAACGAGCTTGTGATGGCTGTAGACGTCGAAAGGTCAAGGTGAGTATCATGGGAAAAATCTCAAGTCTTCAGATCAACTTGTTAATGATCAAAGTGCGACGGCAAAAGCCCCCAGTGTTCCAACTGCTGTATGTCCTCTTTGAACTGCGAATATACTATACCGGCAAAGAAAAGAGGGCCTCCGTTTCGGTTACACAAACAAAACCATCGGCGTACACCCGAAACCAACAGCAACGGTTCACTGTTGGTTACCGAAGATTCGTCGTCGAGTGCTCACCAGGAAAGTCCTTCTGTCCCAGATTGCGCCTCGATAGAGCCCCAAGAGTCACAGTTTCTACGACCTTCTGAAGAGCCGAAATGGAGCCCCTTTCGCGAAGCTCAAAATGAACTTATGTCAACTCTCGGCAAAGCTCTTCCCTACGCGCCACTAGAGGATGTACTGAATACCTGCATTGATCTGTACATGCAGTGGGAATTCCCGACAGGGCCCGTCATCTGCGAGCCCATGGTCCGGAGGGCAGTACCCCTAGTGGTCCCAATTCTCCGGGGCGAGACCTCGGTTCCCAGCCTTTCGGTTCCCGGCCAGCCCACTTCTGACGTATCGACCATACGGGCTTTCGCATTATTGACCGGACTCTGCTCGTTTGTATCGGCAAGTCTGAACAGCCAAGTATTCTCCTCGGGTAGTGTCTTGGCATGGCCGTTTCTGCGGACGTCACGCGAGGCTCTACGGCTTTATCAAGACTACGACGTTGAGCATCCTGAAAGCAGCTCGGTCATTATCCGGTATTTCCACTCTAACGCTCTCCATGCTCTTGGGAAGACACGCGTATCCTGGCATGTTATGGGCGAAGCTCTACGCTTGGTCCAGGAGATGCGTCTGTATGAAGAGAAGAGCTTTCATAATCTCGAGTGGCCCGAGGTTCACCTGAGGAGAAATGCCTTTTGGCATCTCTATATCGGCGACAAGTCTGCGTCGATTCTCAACAAGGTTCCCATTTCATTACATCAAATGTGTCTGGATACGCCGATAACCACCACTTTTGACGAGAATCTAGTCTGTAGGCTTATGGATTCCAGTCAAGACGAAAGTAACATCGCGTTTGAAAACCAGTTACGCCCGGGGGTCTACCTTTGCTTCCGCCTCTGGTACACCGCATCAGAAATGCTCATCGACTTGAACTTGCTTTCGCGCTTGCAAACTAGGGACGAAGGTCTGGGCACGCCGCCTGTAGTGTCGGACACTTCGACCCTGAGGGCAAGCATAATGCAATCTTACTTCGATTTCACCAGCATCCTTCACAACTGTCCTCTTTGGATACGAGACCCTGCTTCCGCCAGGGACAACTCGCCAAATGAGACGATAGCCCAGTTTCGAATCCGCTCTTTCGCCACTCAAAAGGCAAATCTTTTTGTCACGTTCCACGCCCTTCGGATAGCCTTACTAACACGTTTTGTCGAACGGGGCTTCGCCGATATTCTGGGATTGACGAACGATCCGGCCATGATTTCTCTACGTAAAGTGGAGATTGCAAGCGAGCTGCTAGATGTCGTGACTGAGATACCTTTCGAGGCCCTGTTGGCCAACGGCGAACCGTGTGTGAGTTACGTTCCCCACATCTTGTCCGAATTATTCGTCTGACAACTTGTTGACAGGTAGAAAAACTACGGCAAGTTGGCGTCGCCCTTCTCGAAATCATGCATAGCGTCGGCAGCGAGTCAATCTCTACTCGCGCCAAGTCCCTTTTTAGCACTCTCCTAGACATTCTTGCCCGGCTGAATTCCAGAGTCTCGGATGAGCTGAGCAACGACTGCGAGTCATAAGTTTCTACGGCCACAAACTGACCCGCCACCCGGGTAGAACCAAAAAAAGAAAAGACGACAATCTCCTTATGGACAGCACCTAAAAACGTGCCACTTTATTTTGTCACCCGCGTGCCGGTAGAGAATTCCGCTAGGGCGAAAGAATGTCTTTGTCCGCGCAATGTGGGTTCTGCCCCCCAACTATGTGGATGGAAGAGTGGGTTTGAGCAATTCGCCGCGGCGAATAGGTCAGCAATCTACATCTGCAGCCCCAACAACCTGATATGCGGATGCGGGGTGATCACACCTGCGTGCCATGGTATAAGATTGATGTGCCGACGGACTCGGTTCCGAACTAATCCAGTCGTTGTCTGCAGAGAACCGCAGCTCAAAAACAAATCCCCTGCCCTTCACAGTTCCCAAAATGGCAGAAACTCACGTTTACCGCAACCCCATCATCCCCGGATTCGCTCCTGATCCGTCCGTCGTATTTGTCGATGGGATTTTCTACCTCGTTACATCTTCCTTTCACGTCTTTCCCGGAATCCCAATCTACGCGTCGACGGACCTGCAAGAATGGAAGCATATTGGTGGGTATTCCTCCTCTCAAGTCGGAGTAGTGTCAGGATTAACAAGTGACAGGCAATGCGATCAACCGCAAGGAGCAACTCGACCTCAGCCGAGCCGGAACTGCTGTGATGCCCCTTGACACTGGAAATATCATGGTCTCGAGCGCAGGCCTCTTCGCCGCAAGCATCCGATACCACAACGGCACCTTTTACATCGTTTGCACCAACGCAACTCGCGAGAATGATGAATTTTGCCTCGACAACTTTTACATCAGCACAACCGACATTTGGTCTGGACAGTGGTCCGACCCCATCTCCTTCCCCTTTAGCGGCATTGATCCCAGCATGTTCTTTGATGAGGACGGCCGTGTCTACGTCCAGGGCTGCTGGATGATTAACCGCTTGCAGCAACCTAGCTGCACGATCAAGCAATTCGAGGTTGACTTGAAGACTGGCCAGCCTCTGTCTGAAATCAAGGAAATCTGGGGCGGATATGCAAAGTATGACACAGAGGGTCCTCACATTTACAAGCGGGGTGAATACTACTACCTCCTTGTAGCTGAGGGCGGCACCTTCGAGCATCATCTGCTGAGCATTGGTCGCTCAAAAAACATCTGGGGCCCTTACGAATCATGCGAGACGAACCCTATTATGACTGCCGATGGCAAGCCGGATGAGTACATTCAGAACATTGGCCACGGCGAGCTCTTCCAGGACCAGAACGGACTGTGGTGGGCCGCGGTTCTTGGTGTTCGGAATGACAACAACAGCCCGCCTTTGGGTCGCGAGACGTTCTTGACAGCGGTGGACTGGCCTGAAGGTGGCTGGCCTACTGTGCAGCAGCCCAAGATGCAGTTCGAGCGCAGCATACCGGGTTCTCCTGGCGATAGCAGCAAGAAGCTGCCGTCCCCCGAGGATGTCGACTATGTTTACATCCGCGATGTGGACTTTGAAAACTACGAATTCGGCGGCAAAGATGACGAGCGAGTCTTTAAACTGCGTGCCAGCGCCTCCACCATCTCCACCCCGTACGGCACGGCCACTTTCGTTGGCAAGCGTCAGAGGTCCCTGGACGCCAGCGCCTCTGTCGTTCTAGATCTTTCTGCTACACCATCTGGCAAGGCTGTAGCCGCAGGATTGACGGTTTACAAGGACGCATTGCGCCATGTGTCCCTGGCATACGACTTTCAAGCATCCAAGCTCACTTTTGACGTGACGACGACATCGGAGGACAAGAAGCAATCCGTCAACCTGCCTGTGGATGCCTCCGCCACAGCATTGAGGTTGCGCGTCGAAACATCAACGCAGGAATGCAAATTCTTTTATGCGACAGAGGAGAACTCTCCATGGAAGGAAGCTGGAGTGGCCCGCGTGGCGGACTTGGTCGCGAGAGAGATGACTGGGCCTATATTCGGCCTGTTCGCGCATGCAGTGGAGGACCAGGGCGTTGGAAGCGAGGTGAAATTCGAAAAGTTCATTTTGGAAGGGCAGAAGAGCCTTGTAGAATAAATGGTGCTTTTTATTTGGAAAGATACCAAAACTGCAATCATAGAATCATGTTAGATAATGCCAAGAAGAAGAAAAGCCTCCGTTCTCGTACAAACAGCTCAAGAAATCTTTGGTTTCAACCATCATCGTTGTTCCTTTAATGGATAAATTCAACCAATAAATTATTCAAGTCTTCCGGTCAATGATTGGTTGAAAGAAGATAAATCTCAATTACTCATCGTCCCATGTTGCCGAGGTTTGTGACGTAAGCTCGTCAGCGTCCGTCCATACTTCACACAATGTTAAAACCTTCCCATCAGATCAAGCCGTAGCAAGTAAACACCAGGTAGATCTTGGATCCATATCCATACCATCTCTACACATAGCGTAGAACTGCAACAGTCTTTCATAGGGACACTAACATGGATCCGGCAAAGCTCAAGACTTGGAGTTTGCCCAAAAGTGTCACCTCTCGCTTTGTCGATACAGCACCCGCAGGCCTCAAGTTTCACATCTTGGAGTCCGTTCCTCAAGACTTGCCCACGGGCAGCCAGCCACCTCTCATTTTGCTTCTCCATGGGTTCCCCAACCTATCGTACGACTGGCGCTACATCATGCCCTTGTTGTCCAAGGCGGGCTACCATGCCGTGGCCCCCGATATGCGGGGCTTCGGGCGAACCCACAATTCGGATCTCAGCCCAGTCGCAAGGGAAAACATTCGGCCCATAGTCGCAGTCCACGATGTAACAGCACTGCTTATCGGTCTTGGCTACAAGTTTATTCACACCCTTGTAGGCCATGACCTGGGTGCTTTTGCTGCTTCTCTGATCGCTCTAGCCCGAACGGACCTGGTCAAGTCACTTGTTTTGATGTCGCATCCTTTCAAAGGAATACAGGCACCTGCAACCAAGGAAGAGAAACAAGCAGAGGCTAGTCGACAAGACTCTGATATACAAGCTTCTCTTGCAAAGCTTGATCCGCCAAGGAAGCATTATAAATACTACAACGCAGCGGATGCCGCGGCGGATGAATGGACGAATCCGAAAGGCCAGCCCTTACATGAATTCCTCAGGGGTTATTTCCATCTTAAGTCGGCAGATTACGTCCTCAACAAACCACATCCGCTGAAATCATGGACGGCGAAGGAGTTGGCACTCATGCCGCACTATTACGTGATGAGAGCCGACCTTTCTATGCGGGGTAATGTCGAGCTCGACATGTCCAAAGAGCCTGCCTCGATCCGCGAGAAACTATCTCAGACTCCGTGGCTGCCGGATTCAGACCTGAGTGTTTACACAGAAGAATTCGGAAGGACAACCTTTAGCCATTCGCTTCTTTGGTACAAAGCGTTCGTCGAACCCAAGTTGGCCGCGGATCTCCTCCCTTTTGCTGGACACAAAATCTCTGTGCCGACAAAGTACGTTTCTGGTGATCGAGACTGGGGCACGTACCAGGTGCCTGGTTCGCTGGAAGCCATGGAGAATGGTGACAGCGTTGAGCCTGAGTGCTGGCGGGGAGCGGTTCACGTTCCGGGAGCAGGGCATTGGGTAAATATGGAGAAACCAAACGAGTGCGCCGCAGAGATTCTGAAGATAGCGGCGTCTGTCTACGATGATAGTAAATGGATCTAAGGGCACAAAACCAGAACATACTCCGATTTTAAAGTTGGCCCACATAGTGGTACAGGGAACCATACACGCTTGGCAAGAGGCATTTGAAATGTGGTGTAGCAGGGTCAATGCCCCCCATACAAGGCTGTAATGACGGGTTTGAGGGGGGACTTGGGGACTTTCTTTGGTTTCTGAGAGACACTATTCATATTCATTTTTGTCGAAGAGGCTTGTTGTTCCACTTGTTGTTCCACGGGCAGAGGTGGCCCTGTTCATAGCAGTTACCGAGGTATTGACAAAAGAACGCGCCAGAATAGCAGACATGCGCCAGACTTGGACAAATTGCTACTTGGTCATTTTGGAGATTCAACTTTCCTCTATTCAAACCCTGACTTCTATCCAGCGAACAGAAGACCCTTTATAGAGGACTCTGAGTACTCTAATCAGATTTGACGTCAAGAAAAGATTCTCACCAGGTGAACACTAATGACACTGGCCGCGTCTGATCGGAAGCCCTCAAGTCCAGCTGAATGTGTAGCTTGTTTTTGGCGCCCAACTGCAAACAGTCAACTTGCTGAAACCATATACTCATCTATAGTAGCTCATTCATCATGTCACGGCAGATTTCATTATATCAATGAAAAATACCTTGCCCTAGTCATAATGGTTCGCGTCCACTTCCAACACACGGCACGGTCCGCTGTATCACTGAACCTACATTAAACTCTCAATATAGAATGGGACATCCAAACTATAGTAAATCTTGAATAGGCCCAGAATTTCATGCAGTGTGATTTACCTGCAAAATAGAAACTGCCGAGTACCGCGTGTGATTCAGGCAGTTCGTGCCGTGAAGCAGTTATCGATAACGGCATATAAAAGAGGGATTATTTTGAAAGGTAAATAGACTTTCCTTTTTTACTGCGGTTTCCCCGTTTTATGGAATCATCAGCACCTGCAGTTTATGTTCCGCCGGCATCAATTTAACGGAGATAGCTTTGGCTCGAGAAGGCAAGAGCAACTCAACCCACCCACCCGAACGTACCTTCCCTAATATCAACAAAGAGGTAGGTCTTCGTTGCCGCCCAACGGAGATACAACTTTCCTCTCTTCTTTTCTTTCCCTTTTCCTGCTATTTTCATCTGCTTCATCTCTCTTCTTCGCAACTCTCGCCATCTTGCTTCATCAACAAATCCATTAAATAAGAGGGAAAACGTTTTTCGAGCCTCTTATTGACTGGATCCATCATGCTAGCAATGCGCAATACCCCAGTTTCTTGAATTATCCTTGTATTTCGTCCCTTTTGTTTCCAATCAAGCCTTCACCATCACGAACCCCTCCGCTCTTCTATTCACTTCTTCGACCCTCCGGCACTTTCCAAGTCACTACGATGTGCCGACATGAACGCTGGGTGTGCCCAGGCTGTGCTCAAAACAGGCCTGGGTTGGAACGATGCCAGAACTTTGATCCCGCCACCGGCAGTTGTCCTGACACAAAGCCTCTGGACCCTGAAGGTCAGCCGCCACTTAAGAGCAAGTGGGAATACACCTGCAAGAAGGTCGGCTGTAGGTTCATGGACCCAAGCCTCGCCTACCATCCCGACAAACCTGCCTCACCGGAATCACAACTCTTTGGTCAGAGTCTTTTGAAAATCATGCGTGAAACAGATAGCCACGCGCCGGCACTGGGTGCGGCTGAATCGCCAAATGCATCACTTTTGCTAGCGATTGGCGAACCAGAATTCACCCCTGCGCATAAAGAGACAACAGAATCCAACATCTATGTTAACGACAACAGTCTTGTGACCACAAACAATGGCAATGATTCAGCGAAACACTTCGATTCGTCAGACGCAGCCACTGGTGTAATGTTCCCAGCCAACAATAGCCATGCTGATAGAAGGGCCTCAGATATGGAACCAAGCAATCGCACGGACTCCCGTAAGTTTGACCAGCCCCCTAAGCATTCTGCTCACCTACTAATCAAACTTTCAAAGCTGTTGTCCCATTGACTGAAGAGGATCTGCGGAACATCATCATTCGCAATTCTAAATCCAATGATATATGCTTCGATCCTGCCGACCCGAAATTTTGGGACAATACAGAAACAGAGGTGGAAAGATTCCTGGCTTGTGAAGAAACCGACCCAAAAACCCCGACCAGTTCATTTGGTAGTTTATTTCAAATCCATACAGTGGAAGCAAGAGCTGACTGTCAAGCAGGCTCATCTCCCATTGTTGGCAAAAAGACTTCACAGGTTCCTGTCACCCCTCGCACCCCCAGCAACACGAATTCCGGTCTCCACACAGCCTCTGCCACACCCGAGCAGACTGAACGCTCCAAAAACGAGATTGAGCAACCACGAACAGCAACATCCGAGCATCCTTATATGGAGCTAGAGACACAGTACAAGGGCGTGGCAGGAAAGGCTGTAAATCACAGAGAGCATAGAGCTATGGCTGCAAATGGATCGAACCTCGGCCCCAGCAGTATTCCGTGGCCGACAAAATCAATACTTGACAGTTATCAGCAAATGGAATCGCAAATGGCTTTGAGCCAGTCCAAAAGCGGCATGTATCCGACTTCCACTTTCGATCTTACGGGTCTCGCTAGAATGCAGCCCCATCTCAACCATCGTCTCGATCAAGCGCTGAGCCTCAATAACCCCCAGAGCGCTACGTTTTTCCCACGAGCTTCCAACGCAGGATTTTTGGGCGCCGGAATTCCTAACCGAGGATTGTCGGATTTTCCAAACCTTGTTGAAATGCAACAAAGACAACAACTCCAGTCAACGGCCCCTCATCTGCCATCTTCAATGTATACGATGCCTGCTTTTCAGAATCAAAACAACGCCATGGCCAGCCAGATGCAATGGCAAGCTCACACCCCACTTGTAAGGACACCTATGCACCACCAACAGATGTATCAAGATATGTATGGCAGTCACTACTCCCACATGGGAACAAATCATAACGCCCAAATGCTTCTGGCTCAACTGGATCAAAGCAACAACGCTTCTCAGCCCACACGCTTTGCTTCTTCCCCTGAAACATGGTCGAGCTTCCAAGCTCCCACTTATGGTATGCAGCAACAGGCTTTCATGTTAAATCGGCCCAATATGCCTCATATGCCACAATTCGCGGCCAACAAACGGCCATTTTCCGCCATGGCCAACTCGAAACCTCAGACATCCCCACAAGGCTCGGCCTATCTAAGTAATCGACTAGTAGGCCAACCGGGTGCATGGCCCCCTATGACACCTGGCGCGCCATCGTCTTCACCAGCAGACGCATACGACACTCCGAAGAAGAGGGCTAGGGTTGTGGGAGCACACTTGGAAACCACCAATCTCGAGACACCACATTCCCTTAAGCGCAAGACGCCAACTCAACGGCACATGCCGACGGGTACAACCTCAGCTCTTGGACACTCTCAACTTGGTAGGGGTAAGCTTACTCAGAAGAGGAGAAATGCACCGGCGTACCCCAGCCCTGAACAGACAGAGGAATCCGAGATGTCTCCTCGCAACCAGTTGAATAATTTTGGATTCCAAGGGAATAGTACCCCCGATGACCCGATCGATCTTGAATCAACTGCCGCAGGCGATTCATTCAGTCATGAACACTGATCTTGTTTGTGTGTGGATACAGCCTTATCAACCAAGCCATGAATCGCTACAAACCTTCATATGTCCTGTGGCTAGCCACTCATTGGACACAGGCTCGGAAAGGTAACGAGTCTACGGGATTGACACCACCACCTACAGCAGGATTTCCCAGCATTTTTTGGAAACCTGCACTGTGGTGTAACGTTTATGAAGTTCACGATTGATACTACTTTGAGTAACGAACACCATCAGGCTTCAGATGACAAAAGCTTGGGTCATCAGATAAGTGGGTTTTTTAGCTTTTTTGTTCTTTCTTACTTTCCCTGCTTTTTTATTTTCTTTGTCATACAAGTGCGGAAGACACATGGTTTAGGACAGGTCAGGTTAGATATTCCACAAAGCTTTTGAAGCAACAGTACGTAAATGGAGGCTTGGAGGATAGCTTTGACGGCTATGCTTTGACGGCTATGCTGCGAGGCCTCAGTTGTATTCTAGACTCACAATCAATGATTTTCATTTAACGCCTGTGGGGTTTTCTTTCGCTGAATCCATAAGTGCTTCTTATGCCCATTGTTTAAAATACAAATATTTCACACAGTTTGGTTTGGCTATCTATATTTCTTCGCATTTCCTATTAACACCCCCTGACTTGAAGTATTTTTGTGGTTGCTTGGTTTTCTACTGGAGACAAGTGTCATTCAGCCTGACGGTCTCGAAAAGCCTGCAGCAGGTGATTATTGGAAACCTACCAAGCCTTGTAACTCTGCGCCTGATAATCAAAGAATGGGAAGTCATAAGAATGAAAGACCGGCTTCGCTGAATAGTCTTAACTGAACTATTCCAGTCCTTGCTCAAAGCGATACCCCCGTATTGCTGACATGGGTCTCCACCCAGCTCCAGCCCGTCATAGGCGCAAAATCGACACTGTCCGCCAATCACATAAGGCAAGATGGCCGAGCGGTCTAAGGCGCTAGCTTCAGGTGCTAGTCAAGTAATTGGCGTGGGTTCGAATCCCACTCTTGTCACTCATTAAAGAAGCTCATCTGAGCTTCGCTTTTTGCATTTTTCGCCGTTGTGTATGGGACTGTGGACAATGGATTTGGTTTTGCTGCGAGTCTAATACTAACACACAAACCATCCTATCGAGTGTTAGTGGGGCAACAGGTACAAATTGGCCTATTATGAAAGTCTGTATTTCTCTAAATCAGAGCCACACCACACTTATCATTCGAGAGAAATCACAGTCTCAGGATGCGATTGGCTAACATCCCGCATGCCATGTACCTATTGCCAACCAACCCTAATGAGGTACTTCTCAAGTTAAGCTATTCTTGGAAATAGTGGTGTGTGGATTAGTGCGGGGTAGCGTTTTAACCTACAGTGCTGGTAACAGTCGTTGTCAACGGCTGCCTCCAACACCTCACATAAGTTATCTACACTGTTGGGTGATGCTTAAACACTGTCTTTCACGGGATACACATTATGCGGAAACAATGGATTCGGATGGACCAAGCTGGGTATAAGCCCTATCGAAAATACGAAAAGCACGCTATTTCTCCCTCTGCTATTTCTGGATCAAAACACATTACGGTCGTGAATCCGCGCAACAAGATCCTGAAGCCTAGACGCCATTCTGGCGCTCAAGCTTCTCCTTCTCTCTCTTGGCGTCGGCAATCTTGATGCTCAGTTTGACAGGTCTGGTACCAGGAGTTTCGAAAATGCTGTCAATCTCCTCGAGGTTGAGCTTACTCGTCTCGGGGAACACAAAGTAACTCGCAATGACCTGCAGGAAGTTGTACACAATGTACACGACCCAAATCTTGTACCCAAGCTTGCCGACACCGATGCCGATGCCGTAGGTGTGAATAACAGCCGCAATGGCCTGGAACATGGCGAAGAGACCCATACCCTTGGCGCGGAGCGGCAGAGACAACAGCTCGACGGGGTAAAGGTTGTGCATCGTTGCAATGAAACTGGCACTGCAGATTTGGAAGCAGTAGACCCAGACGACGGTCAGGATGGCGGTGGCCCTCATGCCTCCCGTCTGCTCGTACTGCCAGCTAGTGATGGTGACGGCGATTTGGGCAATGATTATGCTGATCAGACCGGCGAAAATGAGCGTGCGTCTCCTGAAGAAGTCGACGATGTAGGCTCCGAACAGGGTGAAAACGAAGTAGATTCCCGTCAGGCCGAGGTTGATACCGAGTTGGTCGAGCTGCTCAGTGATGCCAATGGTCTTGAGAGCCGGAGCAAGGTAGTAACCAATGATACCACCTCCGTTCCACTGCTGGAAGACGGCGTAGACGGCGAGGACGAAAGTGCGGAACCAAACGGCGCGGGTGAAGAATACGCGGAAGTCCCAGGTGGCGCGGAAGCCGGCCTTGGAGGTCTCGATGGACTCTTCGATCTGGAGGATCATGATGTCGACAATCTCGTGGTTGATGTCGTTGTGCGTCGTCATGTACTTTGCAATCATGCGGCGCGCCTCTTCTTTCTTGCCCTTCATGACCAGGAAACGCGGCGACTCGGGGCAGACGGTGTAGAGACCGACGCAGACGATAACGGGGAAGATGGCCTGGAGGAGGAAAGCTGCGCGCCATTGCCAGTCGCTCTCCCATGTGGTCAGGCCCATCATGATACCGAGCATCATGAGGGAACCGACTTGGAAGAAGGCGCCGAAAGCACCTACGATGCGGCCACGAAGATGCACCGGGGCGACCTCGGCAACGTACTGAGGAGCGGTGCAGAGCGCCGTGCCGAAGCCGAGAACGAGACGGCCAGCCATGAGACAGGCCAGGTTGGGAGCCAAGGCTTGCATGATGGCTGCAATGATTACGAGGGCGTTTCCGAGGAAGTTGACTCCGCGACGGCCGAGGACATCACCGTAGCTGAGAAACGGGGCACCAACGAAACTTCCGATTTGCATGAGGGCGTTGATGGTAGAGATGATGGGACCGGAATCGCCGAATCCGTAGTAGTCGTGCCAACGGTCGAAGGAGTTGATGCCGCTGATGACACCCCAATCGACACCGTAACTGTTGGAAGGTATTGATTAGCTGGAATGAAACGCACGAGCACTGTGAATGGGACAGTGTTTATGCTTACCCTGCCTGGTTGGCACCCATGATCAGCATGTACATCATGATGCGCAGGCCGGTCTTGGAACGCAGAGTCAAGGCTTCGGCGGACTTTCGCGCGACATCGTCTTCCGTGATACGGGTTGCCGTCACTTCCTCGACGGGAACACCAACTTTAGTCGCTGCGGCGACATCGTCGTGGTAAACCACGGTGTGGTCGACCTCATTTCGCGGCGCCATGGTAGACAAGGCAAGTCAATGAGAGATGGCGCTCGGCCGCGGGGGGTTGGTTGTAGGAGTAATTCTCGATCAGGAACCTTGACAAAAGAGGAGAAACGCTGATGGAAGAGAGAAGCCCGACTGCCTGGGTCGATGGGCCAGGTTGCAGCGGCGCGTCTCGGCGGATATATAAGAACCACAAGAGAGATTCAACTTCAGCTGTGGGAGGCAAAGTGCCATTCTCGCGTCCTGCATGCTACCCTTTCCATGTGTACGGAATGGCCTTCCGACAGCTGGGTCTCGAACCCCAACAAGGGATGCCATACCCAAGCTTTTTTGGTTCACATGAGATGCCCTTTGCAGTTTCTACTCCACCGCCGTCTCTGTCCATCCGCCTCCAGACTTTACTCAAGACCCATGTAGGCTTGGGCCGGCAGCGGCTTTGGTTGATGATGATTGGTCGGGCGGCTGTAGCACTGCATCTCAATCAGACCAGCCACCACACCACTCCCGAAGTGAGGGTGTTCGGCATGCTTTGACCCGTGATGATTGGCTCCGAGACGACGGCCGGCCGGTTACCCCACAGTCCGTAGTCGATTTTCCTCAAATGATACGACGCCGAGCCTCTACCCCGGCTCGTTCGTGGGTGGTCTGGGGTTAAAATTGCCTAGGATCGCTCCAACGTCCAGCGTGTTTGAACGAGGGAGGAAATCAGACGCTTTTCCTGCCCGTTAGCTGGAAACATACCTTTTCTTGCCATACTCTATCCTGCAAGAATCTGCAGTGGCCTTGTCGAAGGAATCACCATTCCCCCAAAATAAGCCAAGGGGGGGCCTAGCCGAGTTACAACCAGGACAGACTCCGGAGGACGGCATACCGGCGCGACGTTCCCTCCCTCGTCCAATTATCATGTCCCGCCTGGACAGCTCCCCAGGCTTCGGCTCCGGCCAGAACCAACAAGAAGTGCCCGGACCCCTGCACCTCCACTACCAGTCTCCCGCCTCCGAATGGTCGGAGGCCCTGCCAATCGGCAATGGGCGGCTAGGCGCGATGGTCCATGGGCGAACAGTGACCGAGCTTATTCAGTTGAACGAAGATTCGGTCTGGTACGGCGGGCCGCAAGACAGAACTCCAAAAGACGCCCTCCGCCACCTCCCGAAACTCCGCCAGCTCATTCGAGATGAAAAGCACGCCGAGGCCGAGTCCCTCGTGCGCGAGGCGTTATTCGCGACGCCCGCGAGCATGCGGCACTATGAGCCGTTGGGCACTTGCACCATTGAGTTCGGGCACGCAGCGGAAGATGTGACCGACTACCACCGCCATTTGTGTGTCGAGACCGCCCAGACAACCGTCGGATACCGATGCCAAGGGGTCTCGTACCGCCGAGACGTGATTGCCAGTTTCCCGGATAACGTGTTGGCCATTAGGTTTTCGGCGTCTGAACTCCCCCGGTTTGTCGTACGACTCAACCGTGTTAGTGAGATTGAATGGGAGACGAACGAGTTCCTTGACAGTATCGATGCGAAGGACGGACGGATAGTCTTGAACGCGACCCCGGGCGGCCGAAACAGTAACCGTTTATCGATTGCCTTGAGTGTTACCTGCGACGATGCCGAAGGTTCGGTGGAGGTGGTTGGCAATGCTCTGGTGGTGAAGTCGACAGCCTGCACGATTGCCATTGGCGCGCAAACCACGTTCCGAACCGACGACCCCGAGGCTGTTGCTGTTAATGATGTGCTTGATGCGTTGCGGTATCCTTGGGATGAGTTGGTCGAGCGCCATGGAGAGGATTATCAGAAGCTGTTCAACCGGACGAGTCTTCGCATGTGGCCGGATGCAAGTCATGTTGTGACTGACACAAGAATAAAAGAAGGTCGAGATCCTGGCCTGGTTGCTTTATACCACAACTACGGTAGGTATCTGCTCATATCTTGCAGTCGCAACTCTGAGAGGGCGCTGCCGGCAACCTTGCAAGGCATTTGGAACCCCTCGTTCGCGCCGCCATGGGGATGCAAGTACACCATCAACATCAACCTGCAGATGAACTACTGGCCGGCAGGGCCATGCAACCTTACCGAATGCGCGGTCCCCGTCTTAGATCTTCTAGAGCGAATGGCAGAAAGAGGCAGGAAAACAGCAAAGACGATGTACGGCTGCGAAGGATGGTGCGCTCATCACAATACCGATATTTGGGCAGACACGGATCCTCAAGATCGGTGGATGCCGTCAACTATCTGGCCCCTCGGAGGGGTCTGGGTTTGTATTGATGTCTTTGAGATACTGCGTTACCAATACGACGAAAACCTACATAGGAGAGCAGCACCGATTTTAGAGGGCAGCATCATATTCCTACTGGACTTTTTGATCCCGTCTGCTTGTGGAAAGTATCTAGTTACGAATCCGTCTCTGTCTCCGGAGAATACGTTTCTCTCGGAATCAGGAGACGCTGGTATTCTCTGTGAAGGATCCGCCATCGACATGACCATCATTCAGATCGCATTTGAGCGGTTTCTATGGAGCACTGACATTCTAAATAAAGCCCACCCCTTACGAGCGAAAGTCAAGGACGCCTTGGAGAGACTACCTGGGCTGGCGACAAACCCTGACGGGCTGATCCAAGAATGGGGATTGAAGGACTACAAGGAGCAGGAGCCGGGTCATCGACACGTATCCCACCTATTCGGCCTTTACCCCGGAGAGAGCATCAGCCCAGCAAGATCGCCAGAGCTGGCTGTCGCAGCGAAGAAAGTCCTCGAGCGAAGAGCGGCCCACGGCGGCGGACATACGGGATGGAGCAGGGCCTGGCTGCTGAACCTCCACGCCAGGCTCTTGGATGCCGAAGGCTGCGGCCAGCATATGGACCTTTTACTTAAAGGCTCTACGCTACCCAACATGCTTGACAACCACCCTCCCTTCCAGATAGACGGGAACTTTGGTGGGTGTGCCGGCATTCTCGAGTGTCTGGTCCAATCGAGCGTGATCGAGGCGAACACCGTTGAAATACGATTGTTGCCCGCATGTCCCAAAGATTGGTCCCAGGGCGAGCTCTCGGGGGTCCGAACCAAAGGAGGCTGGCTCGTGTCATTAAAATGGCGGGACGGCGTCGTCCTTGAGCCGTTGGTTGTGGAGAGCCCTGATGCCAAGGGTGCTGAGGCTCAAATTGTGTTCCCGGACGGCGCTCGAACTATCGTGCGTGGCGGCGCGCCGTCATCCAGGCACGATGTATACGCGACCCAGGGGGAAAACAAGGCAGAGCTAAAATAGCACATCATCTTGCAGGCCGAATGTGGCCCTCGGAGCTGAGATTAAGCTGGGATCGATTCATGTACGTGTTGGTCGAACAGGAGTATACCATGTATGCTTAATAGTAAAGTTGATGGGACCCTATCGGGCCGTTGCGTTTAAGTGGCTCTCCAGAAGAATTCCATGACAACCAGAGGTGAAAACGCATCAGGACAAAACTTGAACACGCCATAGGCTCTTGAGCTCCACAGCTGTGCAATGGACTTGGACCCCTTGCTCCCGAGCTCACTATACTAGTCGACGGAGATTTCATCTCCTTAGCGCGGATGCTAGTGACGGGGCGCAAGCGACATAAGATGAGGCACTACCGGCCGCCACTTCCGGCAGTTGGCACAGAATCGGGTGTTGCTAAGCCATTTCAGTCAAGGCTCCGGTATCGAGTTGCAAGCATTAGTTGATGACTGCAATAACAACAACTGAAATGGCATTTGCGGGTCAGCCTTGCTGTGAATCGAATCCAATAACAGTCATGACTTGAAATTTCTGTTTGTTTGTTGGCGAAAAGTGGCTTCCTGTTTAGAAAATGCTTGTTCGTTGCCTCGCAACATATTATTCAACAATCAACGTCACTGCCCCTCATTCACGTAATGAATTATTAGCAGGTTCTTTAATTTCTTGCAATTTTCTTTTTTTGTCTGGAAATTAAAACTGGATTAATGATCTAAAGGCCTCCCTTGCATAACGTTTAGTACCCTTCAAAGAGAAGCAACCCGCAAGCTGCTCTTGGTTGTTATCCAGGAGAATCCATACGTCTAGGAGGAGAACTAACTGTTCGAAAATATAGGAGGTTCCCAACAGTTAATGGGGTTTGAAACTTGACCCGTGATTTAAGTAGTATGGTTGGAAACAAGGCACTGAGGCTTAGAGGCAGTGCGAGAACGAGCTTCTAGCTACAGCTAGGGAAACTGGAATAATAAGGCGCCACAGTTTCTGGCTATCATCTGCATATAAAAACCTTGACAGTAAACTTACTGATTGATCTTTTAAGGCTGATTCGTACATGGTTTTTGATACTAGTGCTTTTCCAGTCCCATGACAGTCCTTTTTTTATCTACTTTTTTTGCCGACGACAATCGATGTTTTGACACATTTAATGGACACTTAGAGGAGGGCTTTATAGAAAGGTAAAACACAAGGTATAGTTTTCAAACGCCGAAGGTAACATCATTGCGGAACGTCAGCTATATAAGCAAAGCCTTGCTTGTGGTATTTAATCCCTCTGCACAATCATCTCGTCATTTTCAAAAGCCGACAGACCGAGAACGAAACACTCCAGATCTTCCCCTTGGACAACAGAGAAGTGATGTACTCCTTTTCTCAATCTTTCTCATAAACAAGGACAACATGTACAGAAGTTCAATATGTGCTTTGCCTCCCCGCCAAAATATGAGTTCTAGTAGCCCCGCCATTTCCCATATACCAACCAAGGTTCTCAAGGATGTGAGACATTGAGGAGACATGTAGAGCCAAGGGGCCTATGACTCCGCTGCGGGAGGCAGCGTTTCTAGCCAAGCGCTGTCCGGTGGCGTCGATTATCGACTTGCACCATCGTAGGATGCAGGTGTTGAAGGCGTCGCCTCAGTGGCTACCACAGAGTGAGGATATCCTTTTAGTTACCTCGCTGAGGACACGTTGTTTCGATTTCGCCAATTGCCCTTCCGATCGACTACTGTAGTTTAGGCAGACTGTACCTGCCTGTAAGAATTCCCAATCTGGACCTGGTTGAGGAAATCGCCTGTCTTTGGTCTTCGAAGTTTAATCTAGCAACGCCTCAAGACCAAGTCCAAACGACCTTGAGCGTTAGTATGGCATGATTGAAAGGTTCCGTCCCGAGTCATATGAGCAAGGTTTTGAATATCACTTCCATAAGCTACGACTTGCCCTATTAATCGGAACGACCAACTGTTTTTAGTCCAAGTGATGAGCCAGCATTTCGATACACGGATTGACGTGGATAGCTGCAATGATCGCGGCTATCAGATCTTGAGATAGAAACACTAGCAGTCATATCCGTGGACAACCTTGGAAAGTATGTTTTATGATGTGCACTGCTTGGGCGGTATTGCCGAAATGTGGGTGCCAAGTCGAGAATGTCACTGATTGTCAGGCCTGCCTCCCGATTAGGAGAGTACTAAAAATGATGATACTCAGCTGGCTACTTGGTCGAAAACCTGACTTCCTACTCTTGGAGCGGATCCGGGTGCTGGAGATGAGAGCTTCCCTACGGTCTTCCCTGAAGAAATGTCAACGGTTTTGCTTCTAGAGGGAGGCAGAGACTCAAAGTAAGATACGGATGGAGGTTCATCGAAGCCGTTTTCAATTGAAAGTACGCATTCTAGTCTGATAAAAAAAGGCCAAAAGCCTTATAAAGCATTCAGAGATGTCGACAGACATTCAAGGCATTTCAAAACGCCATACGATATAAGATGGACGCATATATGGTCTATTCACGGGAGCTGTGCAGATGTATTTCAGTGCTACCATTTTCATCTTGGCGTTGCTAATTGCACTCGGTCGCAGACCAGTTCAGCCAGCCAGCCATGAAATAGGCAATATCGCTGTCATTCCTCACCTAACAACATGCTGTGAAAGTGTGATAACAAACAAGACGATAAAAATAATAATCATAATAGTGGGGGAGATCAAAACAGAAGGCAATGGAAGCAACAAGTCCGATGCTTAGCACCGGTGCCGGGGTTACGAAAAACTAGAGTCGGCCCTCTCGGAGAAGGTCTCCTTTGACGGACGTATGAACCGGAAGCGACATAAGAACGGAGCGTCATGATTGTATCTGTGACGGGTGCGACGATCACGGGCCGGAGAGAAATTGGCAGCGGGACAGAGCGAAGGTAGTAATCGGACGGGTCTCGGAAGCCCCTGTTTGGCGCAGATGATCTCCCGGTAGAAATCCCTTAATTTAGCAATTTGGGCGTCCGGGTCAGGTGCATAATGAGCCAGCAGGCGAATGAGTGAGGGTATGGTCAAGGCGACCATTGGGGGGGGGGGATAACCTGACCAATTACCCACTTATTTAAATGAATTATGGGTCTATCTGACCAATTTCATGATTGGCTGTATTGAGGTGAAGTGGGTCCACCTGACCATGGAATTTTTAATCGGTCAGGTGCACGGACCAGTTACTGATTGCGTCCCACTACTGATTAGGGTGCATACCCCATATTAATATTTAAATCCCTATTCTATTCTGATTCTCTTCCTTTTCCCTCCGTAACCCTTTCAAATCGTATGCGCCCCCCCCCCCCCCTGGCGCACCGATTCCTAATTACTTCCGAATCAGTTCAGAAATCCGACATCATGCCTTCATACAAGGATTCTGTAAGTACAATGGAATCGGTTTAGGATCGATTCAGAACTGATTCAGAATCAGGACGATTACAAGACCTACAAAGAAGGTCTTCTCCAGGGCGGCAAGAACCACCGCATGGAGGATCTTCCTCCCTTCGAGTTCAACGAGGTAAGTGATTCAGAAGCGATTCCACAACGATTCAGAAACAGTTCTGAATCGATTCAGGCTGGCGAAGTCAAGCTCGCCCCTGGCGAACTCTACTGCCGCTGGGGTGGTAGATCCAGCAGCATCACGTGCACCAAGGTAATTCAGAATCAGTTCCGGATCAGTTCAGAACCAATTTCGAATCGATTAGACGGAGCGGTTCTCGAGCGAGTCGAACCTCAAGAACCACATCAAGAAGCACAAGCTCGACGGGGTCCCGGCCAAGGTTAAGAGCCGCAAGTCCGGCGCGAACTCCGTCGAGGAGAACGATGATGCAGCTGGTAAGTGATTCTGAACTGATTCTGTACCGATTCTGAACTAGTTCTAAACTGATTATGAATAGAATTCTACGACCGCATCCACGGCATCGCCATCGGCGCTCGCGATGACAGCGAGCTGCAGACTCCTTCCAAGAAACGGAAGGCGCAGACCCCTCCCCCCCTTCTTGCCGTGCAGTTCAGAACTAATTACGAATCGATTCAGAATGTCCTCCCGCCCTTCGCGATCAGGAATGTGAGGTCTGGGCCCGCTTTGAGGATGATGAAGAAGATGAGGCCTGAATCAATTCAGGATCGGTTTGGAACCAGTTTGGGACTTCTTTCGGGACCGATTTGGAACCGCTTTAGAATCAATTCTTTATAGATACCCGGGGCGTTCGGTTTTTAAGCTTTTTTTAAAAAAAAGCATTTCTAAATCAATACAGAAATGATTTAGAATCGATTCTCTACCTATCCTATATGCTATCAAAGTCCTAACCTTCTCCGCCGCTCTGCTAACTCTAGTTCCTTTTCTTGTAGTTCAAGCTTCTGTTTTTCAACTAGAAGTTTTCTTGCTTCTAATTCTAATCGCTTTTCTTCTAATTCTAGACTTTGCTTCTGTAAGTCAAAGTCATCTTGTTGTCCCTGTCTGATTTCGTTTCTTAAGTTAGAAATAGATGTTCTTTGGAGAGTATTTGACCTAATAACCCCAGAAGATGAAGCATGGGAAAGACGAGGGGATCGATTCCGAATCGCTTCTGAAAGACTTCGGGATCGATTCGGAATTGAGGATGGACTTCTTGAATTAGTACCCCTTGAGGGACTAGACGTAAAGAGTCGGGTTGATAAAAGCCTTTCAACACGTTCATTATCTAGTTGCTCACGGGATTCCCTCTGGCGTTGGCGTTTAAGTTCTAAAATAATTTAGAAATAATTATTAATAAATATTAAAGTATTTTTAACTTACGTAAACGGCTTGCAGCTGTATTATAACGGCCAATAATAGAAACATCTTTCCAGGAAAGCCGGATTCCTAGTGTTGTAAACACTGTATCCTGCTCTAAAAGATGGCGATCGTATTCTGCACATCTAAGTACTTTTGAATTAGTTCTCAACGCATTCCAAACCAATTCCGAATCAATTCAGAAGGGATTCCAAACTTACTTCTGGATACATGTAAGTAATGGTAAATA